GCAAGCAGAATCGCATCCATTGTCGCGGACAAGACCCTGATGCATTCGCCGTGGCACTGCACGTAGCGTCTGTTATGCCTGTCCGCGGTTTCCTTGTGGACAGGTCGAATGTACCTATCATCAGAACAGGTGTCGAGCTGACCGCGCGTGCTGTGAATGGGCCTACGAGAGCACATTTACCTCCGCGGTCTTCCGGCATCATGCCATAAGTCATGTCGTAGGGAAGGTCACAAAACGAGATTCAGGTTTCCGAATTTACTGCCGCCTATAACGGGGCGGTGATGAGCTGGCTGCCTGTGTTGGGCTTTGCTGTCGTTGTTGCAAAGATTCTGGGTGTCGAAGTGAGCTGTCGTCATGCCATGTTCCAGCTGCCTTCCAATATCACGATCGTGCCTTCTCTTGATGAGAGTCGTGTCTGTAATGTGTACAACCACTGCTCCAACTGGAGTTCTATCCATGTCAAATGCCATGTGAATTGTCTAAATCGCCGCTTATGGACTGCCTAAGTACCCGCTGTTAAGGATGTTAGCGGCGGCTGATACGGGAGCTTCCACGTTCACGGTGAGATGGAAAAGAGCGAGCAGCAAGACCAAAAATGATATGAGGGGATCACTGCCTAGGTTTCCTCGCAAGCATAGCCTGTCATTGCGATCTCACTGATAGGCATTGTTCGATCTTGGACGAATAAAAACGCACATGTTACAGCTTTCTAGGTACGCGTGCGTGGTCAGAAGAAACCTAAGAATCTGGACTGCTGCGGTCCGAAGCTACGACTCGAAACCGAATGTTGCGCAAAACTTTACTTACCGATGGGATACCTTGTCCAAGATCAATCCAGTTATTGCTGGCAGACGTCAGTGTATTACCACATGTCTGCAGGTAATTCCCGCATGAGGTTCATGCTACATCGAGAGCATGAGAAACATGCTGTGCCGACTCGAGAAGCGTTGCATAGATTCAAAGGGCCGAAGTGCTTGTACTTCCCCTTTGGATGACAAGTGCATAGCAACCTCGTGTTTTCTAGCGCTTTTGGGTAGGGTATCGTATCCCATGCAACAGGCTGAGAATCCTTCAAGAACAGCATGGTAAGTTCGATCTCTTCAACGAGATATCTGGAACGTGCTATATAGCATGCACAATGATGTCGATCGATCACAGAAGATGAATTTGAACAGTGCAACACTTTGCCCATTCAAACCTAGACCCTCACATCAGCCTTAGGCGTGCAGCCACCAATATAATCCTACAGTAGCCCTGCATGATACTACAATCCATGGCCGAGAGAGAGAGCTTTGGAATGATGGTGTCAGCACCTTCGTGTGAGGCACCATCAGCGAAGAGTCGTTGTTCTTATCGTTGACAACACACCCATCGGTGAATTTCCTCGAACATCGAGCTCTAGCCACGCTAATGTGCTTCCGGAGGGGAACCGGGTGTCGTGAGATTGCGCCCTTGAGTATGGCTTCATGCAAGTCTGACAAGCGCGACCTCTTTTCTCCGCTGCGGGATCTCTCGGCGGACTGGTAGGCTGAGCGACGTCTCCGCCCCGCCCCCGCCCAATCGCGTCATTGCGGAGGTTTTATTTCCCTTGTTTAAGGCCGGTCGCAGACGCGTTAGGGACATAGCCATCAGCGGGAAGGGCTCTGGTCGATCGCCAGCACTCTTGGTTTTCCTTGTGCGCGGTGCGAGGTGACAGGCGCCCAGCACTTGCGGGCCAATTGAAACTTCCTCACCCCTCAGGTGTCAGCCCACCATGTCCATCGTGCAGTCTTATCGGACGCCTTTCGACGTCGCAAGATATTCTTCATGTTCAGCTCTCCTCGAGGGGAGGCGTTCAAGAAAAGGCTGTGATCAGCGTCGAATGTCTTCAAGGATGCCTAAACCTTTCGCATTGATGGCCCTCATCATTTTCTGCATTACACCCTAGCTCCTGCGAAGCCTTGTCCCCACGAAATCCAAGCAGGGGAGTTGCTCACGCCGCCACGATATATGTACCAGCTGTTGCAAGCGTCATCAACTATGCAAGGCCTCGTTGTGGAAGCCATTGTCAGCCGTCGGCGGTTGAAGCATTCTCAAAACCTAATTGTATAGGCGCCACAAGCCACCAGGCGCTGAGGGAAAGTCACTGCAGAGCCATTGAGATAATCCGTAGAGCGCATCGAGTAGTCCAGTGTGTCGCAAAAGCCATCAATTCGGCTTGCATTGGTGGAGCAGCGGCACGGATTCAAGACATACCTGATTGGAGGCGTTCAATCTGAGGATGAGGTCTGCGGCAAGTACAGATTGCCGTGTCTTCCAGACATTCGCCACAACAAACGTCAAAAAGCATTGTATGTTCATCGACTCAGACACCAGGAACGTGAAACGAGAAGTTCACGTTCGGAGTTAGCAACATCTACCTGCGTTGCACTAGCGGTCAGGAACATCTGGCATTGTTTCAACCCCAAATTCTCTTTCCATATTTCCTACGTTCTAGTGTCGCAATTAGCTTTGCGAGTCGAACAACGCTCGCCGATCTGCTTCACGATTTGCGTGCGCTCTTAGATTCCAAATCGGGCACAGAGCGCGAAACCGCGCTTAGACTGTACATATGTGCTGCTGGGATGGAGCCCGGTTTGGCAAATCCTTCACTTAGAGCCACTGTTTTCGTGAAAGATCGTCGTTTAGGGCTGGCTGTGAGCATGGGGGCAACCCGAATTCGTAATCGTACACCGCCCGACACCATTGACACTTGCACGCTCTCAATTGGAGCCTTACATTCGTCTTGCTGATTAAGATGTCGATCACAACAGCCTGTCACATTCTCCAGGCAGCCTGAGATTGGCACCCTACCGCTAGACACCGCAGTACGCACCGAGTCGTTGCTGCACCATGTAAAATGGGGAAGTTGTCGTGTTAATTTTACGCCGGACAGGCGCTGCAACTCGGAGACTGGGCATCCCGTTGCATCGTCAACCACCAGTCAAACACTAGGCGGACATAACAGCTTCCGCGGGGTATCGAAGTCTACGACAACCAAGGGCACATTGCATCAAGAGTCGCCGACTGCAGTTGATCGACCAAACTGTGCGCACAAATGTCACCAAAAGCCTGTGCGGCACACGGTCAAGCTCGCGCACGTGCTTGAAGGTGCAGGACGTCGAAGCCAGGTTCGGCCAATTCAGCAAGGATGGAATGCACATCCTCATAAATTCTCCGCATGCAATGAAGCGGTAATGGACGATAAGAGAAAACCGAGCCTCCACGCCCGTGTGTCTCACACACGTGATCTCGTGATGCGCTAATGGAAAGCTTGATTGGAGAAAGGCGATCGCTCGCTAATGTTAATTATAGGTAGACGGGTCCAGTAGTGCTGGCCTAGTGTCAGTGACGCATGATGAAACACATCTTTGGAAGCGAGACACTCGAGAGTACGAGAATAGTCGACTAGGTATATCAGGGTAATTGCGAAGTGGAATTACAGCCTGGCGCACTGCTGTGCGGAAGCTCACCCAGAGTTGACCCGAAGCCCTGACGTTTCGTCAGCCCTGGAGAAGTTAAGGTCTGCCCCAGGTCCACTAAGGTACTTTCATGTGTCAAGACGCACAATCCGGCGGCCACGTCAGGGTCCACAGCCAGGAAACAGTCGAGGGTTCTGCTTGAAACGAGCGAATAGATGGCCAAGGATCAGTGTTACTGTTTCTAGAATCAGGACTTGGCTGCTGTCAACCACGACTCAGCCGCGCAGGCTGACAGTCTGCCTGAGCGTGTCACGCCTATTCTTGCCCGTGAGAGCATATGTGAGCGGAACCTGGTCTCGTATCTTCGCTTTGCCAGTCAAAAGCCGGGGTCAGCATTGCGACCGCAGGTTCGAACAATCCGTGGACAGATGAATGAATGCGCGGCGTTTAGCTTGTGACTCTCGCCGTTCCGTGCAAGTTCGTGCGCCGCGTGAGACAGCAGTAGTTGAATTGTATCAGTAATAATGCTGTCGTATTGCAGAATACATTACACCTTTACGGCTTGCTTGTTCGGGATGCGGATGCGCTTGATGGTTCGGTGCGCAGGCTAGGTGGCTGACGCGGGCTCGGCGCGCCATCCCCCGTAACACCACGAACTCTTCTCCACCACGATGCCTAGCTTATGGTCTACCGATCCAAGGTCAATCCCTGCGAGGGCTGAGTCTTATCATCAACGCCATGCAGCGACCCCCTGGTCGCCCAAAGCAGATTCAGCACTAACTGGGTTGAGTCCCGACCCACCCAAGCACCTGGCGCTGATGCATGTAACTGCGAGGCACTAGCTCATCGCCCTCGCGCTCAATTGATGAATTCATCGCTTTGCAAACGCATTACAGCCCTCGTTGGGAGCCGGGACGGTCGTTGGCTCCACTCACATCTTTCGCACGCTTAGCCGTACTCCGTTGTCGTTCAGCGGTCCGCACTGTCTTTCAGCCACTCGCTTTCTTCCACTACGGACTTGTCCTTTTTTTACTACGCTACAGGTATTTGTTGCGCAGTACTCAGTCGGAACATCCCTCGTAACTTGTATCTTTTGAACACAGCCAGTCGAGCAACCCTGTCGTCAGCTTCAAAGCCGCATCCACGTTTCCAGTCAGATATCTCAGCATACTAAATCTGGGAATCGCCCTGACGTTGACTATTTCCACCATTAGCCCCATACCGGTATTGCAAGCCGCTCTAGCCTGTGAACCCACGGGAAGGCGGAAGTCTGCGTCGACCACTTATAGAGGATTACACTCCGCCGCGCTGGGTCAACAGGTATCTGCTGTCGCCCCAAGCCACAACGACATAATCCCCCGCTGTTGCCACTATTCACAGACCTCTTCCCCACCTTGATGCTGATCGTACCAACGATACGCTAAGAGATTGGCGCTGTGACAGTCTCCGTTCCTCTTCAGCCTCTTTTGTCGACGTTGTCTGCAATTGTTCTCGAGGCTGCTTCTTCCACTCTCAACCTGCCTTTAGGTCGATAGTACATACAAACCTTCAATTACCAAAATGGTGTTCTGTACCTACTGTGGACAGTCCTTCACCAGGGACGAACATCTGGAAAGGCACATCTTGACTCGTAAGTCCACATCCTCCCTCAGTGATCTCCAGCTATACTCAGGCTGCAGAAGTCCTCTGGATTTTGTTCTAACCACCTTTGAATGATTAGACACCAACGTGAAGCCCTTCAAATGTTTTACCTGCCATATGAGTTTCGCCCGACGGTTCGTGGTCCCCTTCCAACTCTTTCAAGTTTCTCTCTAGTCAACAGGCTGACAGCCCTGTAGCGATCTTCTACAGCGTCACTACACAGTACATGGTCGTAACCAAAACAACGAAGAAGGTCTTCCAATCCAAGGCATAATACCGAAATCTGCCGGTCGGACGCCTATCGCTTGTAGCAATTGTGCAAAGACGAAGACAAAGTGCGACAAGAAGTTCCCTTGCAGTCGATGTGCACAGAGAAATCTGAAGTGTACACTGCGGCCGACTCGAAGGGCGTCAAAGAATGTGAACAGGGTTGGTGTTCCTCTTGAGGTTGCATCGAGTGGCAGCTCAAGCGACAATGGAGGCAACCCGGAGCTTCAGAACACATCAGCAGGAAACTCTCCAGCTCGTGAATTGCAGCCTCCCCAGTCGAATGGGCAACCCTCACCTGTGCTGATACTACAGCAAGTCTCACATGTACCGGGAGCTCCCTCACAGCGGCAATCCCAGTCACCCTCGGCACCGCACTCGAGACACTCATCCATATCTCAGCCCGTCCAGCCAGCTCCGGTCCCAACTCCAGAAGAAACGCATATCCAGCTGCCCCTCTCTCACACTACTCCTCCTTTCTTCGACCAGTCGCCACCGCACACGATCCCACAGCCGTCTACACTTCTTTCGCCGCTGCCAACCCCTGGCAATATAGTCAACGGCTTCATGACCTCCACACCTATGTCCGGCTATGACGACTTTGTACGATCTGGTGGTCACTCGGACCCAGAGACGAGTCCATTCATGATGGATCCGTGGAGTGGCATGCCTATGGGTGCAGAGTTCGATTCGATGCGGATAGATCCCTCGCTGATGATGTCTATGAATATGGACATCAGTATGGGCCCTCCAACTGAGGGTATCCTTGGAATGATTCCAGAAATGGCACCCAACCAGGCGTTTGGACACGTCCAAACACCCCTCCAAACACCAAGAATGGACGAAACTTTCTCAGATCTCCAGATTGGCAGCTCCGCCTCGATGTTCTATCCGTCCCATCGTCATTCTTCAATCGTAGATGCAGGCATCCCGGATCTTGGTGCTATTGTCGCTGCACAAGATGGCTGGACCGTCTTCCGTTGCACTCCTCCGATTCCATCGAGCTCTTGTCCTCGCACGGCACGACTGAATCTCGAACGGTTGGAGCTCAGCCTGAAGAACCACGAAGGCTGGAGCAACTGGTCACCATCCTGGGATGAGTCCGACTTCCAACAAGAAGGTCGGATTACAGTCGCAAAGCTCCAAGAGAATACCAGAGATAAGCTTCTTGCGATAACTCAGAGCTTCTTACACAAGGCGCTCGAGATTCACAAGGATGCTATGAGTACCTCTTCGAGTAGTGGCGAGTCACCGGGCTCCAGTGCATCTCTTTCAAACTTCATTATTCTGCCACCTGCTCGAGTCCTTGAGTATTTCCTCAAGTCCTACTCCAACTCTTTCGAGCGCTATTTTCCTACTTCTTCTCGCGGAATTCTCGATACCAATGAGCTCATGCAGAACTACAACGACAAGGCCTCTAGTCTGTTGATTCTCATGATGATCGCTCAGGGTGCCATGGCTATTCCTTCGATGGAGGCGAGGTGGTTGACTGGAGGCATCACTGAGGCCTGTCGTATCTCGTTGTTTGATCTGATCGAAAAAAACATCATCATGGCTGGTGATCCAATTGTTTTGCGCGCAGCCCTTCTCTTCACTGTCCAGGCTGCCTGGAGTGGCGATAAGTGGCAGATGGACATCGCTATGGGGCAGCGAGGGATGTACTTCTCGATGCTACGACATTCGGGTATTCTCGACGCTCGTCCGATGACTGCGCCTCATGCGAATGGAGGGGTGTCGACGGAGGTGTTTTGGCGGGAGTGGCTGCAGCAGGAGGCCAGAAGCCGGTAAGTAACGATATTCTTGTGTGCTCTCGGTAGAGTCCATCACGTGAGCTTCCTACTGATGATCCTCAGGCTCATCTACTCGTGGATCATGGTCGACCAAGACCTGTCGCTTTTCCATGATTCAGCACCGCTTTTCTCTGTCACCGAGTGCGGGTCTCCAATGCCTGACTCGGACAGCTTATGGCAGGCTCCAAATGCCGCTGAATGGTCGCAAATCTTTAACCAAGTCCACGAATTTTCCAACGGGTACTCGTCCGTCGGCTCGGGAGCTAGGCCAACAAGCCTCAAAGAGCTCTTTCGTCAATTCCTGGATGATGAAATCATCGTCCAGGATGTTCAGGAGGTGCACCTTACTCCAATGCATCTCCGTCTGCTACTCCACCCATTGCAGACTCTTGTAGTTCAGTACTGCCAGCTTCTTAGCTGTTTTTCGGATAGCGTCGCTTCGAGATCCCGCAATAGGGCGCTCACTGCTGCATCAACTCGGGTCCGTCTTGAGGAGGTGCAGGCGCTCTTGGGACGATGGTTCGATCTTGCACAGAGATATCTCAAGTCGAACACTGTCTGTCCCCTCATGCAAGCCAATCTGGTCATGTTCCATCTCATCAGCATGAATGCTGTGACCAACTTCCCAGAGATTGAGAGGTTGGCACGAAGAGAGGGCGTTGATGGCACCTACCCGCAGATGTTGTGGCTTCACAAGAAATGCATCTCGGATGTTCAGGAAGCCATTACACATGCCGGACAAGTACTGCGTCTGGTAAGGGAGATGCCTCGCGGTATCCGTCCACCTTGGTGGCCTGGTGCGATCTACAGAGCCTCTCTCGTCCTGTGGACGGATGCGCTGACTCACAACGACTCTGCTGGACCGCGACAGCAGGGCGTGGCATTCCCTGTCGATCGCCTGCCAGCAGACCATCAGACAATCCTCAGATACTTGTCTCGTCGAGAAGGAATCCCAACGTTGACAAAGTTCGATGGTACACCGGTCCCACTGGACAACGGCTTCTCGGTGCTGTCGCACTGTATCGATATTATCGATGAAGGTGTAGCGACCAGATTCTCGGATGGTATTCGCAGTAAGCTAGAGAGGCTAGCACGAGGTTAGCTGACCTACTCTACGTCTTTGCGTTTTGTATCGTGCCCTTCGGGGCTTTTTTTTTTGCGTCGTAGCGGCAGACGCTCCGCATCGTTCTTTCGTCCTTGTTATTGTCATTTCATCTCTTTCTCAAGATACCCATCAGCAACACTAGCGACAAGTGCTTTAGGGTATCGGTGCTGTATCGCTTGAACTTCCTGGAGTACGGTGTTTATGGACTGTCGTTTGACCCTCACGGCCTCCGCCCCGTTCGAGGGTTCCGACTTCATCAATGACTAGACTGGTTAACATGGTAGTGATCAGTAATGTATATCATAAAGCAATGACAAGAAACCACCGCTGTTAAGAGCGACATACATACCTTTTTAGGATGATGCTGATGTGTGATGGGTGTGTGGGTCATGGGACACGAAGGTACACATGAGCGGGGTTGATGTATCCTCCTAGGTGATCTACCAATAAGGAAGAGACGCTGACGCTTAAGATCGATCATGGTGGGTTTGGACCAGGCATGACGTCGAACAGCGAGTATAATATGTGAAAACTAAGGACAAAAATCGAAGAATAGTAGAGTGGTGTTGGGGGGAGACCTCCAGCCAGGAATGTGTGTTTCCACTCGGTCCGTCTGTGCCTTGACAGACGCTATCATGATAGTCTTGCAGTGTCGCGGCTCCACTGTTGTTGTATCCGCATGCCTGGTCTGCATGAATTACGTTGGCGCTGGTACTTGGCCTCTTTAGATATATATGGCTGATGAAGGCGTCGACGGATAGCCTTCGGCGCGGTCTGTATGGGGCGACACGAGTATGGCGGGGTTTTCGACCTATGTGCGGGTAGATGCAGCAGGTTTCAGTGAGATTATGTATTCTAGACCCAGCAGAAACTCGATCGATGATCTGGTCGATCAGTCGGAGATCTCCTGCAAGCAAGAGCAATGTAAGTATGTCGAAATATAAAACGGTGATGCTAACAATAGATTTGGTATGATGGCTGATCTGAAAGAACCTTCAGCACGTTCAAAAGCACCTTGAAAGAGGAAGGGGCACACCTCATATCGCAGCCCTTACTCTCGCGTCTCCTCCTTTTCCGGGCGGCGTCATACGTCGTCCGTCGTACCGTGGACGTGCAGTGTCTTTCTCAGACTGGATCCGTTTAGACCATCCTTGGTAGTCTTTCGGAGCCCCAAGAACCATCATAATATCCCGCGTTATTTTGGATAATATCCACATCTTCTCTCCAATTGGACCCTTAATTGGTCTTGGAAAATTAGCCAGGGATAAACTACCAAGCATGATTACTTCAAAGCAGCTAGTTGGTCTTCAATCACGCTCCACTGGGTATATGCAGCATACTCCCGTGTCACAATGACAGAAACCGTTACCAAGGCGTCTACCTGCAGATTCGTTGCCTGACAGGCTTACGCGTTCACAAAGTCTATCCAGTGAAGATGCCGGTCTTGATTGAGGGACAGCAGTGTGGCATTTGAATGGCCAGCTTCTTTCAATATGATGCATTGGGGCAGTCACTTCACACCAAAACACGCCGCCTTACGACAAATGCTTCCAACAGAGTTGGATCTAGGCTTCATAGCGGTTTAACTTCACGCTTGATACCTGATACGAGAACTGCTAGGCCTACGGATGCCCGCACCAAAGCCGTAGGCCGTACATGGATGGACCGTGCCATCGGGAAAAGCATGCAAACCGTCACCTAACTTCCACCCAATTTGTCGGTAGGTCGGTGTTTTCATTCACCGACATGTGCAGCCCGCATTGACAGGCGTGTAGTATCGTAGTTGTGCCATCTTAGTTCATCCAGCCGTAGGTAGGTGTCTATGCATACAGTCAATCACCAGGGTAATGATTTACAACCGTTTAAGTTAAGCTTAGCTCAATTCAGACAGCAGATGTTACTCAGGCAGCTTACGGCTAAGCAATGGCGGCTCTCCATGGCTCATCAAGAACCAAAGCGGAAGGATTCACAGATGTCCCGATTCCACTTCCTTGTCGCCGAAGTCAGCCAATTTGCGGAATTGCGCAGGACCCTCACAGGATATCCGAGCCTAGCTTTGCCGAGTACTGAAACATGAAACCTACGGTATTGGGCTACCACCTTAGACATGCACACTCAGAATACCAAATCACTACAGTGACACTCCAATTTGCGGTGAAGTTGACAGGTTAAGCAATGCACGGCGTCATGCATAGACAGGGATTCACTCCACAACGTAACACGAATCGGTCGCGTGTTTGTTTGGATCCACCAAAGAGAGATTGGGGATATCTTGCTTGTTTACCGGTAAATCACGGCGCGCCTGATCTGCCCTGGTGCCTGCGAATAGTGAATGGATTTGAGATGATGTGCATAACCACTGCAGAGCAAGATTTCTCGCATTTCACTGGATCTTCCTCACATCAGCTGACCCGTCAATATCAATAGATCGCTGCCAGAGTGTCGATCTTGGTAATATACATTAACGTAGGTCGATAACATCGTCTTGAAGATCTCCCAAGCTCTTACTGCCTTCACGTCTTGTGGTACTAAATCCACACCGGGACGAAGTGTAGAGCATTCTGCAAGATTCAAATGACCTAGCATAAAGTTCTAAACTCTGGTCTCTTTTTGTCCCGAGCGATCAGGTTATTGGCATTGCTCGACGCCCGAAGAATTGTCCGCAAGTAGGCGCTCACACCACAGAATTCGTATTTGCATTCCAAAACTAATGCAGTGGATTCCCCTTGCAGGATGATGACGCTACACGTATAGCAGATGGAGTCTAATGTGGCTCAGTAGTCGTGAGTGTATCCGGTGCAATGAGGAACGCCATACGACCTCTACCGTAATGCTGACTCGATGCATAGCAAGCGTCTTCTCCCAATCTAGTCTCTGAGAACATCTGAATATACTTCTCATTCCTGTGCAACGTTGTTGATGGCTTCTGCAGCCAGGGTGGTATCGAAGAGACAGTCTGGCAACCACTCTTACGGTCAAATTTCAAGAGCTTTGTGACATCGTGTAATAAGAAGGGGCGTGCAGTCCGGAGAAACCTTATTCTCTCTATCAAAAGCGGCCTTTTTTGCCGGTCATGACGGTATGGTGTTGAGGTGAAGTTTGCAAGTGGTCTGTGCCTCGGCTCCCCTCTGTTGTCGTGACTGCTGAAATCCGGGTGCGACATGCGCCTTTGCCGATCCGTTTCGGGATCGACGGCAATAAGTGGAGACCAAGATTGTAGGCCAAGAAGGATGTATGTTCGGGATTTCTTTACTTGAAGGTACGTCATCATAGCTGTGTGTCGAGTGGGGAGATGGATTGTGAACCCGGGCTGTGTGGAGAAATGGGCGCTACGTTCATTCCGGCGAGGCATTCAGCGAGCGCATAACGTCCAGGTCAACACCCATCAATCCTGTCATCATCAAGATAATCATCTGAGACTTACTCTACCACTCATTGAGGCTGAAGATATTTTTGGATGTTAGCTCATGCTTGCTTCCGGCAAATGCTTGAGGTACCCGCTGTAAGAGGTATCTTTGCGACTCTTCGATAGACTGCGATGTGTTACCGCACCACCTATCCAAAATAGCAGCTGCTTAATTCTTATTCTGTTCGCAGTCGATAAAAAAAGATGTTTCTGTTCGTGAAACTGACAGTCGCGTCACGAAGTCATAGTGTTGTTGTTCGCTTACTCGCGAGTCATCCAATGAGACCAACCCCTGGACGCCTCGGCCCCTCTTTCCGGCTACTGTTTCTGAGAAACCGCATAGACAGCTCGACCATCTGCTTAGCCTAATCCACGGGATGGTGAGAAGACGGTGCAGGTACGCGATGTTTCAGCTCTAGGACTCTCAACACTCGGACATGATACTTTCTCCGACTCGGACACAATGGACGAGGCGTATGCTCAGCGCAAAGGCCGACGGGTGCCAGATGTCACGATAAACTACATCTCGAGTGCCGCTGGAGTTCCGAGTCACAAAGTAGTATATATGGCCGACTCTTTGCACTCAAAGTGAACTATCATCAGCTTCCAACTCTCAATTACTACTCTATCTCCAACAACCTTAAGGTTCTTAACACTACAACCCTTCAACAACCAACAACCAACTTTCACACTTTCACAATGTCTGCTGCTCCTGCTAGCTGGTCCCTCGAGGGCAAGGTCGCTGTTGTCACTGGATCCGGTAAGAACCAATGGAGTCACTGACATTCGAATCTCGAGAACTAACAACTTACAGGCCGTGGTATCGGAAGGGCGATGGCCATTGAGCTCGGCAAGCGCGGTGCTAAAGTCGCTGTCAACTACGCCAACGCCATCGAGGGCGCTGAGTCAGTCGTCAAGGAGATCAAGGCTCTAGGAAACGGTGCTGATGCCCATGCCTTCAAGGCTAACGTTGGCAATGTTGAGGAGACCGTTAAGCTGATGGACGATGTTGTTGCACACTTCGGCCGCCTCGATATCTGCTGCTCCAACTCTGGTGTTGTGTCCTTCGGTCACTTCGCTGATGTTGAGCCTGAGGAGTTCGACCGTGTCTTCAACATCAACACCCGTGGTCAATTCTTCGTGGCTAAGGAGGCATACAAGAGGATGGAAGTTGGCGGCCGTATCATCCTGATGGGTTCCATCACTGGCCAGGCCAAGGGTGTTCCCAAGCACGCTATCTACTCTGGTTCCAAGGGCGCCATTGAGACCTTCACCAGGTGTATGGCTATCGGTAAGCTACCTCACGCCTTCGAGTCAAAGACAGATTGCTAACGAGTCACAGATGCTGGTGAGAAGAAGGTCACTGTCAACTGCGTTGCACCCGGTGGCATCAAGACTGATATGTACCACGCTGTCTGCCGTGAGTACATTCCCGGAGGCGACAAGCTTAGCGACGACCAGGTCGACGAGTACGCCTGCACATGGTCTCCCCACAACCGTGTCGGTCAGCCCATCGACATTGCCCGCGTCGTCTGCTTCCTCGCCTCGCAGGACGGTGACTGGGTCAACGGAAAGGTCATTGGCATTGATGGTGCTGCCTGCATGTAAGCGGTTGCTGTTCGATGTGAACTTCTATTTTAGCCTCCTGTTACGAAGTTTTGTTTGATACTGCAGCATGATATGGTGTTCTTCTTCATAGAAGAAGCGGAATAATGGAATGAACAATAATTCACACAACTGTTATATTGCGCTTTACGTGACAGGACAACGCGTTATGCAAGTCCTTAGGTAGTCAGGCCATAATCGGCTGGTCTTTGCTCACGGCATTATCTCTTGTCGGCTGATGCCTTGTTAGTCTCGACATCTCGCACTTCGTGGCTCAGCGTATGTGTTCCATTTAAAATCAGTTTTTAATATGGCTAACTTAAGTCGATCCGTGACTGCTATTGAACAGCGTGTCGTACTGTGCAGACTATCAAGGTGACATACTTGGAGTGGCGCAAACGTGCGCTAACACTAGCGTGGTTAGCGCGGCTATCTTGATCTTGGTCGTATCCACGTCTCAGAAACACCATTTCAAACATCACCGTCTGACCATCTCTACACCTCTGAACTCAGTAACACTAACAGGAAAGATGAGAGAAACGGATGCGCCACCTCAAGACTTCGCCCAGCTGTATGTAAGAGGGTCTCGGAAGTACTAGGAGCTGACGTCAAGCTGGTGAGCGTCTGTATAGTTGTTGCTCATGTACACCATGTGCAGATCACGTTTGCTCAGTCGCTAGTGGAACAACTACACTCTCGTGCTCGTATCTCGGATGCAGCCGTGACCGTACACTGAATAGCTCTGCCAAGCATGGTGTGGTGCTTCACAATGCTTCTGCAGGAAAAGCTGCCCTTTGAGCGGATATCAGGCGCCGAACGTGGCGGTCAACGAATAGAGATTATGGATCGCACGGCATCAGCGAACCATCTGGAGTATCGCCGAAGGAGTGATGTTCCTTTTGGGCCTAAGACCAAGCTTTTTGTCGCGAAACTACTGAACCAAACGCTATTACTGAAGTCTGAAACAGAACATGCACGAAAAAGTCAACTCGTCGCATCGGGAGTATACTTGGCCGATACCAAAACTGCATGATGCGGGTTTCGATGTCTTGGAGAGCCCAGAATCAGGACTCTTGCTGCTTTTAGCGTGTACCCTCAGGTGTAAAGGGGTTCCGGATGTCCTCATTGCTAGCACGACGTCGTCGGAGGTATTCGCCATACACCTCTGCAGCATGACTCTGAAACTCTATCAACGGAAACAACATCGCCGGTGCCAGTTCCGAAGTCATGCACGAACACCAAGACTTCTCTTATATGCTTGCCCGCCACAAAGGTCTTGTGTTACCTCTCAGCGCAGCAAGACTGGTCAGTGGCTTCGTCGTTCCTTTCACGTTCCCATTAATCTTCTATTTCTTCCTTTCTCTATACTTAATATTTGTTCAAAGCCCAGGTGGCTATTATTACGAAAATCAAAATGACGTCTGGTACTGTCTCCTCCTTTGTGCTGCTCTTATTGAGCTCCACAGCATTTGCCCAGCAGCAAGTGCAATACAACCAAGTACTTAATGTCAATGGCGATGTAAGTGATATGCTCTCTACTGCTGTATGAAATACTGATCATGTTAGATGGATCTCAACTCCTTTGTTTTCCCTGATCGCTCCAAGGTCGAGACGTTCTCCCAGAAGCAGCAGCAAATAATCGTTAATCAGCAACAACCCGCTATCCCCGCTAATCAGGTTACTGGCTCAACGGGACAGCCTTTCGTTGCCATAACTACTCAGTCTATGGTCATCAACACCAATGGCGCGACGGACTTGGTCGGTGGACAGGTCGAGATGGCTATGACTATCCAGAACCTGCAGGCAGCTGCCGTACAACCTAGCAACACATACGTTGCCATGCTCTCTCCCGACAGGCAGAGCTGGATGATCCAGGAGACGATGAGGAGCGTTAACACCACCGATATGACTGTTCGCATGGTGAAGCGTAACCAGCTTGACGGAGAGTACATGGTCGTTGGTCGCCAGACCGTCGAGACCAACACCCTCGTCACACCTTTCGGCAGCGATGGCTCCACTCAGGTTGCTATTCAGGGTACCGGCCTCCAGGAGAACGAATTCCAGGACGGATTCAGGATGGCTACTCGTGCCACACAGCCTATGCTCATGAACGTCGATGTCAAGGACGGTATTGACTCTGGCATGTTGGCTGCCCTTAAGGGTCAGGACCCTGTTAATGACTACCGCTACTCCGTTGTCACCAACCTTGCTGGCGTCACACCTGACTTGAACCAGCAGGTTACTGTCGTTCAAATGCCCAGTTCGTACCCACAAATCTAGTCCAAGAGTTCCAAGCTAACAGTATCACAGTCAACGCTGTCCGTATCCAGAAGATGATGCAGGCTATGGGGATCCCTCCTACTGGTCAGGTCGCTATTGGTGTCGCTCAGCGCAGTGTTCTCCAGAACCCCGGTGGTGCTACCGGCCAGCTCCAGGGCGTCGGTGCTCCCACCCAGAAGCGTGGTCTTTCCCGTGACAACTTCCGCAAGGAGATCGCCGCCCGCCAAATCAACGGAGGTACCAACAACCAGGGCAACACTGGCGGCACACCCACCAACGGCAACAACCCCGTTGCTACTCAGCTTCTCCTCGCACCCACCTTCACCCCCGTTCAGGCCCAGGCTGTTCTCGACCAGGCTAACATGCGCATCGCTGTCCCTGTCCGCCAGGTCGACGGAGAGTACATCCTCACCATGACCAAGATGGGCGGTGCTCAGGCCGCTGCTGCTCCTCAAGCTGCTCCCGCTGGTGAGGCTGCTCCCGCTGCTGCTCAACCCGCCGCCGCTCCCGCCGCCGCTCCCGCCGCTGCTGCTCCCGCTGCCGAGTCCACCAGCCGTCCTGCAGCTGGTGAGGCCGCCCCTGCTGCCGCGCCCGCTGCTGCCGCTGAGGCCTCTCCCAAGCCCGCCGCTGAGGCATCTCCTAAGCCCGCCGCCGCGGAGCCTGCCACCGCTGCCGAAGCCTCCCCCAAGCCCGCTGCCGAAGCCGCAAAGACCGAGTCGTCCGCGAAGCCCGAGGCCTCCAAGGCCGAAGCATCTCCTGCCGCGAAGCCCGAGCGCCGCCAGGAAGCCGCCACCGACAAGTACGGCAACCCCGTGGCACCCATGGGCGCCGTTGTCATGAGCATGAAGCAGATCGACGAGATGGCCAGCCTGGTCACCTGGGGCGGCCAGGCGCCGATCACCCAGATGATGAACGACTACGTCAAGGCGCAGACCGGCAAGGGCCTCGGCAGCGCGAACAGCACTGCGAGCGCGACCACCGGCGGTCTGGCTGGTATCACTGTTTAGACGACGAATGAGTGTGGAGATAGAACGGCTGGAGACTGTGTCTTCGCTGTTAAGGAAGGGGGGTGGGGAAGAGACGATGGTGCCCATATAGGGTGTAGTCATAGATTGTCTTGTGTGAATAATTCAACTTCTGGTGTCTTCGATTGTTGGTTTCTCTGCAAATACGCGTGCTGTTTCGTGGTCCCCGCTACTCTCCGCACACATTGCTTCTACATCCGTTCAGTTCTTTCTGCCTGGTGGCCTGATAATGGGTCTCCTCTCGGCATCTCCACGGTGGCGCAGTGATCCAGACCCCGCATAGCACGTCTCAAGCCCAAACCTTCCCCGTTGTAAAGCATCGTGAAGCGTCGCGAAAATTTGTCACCGAGGGGTCAAGGAGTCGGGCTCGGCATTAACAAAGGCAGACACTGAGGCTTTGCTGAGGCTTTGCTGAGGCAGTCAGGCGATACTGGCATCATGCAACGAGCCGCATTTTGGCAGTTGGCAGCTGACAGTGACATTCACGGAGATGCGAAGAGTCGGCAGTGGGAGATGCATTCATTGGAGAGACGCTGAACGCCCGTGATCCTACAACAACTGCACGAGTCTTGCCGACTCGCCAGTACAAGTTTCAATATACAAGAAGTGAGTGGAGGCACGCAGCCTTGATTCGTGCGAAGCGGTAATCTATGCTTCGCGCGCGCAGTGAATGCGTCCCATTATACAGCAGAGTACACGGCGGTGACGCCCCGTCCACACTCGACCTTCTGCTCGATCTCAACATTTCGTCCGTTGACCTTGACCTTCGCGCGGGGCGAGATCTGGAATCTGTGCATCTCCTTCTCGCGCATCTTCCCGATCATGGACACGCTCGCTGCGCGGTCGTTCTCCGCCTGTTGATCGAGCGGCTGGATGTATGTTGGTGTCGCGACGTTGTTCCTCTTGCCGCTGCCGATCTGATAGAACTCGTTGTTGCCCCAGAACAGGATGTCGCGACCCCAGTTAGTATCGTTCTCGGTGAGCTTCCTCGGCTTCGCTGCAGTGATGACCGATGCGACATTGTCCATGACGGCTGCAGCATGTGTCGAACCAACGGAGATAGCGTGGAGTTTTATGGGGATGGCGGTATTGGCCTTCTCGTCCCACTCAAAAAGGCCTGAGAAAGCGGGGACCTTCGTAGGATCGGGCTGCGTATGGACCCAGCGCCCCGTACCAAGCTGGCCCGTCAGGCCGAAGCCGAAGGCGAAGGTGTCGGCTGTGACGCGATCTTCGTTGGGCTTGCTTGCTTCAACGGTCAAATAGGAAGTGTTGCCGCCGGCGAAGACATTTGTGATCTTGCCTTGTTGGGCGGTACCGGCATAGAGCTTCTGTGTGGGTAGAAGAGAAGGCGCGTCGATGTGGAGCGCTTCCGCGTTGAAAGGGAAGCCAAGTTGACCGCAGGTGTTGTCGCCAAAAGAGAAGGCGCGTCCTGCTGAATCGCAGACCAGACTGTGGTAGTCACCAGTCGCGATCTTAGAGATGGGGAAGCCTTTGAGCGTTGTGATCTCATGCGGCATGTCCATTGGACCCTTTGGTCTTGACGCCCAAGTCAGGCCGGGGATACCAAGCTGGCCCTTGCTAGGGAAATTTTGTGTGCCGGAAGCGAGGGAGAACACTCGTCCAGCAGAGGTAAGCAACAGGGCATGCTCAAGCCCTGACTTGACGTCAGTGACCTTCTCGCTCCACGCCAGATTCTCAGGTGTACGTGTGCGGTAGGAGACATCGTTTGGACCGCCCCAGAAGGGAATCCAGGATGTGGACGCTGGCTTCGGGCCCTCCTGTTGCTCCTTCTGCGAGACGGGTATCGAATATACAGAGCCATTGGAAGAGAGGGCGATGATGCGGTCGCGAGAGATGGCTAGCGATTTGAGGTTCTTGCCGCGCAGTGTCGGTGTAGGTTCTGTGACAGCGGCCGAGAAGTCCGTCCCCCACTGTAGCAGGTCGCCCTTCTCGTCGATGGCCGCGCCAAAGTTCCTGTCCAGCTTGATGTCTCGTAATAGCTTGCCGTCGAAGAATTTGATGCGCCGCGGCGTCTTGATGAACTTCTCGTCCGAGTCTGGTGCGACTGTCTTTCCAGTGTTCGAACCCCAGGCGAACACTCCCGGGTTCTCCCAGCTCCGCTGCACTTGCAAGTGCTGTGAGCTAATCATGTTCCTGTTGTCGTCGGTCGACTTCGGCTTCCTCCTTGGGGCCTCAAACGTCATGACTTCCTCCTCGTCCTTCTGCTCTTCGGCGTGAACCTCGCCCACCACCGTGCCGTTGACATATTGAAATGCTGAGGCCGTGGCCCAGAGCGCAGTGACGGTCACGACTGAACGGACAAAATGCTGCTGGCGGCGCTGAGCATAGCTATGTGTTGCTGCGCGCACCCGTGGACCCCGCGGCCGTGTCGCGATATTCCTACATGTCCGCGGTGCATGCGGAGCTCGAATGGTGGCGCGTGAGAGGCATCTGGTGTTGAGCATGGTGGTGTGAGAACGGTGGAAGGAGCGATCGGGGCGGATTCGAGGATTACAGGGAATCACACCACAACATTGGCACTTTTGCAAAGTCCTTGGGTCACTCCACGTTAGTCAGACCGCGGTTCGATAGCTGTCGCGCCGTCTTCTGCAGCAAGATCGGAAATCTAGAACGTCATTACATTTCAGCTTATCAGATCAATCTGCCCGACTGTGATTGGCTTGACGCGTCCCAAGGTTCTCCATAGCTCCGACCGCCGACATCTGATAGCATCGCATTGCGGGTCAAACGGACGCAAGGGACACTTGATGTCTGCCAGCCCCGGTTGAAGCCACACTGCACGCCATGGAGGGAGAGTCGTGGTACAATTCCTTCGTGCCTCGCGTGGTCAAGAAGGAGGAGCCACCAAAAGCGCACCGCCGCCGCGAGAGTCTGCTGCGCCAGCCCAACGTAAGCCCACCATCTGCCGCATGGGTACGTCAGAGCGATATTGATGATTCTGCTGTAGGAGAGTAACGCTGACGTCGAGCGCGCAGAAGGGATACCAGAGACCGTAGAGGAAGCTCCCGCAAAACTTGATGGACCCCCACCGGCCACCGTGGCCAGACGCGCCAAGTCGTACAGCGACTTCTATTCGGTAGTGCGAGCACACATCAAGAAAGAGAAGGCGCTCGAGAAGAAGAAGTCGCAGGAAAACATCGGCGATGAGCTGGACTTTGCTGCGTGGTATGGAGGAATCAACGAGGAGCTGCTCGAGGCAAGCCATGACGAATACAAGGCCTACCAAACCCAGTTACATCTAACGCGCAGCCACTTGGGCAACATCATCGCCGACACGAACTCAACCCTCGATACGCTCTCGTCCCTCTCCGATTCGTTCAAGACCGTGGAGGCCCAGACGACAGCGTTCCGTGAGCAATGTGAGGGCTTGATCAGCGACCAGAAGCGCATCACGAAGCTCGCCGAGGACATGGAGCAGAACCTACGATACTACACATACCTCGAGCCCACCACGAAACGTCTCAATGCTCCCGGAGCTTCCAAGATTGTGCGCGGCAAAGAGTTCACAGACATGCTGGCCAACCTTGATAGCTGTCTCGAGTACATGCAAGTCCACGCAAAACACCGCGAAGCCGAGACGTACCGTTCGAGATACCGCTTGCAGCTCACGCGAGCCCTCACGTTGATCCGAGTTCACTTTACCGAATCCCTGCGCGAAATTGCCGCCGACGTTGCAAAGAGAATTGCTGATCGCCAATTGAACGACACCACCATGTCCGCACTGCTGTACGCAAAGTTCCGCGTAGGTGCGCCAGAGCTGAAAACACTGGGACTGGAGATTCAGAAGAGAGCAGTCTTACCGGCAGGCGCAGCACCCGGGGCAGAGGCTGAGTATCAGAGCTTGATGAACGAGCTATATCAAAGCTACTCGACGACACGAGGGCGACTGATACTGCCAATCGTGGCGAAGAAGATCAACGAGATTGCGCAGGCACCCAGCACATCAAAGGATCTCGTAGCGTTCGCTCGCAGTAGCATAAGCTACATTCGCGGAATATGCGTAGATGAGCATGAACTGTGGCGTGAATGGTTTGACGGCGATGGCGGCATGTACGACTTCCTGGAAGCTATGTGTGAACCGCTTTACGACCACCTGCGACCACGCACCATCCACGAAACACAGATACTGAAGCTTTGCGAGTTGTGTACCCTCCTACAGACCCGCTACATGGATGACGACGAGGATGAGGAGTCTCCTGTCGAGGCAAACAAACTCGACTTTTCGATCCTAGTCCACCCCGCTTTGCAAGACGCACAGAACCGGCTCGTCTTCCTGTCGCTGGCTGTCTTAAGAGATGACATCGAACGCTACAAACCAAAGCCCGAGGATCTGGATTATCCAGCTAAGCAGAGGAAGCTGGCTGGTCAAGGTGCTAGGTCAAATCAGCCTGTACTGTCTGGCAAGAGGCAGAACAAATCCGAGGTCCCGCCTACACCAAATATGCCCAAGACACCAATGATAGTAGAAGAAGACGACCCTGAGTCACGCTGGAACTTTAGCACAGAAGCAGCGTTCAAGGACTGGTACCCTACCTTGCGGAAGGCGATCTGGCTACTTAGCAAGATCTATCACCTGGTGCACGTAAGTTCATCGTTGCTTATGACAGCCGAATGCGCTAACCCAAATCACAGTCTTCTGTCTTCGACGACCTGGCGCATCACATCGTCCACAGCACTACAATGTCGTTGACGCAAGCCAGCGCGTTGATTTCTAAATCCGCATCACCAACAGATGCCGCGCTCTTCCTTATCTCTCATTTGCTACTGCTCAAGCAACAGATTGTGGCTTTCGACATTGAGTTTGTCACGCCAGAGACGGACATCAAGTACGACATCTGGAGTGTCACAAACACCTTTTGGGAGCTACGCGAACGGGGGGGGTTGTTCAATCCTCGCAACCTTGTGGGTCTGCTCATTCCCAAGGTGGTCGACAACATGCTTGATGCCAAAGCAGACGTAGACGCGCGGCTACGACAAGCGATCAACGACTTCACCGGCCAGTTTGTTGCACGGATGGTGGCACCTATCGATACGAAGAACAACAAGAAAGTGCCTGTTGCCGAGGCACCAGCGCGAACAGCCAAGATAAGGCAGAACATCGAGCAAGAAACATCCTTCCTCCGCAGTAAGCTCGAGGATTACATCACCGATGCACGTACTCGCGAGATGCTAGTAGCAGCCGTTATGGAGTCTGTCACCCAGTCATACGAAGACTGGTTCGACACATCGTACACGCCTTCTTTGAACGGCACCAATGGCAATGGAAGGAGTGGGAAGGGCAAGGGCAGGGAAGACGGTGTTTGGGACCCCGATGTGTTCAACGAGTGGTGCACAACCGCTTTCAAGGTGGGCACTCTTGGACTGGGCATTATCAGCGACGACCACGACGATTACGATGCCAATGGCGACGACAGCGATGGGGACAGTATGGGCGCTGTCTCTGGGAGGACTGGCACAATGAGAACCGGGACCACAGGAAGGGGGCTGAGCATCAGATAGCTGCCGCTCCAATACCATAAAGAACAATCGCATATAAATGTGCGCACGGGTTCGTCGCGTCGTCAGTCTGGCTGCTTGCTTTGCTCATCGGCATTCAGTGTCAAAGCGTCTTTGTCCTGCTCGTTTGTTGACTTCTCACAGGCAGTTACATTAAGCCATTGTCTGTTGAACAAGACTGAACGTACAACAAAGCCAAGGAGACAAAGTATGACAGTCTTTGTCCGTTCTGCTATACTCCAACAGAAACATACTTAAGAGTGACATGCACTGTGCATATGATTCTCCACAAACACAGACATCAGCGGCCACTTCAACATCTACAGTTCAGTATCTACACTTCAGCATCTGCACTTCAGCATCTGCATCTCCGCATTTATTCATACACTTCGGTATCTACTCGCACACTTTGGCATCTACTTGAACACTTATTCGCAATGCCTCCTAAGAAGATCACTACCGCTCCCACTGGGCGCGTCACGACCCGCTCTGGAGCGAAGCAGCCCACTGCTGTGAAGAAGCCTACTGTCGCGAGGAAGCCTACTGTTGCAAAGAAACCCACTGCTGCGAAGAAGCCCACCACCAAGAAGGCCGACCCCAAGTCCAAGCCCACCTCTTCCGGCAAGCGCAAGACTCCCTCCCCTGGCTCAGACGAGGACGTGTTCGCCACCGCCATCGAGGAGCCCGCCTCGAAGCAGCCCAGGATAAGAGACAGGCCCGCACCCGCGCCGGCCCCAGCTCTTACAACATCTGCCCTGACTGTGACTTCTGTGGTCCCCGTACCACCTGCAGCTCCCACTGCTGCGGCCCCCACACCCATCGACCCCACTGCCCTCACTGCCCAAATCGTCCGCTCTGTCGACGGCACCATGCGCCCCTACCTCGCCATCCTCGAGCCCCTGATGGACTTCCACGTCGCTTGCGCCAAGCTCGACGGCCGCCAGAGCGAGGAGGTGCTGACGCATCAGATGGAGGTTCGGAGCCTTGTTGAAGCTTTGAAGAGGAAGGGTAGGGAGGCGAAGACGAAGCAGAAGACAAAGGAAAACACAGAGGGGAAGATAGTGGGGATTTTGAGGACCAGGCAGATGTCGATGGATCCGGATGACACGTTTGCTAATGGATTTAGTGATGATGAGGAGCCGTTTCATGGGGGGTATGGTTGTAAGGGTGATATGGAGCCCCCAGAGGGAGGGTTTTGATTTTCATTACTCGTGTGCTTTGCGGTGAACGTCGAGGGCTTCTGCTGCCGTATGCGCAGACGTCCTTCACAGCGCTTGGGACCCGATATGTGAGTCGAGACTCGCCTTCGTCATGAGGTTACTCAAGAGGTTCTGATGGTAGGAAAGATGATGAGCGTTATCGACAATGTATCAATACTTTACTTTGCTTGAACAAGCACTTCCTTCTCTCGAGGCTTCTTATCCTTCTAAAGAATGCGTTATAGGCGGATTGGAACATAGAAGGTGTTTCAGTAGAAACAGTCCTATTTTTAGTACCTGATTAGGGGTGTAGATATACGTGTGTTCTGCCTCTTTTCTGGGGTCTAAAGGAGGGAACGTGACGACGGCACATACACACCTCCACTCGCCGAGTGAGGAACTGGAGGGAAAGACGATGATATCTCCGCCAATTCTTGTACAACAAGGAGGGCAGACATACCGTATACACTATATTGCGACACCACAACCCAGACTAGATCTTGAAGCATTCATGTACACCTCCAACGTCGAGCAATTCACCAAGTCGCGCAAAGCACTTTCCACACTTCCTCTGACCGCACCGTCCAAAACATCAACACCCATCCGACACCCCCTCCAGTGCGACAGTCTCTCTAAAAAAATAACCAGATTCGTGTTGGAGTTGCCTAACCACCATATCCCCGCCACAAACTCCCCACCCACACACGCTGTATCCGCCCATCCGCGCTTCCCTGATCCGTCAGCCTCTGACGTAGCCACGCACCCGTATAAACAGCACGCAGCAAAGCAAGTCTTTCCCCAACGCCATCACAATTACACAAGCATTACAAAATCGCGATCTACGCCTGCCCTTCCGTTCTGCAGCGCAACACCTACTTAGCCGAAACCACGAGCCGCGACGCGGGCGAATCACACAGCATGGCGTCGAACGCTTCGCTCCAGTTCAGAGGTCCGTAGCTCCCCTGGCATCCCTGTGTTTATGTGCTGGTCCCTGGACACGGCGCATCCCTGCGCGGCTGCTGCATTCGGGGTAGATGCGAGTGCGAGGGTAGCGCAGCGGTGGTGTGTGTACGAAGTATCGCCGCGCTATGCCGCTGGCTACCACCACGCCGCGCCTGCGCTACACTAGTCTGCCGTCTACCAGTCTGCCCTGCGCATGCTTCACGCTGCTCGCTGCACGCTGCACCGTCGTGCCGCCCGTACTGATGCTCCCCAGAACCCGTCTCCGCAGCCCACCAAGCTTCCTCCAATACCGACGGCAGCGTCGACCCGGCGCACGGGTCTGCGAGCACGGCGCCGCCGCCGGTGCAGCGCCAGGGGTCGATGAGCAAGATTGCGTCGCTGGCGAAGAACTTGGTGAAGAGCCCTGCGGAGGAGAAGGAGGCGCTGCAGCTGGATAAGACGGTGAGTGAGGAGGCGAAGAAGGGGCCGGCGGATGTTGGGACGTTGGAGGCGTAGGGCGTGCGTGGGAAGGGAAGGGGAGACAGGGCATTGAATGGCGTTCTGGGCTGGATGTGGGGGCGTGAGATTGGGAGGGTTAGAATGTGCTATGGCTTCTTTGAAATGAGAATCTTGGACTCGATTGCAGGCCCAGTGTTTCTGAAAATCTGCGGTGCTTTGATTGTAACCCCCGTACATTTTTCTCATATCGTCTTCAACATGCTCCGTATCGCATAAGCCGCCGAATTCCAAAACGCCGTGGCTGCTAAGCAGTGGTATCTCATATCCCGTCCCTCCATTATCGTCCATCGTCCATCATCCATCATCCTATGCACAACAAAGCCGTCCCTCGTCCCGTGAAATCCCATATATGCCGTAAAATAAAAACTCAGAAAGCAAACACCATCGTCCCCCCCGGCGCTCAATCGCGGTACTGATTCGAATTGACCTGACTCGCCATAATCATCATCCAGATCAAAAACACCGACCCGATGATCCAAAACGCAAACACGGCCTGCCAGCACTGACCTGGGACTGATTAGCACCGCACTCCCCAACTCGCTTCACACCAAAACTCACAGATATTGCGCTGCTGCAGGAACGCCAGCGTATCGAGCGTCGGCCCGCTGCTCGAATCGCTGAACACATATGTGTTGCACTGGTTGATGATGTTGGGCCCCGCGAAGAGCTGGATCGCGGTGCCGATGACGCCGGCGAGGAACAGCACGAGCAGGATGAAGGACAGCAGCATCATGGTGACGGGGAGCAGTTTGCGCTGCGCGATGTACAGGATCTCGAGCAGGATGAAGAGGATGGCCATTGCGCCGACGGTGACGCCGTAGGGCATGATCCTGGGCGGGTTAGCATGCGGGTGCTGAAGATGGATTGCGCGAGGGGGAGGCGTACCAGGGCGTGCCCAGGCCCATGCGGTCCTGCGTCTGCATGAACTGCGCGTTGACGCCGAGGATGGTGCCTGCGGTGGCCAGCATGACGATGGTCCAGATGTTGAGCTGCAGGTCGGGCCAGTAGTACTTCTCGCGCACGACAATGGCCGAGCCGACGACCGTCCCCGAGTGGCCTGCGCGAGCCATCTTGTGTGGTGTGTGAAGCGCGCCGGTGGTTTAGACAAGAGCTGAGTCTTGAAGTCGTCGAAGCGCGGGCGGATGCGCCTGGGTCGCGAGTCTGACTTGGCGCGCAGCCGTATAGCCGTGGCTTGCTTCTGCGATTGCGGTCCTGCCTCTATGCAACCAGCCTCAGTATCTATGAGCTGTCGCCGCAGTTGTTCAATCGAGGCGTGTCGCGGTGGTACGGCGCGGGCGCAAGCGAATGACGTTGTTTACGGGGCGATGCGTTGCGGGGCAGGAAATGCGGAGCGCCGTGGGGATGTCGACTGTCTGTTATCGATGTACCGAGAGCGCAGATGAAGAAGGAGCGGCAGATTCGATGAGGACGAGAGGATTGGATCAGACGCTGAGAAAACGTGGGCGCGTAACGTCCTTGAAGTCGCGGCAGGCTTCGGTTCTTAGTGCCGCTGCAATTGCGGATGGCTGGCGAGAGGCTGGCCGCGGGATCGCAGCTCCGTCACGATTCCAGAACCCAAGTTCGCCATGTCTCAGCACGTGGTTCTTCGTATTTGTGATGTATTGATGTATCGGGGATCGAGCACGCACGTGGTAGGCATATCCGTGCGCCCCTGGACCGACTTTGTTTTTTGGTGTTGCCCGAGTTTGGTTGTACCTGTGTATTCCCCTGTCAACACTACAACTCACGCGTCTGCTTAGCTTCGTTACCCGTCTGGCAGTCAAGCGACTACCAGTATTATGCATTACAAAGAGTATGTCTATCTGACTCGTTTTTCCACAAAGAAGTGATTCTCAACAAAAATGCTCGCTGCCGCGAAAACGAAGATGCCAATCCCATAACCAACATGAATCGTACTCGTCAGGGTGTCATCGCAAGGCTTTACTTCCTCTTCGATATGACTTTGGTGATGGCGTGTCTGATGACGATACCCGCCTTCTCCGTCTCCTTCTTTGTCAGTCCGGTGGTTACACACACCTTGAGGGCAGGGAAAGGCTGCCAGCCAGCATCTCGTGGGTTGACACCGAGTCCAAGCGGGAAAGCCCTCAATCTTGTGATGAGAACACCGTTTGCGAGACACTGTAGAGGTTAGCTGTATATCACCAGTAGCAGACATATGGAACAACATACCTCGTCGACAACGTCGCGCAGAATCTGATTCTGGTCATCGATGCTCAAGTTCTTGGCTGCGACAACCTCGTCCTTAAAGACAAGCAACATGAGGGGATTGTCCACTGAACTCGAGACCTTGACCCAGTCACTCCTGGGGTCGAGCTGTGCGCGCATCGCCTCAACCCTCTCGCGCATATTGGTCAGAATCTCAGGCTGCTCTTGCAGAAGCGAGATGGTCTCGCTGGCAGTCGTCGAGAGCAGTGCCGGTAGAGCAGCAGAGTATGTGTACGAAGCCGAAGAGATGCGCTGGTGTTCAACGACTTCCTCATTGCCAGCGCAGAAACCTCCCGCTGCGCACAACGGTCCTGACAGGGAACCAACAATCATGTCTACCTCAGTAGCGTCGACATTCTGAGCCTCGGTGACACCGCGACCCGTCCGGCCCAAGACACCGTACGACCAGCTCTCGTCGAGGATCAGGCGGAATTTGTACTTGAGCTTCAGCTCAATCAGCTTGGGCAGATCGACAACGTCGCCGATGTTCTCGAACAAGCCCTCGGTGATGATGAAGCGCCTGGTGAGCGGCTTGCCCGCTTGCTCCTTGATGACCCGTTGCAGGACCTTCTCAAGATCCTGCATGTTGTTGTGTTCGTACCAGCGCACCGTGCTCCTCGAGATCTGGATGCCCTTGCGAATGGGAAAATTGACGGCGTTGTCTGCAACAATAATATCTCCACGCTTGCAGAAAGACGGGATGACACTCGATATGGTGGAGAAGGATTGCGCGTAAATGATGCAGGCTGGTACCCCCAAGTGCGCAGCGACATCTTGCTCGGTCTTCATGTGTACATCCTGGGTGCCGTAGAAACCGGGAGGACCGCAAGGCCCGACGCCGTAAGTGCGGAGGGTCTGGATGGCCTTCTCCTTGAGCGTTTCGTTTGCGACGAAGTTGTAGAAGTTCAGAGACGCGAGATTCATGACGGTGCGGCCGTTGGACAGCTTCGACTTGGGACCGGTGGGTCTGCGCGAGCGTTAGCAGTGTGTTGCGCCGGCGCGTGCAGACACGGGGCGCCATACCCTACAATCACCGGCCTCTTCTCATTGTCGAGCTCTTCGAACGCGGTGGGAGGAGCAACAAGGGGCTCGGGCGTCCAGTCTTCAACAAGTTCATCGATCTCCTATTCTAGTCAGCGCTGCTCCTCTCGCCGTGCCTGCTCGTGTGTGCAACATACCGCATCTGTCAGGTGGACCTTCTTCTGCGTGCTGTACTTGGGCGCAAGCAGGTAGCGTACCGCGAAGAGGAACAAGAACAGCTCGACTGCGCTCCGGACCGGGTCGTCCTGATAACTCGATTTGATGTAGCGCACCGCGATTGACGACCCGGGAATTCTCTCCAGATACGCATTGGCTTCGTTCAGAAACCGGACGGTCGCATTCTGTACTTCGTGGAGGTCCATGGTCGTGTCCGCGTCTCTGACTGTTGTGGCACTGCGAATGGCGAGTTGACGGTGGACCTTGGAGTTCGGGGGTTGCGGCGACACGCGGAGGAGAGCGGGCGAACGTCAGCCACTTGGACAGCCCGTCTCATTTCCCTCACGTGTTCCTGGCCAGCTGCCCGTCATCCGAATGCAAAGTAAATACTGCGGCATAGCATGCTCGCACGTTCTCGTCCACTAGAACCACCAAAATAAACACATTATCACTCAAAAGAAACAGTTGAAATTGAAATCTTCATGTATTTAAAATGTGTTGCAGTCTCTTCTAACATATTCGCCGTCCCATGAACCAAAACGATCCCATCGTAGATATGTGCAAAGTCCGCGATTCTAACGGAGTAATGGTGCCAAAAGAGAGGTTGAAGTGCATCTAGCTCCACTCAACCCCAAACAAAAACAAAGGCCAAGTCGAATATTATAATCGTTACGGGACCGACCAGGTCTCCACGCTATGCTTCCGCCCATGTTGTACAAATGCAAAATGTCAGGGCTGTTGACTTCTCCTCATCAGCCAGTTGTCACCAACTTTTAATACGCCATGTAACGACGGAAGCGGCGAGCTGCTTCTGTTGATGAGGCCGCAGCCGAATCGCTAGAATCTCCAGAGTCTTGACCCTCTTGACCACCCCGGTACCCTGGGCACGGGTTCGTGATACAAGTGCCAGTCGTGGAGGCCGACGTGTCGTTGTTGCTGTATCCTGTGGGCTGGAGAAGCTCCATGGGCAGATCGAGTGCGAGCTTGATTTGCTTGCCAGCCACAATGGGACCGACAATAAGAGCGAGGAAGACGACAAGAAGCACGAAGTACAGAATGGCGTAACGAACCACTCTGCGCTTGCGAAGCTTGGTCTGCTTCAGCGAGTAGATCGGAGGACGGATTTGACGACTGTTGTTTGTTAGCGGATGCACCATGATTGATATTGGGAGAAGACATACCTTGGTCGCAGCCAGAACAGCGCCACCGAGTGGAATGTGTCGGCATAGGGAACCAGGAGCATGGGAAGCATGAAGAAAAGCAAGACGTGTCCCAGAATGAAGTCGGCAGCGAAGAATCCGAGCTCGGTGATCTTGCAGAGGAATTCACGGCCAGGCTGGGAAAGAGTGTGCCATCCCATCGTGTACCATTTGCCGGTCCACCAGGCGATGTTAGAAGTATCAGACTTGAACTCACGGGTGAGAGCGAGCGTGATAATAAGCTTGAAGAAGAAACGCTGGATGGCGACAACGGCGATCATACCAGAAAGTGCCCTAGGGAAACTGAAGCCTTCCAAGAACATCATGACGACGAAGAAGACCAAGAGCATGATGACGGCGATGGCGTGAGCGATGGCGGCAAGAACAGCACCGAACTTCTTACAGCACATGCCGAGGAGAGGACCCGCGCAACAGGCCAAGCCGAAAAGACCCGCGAGAACACCAGCATTGACGGCAATAGGACCGAAAGCGATGACGGCGATACGGACCAGAGCACCAGAAGCTGGTGGAGTGTTTTGTCCATCGCTGAGTGTCTCCGAGTCGAACTCTGTGTTGCGGTTGGGTACACCAGTCTGCGCGTTGATGAAAAGGTAAGGGATGACAGTGACAGCTACCAAGACCAGGGGACCGAGAACCTCAGCCAGGAAGATGTTGGTGAAAGGTGCACGAGGAGCATCTCCAGAGAGCTTGGCAGATGGATCTCCAAGAGCCTTGCGCTTGTAACCAGTGATACGTGTTCGGGACAGACGGCAGTAACCGATCCAAGAGGCGCTGTGGGAACGGGTGTTTCCACGAGACAACCAGCGGAGGTATTCCCTGTAGTCGGTGAAGAAATCGTCCCAAGAGAACTGGTGAGGGTTGAAGAGGAACGGCGCGAGGCAGAGAGACAACAGGGACGCCCAGAAGTAGATGAGCCATGGACCCCAAACGGTGATCGTTGCAAAGACCAACATCATCAGGGAACGAGCTCCCAGATAAATTGAAGGTCCAGCGAAACGGGAGTAAAGGATACCGAAGGGAATGCGAGCAGTGGCGAAACCACGGCCAGTACCAATGTAACGAGCACCTCCGAAGGACAAGTTAGTCTGGAGTGAGTTTGCGTAGATCTGGATAACGAAAACCTCGAAGAAAGGCGATCCAGACGAGAAGTGCTTGGCCAGACGAGTAGCAGCGCGCCAGAAACCACGCTCAGTCAGCTCTTGGACGACAAGAGGCACGAAAGCGATGAAAAAGACGATGAAAATGGACATGATACAACGTGCGACCCAGTCAAAGACGGGAACCAAGTTGGCACAGCCGTTAGGCCATTGGGGGTCTGTGATCGGGAGGTCCTTGTCGAACTGACAGAGAATGGTCTCGTGGTTGAGCGCTCCCAAGTGGATGAGGACGAACATGAAGCTTTGCACCGACAACATAATGAACATGTTGTTGACGTGGAAACCGGGATGGGCGTAGTAGAACGACAGGAAACGATCGAGAGGCAGCTGGGTGCCCATGTAGTAGTACTCGCGAGACAACATCTGCTCACCCATACCAGTACCAATCTTGGTAGTGAAGTTGAGGACGGAACCGAAACCCAAATCACGACCCTTACCACACTGGTAGTACTCGCAGTGCTTGATGCGACCACCACGGAGGAGAGCGGTCATACCGGCGTAAATATCTTCGTTGAGATGGAGACCCTTCTGAGCCTTGGATATACCACCACGAGTTGTCATGAAGATACCATTGAGGAAATCGGGATGACCGTAATGGAGCTTACCACCAATCTGAGCCAGGGTACGGGCGAACATAGTACCGAATGTCTGTTCCTTTCCGGCGGCAACGTCACCGAGAATACCAATGTTCTCAGAGAAAATGTATTCACGGGCTCCGAGAATAGCGACGGGGTTGAAGTTGGTGTTGGGAAGACCGGGGGTGTAGGGAGAAACATTGTCGGTAGTCATCTCTTCGAACTCAGCGAGAACGCTGCGGATCTTCAGGCACTCCTCGAGGTAGTTGTCCTGATTGGCGTCGATAACCTGGATGTATTCACCACGGTAGAAGATAATAGCGTGGTTCTGGTTGTCGGACTTTCCATCACCAAGAATGGGGTTACCGGAAAGCTGAACGCGGAACTTGGGTCGACGCAGACCGTTCTCTTCCATGATCTCAGAGTGGCCATCGATCAGAGCAGAGTAGATGCGGGGCTCGTCACCCTCGTTGACAGGCGGCTCCTCGTCCAGGTAGGCAATTTGAAGATCGGGGTATGCACGGAGCAGGAACTCGGTGTTCTCGCGCTCCTCCTTAGAAAACTTGGCGTATCGCTGCATAGAAACACAGATCTTGTACTTGCGCCTCGCCATGCGTTCGAGCTCGCGCTCCAGCTTGTCCGAGTTGCCACCAAACATCTGAACAACCTCGGGGTTCTCAACACGGTAGAGAAGCTTGATCGCACGGCTGTAGTTCATGAAGCCAGAAATAGTGCGGTAGAGAGTCTGAGAGCGGAGCGAGGCCCAGATACGGGTTCGGAGGGTGTACTCGGGAGCGGCAGACTTGAAACCAATGCAGTAGAAGGGGAGATCGTCAATCTTGCTCTTAGCGGTATCCTTCTCGCCCTTCTCATCGTCTCCGTTAAACTGTGAGGTCTCGTCCGCAAGAATCTTGGTGTCCTTGACGAAGCAGTCCCATTCGTGAGGATGAAGCTGCTTGAGATACTCGAGGAGGGTAACACGAGAGTATGGCTCGTCTTCACGGATGATCTCGCGGAGCGAAAGAAGAATCTTCTCTCCGTAGTGAGGAATCATGACGGTGAATGTAGGCATGTTGTCAACAGGCAGAGGCTCGGGGATAGGCGTAGACAGAGACTGAGCGAAGAAAGAAATACGACGCTCGGCCTCGCTCTGAGCGGGGAAGAACTCGGTCTTGAATGAGTGATCTTCCTGTGAGACGAAGAAAGTAGGAGCGCGGAGAGTGCGCTTGCCTTCTTGCTCAGAAGGAACCTGGTGGTACAGCAACTTCTGGACGTGGTCGATAGCAAGGAGATGCTCGCGGTACATGGAGATGATGACAGCGTTCCAGATCTGGGAGATCAGGACCTTAGGCTTGTACTTGATCTCCATGTCTGTGGTGGCGAGGACCTTCGAGTAGATACGCTTCGGCAGACGAGAGAAAATGTTCCTCCAAGGAGTCCAGATAGAGACACCAAGGTAGAAGGATCGGGACACGGAGAACAACATGTTGGCAATGATGTACCACAGATAAGAATCCAGGAAAAAGAGAATCAAATCCATGAAGTACATGAGACCGAGCAAGATCCTGGGTTGGTACTTGCACAGAATATCTCCGAAGATGGCATCTCCAAGGCATTCAGGTTTCTTCATGTGCGACAAGATACGGATGGGGTCCTTGATCGACAAAGTCAAGAAGAAGTAGGACTCGGCGAGCTTGGCGCCAAAGACCAGAACCCAGAGGCCATAAGACATCCACTTGTCATTACCCTTGAGGCGAGGGTAGCTGGCTGTGAAGGTCTGACTGGCAACGTACTTGCGCGAGTTGCGAGTCAGATAGCTTCCAAAGAGACCACCGAGGGGCATGATCGAGAAGAAGATGTAGGTGATGAAGGCGATGGTTAGTTGAACACCACCCAACACGTTGGCGATCGTTCCCTTTGTGGAAACGAAGAAAATGTAGGCACTAGGCCCGACGTTGATTACCAAAACCACGATGAGGAACAGAAGACGCTTGGTCAAGTGCTGAGCACCAGCCCACTTGCGGGGAACGTAGATCCACTCTATGCAGGTAGCGAGGACGTTGATCAATGCGGCGACAGCTCCACCGAGCGCGACAGCGGACATAACAAGAGCCTTGTCGGGGCGGTTATCCAGTTGCTGCTCGTACTTTGGAGTGTAGAGAGGTTGAGAGTTGAAGACGGTGTAGAACCAGAAAGCTGACAAGTGGATGACCCAGATACGGTTGAAGTTAACCAGCATATGGAACCACGAGCGGCGCTCATAGTATGTCTTGAAGAAAACCTTCTTCCAGATGACGTCCTTAAGCTTTGCGTAACGATCAGCGGGAGGGAGATCGACCATGCGGGACTTGTCCTCGAACACGATGCGCTCGAGACCCTCAGGGTACCAGAACAGCTGGTTGATGTCGTCGTATCCAATGATGGAAGAGTGGTCGCGCTCACGGCGGACGTACTTGCCGTCGGCAATCTCGTAACCTTGATCACGGCAGTACTGGTACAGAGGGGTGATGATTTCGTTCAGGTATGTGAACTCCTCAATAGGTTCGGTCTGAGCTTGGCCAGCGGGAGAGTTGACGTAGTCGTCTGCGCACTTGAAGATGAAGCAGAGCAACTCAGGCATGAAACGAACCTGGTTGGCTTCACCCCAGCAGAGCAGGTAGAGGGCGACCTGGCGAACACGGTCGTGCTGCGACATGCTGTTCATCCTTGTCTTCCAGCGGTACTCGGCGGCTTCCAGACTGTTGTCGCCCTCGTAAGCCTCAAGAGTCTCGGCTTCGTTCTCAGGGTTCTCGCCAGCCTTCTTCTTTGCGGCCTTGCGGGCCTTGCGCGTCCTACGGCCGGCCTTTCCAAGGTTCATGTTGGCGAAACCGACAGCATCGTCGAGATCGAGATGAGCAGCAAAGTACCATCGGCGGTAATTGGCGTTCTCGCCACCAATGTAATCTGCGTGGAGGGAGAGGAGAGCCTGGTTGGGCGACATGCGCGATGCACGCGAGTCGAGCAAAGTCATGAGATGGTCGTACATGTTCCTCATGCTGTCACGCTGGAAACCAAACTTGGCAGTGAGGTCGAGGAAGATATCCTCAATCTCCTCTTTTGTGCAAGGGATTTGAGCCTCTGTGGTCCAAGCGGGGTAGGGTTCGCGGGAGCGCTGTCCGGCAGGAAGGGCGTTCGAGTAGTCCATGCCGTAGATGGGAGTTGAGGCACCTGAAGAGCGGTTGCCACCGTACGAGACTTGCGAGGAAGGAGGGCGGTAGCCACGCTGGCCATCGCCGCCGTTGTAGCTGTTGTACCTTTCATCGCCGCGGCCGTAGTAGTCCATGTCGGTTGCGCGGGCCATGTCGGATCTCATAGTGAAGTCGCTGAAGGTCTCAGAGTCCTCCTCGTTGTCGTTCGGGCGGCGTCTAGGCTGGCCACCCTGTGCGTTCGGGGCGTACCCATCCTGAGCACCGCCTTGGTCGTAGTACTGGTCGTTGTAGTATTCATCCTGGTAATTCTGCTGACCGTTGTGATCATCGTAATACCCGCCGTTCTGCTGAGGGTGCTGGCCGTCGTAGTAGCCCCTGCGTCTGTTAGCATTGGATGCCATTGGGGGCGGCTGGGTGGCGACACGTACTGCTCGTCATAGTAGGCGTCGTTGCCGTTCTGCTGATACTGGCCCTGCTGGCCGCGGGCATCGTCGTGGTACTGGCCGTACTGCTGGTCATCGTGGTAGTACGAGTCCTGGCCGTGCGGCTGGGCCTGGCCCTGGCCCTGATGGGCGTAGCCATCATCGTACTGGCCTCCCTGCGGATGTCCGGACATCGTGCGGGAAGATTGAGGTTGCGATGGGGAAACTGCGGTGGAGCTGTCAACAAACTGTCGTTACTGTCGCTGCGCGAGGGCGGGGCTGCATCTGAAACACGGTGTGTCGCAGGTGAGACGAGGGGGCGTGCGTACCTCAAACAATGGGCATTACAGGCGGCAATGTCAAAAAGTAGTATTAAGGGCGCCGTGTAGGTCGGGGCGGGTGCTGCGGCGAAGGCGAGCGTGGTGCGGAGAGCAAGGCAGTGGAGTCGCCGGGGGCGAGGTGAATGAGGGTGGCGGGACGGTGAGGCCCAGGATCGAAGTCGATTAGGTGCACAGCCGGTGCTGGACAGCTGGTTTCCTGGGAAGGAGGCCGGGGCGTTGTTGTGATGATCTAGCGAGGGTAGAGGCGTGCGGCTGGTGCAGTCCGTCGTGGTTGCCAGAGGAGACGCGCGGCGAGTCGGCGCTTGCTGCTCGTGGGCGAATTAGGTGGGTGGATTCGGCTCCCCTCGAAAACTGGGAAGCACCTCCGCGGACAATCAAACAGCCTCAACGCAGAACGAGCGGCAGTGTGAAAGAAGGAGAAAGGAACAGCACCGCAAAGTCGGCGAGGGAGAGGGAGCGAGCGTGAGGAATGCGAAAGAGCCGGCAAAAGGCCTTTTGAGGAGCTTCCCCTGAAAATGAGAGGCTCGCGCCAAGCTAGACTAACGCCGTGAATGGGCTGCGCATGGGTACCCTCGCAGTCTTCGCCTAGCGATTGCAGCAGACGTCGTTGCCACCTGGGATGATGCGGCCGTTCGAGATGTCAATACACAGTGTGCACGCGTGCAGCAGTTCTGGCGACGGTGCTGGTGCGCCGGCCGTGGCCTTGATATGCTGCTGCTCCTGCCCGTTGTGGCCAGCACTGCCCTCACTGAATGCACGCGAGCGTGGCGGGAATGCTGGGGAAAACAGGTTCTAAAAAAATCATCGTGTTGGGATCCCGGATCGGCCGCAGTGCACATCGATAATCGACGAGCCCGAACAAAACTCCATGTGGTTAACGGGTGCCGTTGAGACTGTCTGGCACCCCGCAGTCAGTCCACCTGGCCACCTGCTCACAGCACCGTCATTGTTCTCGCAGTGCTCGTCGCCGCCCTGGCTGCTGGCTGCTGCTGCTGGCCGCCCATCCTCATTCCACAGACTGCACTACCGGTATGCACCTCTGTCTGCACCCACTCAACGATTCGCAGTCCACGTCACGACGCGGCAGTAGCCAGCAGCCAGTGCGCCAGTAGCCAGCGAGCCAGTGCACACGGCAACTGGGCCCGCTGATGATCAAACCGAAACCAGGCTGACCGGCGCCGGGATTGGTGCTGCCAGCCTGACGGCGCGATAGCGATAGACGCTTCTGCTTATCGCCCGTGGCCAATGGCGGCGTGGCGTTGCTCCCGCTGGATCCCGGCCAACGGTGTGTCGCACGCCAGCAGGGGCTGACAGCCTGCACGATTCAGCGAACTGTTGAGGCGGCCAGCCTGCCGTCAGAGAAACCGGACGCTCCATGCGCTCCATGCCCGCCCCCTTCCGCTGCACTTGCAGTCTTGCACTTGCACTTGCACTTGCAGTCTTGCGCTTGGGTACTTGCACTAGCCCGCTTGTCACGCCTTGTCTCCGTGTGCCAGCCGCTGTCACCAAGCTCGCAGCCTCTCCTGAGTGCTGCATGCTCTGCACACTGTACATGACCCCTCGAGCATCACCGTTGCGCACATGATAAAATTGCCAACGGCAGCATGTACTGTTTAGGCAAGGGGCCTGGCCGGGAGGGCTATATTAGAGTCTCCTGTTCCCACATGCCAAATTCGCCGTCCACGGGCGCTTTACAAAGCACACTCTTTGGGATGCAGGCCTAATTTCGCTGCGGGAGCCACTGCTTGAGATCATGCTTGCGTTGATTGTCCAATCTCCTGGCCTTCGTCCGCCGTCGGTCTGTCCTGAACCCGAGTCTCTGTAGCACAGTAGCAGTAGAGGTGCCTCAAGCGCTCGGGCAGCGGCAGTTTCTATAAAGAAGAGGCAAGAGACTGTTGTCAAGCTGCCCGTTTTGCCGCACCTTGCATACATTTGGCAGTGCAGTGACATCCTATCCAACCACCATCAGGAGAGCTCTCTGCTACTAGCACCATGTGGGCACAGAGGGTGCAGCTGAGCTCATTGTGCTCCTCCTGAGTCCTCGGTATTCATCGTCGCCCAGTAGTGCAGTGCATACGCTGTACGCGGTTGCAAGGCGAGAAGAGCCAGTAGCTCAATAACTAACACTCCTCCAATACGGAGCACCATTGGTCGCCTCGCTGCTCCGCCACATCCCGTTTCAGCTGTATGCATGCCAGGTACCAGTGTGTTGCCTCCGTGGGTCGGTGGCCGTGTACTACCCAAACGAGACCGGCAGCAGAACACATCTGTCAAAAACATCGCACGCATCCCGAGCGTGGCGTCGCAACAGCGCTGCCTCTTGTATCAGTTCTGACAGCGCGTGACGCTGCAGCCTCATGTCAAAATTAGCATCATCGATCTGCAAGTGCTGCTGTGGGGCGCGGCGGCGGCCAGTGGGGTTGCAGAAAATTGCGCATACGCGTCGCTGTACCTGCGTCTCAAGCGCGGCGTCGCTCGCTGGCGTCTGTTTTCTTTGCAGAGCTCTTGCAACGCCTGGATATGCTGCGCGCACAACAGCCTGCTAGAACAGCGTCATTGCGCTTCTAGAATTCCGAGACGCAATTAGCAGGCGATCCGGGTGGAGCGCAGCGGGACTCGGGTCAGGAATCCAACTTTATGAAACTGGCCGTATGAAACTGGCCTAGCCTCAGGGGTCGCCTTCGACTTTGCTGATCGGGCTTGGGGAAGCTTGGTCGACCTCTCACTTCTTCACTCAGGCTGCTTCAGTGCTGTTTCCACTGTGCATTTGCTGTTTTACTAGTCACTCTTTACACTCATTCTTATAGCCATTCTTGCAGCCAGCGCCGTTTGCTGTTGCGTCACACTCTTTCACCCCGTTCTGTGCTTTCAAACACTATATTAGACGCGCCGCGACCTCAAGTGCTCGGCGCCTCAACCCAAGCTCTGCCAACACTCGCGACGTTTCTTGGATCTTATTTTCGGACGAATTAACATCACTATGCGGGGCCTCATTGCTGCGACCGCGCTGCTCGCCGGTGTACAAGCCGCCGTTGACCCTATTGTCATCAAGGTACGCCGTTCCACGACAGCGGCAGGCGTTATGCACGTCGCTAACTGCAACGCAGGGCTCCAAGTTCTTCTTCAAGAGCAATGGCACCCAGTTTTTCATGAAGGGTGTTGCTTACCAGCAGGAAGTCAACTCCAACACCACTGCCTCCGATGCTGAGGATCTCAACATCACCGACCCGCTCGCTGACAGCACCTCATGCAAGCGCGACATCGAGTACCTGAAGAAGCTCAAGACCAACACCATCCGTGTCTACGCCATTGACCCTGAGAAGGACCACAAGGACTGCATGAACGCGCTGGCCGATGCTGGTATCTATGTTGTCGCTGATCTGTCGGAGCCCGGCAACTCCATCAACCGTGACGATGCCCAGTGGACCACCACCCTGTACTCCCGCTACACCAGCGTCATCGATGAGCTGATGAAGTACGACAACACCCTCGGTTTCTTCGCCGGTAACGAGGTTTCCAACCAGCCCAACAACACTCTCGCTTCTGCTTTCGTCAAGGCTGCTGTCCGTGACAGCAAGGCTTACATCAAGAGCAAGAACTACCGTGAAGTTGGTGTTGGTTACGCCACCAACGACGATGCTGATATCCGTGAGAACCTCGCCAACTACTTCGACTGCGGTAACAGCGAGGATGCTATCGACTTCTGGGGCTACAACATCTACTCGTGGTGCGGTGACTCTTCGTTCGAGAAGTCCGGCTTCGATGTCCGCACTAAGGAGTTCGAGAAGTACAACGTCCCCGTCTTCTTCGCCGAGTACGGTTGCAACACCCCTCGCCCTCGTCTTTTCACCGAGGTCGGCACTCTCTACAGCGACAAGATGACTGATGTCTGGTCCGGCGGTATCGTCTACATGTACTTCGAGGAGGCCAACGAGTACGGTCTTGCTACCGTCAAGGACGGCAAGGTCACCACCAACAAGGACTTCGACAACCTCGCCAAGCAGATCGCCAAGGTCAACCCCACCGGCGTCAAGATGTCCGACTACACGCCCGCTAACACCGCCGCTGCCACCTGCCCCAAGGTCGCCAATGGCAAGTGGGAGGCCGAGTCCGACCCTCTCCCCCCTACCGCCAACTCCCAGCTCTGCTCCTGCATGATGGAGACACTCAGCTGCACCGTCGCCGACAAGACCACCGAGAAGGACTTTGGCGACATGTTCGGCTACGTCTGCGGCCTCAAGGACGGCGAGTACTGCGCCGGCATCAACCGCAACGTGACCGCCGGCCCCTACGGCGCGTACGGCATGTGCTCCGCCGAGCAGCAGCTCTCCTTCGCCCTCAACGCCTACTCCAAGGCCGTCTCCGGCGGCTGCAGCTTCAAGGGCAAGGCCACCACCAAGCAGGCCACCGCCTCCCCCACCGCCTCCGGCTGCCCCAGTCTCCTCAAGGAGGCCGGCGTCTCTGGCACTGGCTCCGTGACCTCCGCTCCCCAGACCTCCGGTGGCTCTGGCTCCGGCTCCGGCGCCAACTCCACCGGCGCTGCCTCTGGCCTGGCCGTCCCCGCGCTCGGCATGGGCATTGGCCTGTACCTGATCGGCGCTGTTGCGTCCGGCATGGCCATTGTGCTCTTGTAGAGTGTCTAGCTGAGACAGCTGCTGCTGCTGTTGCAGAAAATGGTTTCTTTGTTCTTTTGCATTGCTTGCGATAGAGTGAGTCGAGACGGTGAATATTCCCCTTTGTTGTTAGTGAGCGAGCCGGTGGCACGAGGCCGTGGACAATCCACGAGCCGGTGTAGAGTAATTTTCCTTCCATTGTATACAGAAACGAAGATATAAACATTGCATAACGCTGTCGTCCCTGGTTCTGATTCATAACGCTGTCGTCCTTGTGATTGCCATGTGTGCTGTGCAGTGCGCTGTGTAGCTTGTCTCTCGTGCCAGACCTCGCGCTGTCGCATTCCCATCCCCGTAACCCCAAGCTTCACGCATATCCTAACACCACAATCCCGCTCCCTTCCAACTCATCCCCTCCGCCCGCTAGTCCGCCAGCCCGCCAGCCCGCCAGGCCCCCTCGTCCGCACCCCTGCCGCCGAGCAAAGTAAGACGGGGCTGTGCAACGCGCTACCACGGGCCCGCATACACGACGTCTCCTTTCGGCGACCGAGTAAATCGCGCGTTGGAAGCAGGTACTAGGTATCTAGGTACGTAGACTCTGGAGTCTTCGGGTCAGAATCGTAAGATGTGGAGATGAGGGGCACCGGGGGCAGTATTGGGGTTGGGATTGGAATTGGAAGTGATGTTGAACTTGGGGGCGGTGTGTTTGCAGGGGTTCAAGTCCTAGGCTGGTTGGAGAACAGGTTGTGCGTTGTTGGGCACTCTGGTCTGTGGTGTTGTTGGGAGGGAAGGTTTGCAGATGGTAAGGGTTGCGGGTGCGGGATCACGCGCTGCGTTTGCGGTATGGCAGTTCAAGGTTTGGAAAGATTGCGAATCCGTACAAGATCGCTCGCTGCGTTTGGCGGTATGCCGACTGAAAGCTTGTTAGGATTGCGACTTCGTTGTTGCACACAGATACCTTTGCTCGTGATGATGAACCAAAAACGTGCATATTCGATCCAGAAATCTATAATCTAGTACCGCTCAATCAGCCACTCTCTCCGCTTCGCCTCGTCCATCTTGTCTAACATCTCCTGCTCGTAATCTTTCATCGTTAGATAGTCTCGCACCAGCCCTGACCCCAATGCCTCCTTCAGCTGCCCATCGGCTCTCAGTGCGGAGTACGCTTCATCGAAAGACTTGGGCATCTTCCGCGTAATCCCATACCTCGCTCTGCCCTCGTCGTCGAGCGTCGAAGGGTTGACAGGGAGATCCATCTCCTTGTACGCCGCCTCAGACCCCGACTGCCTCAGCCGGTCCTCCCCCTCTGCCAACCCCACACCACCATGCTCAGCCGCCCCAGGTCCAGCCTGATCATACACCGGACCAGGCACTGGCGGCGCTGCAGACACCGAAGACAAGCCCAACATGCCCGCCGCAACAACCCCCGCAATCACAAAGTACATATTCGCCAGCCCGTCCAGACACCGCACTTCCCAGCGCCCCTCCTCAACCCGCCGCAGCGGACACTCGCGGTTTTGCGTGCCCCACGCAACCCACGACCCGCCGGACCACTGATCATCCGCCACGCGCCCGTAGCTCTGCGCATCCGGCATCGTAAACGCACACAGCGCGGGAAGATGCTTCAGCACACCGCCAACGAAGAAGTCCTTGTCGCGCGCGGGCGGCTGCAGCGAGATATGTGCGTGGGCGGCAGAGCCCGCGCCTTTGGCGCCGAACGGCTTGGGGTGCAGTGTTGCGCGGGCGCCGTGGAGGGCGGCGATTTGCGCGATGACTTGGCGGGTCTGGAGGAGCGTGTCGATGGCGAGGAGGGGGGGCGCGGGCGGCAGGATGAATTCGTACTGGCCGGGCCCGGATTCGGCGTGGAATTGCTGCAGGTCGATGCCCATGGTTGCGAGAGACGTAGCGATTTCGCCGAGCATGGTCGTTTGAAGCCATTGCGTAGGAGTCAGGGTGGACCATGCATGGACATCGGTGACTGGCGCGTAAGTGCTCTGTTTTTGCTCTGAGTTGAACGGATTGATAGGTTTGTCGTGGGAGAGGAAGGTAACCTCGATCTCGAATCCAACCTGAAGAGTGGTGTTATATTTCTCTTGAAGCTCCCTTACGAGGGAATCGAGATTGTTGCGAGGGCAAGAGGGTAGCGGTCGGCCATCTTCAGAGCGCCAGTAGCTCATCACTGTTGCCGCCTTCAGAGGGTCCTTGTCGTGCGCTCGACACAAGGAACGCAGATCCGGTTCGACATAGATTTGTCCTGTAGTGTTGACAACAGGTGTTAGGGCATCATTTTGCAATGTCCCTGTGTTACCTTGAGCGATGCCAATACGCTGGCCTTCATAAATGATACGGGTAAACTCCTTGATAGGCAGGACACGTACTCGCATCGTCGCCATGTAGTCGAGCCACTGCACATACACAAAATTGACACTCGGATTTTGTCTTCTGAAGTCGTCGAAAAGAGCGACATCGTACAGCTGGGAAAACCCTGGCGGTGGACCAGGAGGGGGTTCGTATGGGCTAGCAGATCGCTGGCCAGGTGAGATCTGAGAGTCTGAACGAGACGCGGTACTCCTTCGTGGCGGAGATGGCATGGGAATAGGAGTGATAGGAGGCTGTATTTGTGACTGTGGTCGCGGCTGTGGTTCCTCGACACTCTTTGGATTGAATGTCAGCTGCTTGGGCGGCTCTGGTGGTATATCTGTGAACAGAGCCTCGTAGCGTAATTTATACAGCGCGTTCGAGTTGTTGAACAGGATATCTCTGGTCATACCAATAGCTTGGTTGGTAGTCAGGTCGGTCTTCTCGACGTACTCGATGAGTAGCTATAGTCAAGGTTTAGTGCGATGTGTCAAAGACAGGATACACCAACATACCTCCAGCCACACCTCTCTAAACTGCTTGTTGGCCAGCCAAAATGTCTCCGGAAACCAGTGCCCATCACTTGAATAGAGGAGCTTACTACCCGGCACCAATTCTAGAGCTTGACGCAGGATAGCTTTCTGTCCGTCTCGACTGACCATGGGGAAGACTTCGCCAATGTCTAGGTAGACATGCTTATACACCGTCGCAAGGTATCCAGCTTCACGGGTATACGGATAAGCAGAGTGAAGGATGACGAACGGCACATTCGGATAATTCTCGATGAGGGGTTGGAGGAACGCTGGATTCGACAAGCTCAGATCAATGTCATTGTCGCCGAGTCCAGTGTGTAACTGGAGAGGCTTCGAGAAGTCGTCCGAGCGTCCCACATGATCCGACAAGATCTCGAGGGTCCTCAAAACGAGATAGTCGTTGAGGGCCTTCCGCTCGATCCTGAAGCTGCGCTTGCGGACGCAGCTCTTGACGTAGCGCTCGAATGGATACCCGACTGCTTTCGCAGCGCGCTCATAGTCCTCCTCGACATCGAGTCCGGTCCTGTAGCAGATGACGCTTTTGAATCCGACGACTTCCCGATCGTCGATGGAGTCTTGGATCTTACGTTCGAAATCGTCCATAAAAGTAGTCCAGGTCTTGGTATAGAAATGTGCTTTCCCAAGATCATCCTCGTCTGAGTCTTTGACGATGTCCTCCATTAATCGCTCGGCAACAGTTTCGATACGTACAATACGCTTGCTCGGTGCATCTGTGTACCGGTCATGCCAGTCGTACGGGTGGACCTTTCCAGGTTCCGCGAGGCCGTCATCAATGAGGAGGGCGGTAACACCTTCAAAGCAACGCTGGTTGAGACGTTCATGGTCAGAGTGGAGCCATTCCTCTCTTTGCTCGAGTATTTCTGTCCAGCTGGCGTTTTCATCCAGCTGGTACAGCTCACGCAGCTGTCTTGCTGCTCTGAGATGGGCGAGCGATTTGAATGTATCTCGTAGAGCTCGACCCTGAGCTTCCGAAGTGATGGTCTCGAATGGAATGGTATCCGCGTGTGTTGGCAGAATGAGGTTGTGGGCATGATTGTCGATTATGGGAAAGTGGAGTGCGACATGGCGCAGTTGCTCGATGGAGTAAGTTGGCGAGTTACTCGGCTCCATTTCTCTCGTAGTCCGTCCTCTGCAACGGCGTGTTCAGCCACTTTCGTGTACTGCTTAGTCCTACGATGCTTGTGGATAATCACTAAAATTGTGGGATCAGTCTGGTTGCTGACCGATGACGTCGCTCTGGAAGGCCGTGTGTGCTATTCGACTGCTGTGCAGTGTTATTTTCCTGCGCAAGCCCGTCACGAACAAACTAGATTGCATCACCTGAGCCTACTTGATCGCAAACTGGCGGGACAGGTGGGGTCTTCCAATCACGGTTGGGTCGGAGGGGGAGGAACTGGTGGTGTTCAATGCCTAACTACCTACAGTTAGACAGCTTCACACTTTCGTCAGCCAAACATGATCGAGCAGACGTGTGTGACTTATGTGTTCATTCGTATCTGGAAAGGGTATATCGCTACAAAATCACCAGGCTTGTTCCACAGCCGTAATTTTATCATTCCTCATATCAGGCCCAGTCTTTTCATGGTCCCCACGTGCGCGTGGTCATGCTTGCTCCCACCGACACTTACATAGACCCGCTTAGCACGACCGATGAGATCCCCTCGCCACACGAAGAAGCGCTTCTCTACTTGCGCAGCCACTTCGTTTCCTTCGACTCGCGCCACGAGATGGCATACCCAGATCAAGCGTCTGGCACTGACAAATCGATTCTCTAACAGAGGCCGAGTGATCGAAGAGTGTACAACCGCCTTGGTGAAGAGAGGGCCGATTGGAAGGGAGTTCGATAGCAGGAATTTGTACAGGTAGTAGATGGAACGCCACACTTCGCGATGAGAACGAGTTGTATCTTGAGCATAATGGTGGGCAAGTTGATGTACCAATGCGACGCGCTCCATCAGAGATATATCGGCAGTGAGGTCGCGATAGACGATGGGAAGCGCGTGATTATCTCTGGCGTGAACTAACACGTTGTTGAACTGACGGGTTCCTGACAGAGTAGCGACCTCTTTCGTCCTTGCCGGCAACGCGCAGCCCATACGGCTGAGGACATGGAGCAGCTTCTCGCAAGCCTGTAAGGCAAAAGCCCGCTTCTGTATCTGGCTCTCTGCGAGTTTTGCTGTCGAGGTGTGGAGTACAGCAATCCTGTCCGCAATGAACGAATCGAAATTCATTTGGGTAGACAGCGGAAGCTTCTGTTTGTTCATTGTCTGAAGGCAGCACAGGAGAACGTGCAATCCAGCATGCTTAGCAATAAGTGGCAATGCCAGGTTCAGAAATGCAGTATACTGCTCAGGTTGTGCTTGCATCTGAAGCAGGACGTCTGCAAAGAGTGTTTGAACACGGCGCGGTTCATTGGCCGGTGACAGCATTTGCCCATCAAGGTGTTGATGCAAGAGCAAGGCTTTGACGAAATATTCTGCTGGAACCATGGGTTTCGTGTCGTGATGATACATCGCCTTTGCAAGTGATACCAAGACGGCGTTGAGCAGGGCGTTATCAGTGTTCGCCTTGATATCTACTTGGTGGAGCAGTCGAAACCATTTCTCCAAGCGATATGTATTCAATGAATCAGCAGAGTAATGCTTGCCTCTGGTCGGGTTTACAAGGCGCGAGGTGATGTCGGGTACCAGCGCAAGCAACTGCTGGCGTGGCATGTAAAACAACGCACGCTCTGCACTTGCAAAACTCCCATCTTCATCAGCAGCGCTATCGACCGTTGAGAGAATGACACCTCGGACCTTAGCTGGCTGAGCGAAGTGCGACAGCAATATTTTGTTCTCGACACTTTCGCTCAACTTCAATGCCAGTGCGTTCAGCAACATCGTAGTCGCGGCGGCCACTTCTTTTGAATCGGTGTGCGGAACCTGAAGCCCAGTGTGTTCGATAAGACGCAGCAACATGATATCGTGAGCTTCTGTGGATGATCGCCTGAATTCTCCAGCCATTTCCGCTATGATTCGAAAGATACGACGGCCTGAGGCTCGCTTTGAGGTCAGGTCCAGACAATCCATGAACTCTGCACATTCATTTATGGACTGGAGTGGGTTGACTATGCGAAGTAACCGCCCGTCTTGCCGCAACAGACACTTCAGTACGGGGTCGGCATTGCATCCCGTTTGGCGCACATATTGGAGTACGGCAGTGTAGTATTTCCATAGGAATGGCGTAGCTGGCAAGTGTTGCTCGAAAGCTTCCCTCATTGAGAGACCGTGAAGACCGCCCTGCGGGGCTACGAAGGTAGCCTTGAAGCCCTCCAGACATTGTTCCAAATCATCTGCAACTGAGGTATGCCCATTGGCTTGCGCGTTCGATAGGCTTTGACTGACAGGTTCGAAATCGATAGAGTCTTCATGCGTTTCTGCGGGGGTTCGGAATTGATGTGCGAGGGACAATGGTACGCCGTGCTCGATTGAGCTCACATCAGTAGGTCGTACTTCATCGGACTGGTCATTTACCCCAATTGGAGGGGCTGCGATGTATCAGCATGTTACTTTCTCCCCCAGTAGTACTCGCACAACATACGTATATTCCATAGCGGCGCATCCGTCGGTAGAGATGGCGGTTCGTATCTCCAAGAATGCTGGGGCTTCGAGCGGTAGCCAAACAGCGCTCCAAGGGTGAAAGAAGCCGGGAAGCTCTCCTGTGGGCTGTAGCCAGCTGAAGCTGTCATACGCCGCTTTGCAGCCCTCTTCCTGGCCTCCAATGGCCCAGGGACGCTGCTGCCATGGCGCTTTTGTTGCGGACAGGTGCGGTGGAAAAATCGATTGACGGCCAGCGACAGGACTTCGTCAGGAACCCAGATGTGCTGCGAGGCAGGCGCTTGGAGCGATTGCACTGCTCGCTGGCAGGCAATGGGCGGACGTCGCATCAAGCGCAATACTGGTCATGAGAGCCTCCCATCCCAGCTGCAGTGAGCGTCAGTCGCGTTGCATTGGGACGCGCTAGTGGTACACTGGTCACGTGCGAGGTGCTTGTTGATTATCTAATCGTGTGATTGGCAGGCTTCGAGCTGTCCATCAACCTTGCTCGGGACCCAGCGTACATACTTGGTAATAATTGCGGTCACAAGCAGGGTAGCAGTAGCCAGTGCATGCTGCAGCGTTGTACGTGATCTCTCGACTGCGCAGTGCCACGCAGTCTAAATGATTCAGGGAACTGAAGTCCGAATGATTAAGGGAACACTTTGCCGTAGTTACACGTATATCTCAAGCATTCCAGTGACACCTGCCACGGTTTCTAGAAGCGAACGAATCCATGGCATTATGCACGCTGCACAGGCGGCAAATGTGCGCAAGCGGCCACGGTGGTGCACAGTCGCAGCATTGTACTTATGGCTGGAGAACGGCGTCAGGAGGCGTTGCGGCTGTCTTCAGGAGCAGTTCGGAGGCGCGTGTTCCAAGGCCGAGTATTTATGGCAGCCGACCCACCGCTCACCGGTGCATTTGGACGGTTTGGACAATGTGGACTATTTGAACTATTTGGTTCGCAGGCGCAATCTATCGATTCGCGCAGCATGTGGACGGCGACGCGTCCATCGCAGACGCGGATCAGTGTCCACAGGCGGTCCTGGGTGCTCTTACGCAGCAGCGACTCCATCGCGGAGAACAGTCTCGACCGCCCACTATGCCGCGATGGAGCGACGCTGCAGTGTGCACAAAAACTGCTGGACTGGCAACGTCAGCTGCGGCGGCCGTTAAAAGCAAGCGCTCGCGCTGTGCAGGGGGCCGCGCGGTTGGCCGAGCGTCCAGGACGGCCGGCTTGGACGTGGATGTGGCTTGCAGCGTGAAACGAATTGGCAGCAGGTGTGGAATCGGCGGGAGGTAGCTCCTGCACCACTGCAAGGGACGGGCCAATGGGCGCGCGACAGCAGCAGCAGCAGCCAGGAACCGTGGCGTAGCGCACCGCAGTCGTGCGGTGACGGGCACAACAGCGCGGCGCCGAGCACGCAGCGAGGGCGCTCTTTGTCGTTGTGCGCACAATGGGCGCTGCAGCGCGGCAGCACCAGGGCACAAGGACAGAGAGTCACGCAGCGAGCCACAGAGCACCGCGCACGCAGGGCTGCCAGGGCTGCAGGCTGGCTAGGCACAGAGCAGTCAATCCCCGGTGGGCGGCCCAACAAGGCCAACGGGCCTGCGTGTCCGGCAGCCCGGCCTATCGTGCGCGCCAGGCCGCTTCGGGCGCCCTCTCCTCGTTCCCCCTTCACGGCGGCCCACATCACCGCACGTCCAAGCCTCCTCGCTCCTCTCACCCACCCAAGTCAGTCCTTGTCACCTGCTGCTCGCCATCACACTCGTTTCTGCTCTGTCGTTTGCCCATCACTGCCACTAACTCCAGCGAGCGGCCATCCCTTCCTTTGCCGTCGACGAAATCAAGGGGTAAATCCGAAACTTCATTCCGGGCCTCACTGTCCGCGACCCAACACGCTGCGTTTCGAATCTGGCAGTCGAGGGCATCGTTGAGCGAGTCCACTGCACCGCAGCTGTCAACCGCAGTCCCAAACAACCCACTCTACCCCATACCCGCCCAGCACCCAGCACCCAGCACCGCTGCCATCCACCCGCATCGAGCCGCCTGCGCAGCCAGTGACCACCGCCACTGACCACCGCCATCCGGACGGAGGACAGCCATCCACGCGGCCACACCACCCTCGCGTGCCTGCCTGACGCTCACGTCCCGCCACGTACATCGCAATCTGCACGAGCGACGCTCAGCGCAACACCAAACTCTTCCTGCACCGCCGCCACCCCGACAACACGCCCACAATGGTCTCCTTCTCCTTCACATCTGCTCTTGCAGCCGCAGCCATGCTGATGGTGGCCTCTGCCCAGTCGTCCGACGACTTCTGGAGCACCGTCACAACGCCCTCGGCCATCGCGTCGCCCACCACCACCCTCCCCGCCAGCGCCATGTCGACGATCGGCTGCTTCGAGACGGGCACACCGCTGTCCAACTACGGATTCTATAAATATCAGAGTCCCGGCAACTGCCAGCTGGTCTGCATCGAAAATGGAAAGAACGTGCTTGGCCTCGCAAACGGCGTCGACTGCTGGTGCGGTGACAAGATCCCGGCAAAGGATTGGCAGGTCGACAACTCCACATGCTCCACAACGTGCGGAGGAACTGATAAGGAACTCTGTATGTGACTTGCTGCGCATCAACATCGTGACTTTTAGCTGATACTTAACAGGTGGTGGAGCCAACAAACTCTGGGTCATGCTTACCGGCAACACTCGCAACCAGGTCGAATACTATGATATCCCGGTGGAATCCTCGTCATCTTCAAAGAAGTCGTCGTCGTCTACAGCAGCAGCTACCTCAACAAGCGCTGCTGCCATTGTCTCCGCCACGCCGTCGGCCAGTGCCACTAGCGCTCCAAGCAGCTCGCCCAACACAGCCGGTATCGCCGCAGGTGTCGTCGTCGGCGTAGTCGGTCTTGCTGCTATTATTGGCGGTGTCTGGTTCTTCCTGCGCCGAAGGCGCCAGCACCAGGCAGAGGAGGACTACCGCCGCAACGCAGCCGGCGTGAACGACTTCATCAACGGAGGCAAGACTAGCGCTTCGTCCGTCAACGACTCGCGCATCGACCCCAGCTTCATGGACCGGAGGCAGAGCAATGGCAGTATCGCTGATAACGAGGATTACTCGAGGAGGATATTGAAGGTACGTCGTGATGTCGATGGCGCAAAATAGACCGCAAACTAACGCACGCTTAGGTCACCAATGTATGAGCGCGAACCAAATGACGAGGGCTCCTGGCAGCCTCATCCCGTCAACTTCATTCCGCCAGTACGCATCTCCTTTCACGACCGAATTGGAGTTCTTTTGATGAATACCTCAATACCCCGATACCACCTCGCTAATCCACCTTCTCTTATGTCTCGCATTTGCGGTGCGCGACCACGCTTGACGACGAGAGTAAGAAACCATTCTGCGTTTGAGCCCCTGTGAGGGGCGTTGTCCGTCCCCTAGGAGCAACTGAATACCAACATTTGCCGGGGCCTTTCCTCTGTTATATATCTCCGAAGCTTTTCCGATCACAGCTGGCGTCTTGGGAGTTAGATATGGTCAATCAAATGGGCGATACAGATTTTAGCGGTATCACGATTTGTACCTTTTTCCATTCTCATACATCACGGGTAGCAGTTTTGTCCATGACATTCTCCGTGCTCTTCCCTCTATCCCCACCCGGCGACCCGCCATCTTCTTGAGTTGTCCATTTCAATATAGTGTCTCTTCTTCTCCTCCCTCTCCTCCCCTCCAACACCTCAAAAGTCCATACCTCATCCTGTAGCGTTTGTAGCGTCAATGAAGTGCTCAACACAACATGCAGCCGTCTGCAGCCGTCTCTCCACCTTTACTGCATCATCTCTGACGTAAAATTCTTACTCTAAGATGCCATCTAACGCACGCCAGCAGCCACAGCTCCACACTCTGAACCCTCTCCCAGCTCCAACCCAAGCCGAACCTGACCGGAGAGTGCAAGAAGCGACCCACGTGGCTGGAATTACGATCAGCAGCACCGTGGCTGCGGGCAGCATAAGATCCGCAGCATCCATGACACGCCTCAAACGGCACCTGCAGCTCGCACAAGACGAGCCATCTCACACGCGACACCTCACCCAAGCCCTCTCACACAGCACCTCGCACAAACCCTCCCCCAGCACCCTGCCCGCGAAAACCCTGCGCAGCCGAGCCGTTACCAGTGCCGGCAACCCGGGCAACACGCGCCTGTGCGTCTTGTCGGGGGACGGGGGCGTGTTTCGTGGCGAAGATCGCCGCGGTGCTTTTTTGCGCGACGGGGTGTGGCTGGGTGCGCGTGTCGGGGGCTCCGAAATGAGGATTTGCGAGGGGGTGAGGCGCAGCTGCGCAGGGGCTTTGTGTGGACTATGTATGTTATGTACCCATCACTTGACTGTGCTGTGTAGCCGCAACAAAGTCTACGTGGTTCGTGGGGTCGCTGGTGGTGTAGACGAGGCTGGGCGAAGTGATGTACAAATGCAATGACGGGGTACACGCACTGCGATTGGTATATTCTGTGGGTCGGTAGGAACCCTGTGGGTCGGCGCTGTGGGCTGTGGTCACGGGTAAGGTGCGTTGCGGAATTGTGGACGGAGGATGGTGGGTGGACATGGTTAAGCTTTTGGCCAGAAGGTGACGCATCAAAGCAGTGACAGCATTCTCGGTAATCGTCGAGATCGATGGGTACGTCAACCGGCTGTGCTGTGTGTGGATTTTGTGCGAAGAACGAGTTTTACCCGAACAACCTCAGGAAACGAGTTACATACATAGTATCGCTGTACACTGCAACTCGGAAGACACTCGGTATTCTGTCTGGACTTTCGCCAGCAGTGCTTTTGCTCCCGGGTTGTAGATCACCGATCGTGGTGCTGTCTCGTAACTTGAAGCATCATCTGCATCCTTCGGCGAACTGGTCTATTACATGATATTTCCCCGCGCCCTCTGAGACATGCCATCTGCTTGGGTGACCGCATTGACTGGCCTAGAAGCGACGATGCCCTATGGGTAGATTCTCGCACACGGGGATTGCCACGACAGCCAAGGCGGAGTTGGCAAGAACAGCGGTGAGTATGAGTTCTGGCACGATCAGCGATCACGATTGGATGCGGTTTGCGGTAAATGTTAGTCTCGAGTCTGCTGTACACTAGGTATACAACTGTGTGTAGGACGAGCAAGGATGGAGCATTAATAGGTTCTTAAACAGATAGAATCATTGTATTACTTGTGAACCCTCCGCTTTCGGCCATTGATCACTCCCTCGAACGACGGCATTCGAGCATGGGCATTAGAATTATAGGCCTGTTTCTCGGCTCGCGCCGTAAGCTGCCGCCAAAGCTCGCCGATACCGACGCGTTCCGCCGGGAGCATGCTGTATTGCAGGCTATACAAATTCCTCCGATGAATAGGAGGCACGAACTGACCTGACGCAAGACTCAGAAACACGCTTGGCGATAAGTAGTGCTTCCGAATGCGGGTGCCGAGTTCGAAATATGACTGGAACATAGCACCGAGGGAAAGAGGCACGGACTGTCATTACTCTTTAGTAGTAGTACATGACAATGGTTGTCCGGTTCTAGCATACCTTGAGATGTATGTAGGCGGTTGCTACTGAGTTCAAGCCGTCTTGTGGATTGAGCTTGCCATGCTGTGGATCGTGTAAATCGAAGCAGATACCCCCCGTAGGGCCGTTAGCGTTGCTGGATACGAACACTGAATATATTAACATACCTGGTAGGCGCCGCGAGTCCTTGAGCCTAAGCATTACCGCGAAAAGAGGGAAATGATTCAGACATGCTAAGCCAATCTCAAGCCCAGCTTTAAGTGCAATCACAGCCACTCTTGCGCTCGCGAAGGTCAAGTAGAACACAAAGATCGTTGGCAGCAGAAAGAACTGCAGCGTGAACAGTATCGTGCCCAGAAGGAGCTGGTCGAGGTCATAGTCGCAAGAGTCGATTCGATTCCGAAGTATGTTGCGCTTTTTACCGCGGAAGAGATGGAAGAGCGAGATGATGATGGTCAGCTGCCAGTGGAAGATGCGGGCAGATGCGATGTAGAATGAGTATATGTGCAGGGTGAGCAAAGAGACGATATCTGAGAAGAGGGAGATGGGCATCGTGGCACCAGCGAACGCCGACAAGCCTATCACTTGGATAAGAGCTGGCAGCTGAGGTCGTAGTAAGGACATAACCCCTACATTAGTCAGCTTTATTCGAGTACCATATACGAGACGAGGAACCTACCAGACCAGTATTCGATGACCCAGAGGAACAGGTCACCCAGAAACGCTGCTAGCTCAGTATTGAGCTTCAGACCTCCTGGCGGCGGCCATCCCGTGAGCCAGGAGATCATACGGCGTAAACCCTCGATCGACCAAGTACTAAAAATAGTATCGATCTGAGCAGCAACAGAGGAGGAGTTTTCGATGATATAAGAGCCGAGAGCAATACCCATGATGACATCGTTGGCCACGAGCCACAGGCTGTTGTAGAAGCGTATGTACTCTGGGTGACTGTTCGTGATACTTCCCCAGCTAGCCTTCCTCTTACGCAGCGTGAGATATTGGATCGGCCAGTAGCAGAATTGCTGCAATCGTATGTCGATTTGCTGGGCAGTTGCAGAGATGTCTTTCAAAGCAGGTGCGTCAGGCTTCATTCGCCAATCCAAGACCCGCAGTATGTACTCGGCCGTTATGCGTTGAGCCATCAATCCACAGATGAAGAACTGTGCAGCTATAGGCCACACCCAGACTGTCAATAGATACCACAGGCACTCATACATGTAATCCCACAGGTTGTTCGCTGACTCCACTACTCGCTCGCTGACGCTCAATGCGCGTTTCATGCGCCTGCCAATCATGCCAATGTTCTGCTGTATCAGTGAGTCTAGCTCGGAAGAACAATTGACTTGCTCAATAAGGGTAGGCAATGCAGCTTCCTTGCGTGTGCGTGGGTGAGCGACCACTTTGTGCAGCTTCAACTTCTCGACGAGCATGGCCTTTTTCTTCATCCGCTTTTCCTCATCCGCCTCGTGCTGTGCGATTGCCGTGTCCCAACGCTCGCTGATTCGCTTATCTCCAAGGGCGAGTGCGATCGGTGTCAACGAAAGGTATTGCATGCGTATCGGGTCTGGTCGATCGTAGACGACGACCTGTATAGTCGAGAAAACATCGGAGCAGCAGTGCCATCGCGGCAGGCGGCTTGCAGGGTCGGTATAGGCAGTGAGGAAGTTCTCGTTGAAGTAGCTGGGTGGGGACTTCGGATTGACATCGCCCAGGACACATAGAGAGGAGTGTCCACATCGCGAGAACAGCTCCTTGATGTCATGAGGGCTGTATCGTAATAGCGTCCCTACTACCAGAGCGTTTTCAACTTGACGAGGCTAATTGACGTGAGCTGATCATGCTGCTGGCGTGGCACAGTCCATACGTACCTCGACTTCTTGTAGTACAGACACCACAAAGATGTCTAGCTGCGAGTTCCTAAATCCCACCAGGACACCTGGAAGCGAGTCTGTCGGCGCGTCTGATGGCCAGAATATGCGCATCAACCCATTATGTGCGACCATATCACCATCCTGCTGCCCCGCTAGAAGGACCCTCGACGCTTAAGCTGCTCGCGCGCGGATATACCACCGGCGCCGACCCGTGGGTGCTTTGACAGTCAGTCTTCATCTAATCGCAGTTCACGTAGGCTGCACCGACAAGATCTGTCTCCTCGGTCGCAAGGCGCGCAAAAGGCAGCACAAGCAGAAAGAAGAACAACGACAGGATCGCAAAGCCTTTCGTGACTCTGGCGACAACGCCGTGGTCCCAAGCAAAGATTGCTAGCTCGTAGAGGCGAGTAGTGAGGTCCCAGCGGGCAGTCGAGTATCCTGCTACGAAGATACCGAGCGTGACAATGGAGAATGCGTGCATCTACAGCGTCATGCCAAGCAAGGGTATTGCGGATGTTTGAACGTTGACTGCGTTACGAAGGCGCCTTCGCGTGTTGGTCAGCTTGATTAGAGACACGTGCTGCGGAACGCGGGTGTAGAAAGGGGTGGCGCATTGTTTAGTAGATAGCGCCGTCAATATCACAAGCAACGAGGTGTTGATGGAAGGCGCCCAGCTTCGGCCAATCAGAGCTGCTGTCACCTCCTGCTCGACCGCAAGCCACAGCTGCACTCACCTTTGATCTCCATGCCTCGCGTCGCTATTGTCGCAGTCTTGCGAGCCATTGTCTCCACTTAGACTCAGCCATGATAGTTGTTTGCTGTTTGCTGCGCATCTATCACCTCATCGGCCTGCAGCCTTGAGCGACTTCTCTTCCGCCTCTCTTTTACCTCTCTCCTCCACACGTGCAATTCAAAAAAGCCTCTCGCAGCCAAGCAGCAACCTTTCAAGTTCCAAATCAGTAACATCGCCTGTATTAAGAATGAACTCACCACCGCATCCAAAACAGGAGCCGAACGCCGACCCAACTGTGAACAATATGCAGCCTATTAATGGAGCTGTGGAGGTTGAGGCAGAATCCAGTGGCAAACGAAGCCAGGAAAATAATGGTGACATTGCTCTTGAGAGCGAGCATTCAAGCAAAGATTCCCTTAGAGCAGAGAAGAGAGTTTCTGTTGAGCCCTGCGAACAGTCTGAACCCAAACGAAAACGAGTAAAACAATCTCCTGCCTCATCGTCCACCAACGGCGTCAACACATATGCTGTCAAAGAATCCAGCGAGTCCATCGAACCACCAGAGGTGATCACGAAAGAGACTTGGCAGGGATTTTGTGAGATCGAATCCGAGCCAGCGTTCTTCTCCACTATTCTTCGAGACATGGGCGTGCAGGGCATCAACGTCCAAGAAGTCTTTGCCATGTACCCGGAATTTCTCGAAACCCTACCAAGGCCTATCTACGGCCTCGTCTTACTTTACCGTTACCGTGAAAACGGCTCTTCCGAGCAATTACAGGAGAGTTCGAGTGACGTGTGGTTTGCCAACCAACTTCCAGCCCAGAACAGCTGTGCAACCCTGGCTATGATCAACATCCTCATGAACAACAACGACATCGAGATTGGCGAACATTTGCGGGAATTCAAAGAGTTCACAAAGGATTTCACCCCATATCAACGGGGCGAAGCCATTGCTAGCTTTGACTTTATCAAGAGAATTCACAACTCCTTCGCAAAGGAGATGGACATCTTGGAAGCAGACAAACATCTCTCATACAAAGTCAAGAAAGCCCAAAGTCAATTGAGGGACAAGAAGAGTCGACGAAAGTCTACAGATTCTGCTACCAACGACAGCGCCGAAGATTCCGAGGACAACGCACACCACTTCATCGCATACATCCCGGTGGGCGACGAGGTCTGGATGCTCGACGGTCTCAACGCCCAGCCAATGCATATCGCTAAGTTCGACAAGGAACAAGGCAGAGACTGGGTGGCAGTTGCAGCAGATTCAATACTCGCTATTCTCGCCAGTGGAGGAGACGACTACACCGGCTTTGCCATCATGCCGTCTCCACTCCCATCTCTCCGCAAGCAGGCTTGCCTTGCAACAAATCACGTCCAGCAGACCGAGTCAAGACTCGACGAGACATCTCCAGATTGGAGATCCTCCCTTTTCGACGACGAACCGCCTCGCACACTTCCGCAGACGCTCGGCATCGAAGACCAGCTGCCTAAGTGCCCAGTGCCAGACGCGCTCGCAGAGACCATCGCTAGCGAGGAGACAAAGGACCTGCTCGAGCGGCGCACCAGAGTGCTCAAGGATCTGGAGAGCCTGGCTGAGAACATCAAGGCAGAGATGAGAAGCGAAGCTGAGGACGCACGGAAGGCTGCTCAAGGCCGCTTTGATCACGCGCCTGTGATCAAGTTGTGGGCGGAGATGTTGGCAGAGAATGGGTACCTAGAGCAGAACCTTGACCGGTTCATCGGGGCCAAGAACGGGTCTAAGAAGGCGAAGAAGTGAGGAAGTGGCGGGGATTTTACATGCACATATAGCTCCGAATATACCCAGCAGCGCTGCTTCAATCTTTAGATAAGCAAAATTTATGAGACCCGCTTCTAACATCCTGTCACGATGCAAAGGTATACGAGATCCTCGCACATTGCGTATTGCCCGTATTGCCGTATTGCCCTGGTTCACACATGGCCGGGCGTTCCGGATACCTATCCTATTTTATTGTCAAATCAAAGATCACGCAGACAGCAAACATGGCGCGAATACAGGTTCATCCTCGAATAACGGACAAGTGCCACGCGGTCCTCCGCAGGACTCAGATGTCATATTCATTATCCATGGCGTACCACGCTGATCTATACAGCATGCCTCTTCCGCCCCCCACCCCTCCTCCAATTCCACAGCGCCTCCTGCGCAAACGTCCTTGCAGTAAGATGACCCTTCTCCCTCCCCGCCTCCTCAGTCAATGTCTCAATCACCCTTCCATCTTCAATGCACTTCCACAGCCCCACCGCCATATAGTGACCCACATCGTCATCCTCTGCTATCTCCTCCTCTTCCATATCAGGGTTTTTCGCGATCTTGACGGGACCGTCGGTCTCCTGCTTCGGCTGCTCCACGCCGAACTCGCCCTGTCCCAGCCTGTACAGTATGCGGCCCAGTGTCTGGTAAGCTACGCACCGTTGTGCCGCTACGGCGCTGCGTGCGGTGACTGCGAGCTCGGGGATGGTGTAGCCTGCGGCCTCAGGCGCGTCGGCGTGATGGTGCAGACCCTGGTTAGTGGGGAGTTCGCGCGCGACACTCGGCGCGAGCAACGTGCCTTTGAAGTCGAAGCGCAGCTCTGACGCATTCAGAGCGTTTTGTGAAGGGTGGTACGGAGAGGACTTGTCTGTGGGGTCGACGGGTTTCATCCACTCGACGGTCGATGGGTTGTAGGGTAAGGACGGGAAGTATTTCGTGTGTAGGTTCTCGAGGAAATTGGGATCGTTTGGATCGAGGTCGGGCGGTTGTGGTGTGGGTGCGAAGTGTAACGAGCCGGCGGCTTCTTCTCCGTGTGTATGTGTTGGCTCGGTCGGGGTAGCTTCTGCTCGTGGTGTCGCGACTTCTTCGTCTACCTGCTCTGCGAAAGCTACTTTCTTTGAGCTTGGGGCTTTTGATGTAGGCTCTCTCTTTGTGTCTTGCTCGAATGTCACGGGCTGCGAGGCCTCGAGCTTGTCTTCCGGCCATTGCTGCTGCTCGTTGCTCCCATCGTCTATGTTTGACTCAAACAACCGTCGTTGAATCGCTGACTCCACATCAGATTGCTGTGTGTCTACTGGTTCTTCAGGCTCCTTCACTAGCGGGTGCGACTGCTGGTTGCGTTCAGCGCCGTTACTGGGCCGATTCAGCAATCTCTGTATAAGGGCAGGGTCGAGGTTTGCCATGAGCTCTCTCCGTTCCTCCTCGATTTCTTCCTCAGACATAGCGTCTAATCTTGCCTGGTTCTCCTCGTCTATCGCACGTCTCTCATCGTCGGGATCGAACCTTGCGCGCGGTGGGGGCGCGCTGTGTAGACTCGAAACATCTTGCGCTTTCGGTGCGGTGGTAGGTTGTTGCTCGTTTGCTGCACGCCGTTGTTTGAAGGCAGAAACTCGTGGTGTACGTTTCTTGTGTGCTGGGAAACCCGTTGTATTTGATTTCAACGAGGGCGCCACGGGTGGAGCAGCTGCAGACAGGTCGCGCTCGAGAATGTCGCCGACGAAATCGAATGCGGGCAATGCTGAAGGCTCGGGCTGAGTTTCCTGGTCAGTCTTCTCGACACCTCCAGTCTCAAAGTTCAGAAAGACGCGTTCGCCCTTTTGAAATTCCATGTTGTGCGATCTGAGGGTTTCACGAGACAGTATGACGGAATGTCTAGAAAGTCAACCTTTGGATCTGCAGGGTAGCTGCTAGCGCCTCGGCTGGACTTGCCGCCTCTCAGTCCGACATCGTGAAAGTCTTTTGGTCTAGTCATAGTAACTTGAACATGAAACGTCGGTATTTGAGTACTCGATCCTCAAGATTCGATTCTCAAGATCAGATGAATACGCCATTTTCGAAAGCTAGGAATCAGGAAATGGAATCAAATTGGCACAAATAAAGCGCCTTGAAGGTATCATATAGTGTATGCCAGAGCCAACAAATCTTCAGTGCTCCTGCACAGTGACAAGAGCCTGACCTTTTCCCACCAAACGCCGTCTAATGACCAACATTATTCATCCCTACTCGTGAACAGCAGGTCTCACCGTTCACGCTTGCACAGTAAGGTAGTCCTTGTTCTCAATCGTTACACTCTTGGTCTAGAAAACGGTTAGCTCATTGCGATCAGCCAGAAGAGGAAGTAAGACTTACCATGTGGTTGACCTTATAAACACCCACCAACCGGCTCGCCAGCTCGAACATGTTGTTTCGGAGCGAGATGACAATGAATTGCGCGTTCTTTGTCCGTTCTTTGATGTAGCTAGCCACAATACTTACGTTCTTGAAGTCAAGTGCTGCATCGATCTCATCCATGACATACAACGGGGTCGGCTTGTAGTGGTGGAGAGCGAAGACCAGCGCCAGGGACGACAGCGTCTTTTCGCCGCCAGACAAATTGCTGATGTTCTTCCAACTCTTCTTCGGCGGCATTACGGAGAAGAGAATACCTTCCGAGAACGGGTCAAGTGAGTCGACAAGTTCGAGCTCTGCATTGCCGCCCATTGTGATCATTTGGTACATCTCTTTCAGGCGCGCGGTGATGATGCTGAACCCCTCCATGAAGCCCTCGAGACGCAGGCGGCGCAATTCGTCGCACCGCTTCTTTGCATCATCGCGGGCAGTGACTGCTTCGGCGAGGTCCATAGAGCGGGCAGTATGCTCTTCAGCGCGTTTGCGGTACTCGGCCAGAACTGAGAGGTCGACGTTGGTGCTCTCATTCTTCTTCTCAAGAGCCGCGATCTCGTCTTTGAGTTCGTGCTTGTCGAGATCCTGCAATTCGTCTTTGCTGAATGTGGGGAGGCCTTCGCCTGTCTCCTGATCTTCGCCGAAGTCGGTCACGTTCTGGTAAGTGAGTTTGCTCAATTTGTCCTGGAAGTAAGCCTGCTTCTTCTGGAAGTCTTGTAACTGCTTTTGGCTCCCTTCGAGCTTGTTGCGCATCTCGATCTCGACGGCGCGCATCTCGTTCACTTCTGCGGTCTTCTCATCGAGCTCCTTCTTCACCGCCTGGAGATCCTCCTTGGTAGACTCGAGAGACTACAAACTGGTCAGTACAATTGTGGATATATTGGCGACGGTAGAACATACCTCCTGAGCTTCCTCAGCTTGTTGACGGACACCCGATGCATCGCGCTGATGAGACTCCATATCCTCGTCTACCTTCTCCAAATCGACAGCAAGCTTTTCAAGGTCACGTACCGCGTCGTTGTGCGCTTTCTCGTGCTTGATGCGATTCTTCTCCTCTTTCGCCTTTGACACCTCTGCGCTTGAAGCTTGTTCGGTAAGTGTATCGACCTGCTGCTTAAGGTCGTCAACCTTTGCCTTCTGGAGACGGAGCTTGACACCACCAATCTCCATGATCTTGTCTTGCAATGCCTTGATCTCAGCCTCCACACCTTCCGTCTCAGCGTGCAGTTTGGAAATCTCCTTCTCCATAGAGGTGATACTCTTCTCAAGGGAGGATACACGACTCTTGTCGGTCTTAGTCACAGCCTTCTCGGCACCCAGTTCCTGAATGCGACGCTCACAGTCGGCAATGTTGCGGTCAAAGCTCTCCAGCTCAAGAATGAGCTTCTGAGCTTTAGTGTCCAGCTCAGGCAATTGCTGGTTCAAACTTCGAAGGGTGCTCTCCAGCCCTTGCTGCTCATGCTGGAAGTCGGTGAAAGTTTGCTCGAGTGTATCCCTGTCCTGCTCAAGCTTCGCTACCTGGTCTCTCGAAACATCGGATGCGAGCTTAGACGACATCTTGCCTTTGACCACTCGGCTACCGCCACCACTCATCGTACCAGCTGTGTCGATAAGCTTACCGTCGAGAGTGACAACACGCCAACGCTTTGCGCCATAGGCGATACGCTCGGCTTGATCGAGGTTCTCAGCGACTAGGGTGTTCTGGAGAACGTGGAAGAACGCAGGCCTCAGTAGATCATGTTTCGGCTTGACAAGGTCAAAGAGACGAGGAACGTCTTCAGGTGTGTCAACAGTCGACATGTCTCGCTTAGCAAGGCGATCGAGCAAGATGAAGTTGGCACGGCCAAGGTTGTTCTTCCTGAGGTGCTCGATGCACTGTTGGCCTGACTCAACAGTGTCAACAACCATGTTGTCTAGCTGTGGACAAGCGGTGGAGATCGCGACATCGTATTTCTGATTGATGGTGCCGAGGTTGCCCAAGCGGCCGTGGAATCCTTCAATACGTCCAGAGTCCTTGAGGCGCATGAGTCCAGTGAGAACATTGCCCTGCGTCTGGTTGGCAGAGAAGTTCGAGCGGGCCTCATCAGCCTTTGCGCGTGCACCCGACAGCTTCGATCGTAGCGGGGTCTCTTTTTGTGCCAACTCGTCAATCTGCGCTTGAATACTCTGTAGCTCTTTCGCAATCTGCTTCTTTTCAACCTTGCACTCCTTGAACTCGGCCAGCTTGCTCTCTTTAGCCTCCTGGAGAGTCTCAATCTTGGCCTCAACCTCAGCGATACCCTTGGCGCCAGCATTCTCTCGATCGCGGAGAATGTCGAGCTCACTCTGTGCTACAGCCATAGCGGACTGCTTCTCGTTAATCTTCGCAGTCCAGGGCTCCAGTGACTTCTGCTTCGCCGCAATCTCGTCGGACAGGCCTTGCGTCTTTCCGGCAAGCGCGACACGCACACGCTCAAGCTCCTTCGCTTCTACCTTCATCATCTGTTCGAGCTCTTCCATCTCTTCAGCGTACCGCTCTAGATCCGCAGCATACTGCTTCGTAAGAGTCTCCGCCTCAGAGCGGCTGTAGCCACTAGTCTCTTTTGTCTTTTGCAGCTTCTTCTCCTTTCCTGCAAGAAACTTCCGCTTCTCTACAAACTTAACAGCCTCCTTGTCGATGCGGCTAACCTCTTTCTGGAACTCTTGGTGCCTCTTCTCAAGCTGCTCGTGCGCTTTGACACCCTTTTTGTATTGCCGTTCGAGCTCTTTGATACCCTCTTCGTTGCCTTGATGCTTTTGCAGCTCCTCGTCAAGCTGGGCTTGCATTTGACCAATCGATTCTTGTGCGACCTCAATATGGTCATCAAACTCAAAGTTGTAGAGCTGGTAGAGCGTAGATTGCTTGGTGGCAAGCTCGTTCTCATCTTGAATGTAGGCGAGAGCCACGTTTTTCTTCTCTTCTAACCCAGCCTTCTCTTTCTCAACGTGTTGGACACGGTTGTTCTTCTCCATACAGGTCTCGTTCAGAGTTTCCACTTCAGCAGCTGACTCTTCAATCGGCGTCTTGTACTTCGACGTACCAATGATATCCTCCAGGTATTCGAGGAGGCCATCATCGTGCTCAGTCAGTGCTTTCGGCTTCATCTGCGCAATCGATTCGACCTCACCCTGCAAGATCAGGAAACGCTTGTGGTCCAGATCTACGCCCTTTCCTTTTAAGTACTTTGTGACATCTGTAAAGGTGGACTCCTTCTTGTTCATGTAGTACTTGCTAGAGTTGTTCTTGAAGGCTCGGCGAGAGATGACCAATTGTGAGTCTGGAATCACCTCAGCTACGCCGCTGGCAGTGTCCATGACTTCCTGGAAGTGAACCTCGACTTCGCAGAAATCGAGATTAGGGTGTTGAGACGAGTTGTGGATAAGTGCTGATATCTTGCCTTGGCGCATCTTGCTGGCACGGAATCCAAACACAAACAACAGAGAATCGATGACGTTCGATTTGCCAGAACCGTTGGGGCCGACAACGGAGGAGAAGGAAGAGTGGAATGGTCCAACTTCTTGTCTCCCAGCATAGCTCTTGAAGTTCACCAAGACCAACCATGTGATAACTGTGCGCTGTTTGAGTGGAGCAGGCTCTTGTGAGAGAGGTACTGCAGCTGCCCTCCTCTTTGCTACAATGTCCATCGGCCTCTCTAACACGGTGTGGTTTGGGTTGATCTTCTCGATCACTCTGGGTGTCGGCGGCGGTTGAGATGGCGCTGTGGCGTCGGGTGTCTCTGATGGCTTCAATGTCGGGTCAGGAAGTTTGACCTCAGCGACTGGCTCGGTCGTAGGCTCAGCTACGACGGTCTCCTCCTCCACAATGCTTTGGGCGACACTCTCTTCCTCTGGCTCGGCTACAACTGTCTCCTCTTCCGCCGTGCTCTGAATGGTTCTGTCTTCAACTGGCTCAGACTTCACCACCACATCGAACTTCTGTCGCTTTACAGCAGTCCCAGCTCTAGGTGTCTCCTCCTCGGCTTCTGGTGTTTGTGCGGTTCTGGGCGTTCGATCTCCCGCCTCGCTTGCGTCGGTCTCGGGCGCAGGTGTGACCGAGGTCTCTTTCAGCTCGTACTCAGATTCCACGGCTGGTAAAGTTTTAGAATCATCCTTTGTGATTGTGATTATGTTTGCAAGAGATTGCCCACCTTCATCTATGTTGTCTTTCTCAACTGACACTCGCGGCTTCCGCCCGCGCTTCTTGGGAACAGTTTTTGCGATCGCAGTCGGTCGAGGGCTACTCTCGGGGGGCGTATCTGTTTGTGTCGGTTCGGCGACCTCAGTCGCGCGCTTTGGCCGCCCTCTCTTTCTCGGCGCTGGTGTCGCAGCAATCTCTGTGTCCACATTCTCAGCGACAGGCGCTATGCTTTTCTTTGGGCGCCCGCGCCCTCGTCCAGTCTTCAAAGGTGCCGGTGCTGGCGTGAACTCCTCTTCTTCCTCATCCTGGACCTCCGGCGTGGGTGTTCTGTTCTCTTCGTTATCGGAGTCGTCGACGACCGGCGCTTTGCGGCGCGTCGTGCGCGTGGACTTTCGGGCTGCTGCCGGGGCCATGTTCGCGGCTTCTGTGGGATAATGAGTGTCGAGATGACCGTCTGGAGGGTAAGTCTGACTACACTTGTGCAAGCGCATGTTTACGGCGCACGGGCCTACACAACACGCTAGCACGTGTCGCGCCTTCCCTGCCCCACCTCGCGCCTGAACATCGAGTCGCTGCGGATTAGTGGAAATCGTCTGCTTCTCCTGTTCTAAAGATGTCTTGAAAACGACAGTCTCTTGGCTGTTGTTCTTCCATCACATTGTAGTGCCATTGCAGTTGACAGGCCTCTTATCGGCGAAGCCCACTGCCAACTACAACAGACGTCATAGTCTTTAATGATACTCAGTCTGTTAGATCAAGTCCAATCATCCAACTTCTCATTCGATGATCTATTTCCACATGTATGCCTCGTCTGCGTCGAACCTTGCCTGTCAGTCTTCCGTTGGAAAGCCGTGTGCAAGTTGACTTCCTCGAAAGAGCAGGTGCGGCCGCTTCCACCTTCACCCGTCGCCACGCCATCACTACATCTCTAGTACGAACCCACTGTCAAGCATTTTTCTCAACCCAACCTTTACGTCTGTTTCACTATGTGCACTCTCCTAAAGTTCAAGCTGGTCTTCTTCGTCCCACCCAGCGCCCTCGAGGCGTGCAAAACCGCCATCTTTGCTGCGGGCGCTGGTCACTTCCCAGGCACCGCCGGGTACAGTGAGTGTTGCTTCACGTCCAAGGGTACTGGACAATTCATACCAGGCGCTGCAGCCAACCCGCATGTATGTTCTCCTTCTGTCTGCCGTTGTGCCATCGAGGTAACGTGATGCTGTACAGATCGGCAAGGTTGGCACCTTGGAGGAAGTGGAAGAGTATCGAGTTGAAACGATATGCTTGGGTAGAGATACCGCAGTGGCAGCAGTGGCAGCATTGAGGAAGTGAGTCACGATCATTCCGTCTTATCGAAGTATTTGCTTACGGTCTGGATAGAGCACATCCGTACGAAGAGCCGGCTTACGAGGTCTACAAGATAGAAGACATGTGAGATGATTGCCATTGTTGCAAATGTGGAATCGGAGCAGACAACATCACCTAGGTCGTAAAATATGCTCACAGGTAACCGAATTCGCCATTGGAAAGCTCCCAAGATTTCGCTGTCATATTTTCGTAGTACTTCCAATGCACGTTAACCTCGCAACGTAGCCTTATTCTCTACACTAGTCTTGCGCGTATCAGTCGGTTGTAGAGGTAACACATTTGAAGGTCGTCATCATCATAACAGGCGTCTAGTACTCTTCTTGAGATCCCGGAAGTTAGACCTCGCAATACCGCTTCCACATCCTCCCCTGTTATTGTGATTGGCTCGCATGCCACAGCATGTGCGGTACTTTCACCAATCAGAATCCGGCATACCGTACAGCACTAGAACCCCTACTCCAACAAAGACTACAAAGCGAAGCTTGTCTTGGGCAAAGCATGGTAGAGCTCGTCGAGCACTAGTCTGCACGATGATTACAATGTAACAGGTCAGCAAGACAACGGACGTGCAAGGACCGCAATAGGAAGTCGCGGAGATCACTCCAGAGAACACCAGAACATCACTTCGAGATACGAACTAACTGCAAAATCCGAGCAAACAGGTTATCACAACCAAGATCTTGGTCGCAAAAGTACGCGATACACCTTTAGTCGCCGAATGACGCAAACCACAGTGTACGGTACCAACTATTTGTCATGCACAACACCTGCTGTGTACAACACCAAACGACACCCGCCATGAACCCCCAAAAACCCCCCAGAAGCTGGGACCCGCGCAGGAGACGCACCCGGAAAGCGCGCCACGCCCCCAATCTCCGCATCCGGAACAAGCAAACACCACCAACAGGTCCCACCGACGCACCACACCACACGCCTGCCACAACGCAACCCAGCGCCGCGGCCCGCGCCCCCTAAACCATGGCCGCCCCAGCCCTGGCCGCAACCCACGCCTTCGACGCGCTCAAAGCCCGCATCATCAGCCTCGCGACCGCCCTGTACGGCACCACCACCACGCCGCAGTGCACCTTCGACGTGCTCCCGTTCAGCGCGCCGCGGCGCACGCCCGGCGGCACCGCGCTGAACGCGTACACGCACGGCGCGGCGCTGATCTACTACACGGGGCCGGCGAGCGCGCCGTACGTGTCGTGGGAGATGCTGTCGTATGTGGACGGGCAGGCGACGGTGAATGCGGGCGCGCAGCAGCTGTTGGACGACATGCAGAAGGGCGTTGGGGACGTGATTGGTATGTTTTGATGTGCGGTTTGTGTGCTGCGAGGTGTTGATGTGTGCAGGTGATCTTGTGAAGAGTGGGGATTGGGGCGTGAGGCATGAGACGGTGCCGGATGTGGCGAATGGCGAGCGGGGTGAGGGCGATGAGGGGGGCGGGGAGAATGGGTATGAGGGGGGAGGGGGAGGGGAGAGGAGGTGGAGCCAGTCACTGGGGGATATTGAAGAGGCGGAGGAGGAGGACCACAGAGGTCGAGGGCGGTGACAGTGACGTGAGCGCCGCAGACTGCGAATTGTTAGCAGACTTAATAATGTTAGATACACGTCACGGGACCATGGGAACGGTTTAATAATCAACCAAAAGAACAAAGTCACATTGGAAAGCTACGTAAAGACCTTCAGAACAAACCGTTAGGATTTTCTGCCGCTGCCGATAGGACTCATCAGGCCAGCACTGCCGCCTGTCGAACTACGCATCATCATCGGCTTGATACTCTGCACGGGGCTCAACGGATCTCTCTGGCTTGAGCTTTGACTAGATGTGCCTGAGCTGAGACTACCGCTGCCATGGCTGCCGTTGTTGTGGCCGTTGACGAATCCGGAGGCGTTGAAGGGGTTATCGAGAGCATACACGGGAGATAGGTGCTCATCGAACCCATCCGTGAAGCCAGAAACATCTGAGAGCATGGACGAAGAGCGACCACGGCCGCCGCGTAAAGAACCCGGAGTGCTGCCGACATGGTACATTTGCGGAAAGGTAAAGCTGGTGAAAGCACTGGCGTGGGGAGACATGGTCGTGCCAGGTAGCGGTCCTTCGGGCGTCGTGGGAATAGACTCGTGATGCGCGCCCTGCATAAGGAGGATCTCGTAGTGCTCGGCAGTCTGCAGGAGCTGAGCAGTGGCAATTTGCTGCTCTTCAGCTCGATGCTCGAAACCGTTGATGCTGTTACGATATTGTTGCTCGACATCAACACGCTGTTGTCTCAAGGCGTGACGCTCCTGCTCCCTGCGCTGCTTGGCTGTGAATCCTTCCTGGTTGGCAGTGACCAGACGGTCGTGCTGCTCGTTCAATCTTGTCTGGCGCTGCTGGAGACGCTCGCGCTTCTGAAGGGCGGTCGCGATATCGGTCTCCACGCTCTGAACTTGGGCTTCGATGTCGGCCTTGACTGCTTCGAATTCACGAGCCACGGCGTTTTTGTTGTCGCGCTCTTTCTTCCAGGCAGCTTTCTTTGCTGCAGCCTCTTTGACCTCTTCTTCCGGAATCGCACCCAGCTTTTCGGCTTGCAGTGTGAAATCAGCAGTGGCATCGTCTGCCTGGCGAATTGTCTGCGTAAACTGAAGAACACGCTGGCGTTGCCGCTCATCACTACCTCCAGCATTCGACAGACGATTGCTGAGAGTATCGACCTCTTTCTTGATGGTAGAGATGGCGGTCTTGTGGTCCTTCTTGTTTCGCTTCAGGCGATTGCGCTGCTCCTGCAGTTGCTGGTCGGCCGCGGCGATGGAGTTCTTGAGTGTCGTCGTAGGCGAAGATGGGCGGAGAGTCTGATGAGCTGGCGGGGAGGCGATTGAGGCTAAGAAAAGTCAGTTTGCACTTGTAGTCGGTGAAAAGTAGGCCTACCTAGTTCAGCGACTGGGCCAGCCGAGGTAATAAGGCTTGTAGAATAGAAGACTTCGTGATCACTGGTCCTGACGAACTCGCAATAGTAGTTCGAAAGTGCCGTGAGACCAAAAATCTCTCCCACCCAAAAGCTTGTTCCCTCGTGCCCCTGATACCCCAACGCAGTGCTCTGGCGGATTCGGGCCGAACTCCAGTCTGCACCGTTGACACGGAGAAAGAATGGCTTCGACTTGTCAATCCCGGATCCAACACTCGAATCCTCCTCCTCTTGAACGTCTGCTCCTCCGTGGAACAGACTGACACGAAATGAAATGTCGGAGTAGCCGACTTCTGAAATCCATACACGATCGTCTTCCGATCTCCAAACAGCGTTTCCAATGTGGTTTGCGTCTTTTGCGTTAGCCTCGTCGGCATCGTTGGCCGCCCGGCTGCTTTCCATCTCTTTTAAAACTGTAACTTTTGTGCTGGCAAGTGCGGCCCAAAAGGGCTGCTGAGAACGAACGTGTGTAGCTTGCTTCCTCTTCCGCCGCGAGCTACTCGCCTTGTCCTTGTGTAACGCTGGCGACGGCCCCGGGGGGCGGCCATCGGTACTCGAGGCATTTGGCGCATCGGCGGGCGGGAAGAGGGTAGCTGAGTTGGTTCGCTGGAGGTTGCCAACTTCGGGATCTGTTTTCTTGCCGGTAGGCAGCGACTGGACTACGTCTCGTCGAGATAGAGAGCGCCGGATGATGCGAACAACACCTTGGGCGAGAATGTGGATGCCCAGGAGGCTGCGGGGCCATCCATGGGGACTTGAGAAATTTTCCAAATAAGTAGATGAACTGGGCGGGCTCGCCAGAAACTCCAAGCCTCCCCGGGCGAGCCCGGACCACACTAGGTGGACAATGTATTGCCGGAGAGGCCTGAGTCTGAGCAAATGATTGGAGGCGATGATGACGACACAGATGAAAATGCCGTTGGTCGTCCCAGCTTTGCCGGCGGCGGCGCCTCCCAGGGCAATGGCAATGACGGCCTGGGCGAGGTCCAGGAAGAAGTTCTGCACGGGGACCCAGAGAACGAGCCACACGAGCAGAATGGAGGCGTCGGCGGCGATGGTGGTGAATAAGGAGGGAGTGCCGCCGGAGCCCTGGAAGATGTCGGTGAAGGAGGGGAAGGCAGAGAGCGCAGAGAGGGGGGTCCCGGCTTGGGGAGGCACGAAGGTGAGGGTGGCAAAGAGAAACTGCACGACAGTGAGGACGGTGGGGGGGAGCTGGAGCAGGATGATAAGGATGGCGAGGACGTCCCGCAGAGGACAGGAGGTGAGAATGGTGGCTGGCACGGCGAGCAGGCTGGCCATGGACACGGACAGCGGCTTGCTGTGGCCGTGGCCGTGGCCGTTGGCGCGGGCAGCAGCAGAGGCGGCACGACAGGCGGCGTCGGCAGGGTCCAGCGACGCGTCCGAGGCGCTGCGGACCCGCTCGACGGGCGGGCCGTCGCACACGGCGGGCATGTCGGGGGCGGCGGCCGGCGGCAGGTCGGAGGCGCTGCTGGCGGCCGGCGTCGTGTGCGGGTGCTGGTGCGGGTGCTGCTGCTGCTGGTGGTGCTGCTCTACCGCGTCGGCGGCGGGCGCGGGGGCGTCGGGCCCATTGGCGGCGGCCGGCAGCGAGGGGTTGCTCTTCTGGCGCTGCACGCGCTTGCCGGGGGCTGCCAGGCCACTCTCGTTGCGTCTGTCATGCTGGGATGCCGCGTTCTTCCTCCCCTTAGCTACCATAGAAGGCGGTGCGCGGGCGAGCTGTGCGTCTCCCCAGGTCGGCTCGACTGCTGCACAGGACGAGCCAGTTTGGAAGAGGGCGCCGCGGGCCGAGGGGGAATAATGGGCGTCAGGGTCGGGTCGTGTGCGGGTTGCGGGTGTGAGGGCTGGGAGCGCGAATCGAGAGAAGCAGAATGGCAGTCCCCGACGCTGGCTGCTTGGCGCTGTCGCTCGCTCGACGTCCTGTCAGCCAGCCTAACTGCCTGGAGCGCGGGCGGGCCCCGTTCACGTGCAGCGGCGTGCAGAGCGTGCAGAGGCCAGAGGCTGCTACAGCTGCATGCGGCCGGTCGGACGCTCGACTCAGGCTCTGCACGCTCTGCACGCCGCCAGCACGCCGCCTCTCCCGCCGCCGTGGCTGCACAGCGCGCGGCTCAGTCTGGGGGCAGCAGGATTCTCAGCGCCGTGCGATCTGCCCGCCGAGGACCGCCCGAGCAGCGATCATCGTAGCTGCAAGTGCGCTGGAAAGGCGCTGAAAAGTCGCGGCCCTAAGCAGCGTCCCAGTCCCCGACCGCTGGTGCGGTGCACAGAGACTGCACCGCAGAGGCTGCAGCCTGAAGCGAGCTGCCGTCTTCGGCGAGCGCTCGCACAATCGGGGGCTGCATCGCGCTGCTGCGCTGTATGTACTGCAGCACTCACACGGCCAGCTGCCCTGCCTGCCCTGCCATACCACTGCTGCAGGCCTGCCCTGCTGGTGCTGCTGGTGCACCACTTACCCTGCGATGCAGTCAATTCCCCGCCCACTCTCCCGTCCTGTGTGCTCGTCTGCCTGTCTGCCCGTCTGCCTGCTGCCTCTGCACATGGGCCCCCTGAGCATGATGCCCTCGTTGCAGGCCAGCAGCGAATCGAGTGCGCCGTCGTGCCCGCCCACACCGACTCTCACGCTCTCACGCGTGCAGCGCTGCCAAGCACATGTTTGTGATTCGCTGCCCTGCCCGCGACTGCCCTGAGTTGTGTGCATCGTGCAGTCACAAGTCGTGTTCACCCAACCTGGGGTTTTGCTGTGCACCATCCACTGTGTTTTACCGTGCACTACCTATCCACCGTGTTCTCCTGCGTGCGCTACACCACGCCGCGCTCGCTCCGCCGTGCCTGTCTGCTGCGGTGGCTTGCCCTCGGCCCTGCAATTTGATCGGAGCATTTCCACCACAGCCCTCTGAACCCGCCGCTCCACGCTCAGCGGAGACGGTCTGGCTGGCGTCGAAGCTTAACGCGACCACGCCAATCAGCATGCCGTGCGACAAACAGATGAGGAAACTCGCACGGTCACGCGCGCAACGGTCGTGCAGATCTCTCGAAAAGGCCACGATGAAACACAGAACGAGTAGGCGGCCAAGTCGATCACCGCGGAAAGGATCACGCCACGCAGCCCGGTGCGAAGAACTGCTCATCTCACGATTGCGGCTTGCTGCTTATGGCTTCGCTGCACTACCGAGGTCTTCAACTGCATCTGCTCTGTCCCAGCTGCCCTTCTCCAGGTCCCGCACGCGGGCCAGCAGTTGCCGCACCCTAGCACTGTTCCCCTCCTTTGCCTGCTCCTGCAGCTCAAATATCTTCTTGAACTTGTCGATCATAAAGGGCGGCAGTGGAGACTTCTTCGCTGATCTGTAGTCATAGACTACAATGTCCTCGATACAGCGTGCCGCCGCCCGGCGATGCGCCTCCGATAGGATCACGACGTCCAGGATGAAATGGTCGGTGCCCTGCTCCGGCTTATTCCTAAGTTTGTGCAGCACAGTCACCCTGCTTGGGTTAGATTGGCAATTTCATGCGTGATCGTGTTCCCGTACCTATCAGGCCACTTCATCGGCTTTATCAAGAGCAAGTCAGCAAACGCATCTCCAGGTTCCTCGGTTTCACAAGAGCACGCGACACGACTTCCGCAGAACTCCTACTGGGCGGGGCAACTCACGAATTTGTAGTCCGTCTTGATGCTCCTCAAGATCAAACCGATGCTCTTGGGCGACATCAACTCCAGCCATGCCTTCTTGTGCGCTGGGTCCTGCGCAGCAAAGTTGAGCGTCCAGTTGACGCGCGCCGACTCCGCGTAGCGATTGTACATGACGTTGTTCACATGGCCCTTCGCGCATCAGTGCCAAAGCTATCATGTCTCCCATGACGCGACTCACCATACTGTCCTACATCATCACCGCACAATCAGCCTCGCCCAGCACACACAAGCTGATAACATACCATCTCGCCCCATACTACTTCCTGCCTATACAACCCTCTGTATTCCTGCCCCGTCAAGAAGCCCTCGCTCCCCGCAAGCAGCTCGCGCCAGTCGCTCGTCACTTCTTGCAGTATAGACCCCGCCTCGCTCGTCTGCGCGTCGTTGATGCCAAACATGATGCACTTCCCGATGCGCGCGCGGACGTCTGACAGCCAGCGCGGCGACAGCTTCTCGGTGGCCGGGGTCTTGGAGCTGGAGAAGCGGTGATGCAGCGGGCGAGCGAGGGACTGGCTGCGTTGCGCGAGCGGGATCGCTGAAGCACAGAAGTGCGCTGTGCGTGTCGTGAGGGGGCGCATGGTCACAAGGTGCAATTGAGTACAGAGAATGTAGAACCCGCCGAGTGCAGTGCAAGACGTGAGCTTTGGCAAGTCGAGGTTCCGCGTATGGCGCGATGCCGCAGCCGTTAAGCCGAGGCCGCTACGTCAGCACGGCAACCGCACGCTTGATACGACCACCCTTCTTGGAGTCTGTTCACCACAATTGCTGCCTCACATCTGCACTCGCCCATTCTAGCTGTAATAATCGCCTACACCATGTCGACACCAACTCTTCCCCTGCGCCACCAAGTAATCCGCATCTACAAAGGTCCCCACGCGCCGCCCCCATTGCCACCAACCACCACTAATCCCCGGCAGAGCTGCTCTACCTCGCGCGCGACTACCCACAGGGCCACGCCTGGGCGCGCACGCGTCTGCACAAAGCGTTCTCCGCGCAGGCGCATCTGCGCGACGAAGAAGCGATTCGCAACGGTATCAAGCGCGCCGAGTTTGTGAAGAAGGGTGTGTACGGGCATGGTTGCAATGGGCGAGGTGGCACGCTGACGGGGACAGAAATCGAGGCATTGTATTATTTGAAACGCTACAGGGCGCTGAGGCAGCGGTACGACCCGATTCAGTAGACGGCCGCGGGGCGGGGGAAGGTAGTAGACGCGGGAAGGGGAGGGCCGTTGGGCTGGGATATCACGGAAGGAAACGCGAGAAGGACGGCGGGACGGGGCTATGTATGTGAGGACGTGCGCTCGTGAGGTCGCACCGCGACGTTGTGCGTGTGCGCGTGCGCTCACACCTTCTTGCACCACCACACGCCGAACTCGAGGCACTCGCCGCTGCTGGCGCCCTTTTGCTCGAGCAGGTTGCCCATCAGGCCGGCCCACCAGCGCTGCCACTCCTCCTGGTTCTTGCCGCTGACTTCCTTGAGCAGCGGCTCCAGGCTCTCGATCAGCTGCACGACGACGAGCAGCGCCGTGTAGCGCAGGGCCGCCTGCTCGTCGGTCAGCGTCCCGGGGTCGAGCGCGACGCTGGTTTTCTTCGGGTTGGGGCGCTGGGACTCGGACTCGCGGCGGCGGGGTTTCGGGGGGTCTGCGGCGGCCGTAGCCATCTCGCGCTCCCAGCGCAGTTCGCCGAGGGGGATGGCGATGCGGCGGTCGCCGACCGAGTGCAGCGTCTCGGTTTCCTGCAGCAGCATCTCGGAGATTCGCGCGCAGGGCGTGGGGCTCAGCTTCCTGCGGTCGAGGGCTTCCTGAATCCAGGCGTTGGAGTCGCGTAGGTACTTGTTCTGCACTTCGGTGAAAGGTGTGATGGGCGAGATCAGGAAGGTCCCTGACGACTCGGCGCTGGCGCGTTCCTGGGCGGATTTGCCAGGGACGGGGGGCGGGTGCGGCAGAATGGAGCGGATCAAGTAGTCGGTCTCCCAGACCTCGAAGGTGCCGCCGGACTTGAGGACGCGGATGCTATCGTCAATCAAGGCCTGGGACTGGGCGCCGAGGGTCACGACGAGGGACAGGTCCTTCAGCACGACCAGGTCGAACTCGCCGTCGTCGAAGGGCAGCCGCCCCTTGCGCAGGTCGTGCTGCACAAAGGTCCAGTCGATGCCCTGGCGCTGCAGGTCGCCGGCGAGCGGCACGAGGTCCAGCCCCGTGTAGGCGACGTTGTCGTAGCCCAGGCCGCTGAGGTACTCGTGGCACACGGCGGTCCAGTAGCCGCTGCCGCACGCCAGCTCGAGCACCTTGCGCGGCGGGGCCTGCGGCGAGGGCGTCGAGCCGAGGGCGCGGCCCAGGACGGACGTGGCGAGCAGCGTCAGCAGGTTCTGGCGCTGCAGCTCGGGCAGGTCGCAGGGCAGCGGGTAGGCGACGCCGCGCAGGTAGCGGCGGCCGTGGCGCAGCACAAAGGGCTCGGCCGACTCGTCGCGCGTGGCCTGCGTCGACGAGCTCGACACGGAGCCGCGCGTGTCCATGGCGGACGCGGTGGCCGCGGAGGAGGCGCTGGTGGCAGTGGTCGCGGTCGACGAGCTTGACGTTGTTCTAGCGAGCGCGTCGGGCGCGGTGCCCTCTGCGGCGGGCGGCTTGGGGCGCGAGGGGTATGGGACGTGGTAGCGGTACTGCGTGGATCAGAAGGGTCTCGGGCACACGCAGGCGCAGGAGCAGCGGACCAGCAGCCATTCTGAGTTCATCATCTCCCGGCCCACTTGCCCGGCTAGCGGCGCGATAGTGGCCTGGCAGGGCAGGGCAGGGCAGGGCGAGGCAGGGCAGGGCACGTGTGCTGGGCGCGCCCGAGTGCGCCGCAACGAGAGACGGACGACAGACAGACAGACTGCTGCAGCCGGCGGCGAGAGGGGCAGGAGGCAGCGCAGTCGCGGGGCGGGCGAGGCGACGAGGCGACGAGGCTCTGGTGCGGCGCGGGGAGCTGTTGCTGCCGAGGGAGCGTCTCCAATCACAGCGGCTGTCGCACGGCGGCCGCTCGCTGCCCCAGATTCGCATCGCAGCCGTCGCCGTAGCCACTCGCACCGCAGGCAGGGCCACGCAGCCCGCACGGCGCTGGGCGCTGGGACGCAGGCACTGCCGCGCGGAATGCCTGGTCTGCCCTGCCCAGCCCAGCACCGCGGCCCTCGCCCTGCTGCCCTCTGCTCAACCTCGCTGCCACTGCGCTGCACCGCTGCCGTGACTGCGTCTGTCTGCTCTGCCCGTGACCTGCGCTGACCGTGGCCTGCGCTGGCCGTGCCGTCGCCGTCGCACACGCGGCGCGGCCCACGGCGCGCTGTGTGGTTTCAGGTCCAGGTCCAGTGTGGACACGTGACGCCCCCAGCTCCAGCTTGGCCTGCGCATCGCCCGCTGCGGGCGTCACGTCGGTCGACCGCATCCTCTTCACTCTCTATTCTTCCCAGCGCGCGGTTGGACCCTGCCTGCTGCCCCGGCCCGTCTGGCGCAATTGAGACTGCCTGCAGAGCCTGCAGAGCCTGCACCCGTTGGCGAGCGCCGTGTATGTGCGCGCCTTCTACCCGCTTCTGCGCTGGCCCACCCGCTGCATCTGCTCACCGCGCCGTCACTGACTCCGCCGCCGCCAGACTGCATATTCAATTACCCCCCGCCGTTTGCCTCGTCACCGCGCCGCCGCGCCCGGCCAACGCCCCTCTGCGCCGCCCGCACCACACCCGCATGGTCGACGCGTGCCGCCGTGACCAGTGACCGCCCCGCCGACCATCTCGGGCGCCCATGTTGCAACGACGAAAGCATCGCATACGAGCCCCACCACCGGCCTGAACCCCTGCCCGGCGCCTCGCCCTCCGCCTCGCCCGCCGCCTGCGCTGCCTCCCGCGCCCGCTCCGTCTCGACGCCGCGATTCCCTTAGATGGCCGAGTACTCGGTCTACCAAAGGGGAGCCGGCCAGACCTTCTACCCGCAACACGCACCCGCCATCCGCACCCTCCCCGCCCGCGTCCGGTCGCCCTCGACCGCCGCCCGCATCCCCTTCAGCAACCCCGACACGCCGTCGCCGTCGCGCTCGCCCGGCCGCCAGCAGTCGCCGCAGCAGTTCGGCATGTTCAACCAGCAGCACGGCCACCAGGCCCAGCACGTCATGATGAACGGCCGCAACTCGCACCAGAACTACGCCATGCAGATGAACCTGGCCGGCAAGACCTTCCCGCACAACCAGAACCACCAGCACCATGGCCAGCACCACCCCCAGCACCAGGACCACACCGGCGGCGCCCACGGCGCCCAGTACAACCACCAGCACAACCTGTCCAGCGGCAACATGTCCAGCGCGCAGCCCCACTTCGGCCAGGCGCACATGCAGAACGGCACCCCGAACAGCGTCCACAGCGGGCTCAGCAAGCCGCCAAACGAGCACTGGGCCGAGCAGCTGCGCCTCGCGCAGACCGCGCGCGAAATGACACAGTCGCACTCCCACGCCAGGATCCACCCCAGCGTGAGCAAGAGCGTTGTCGCAGGCACCGGCAACGGCCTGTCGAAAGAGCCGGATAAAGAAGAGCGCAATAGACCTGCTGTTGGAGGCGCCGCAGACGGAAAGGGCGACCATATCTGGACCATCTTGGACTTTGGCGGCCAGAACCTAAAGGTCATCACCCCTGCGCTGTTCAACTACACGTTCCTCACGAAACTCTACGTCAACTGCAACAAGCTCTCGTACATCCCCCAGAGCATTGGCCAGCTACGGAACCTCACGCACCTGGATCTGTCCCTCAACAACCTCCAATACCTGCCTCCGGAGATTGGCATGCTCGTGAACCTGAAGCAGCTCCTTCTTTTTGACAACCACCTCGAAAACCTTCCTTACGAACTCGGCTCTCTCTTCCAGTTGGAAATGCTCGGCATAGAAGGCAACCCGCTACCGGACGATCTGAAGCAAATAATCATGGAGTCAGGAACAACTGAGCTCATCAAGCACTTCCGAGAGAACTCGCAGGGCCCCGAAGCGCCGAATGAGCGAGACTGGATTGTGCTTGATGAGATCCAGGACCCAGACCAGGAGACCGTGACCGCTTTGAGCTACAACATTCTCTGCGATAAATACTGTACAGTAGCACAGTACGGCTACACGCCCAGCGCAGCGCTATCGTGGGAGAACCGCCGAGAGGCCATTTTGGGAGAACTGCGAGAACGCAATGCCGACATAGTGTGTCTACAAGAGATCGACCAGGACAGTTTCAACGAGTACTTCCGCGAAGGTCTGGCTCACAACGACTACAAGGGAGTCTTCTGGCCCAAGTCCCGCGCACGAACGATGGCAGACAGAGAAGCTAAGCTAGTCGATGGCTGTGCTATCTTCTACAAGAACAGCAAGTAAGTTGCGCCGCCTCCCATCACCCTGCACATGCTGACATGCACAGATACATCTTGTTGGACAAGCAGCTCATCGACTTTGCCAATACTGCCATCAATCGACCGGACATGAAGGGCGAGCACGACATTTTCAACCGTGTCATGCCTCGTGATGACATTGCGGTCATCACCTTCCTCGAGAACCGTGCAACCGGCTCGAGGTTCATCGTTGGAAACGTCCACGTCTTCTGGAACCCCGCGTTTACTGACGTCAAGCTTGTGCAAGTCGCCATTCTGCTCGAAGGCATCAAGAACTTTGCCAACCGATGGGCTAAGTTCCCTGCATGCAAAGACAAGGTCGTCTACCGCTTCACGAATGGCGACACCGAGGACGGCAAAGAGCCAGATCCCTCGCAGGAGCCGGGACCATCCAAGGAGTACTCGGACGGCACACAAATCCCGCTCATCCTGTGCGGTGACTTCAACTCCCTGCCCACATCTGGTATCTACGACCTCATCACGACCGGAAGCATGTCCAACGTCCACAATGACCTAGGCAGCCGAAAGTACGGTAATTTTACGAGGGACGGCATCTCCCATCCGTTCAGCCTCAAGTCTAGTTACTCGACGATGGGAGAGCTCTCGTTCACAAACTACACTCCGTCGTTTGTTGGCGTCCTCGACTATATCTGGTATTCGACAAACACCCTGCAAGTTGTGGGCCTTCTCGGCGACATCGACAAAAACTACATGCAGCGAGTGCCTGGATTCCCCAACTACCACTTCCCCAGTGATCACATCGCCTTGTACGCACAATACATTGTCAAAGGCCAGAAACAGGCAAAGAAAGTATCCGAGGTCGACTTTGGGTCAAGCTCCAACCGAGATCGGAGAAACTGAGCCAGGTTGCGAATCCTTCCAGCCCCGCATGCTTCTGGCGCGCCTTCTCTATTGTAATTCTCCGTGGCTGAGAAGATTGTCAATAGGCGCGAGTGCGGGAGTTGTATGCTGTTTTCAAGGCGTCCGTTTGCTCGGTGTTCGGGTTGCTCTTCGCGCTGTCAAATCTTCATGGGTCTGTGATGGAAGTTTAGGATTGTTTATTTGAGTGCAGTTGGTCGGCGGTGTGAGGGTTTCGACTTGGTAGACGGAGTGCGCTCCTCTCATCTGCATTGGGGATGGGACTGCAGGGCGGGTTAGTACACGAATCTCACATCATGTCTGTTGTTCTGCGAAGTTGCATCGGCTGGTCTATTCATTCTTTGGACTCGGGCTCTACGCTCTTTACTGTACGGCGTGGATGATCTGGCTGGCTTGGCCGCAGGAGCGCAGCAGGACGGCAGTCAGTGTTTCAACAGTTCTCCATTCTGGTCCTCTTCTCGCGATGTATCATCTATGTAGCTTCCAAAAAGGCCCGTCCCCTCCGCAAGGCTGGGTCGACCACGGCTTAACTGTTCACATGACGTCCCGACACATGAAATGCGAATCAGCATGAGGTGAGCGTTGGAGACAGCGGTCAGACTGCCGTCCTCGGCAATCTGCTTCAAGACGCCAAGAGAGAGTCCAGATGACCTGTGATTCACTGTTGAGGGTCCAATGCCGCTAGCACGTGTAGGGACTACCGCGTCATAACATACGTCCGCGCTCTCAACTCCACACCGACACTTAAGCTGCGACTCCTATTGCTGAGACTTCTCTCATATTCTTCCCTCCGAGACCCTCACCGCAGTCACACTCACAATGGCTGCCGCACCCGCCGCCGAGCTCAAGCTCGACCCCAAGTACGATCACTACGACTACCCCACCGTTGCCCCCGTTGCGCAGAACGGGCACCCTGGCCACACAACGCCTGAGCAAGATGCGCAGGTTTTCCAGCTGCGAACCCAGCTGGAGGCGGCCGGCCACACCAAGAACCTCGACACATTGACGCTGGTACGCACACTGCCCTCGGGCGCATGGCGTTGGGCGCCGGCTAAATTATCTGCAGCTGCGATTCCTCCGTGCCCGCAAGTTCAATGTCGAGCTTTCCAAGCAAATGTGAGCACACGTGGCGGCTGTGGATGAAGAGGGGTGCTGATAGTGGACAGGTTCATCGACAGCGAGAAGTGGCGGGCGTCGTACGCTGACGTGGGCGTGGAGGAGCTTGTCCGCACCTTCGACTACAAGGAGAAGCCCGAAGTGTTCCAGTACTACCCGCAGTACTATCACAAGACCGACAAGGTACGTGGCCTGTAAAATCCCGGCCTCTGCTGTGCTAACGACGCCCCTGCAGGACGGCCGCCCAGTGTACATCGAGCAGCTCGGAAACGTCGACCTGACTGCCCTTGGCAAGATTACCAGCCAGGAGCGCATGGTGCAGAACTTGGTCTGCGAATACGAGAAGATGGCCGACCCCCGTCTGCCCGCCTGCTCGCGCAAGACCGGCCACCTCCTCGAGACGTCGTGCTCCATCCTCGACCTGAAGGGCGTTGGCATCGCCAAGGCCACATCTGTCTACGGCTACCTGCAGGCTGTCTCGGCCATCTCGCAGAACTACTACCCCGAGCGCCTCGGCAAGATGTACGTCATCAACGCACCCTGGGGCTTCTCCGGCGTCTTCAGCGTCGTCAAGAAGTTCCTCGACCCCGTCACAAGCGCAAAGATCCACGTCTTGGGCTCCGGGTACAAGACAGAGCTGCTCGCCCAGGTCCCGGCCGAGAACCTGCCCAAGGCTTTCGGTGGCTCGTGCGACTGCCCCGGTGGCTGTGCGCTGAGCGACGCCGGCCCCTGGCAGGACGCGCAGTGGGTCACAGAGCCCAAGTGGGCGAAGAAGAGCGACGATGCCATCAACAACGCCGCGATTCCTCCCACCACTGAGGGTGACGTCCCTACCAGCGCCGCCCCTGTCGGCGGTCTCGATGGCGCCGCCGCCCCTGCCGGTGCTACCCAGCCGCACGCTTAGAAGCGTGCACTGAGTGGGACCGTGGTGAAGAGCAGACGTGCGAAAGTGGTCGCGCGGAGAGCAGGGAGAGGACAAGACAAAAATCATAAAGTGGAGTTGAGGCGTGATAGGGTGAAGTGCTAGCGGACGCATCATCTGCGGCGGCACTACATACCGGATTTCTATTGGGTATGATTGTGTTGATCGTGGTGGTGATCACAGCTGGCTACAATGGAGGTGATCGTGGTATAGGCCTCAGTATTGGACACTGTGGCGCTACTACTACTTGGAGGCGCACATACGGATCATTGGGTCCCCAGGTTGGCTAGTGGGTGCTGGATAGAGCGGTATAGATGCAGAGTTCCCGTCTCCCTAGAATCCCACTTGTCTAGCCTTTGATCAAGTGTCTTTGTTCGATACTGTTCTGCCCTCCCCTACCTCCCACAAGTCTTTGTGCTGTACTAACCCACGACTCGCCTTTGTCTCATACATCAACGAACATAACCGCAGCCAACCCAACCCTCCTGCAATCCTTCATGCAAAATCCACAGCAACGTTCCACAATCACACAACATGTCACAACAACCACGCAACACAAACCCCCCTCCCCCATCACAAACCCTCACCCTCTCCATCCCCTTCACCCTCCTCATCCACACCACCGCCCTCTCCCCCTCCAACCCGCCCATCTCCCCCCGCTCCCTCGTCCTCAAAACCCTCCACCGCTTCTGCTCCTCCGTCCCCATCCGCGCCTGGCCCCTCGCCCGCTCGCCGCCTCACGCCCGCCCCGCCCCTAACACATCCACCTGGCTCCTGCGCGCCGGCCCGCACACAATCCTCGACACCGCGCTCGCACCCGACGAAGCAGCGCGGCTGACCCGCCGCACGTGGGCGGTCTCGCTGGAACTCTTCCGCGGCGCGGTGCCGCGCGACACGCGGAGCAGCGGGTGGGCAATGTTCGCCGACGAGGTGCGCGGCGTGCTGGGCGTGCTGAGGCAGGCGTTTGAGGGGTTTGAGGGGGAGGGGGGCGGCCGCATGTGGGATGTTGTGTTTGGCGCGAGGAGCGTGGTGAGGGTTGGCGTTGGGGCGGAGAAGGGTGCGGCGAAGGGGGTGGTGGTGCTGGTGGCGGGGTTTGAGAGGGAGTTGGATTGTTTGAGGGGGGTGGGAGAGGTGGGGCGGTTTATGGGTGTGGGGAGGTGGTTGGAGGGGGTGTTGTTGAGGGGGGGGGCGGGGCGGAGGAGGGATGGGGGCGTGAGGAGGGTTGGGGTGGAGGGGGGGAGGGAGAGGGAGAGGGAATGGTGGGATGTTGTGCATGGGATGGAAGGTGAGGAGATGGTGATGCTGATGCGTAAATGGGAAGAGCATGGCGTGAGGCTTGGGGTCTCTGTGCACTCTCGGAAAGATGGGACGGCGGAGGTCGTTGTGCAAGGCCAGCACAGCACACTGGATGCCGAGTATCTGGTTGCATACACAAAACTCATAGCCCACTTCGTCAACGTTGCACACAGATACGATGCAGATGGCCTTGCCAGTCAGCTCGAACTCTTGCAGTTGAACCCACCAACTAAGCTTCCAGATCGCTTTGCGAGAATGCTCGACTTCCTGGGCCAAGAGGGCCGGGAAGGGAGAGACGCAATGCAAGCTACACTCCTTGCACGTATGGCTCCGATATCCAGGCCAGACAGTCCTCTGCAAATGCCCACACCTACTCGACCAGACCGTCCCCGAAGGGCAGTAGATCCGTTCTACAACCTTAGAACGTACCTTGAGGCAAACCACGCTCGGAGTAGAAAAGACATGGTGCAGTTCATGGAGAGGTACGAGAGTGCTGGCGGGTATATGCCCACGACGGAGGAAAGGTTGTCCGCAATACTGGACGCTGAGGAAGAAAGACTGAGACGGGAAGGGAAGGAAGTTGAAATGACATCTAAGACGCCAGGTTTCTCGGTCGCAGTTGATGCGAAGAGCAACAGTTCACTGCTCACAGAGGGTGAGCGGGCAGTTGTAAAAGCAGATGAGGCGGCGAAGAGTGAGCGAGTACGCAGCTGGGTCCAGCATTAGACAGGTAAACAGCAGCAGAGCGACAGGAGTTTCGAGTATATTTTAAGGCTGTTATTCTACGTCTCAGACGTTATCGTTGGGTATAATTATAAACTTGGTGTTTGCTTGGTGCTGGAATCGTGTCTAGCAGTTCACGTCCTCCATGACTCCGCCACCTGTACTCTTGACGCACTTTCCGTGGTTTTGGCGTACTTCAACGTCTATTGACTGATTAGGTGTGCGATTCAGTCGAGTTAACGCCAGAGCAGTCGTACCTTTGGCTGGTGCGGGGACGGCAACGGGGACAGCGATGGCAAAGGTGGCCATGGAAAGAACGGCAGCGATGACGGCGGTGAACTTCATTTTGTGGCTGTGTTGTTTTTATTGAGAGATACGGATTGTATTGTTCGACGATGAGAGAGTGTACGAGTTTTGAGTATTAAAGTATAGACAGAGAATGTGCTTGATGTTGGGGAAGGGACTCATAGTCGCAGTACCGCGCCTTATACTCTTTACCAGGCATACGCAATTTACAGTCACCCAAGACTGTCTTGTCAGTGCTCTACGTCGCAGCCATGTTGCCTGAAACCGGATGCACATGAATCCTGAGGATCTTGCTACCGCATGAGGAGCGCAGGCATCGATCTGGCGCTAGGCTCATCACCCCGCTGCCAGGCAAAATACAGATTGGCGCATTCTGGGGTACGAGGTGGTTTCTCCTGAGTTGAGTTGTATCAGAAGTGCTTGGAGTGTCTCAGGCGGGCTGTGAAAGGGTCGAGACGCGCGGTCGCTCAGCCCTGTGATGCTCGAAAGGCGGATTACGGATTTTGACTAAACTCGGGGTTCGTAGCAACGAATTCATGGCGAATATTGTTCGCAAGAGTCCCTTACACATAGAGATGGCAGAGAATATTGGTTCTTGATGCAAATAGGCGCCATGTTGCCATTAGTTGGTATTGTAGTGATGGAAGGTAAGCAGAGGTCCTGAAACTCTACCAAAACACGTCCAGTTGGACAGGCGATCATCGACGTCACCGCACGTGATTTTCGAGGGTAAGTCATCTGCATTGCAAGATCCGGCTGCAGCAGGAACACTAACACTGTCCAGAACCATATTAGAGACTCTGTGCACTTCGTAAAGACACGGACTTTATCACTCGAGTCGTAGTCGACACCGGAACAACGCTGTCGCCAGCGCCGCTGAATGCAAGCGTCCTCGAACGACCACATGTGCTGTGCTACACCCAAATGTTACTTACAGGAAGCACCCTGGAATCGCGGAATATGCAAATTTGCAAAACCTTTGACTATAATGACAACGAGTTTTTGTGTCACAGTCTTTATCACGTTTCGACATGGCAGGCCGTATCGTTTGTTTCAAAGTACACACCGATCGACTTATGCGAGGACCAGTATCGCAGCCTCTTACCCTCGTCGGCTTCTGAGGACCACGTGCTCATTTGCCCGCCTTACTGAGTCCGAGGGCGATACCCTTACAACATCTGATCAGGTACGTCTAGATGCTCAACCTGAAGGCGAGGAGTGGCTTTTCTTGATCGCGGTATTCTCTAGTTAATGTGATATGTGAAGTAATGTTGTGAAGCGAGGCATAAGTTACAAGAGACGGTAAGCAGATCGTAAAAAGAAAGTAAGTAAAGAGCAAGCAAACAGCAAGCACCCGCTCGAATGCATAAGGCACAAGTATTATTTGCACTTGAGGTGAGGCCAGCAGGAGCATCGGCGTCAGTGTTCGTATTACGCCGTCGCTTCAGTCTTCCTAGAGAAAGGGAATTGCTGAATGCAAGAAAGGTGAAAGCGCAAGTTGGCTTGATTGGGTACCTCGCGTTCTCCGCTTGCGAGGGAAGGTGCGCAGCTCTTCACTTCTGGTAACCACAACAACACTTTTCCCCCTCACAATGGACATCGGTAGCTCATACTCACCTTTTGATTAACTACGCCGTCTGCAGCAATCGCAGATTCTCAGCGACAATCTCAATTCCAAAACGAAGATCTCTGTGAAAGCCAAGGCAAGCGACAGATCTGGAGGCACAGGCAAAGCCATGGCCGACAATAAAGGCTGGCGCAAGAAACTAGGCAGCAAGCCGAAGGAGCTACCTCCTATCAAGACTGTGTTCGAGGACACTGCTGTAGTGCTGCCTGCCGAGATAACGGCCGAGTCGACCGACCGACGGCGCCATGGTTGGCGAAAGACGATAGCGGCCAGCAGACCGTCAACACCTTTGAACCAAGCTCCACCTACAAGGACTCTAGACGACATTGAAGACACAAGAAGTGAGCGATCTGAAGCGTCAACGCCGCGTCGAGACTCGAAGCCAAAGCTTACTCGCTACACATCCTTATTCACCTCTCATAAGGAGGAGCCAGTAAGCGCAAGCCCTATTTTCTCAGAGCTGTGGAGTGGCGATGCACCTCCAGCTCAAGAAGATCCTTGGTCTTACATTGATCCTATTGTAATTATGGAGTCGATCCACTCCCACATGTGCAAGAACTACATGGTGCCTGTTCCTCTTGAGTATACCAGTGGTTTGTTCCAAATCTTCGACGACTATCGGAAGTTGCGATCGCACAAAGAACTTTTGGAGATTCGCGAACGAGAAGCCCTGCAGCACTCACGTAAGGTGACAGCACAATGGCTTGAGTCTGAAGAGTTGTACGAATCTGAAATTCGTCGCCTCGAACTGCTCATTGCGCGTGGAACGACGGGTATGACTGGGTAAGCGGATTCTTACTCACTTAGAATATTTCCTAAAGCCCTTCACAGACTCATGCAAGCACGCCGGGGGACCGTGGTGGACCGTAAACGCCATCACCGAAGGGCAACCTCGACGGACCATATCTCTCCTCGTTTCCAGCACATGTGTCCAGAGGAGGTAGATAAAGAAATCAGAGCAAATAGTCAGCATGGTCTGTATACACCAGATTAGTTTCTAGCATTATAACTGACGGCATCATAGTTCTCCTGCATCGACCAACCTCGGCATCCGGAAGAATGACTGCCCTATCTCGACATTTGAAAGGTCCAGGAGTATCGGATCTTTCCGTAGGTACTCTTCCCTGTGAGAAGCAAGTATCAGCACTGTCTCGGAAAGTCAAGAGTGAGTTGAATCTAATGGACCTACACAACGTCGACGATTCGCAGCCTGATTTTACTGTCACCACATTTGGCCGGTCGAGCACAACGAATGATGCGTTACGAGAAGTCACCGAAACAGCAGATCAGCTGGCGACCGATGCCGTCGAATATGATGCCTTCGTCGCTCTCAAGGAGCTTAGTGCTCTTGTTGCACGTCGAAAAGGACTGGACGTGGCAAGCTTCACTGAAGGACTTATGGCGTTGCTTGCTTTCACGAACCCCGCAGAGGCCACGAGTGAGCTTGCAGCAAGCCGTAATAGATTGCAGAGTCCTGGGGCTACAGAAGACCCAAAGGTCCGTACAATTGATAATGTGTCTGGTTCACAACATCAACTGCTACGATCTCAATCATTCCCTAAACTTGAACAGAAGCCCCGGCGCCATTTCTCATTTGAACCTGGAGACGATCAAATCCAAGACTTGGAAACCGATCTCAAGATGAATGATTCACTCTCCCGTACCAATCCGACAGACTCTGAAGTGTCACTCGAGTGCCATCTATCTGATGACAGCTTGGGAACAAGCGACAATGATTCAACCGGTCTGACTCCGGCATTTGGTGCGGAACTTGCGAGGCCATCTATGATTCCAAGCCCTGTCCAAACAGTGGGACGAATCCGTCGAGAGAACTCCGTGTCAAGTCTACAGTCTGTATTCATCAGGAACACTCAAGATAGTCGCCACACCTCTTGTACCAGTATCCGAACAGCGTTTCGAGAAGGACCAGATACCAATGCATCAACAAAGCCGAAAAGCAGAAGTAGCTCAAATCACAACTTCCGCGCGGCTGGATCTCCGTCAGGCTCGAAAGAACGACAGGGCAGTCTTCCAAATCGTCACAGCATCGCTGCTCTAGCGGCTGCGCGAGCAGCTGAATCCAGAAACAGCAACCTATCGAGGAGCAACACGCAATTGTCCGTAGCTACATCTGCTTCTCGTAAACGACACGGTAGGGAGCAAAGAAGGACCGAAAACAACGAACCAAGAACGTACACTAATGCTGATGAGGAGCAGAATGACACCGGAGTATAAGCGTAGGTACCTTCCTGTTCAGGCCTCAGGATGTATTGACATCCTAGGATTTAATGATTTGGTCAATAAGGCACGCTTACATTCCTGCGGCGCTTTGGCGGGTACAGGGTGGCACCTCGACTGACTGTCACGTGTAGTACGGAGATCTAACAACGTCAAGCAATAAGCGTAACATAGAGGCGAGTAAGCAGAATTGAGTTAATCTGAGCAACAAGCTTATCGGTGCCTTCCATACTACCAAATTCCTGTCAAGCCGTTCTCTACCTGCTCATAGCTCATTTCGCATACCCATGTGTCTATTACAAGGGATGATCATAATTGGCTAGGACCTGGTTTTCGGAAGCGACCTCCACTGAAGATCATATTTATTTGTTATGTCCCAAGATTGCAGTCAAGTCCGCAATCCAATAAAAACTTAGTCGCCTTCACAATACAAACTGAGTATGCGGCCCAAGGGGTCACGGCTACACTGCCAACAGTGATTACGACGCTGCTACCACCTATCAGCATGGCGGTTGAACAGCTACGGTACGAGTGGTCTTCTGACTAAAAGCAGCACGGACGACTATCTCATCATCTTGCTGTACCTAGCCGATACGTTTAGGAGTCACTAAGACAACGGCTACTATGGCTTAGTCGGTGCAACGCCCTGGCGGTTTGACGAACGCATGTGCAATCCAGCCCTTTCCGAAAGCTTCTATTTCTGTTTCTGCTGCAGGAGTACGCGTCCTTTTCTACGGAGAGGCAAATTCTGCGTAACCGAGTGTATGAATCGCGACGCCACACTGTGGCGAGTGGCGAGTGGCGGTGCTCAGCCGTTGTTGCAGACCCTGAATGCATTGGACGCAATGTCAATCATACCCGTCTTAAGCGTTCAACGTCGCGTGATGATGTGCAACGATTGCTAGTCAGCCAATCAACACACCTCGATCTAACTCATGGTATCTGTGCGGTCGCCACACCGTCTACACAGGCGAGGTCCACAAATCGTGTTCGCCGGATAGCTTTGCCATCAGCCTTGCGATTGGGCGCAGGCCTAACCCCGCAGCACATGCAACATTTGCAAAGGGTGGCTGGTGTAACTGAAGATGGCACAGATCAGTGGTGGTGTTACAGTCGGTGTCTATTCTTTCATCACCGACGCACGAAAGTTGTGACGATGACAAGAACCTTCGAGCATCGTCGGAGCAAACCACTGGTTGCCAATTTCGGGAAAGCGCCCGCTAACGACTCCTTAATCTCGGCTTGACAGGTGCTAGGGATAAGATTCAGTGCATGCTAAACGGGTTACGGGCGCGCTGCAAAGCACCAGGCATTACGACTCCAACGGCTGCTTGTGGGATTGGTCCGAGAAGCTCAGTCTCACAATCGGGTCGGCCAAGGCATGTTGGGTCGGCCACCGGGTGCATATACGCAGGGGAAAAAGCTCCGAAGGCATGATGAAATGGTCGGGGAGCCAGGGTTGGCACGACTCTATGGGGCAGCGGCAGAGAGCTCTGCCGCGTGGGGACTGCAACCGACAAGGGCTAGCATGGCCCTTTTCGGATGCAAATTTCCATCATCAGATCGGTTGATGTCATGGCGCATAACAGCGCCAGCACACACCGTAGGCGCTGTGGTGTCTGCGACTGTTCAACGGGGCCTAGCGCGAGTGGAGATGGACTCATCGAGAGGAGCAATTACGAGCGTGGAGTGGACGCGGGACGTGTCAGTGTTGGACGAGCCACACAAGCCTCGCACGAACGCTGGTGTGGCAGTTCAGGTGGATTCGAGAAACAGCGGGCTGGGACGACAGATCCTTGGGCTGATTTGCGCTCGCAGTGCGGGATGGCGACAGGTGCAACGACAATCGCACCTCTTTGGGCCTCGCAAGACTTCTGGACGCTCGCGGGAGCCGTAGGGCAGTGGCTGTGCAAGACGGCTGCCGGGAGATCAGTCGCAGACGGCTGCGTAGAGCGAGCCACAGACAGCAGGCCGCTCGCCAGATGGGCAAAATTACACGCCGAAGCAGCCAGGGAGACCAGCAGGCCAGCCTAGCCGGACTCTAGACTCGCACCCCACTGCAGCTGCACTGGCGCTCCTAAATGCCACGCGCGGCCCTCGCAGCGATTCCGTCAGGCAGCTCGGTCGCTAACCTGATAAAAGACGCCTGACCTGTCGTCGCATGCGCCAGACCGAGCCACAGTTGACACTAGCCTTGCCTGTGGGAGCTGCTCCGTTTCATCAACCCAAGGTCCACATCAGGGCTCCCCAACCTCCGACCTCACCTTCACCTCTCGATGCTCACAAACGACTCGCAGCGTCTGCCTTGAGCTTCTCGCGATGTTTCGCAACCGGTACGTCCCCCCGTGTGTTGATGGTGTTGCTTCCCGCCAGCGTGCTGTGATGTTCGCGCGTCGCGTCCGGCCCGGCAAGCTCGTAGCTAACCAGCGGTCAGATCCTCTCAAGCAAAGCCGAACGACGAGCTGCTGGAGAACTTCAAAGCCTCTTTCCCCCACCTCCAGCGGTCGCATTCGCTTGCAGCGCCCCAGGGCCATTCACTCACCGATGCGCTCGATGTAGCGCATCCCGCCAGGTACGTGCCTCTTGCGCAGCCCTGTCTTTGCATGCGTGATGCGCGCTGCGCGCTGCGCGATGCGCCCGCCTTGCGCCGGCGGTAGCGTGCCGTGTCTCTTTGTCCCTGCACCCACGCGGCCACTGCCCACGGCTGCCCCTCGTGAAGCACCACGTTGCTAACCTGCCAAACAGACACGGCGATGCCGACGACATCAAGGACCAGGACCCCACGCCGCGGGGAAACAACGAGCCATGGCGCTTTACGCCCTCGTTGCTCGACCCCAACAGCTTTGCATTCACAAACTTTGCAAACCAGCCTCCTGGCTACTACACGCCGACGCCCGGCGGCACCAACACGCTCTACCACAGCCAGGCCGGCGACCTGCACACGCCCGGATTCAGTTTCGGCCTAGGCACACCCCTCTCCCTCCCCACCTCGGAAAGCGCCGTCCACGCTGGCCAGACCAATCCCCACCTCCAGGGCTTCAATCCTCACGCACTGGGAACCCACCACCATTTCCAGAATGCCAACCCTTTCGGCATTCAGCCCCAGCATGCCCAGTCGTTTGCGCCACACCAGTTCACCCATCAGCCATCAGCCTTCGATCATGCTTCTCTCTCCCGGCTACACGAGGACCCCCCCATGGAGAATGTCATCCCGGAGGTTGAGATGCAGTCTCCCCTCATCGGCTTTCCTCCTCAGGCTTACGGAGACAACCTATCGACTGCACTGGCTGCTGCAGCTCAGCCAAACCAAAACTTCCGTTACCACGTTACCTTGAATGCACCAACCGCTATGGTAAAGCAGCCTGACGAGGTCCCCGTGACCTACCTCAACAAGGGTCAAGCATATTCCATCTCTCTGGTCGATACTGCACCCCCTCAGGCGCCTTCGTCAATCTGCAAATACCGTACCTACATCCGGATCTCTTTTGAAGATGAGCAGCAGCGACAGCGTCCTGCTTCTTGCTGGCAGCTCTGGAAAGAAGGCCGCGGTACCAACGAGGCGCATCAGCGGGGCGGCCGACTCCAGGCGGTCGAGTTCGTGGATCCAAGTCAAGTTGGCGGCGGTGAAGTCCAAGGACGACCCAGAGTCGAGCTCGAGATGTCTTCCTTCGATGGCTTTGCTGTGACATGGACTCCCGCATCTAACGCTGCGCCCGAATGTTCCTTGGCCGTTCGTTTCAACTTCCTCTCCACCGACTTCAGCCACTCCAAGGGTGTCAAAGGCATTCCTGTACGCCTTTGCGCCAAAACTGAGCTGGTTTCGGAGACTTCTGGATCACCATCCGAGACACTCAACGCCGAGCTTTGCTATTGCAAGGTCAAGCTCTTCCGCGATCATGGTGCCGAACGGAAACTGTCAAACGACGTTGCGCACGTCAAAAAGACGATCGACAAATTGAAGCAACAGATTGCCCAAGTCGAGTCCGGTATGAAAGATTTCGGAAAACGCAAGCGCAGCGGAGACGACAAGAGCAGCAATTCCAGGCCTGGAAAGCTCCAGAAACACAAACGGACGTGGTCGATGTCTTCCGCGAGTGACAACCAGGGCGCTCGTCCAGCAGCAGAAGAAGACTTGCACATCAAGTTGGCATCTCTGCAGGACATGTTCAGTTCCACACGCCCCGTCAGTCTTCTTTACCTGAAGGGCGAGGAACAGGATGATCCAGATCTTCACCCAGTTCAACTTTCCTCTTCCACACCCCAAGAACTGCCAAAGATCGACACCGCTGTTGATTCCCAAATGTGGGAGGCCCAAAGCCCGCAGACAGGCAACTCATCCATGATATCGCCAACACCAAGCTCGCAATCCCTGCATTCTGATGGGAAACGCAGGGCTTCATCATTCCAACGACCTGGTCCTTACGGACCACCATCGCGCATGACCTCAAGCGAGTGGAGAAGCCTCCCGCAGACTGCCACAAGTGATCTGAAAGGCATGGTCGCAATGCATGGCGGCTCTGACGTTCCCACCAAGGTCCAGAGGCCCTACTCTGATGATCATGCCCTATCCGGTTGGATTGAGGCACTAGGTGTTGATCAGACGTACCAGCCACCGCCCGAGCCCATGCTAAAGCCAGGTATGTACCCCGTCCAATTTTCTCGTGCTCTTTAACTGACTGCGTACAGTTGCTTGCTTTTTTGTACAACCAAGGATTGCTGGTAAGCAGCCGGATGACAACTATTTCCGCGCTGTTTATGTGATGGAGCGATCTGTCAAAGCTCTCGTACACAGCATCGCCATGAAGATTAACATCGAGCCGACTAAGGTGACTCGTACAGTCCGGATCAACCAAAAAGGTCTGCAGATCTTAATGGACGACGAGGCGATCAACGCAATACCCGAGCAGCAAGACATGGCGGCCGAATTCCACGAAATCGGTACACCCCCCGTTCAGCCTATGAAGCGAGAATGGGACGCCGGCCCTACGGATATACAGGTCGACGGCGACATCTCCGTCGTCGAAGCTGTGCACTCGACTGGCTACGAGCTCCGCCTTCTTTTCTGAGCGTTCTTCCGAACATCGGCCTTCATCGATTCCACCACTTTCCCTCTACCTTTAGACTCACGACCCATCCATACTTATGATTTTGTACTATTCGTACATTAACGGCGGGTTGCCCTCGCCCTACAGGGGGCTAATTGTGTTGATCTGTGTTTCGACACAAGGTCATAACTACCGGCGTTGAGAATCTTTGGAGATACCATTTGTTCTTTGCGGACGGAATATTTCCTTTTGTTGATATACCTTGCTCATTCTTCTTTCGGTTCGACAACGATACCCATATACCATTTCACCTTTCAGCGGTTTCAGATTGCGAAGCAACAATTAAGTGCGAGGTTTGGCAGGAAGTAACGGCGGTACATACAAGCGGGCGCGTAGGGCGGCGCTGCAACAGCGCAGTAATTGTCTACAGTAGGACGTGTTTGGATTCTAGCGGAGACAGCGGGCCCTCTCCGCCAGGCAATATCAAGTCATTACACTCTTGCAGCATGGTGCCACTAGCCTACTCAGTTCCCCTCTTCATGCTGCTGGCATGAAGCAATGCTTTTCCACGTTCACTAATCAGTCACAGCTGACATCCACTTGTTTCCATTAGGTCACGTCAAGAGCTCGTCGGCGTCTGGTTCTTTGTAGTGAAAAGCAAATTCGGTACCACAGCTGGCTCGCTACCACGGTGTCATCAACGTGCCAAGCTAAGACGCCCAGCTTCCATTACGCCGCCAGTGTGCGGTAAGTCACCGCTGCGCTGCCGTTGGCTTAATTACACCTGGCCAGAGCCTGGAATGTTGATTTGCTTTTAACATAACGATCGACCAAGCAACGGTCAATTCATCTGGCTCCTCAACCACATGAGATAGTCTGACACCAACGTCCGCACCTTTGTGGTTGGTGTTGGCCGCTATGGCTAGTCTGCACAGGATCCCCAGGACAAGCGAAATTGTAGTGGCTGGTGGGCAGGTCTAGCCGGTGCGCTCGATACCAGGCTTATGATGTCACAGTGCGGCACTTGTTCGTCCAATTACAACATCGCTACACCATTTTGTCCGACAGATCCAAAGCAGATGCGCTGGCATTTCTGAATCGACCTCGAATGAAAACAACCCTAGGCAAGCGTTTCAGGTGAAGGGGATTCGTCCTCGTGCTCGGGACGGTCAGATTGTCCCTGCAGCCTGCACAAGCCACCCTTGCCGGTTCAAGTCGACTCGTTGTGTTTAGCACGAGTTTGTCCGTCGCATCACGGCAAAATTGGTACGACAACGACGAACCTCCGGCTGCAAGCGCTTCAAGGATTTTTGGACGATAATGAGGCGAGTCATTCAAACAGTCGGAACTCACCGCGCGAATTGTAAAAAATGGACCTCAAGTTCACGCTTCGCTTCGTCCGAGAAATCATTCGGGTCGGCCTTGTCACTAAGGGATCTCTCGCCACTGCTGCATCGCCCCGAGACCCCGAGACCCTGCATATGCTGCAATGCATGGCATCTCCTTTCTAGAGCCAGAATGCAGACGACGCGTAACACTTTCAGTTCACCGACAGCCTATTAAGGTAGAGGGGAACTTCAGCTGGACTACGAGATATTGCCGTTCTCAGAACGTTCTAATCTTAGTCTTGCCATGTGTAGCTAATGTAGCTAAGCTGCGGAGTAACTGCTACAGCGTTGAATTCGCTCTAATCAGTGAGCCTTGGAGCGCAAGATCGACAATGCAAGCACCTCAAAGAAACGTGTTCAGCCACAAGATGTGGCAACGAAGTATGTACGTTGCTTCATGCACTCGCCACAGCGGCTCGGAAAGCTCCAGTCTCCGTAGAGATGATGTAAGGCATCGGTTACTCACTCTTACGTAGTTTCTGTAGATCCCCGTGTCTTTTGTAGTAAGGATCGTCTGGGCAAAGTCAGCAGAGTACTAGATCATTGAAGTTCGTGGCAAGCACATGTCAAACCCGAACCATAGTTCATAGCACAGCCACAAGCACCACGTACGCTAAGTTCATCAACTTTGCCAAGTGCTAGATGTCGACAGCCTATCATCTAGACCCGTGACTAACACGCGAAGAGGCCAACGCTAAGGCCATACCAGAGGTGCCGAGTGCGGGGCACTCTCGAATAAGCTCGCAGCCACATCTACAACGATTCCCGATAGACAGGATACTGACCCCGAGGGCTGTCGAACGTCGCCTGTCGGCTGCATCTCCGTCCCGCGCGGAAGGCCATCAGATGAGACGGATGTCACCTCGATGAAACGGTCGAGAACGTGCCGAATACGGAGCTCGATCCGTGAGAACGTGCAACTGGTGGAGATTCGTGGCTGGTCTTCTAGGGCCACAGGCGAGGCTGCGCGGGGCGTACCGATAACAGTGCTTTGAGCAGGACACCATTCCTCAATCTGGGCGAGATTGAGAAGAACAACCTTGGCAATTCTCTAGGTATGCAGGCGCTTCAGGTCTTGGGTGCACAGTGGGGATCATGGTTTTCGTCAAGCCCGTTTCCGTCAGGAAGTGCTGCCTGAGCAATCCTTTCGGACCGCATTGAGGAAGGCATCTCGGACATTGTTTTCAGTTCTCACTCGATGTCCGCACCCTGAAGTCGATAATGCGGGGTGTATCGATCAATAACAATTTTACAATTTTTTTCGGCCTGGATCTCCCAATCAGTCGGACCTATCTCTCCTTTCCTTGCAGCTCGGCACTTACCAGATGTTTTTACGTTGGCAGATTTTTGCATCACGAGAACGTCGCTGACCCGCACGAGATCGGTATCGTCATGCAAGCGCGACAAGCGATGCTTTGCTCTTGACCGCTCTTTACACAAAGGAATGCGAATACGGGCAAGAATCATTGCGCGACAAACCCTTACCCGGGGTTGCAGAAGTGTGAGTTCACTGAGTCTTTCATGACTTCATGATCGACGTGGAAGCCTGACTGCCCCTGAATGCTTCACGTGCAGAACCTTCATCCGAACAGCTTGTCACTACTGTATTATGAACTGCGTGCTACGTACAGACTATGTACACACTCTTCCAGTAATGATATCAACAAACACCGCCACAGATATCTCTTGCAGTTCGTCCTTCCCAATCGAGCAATGTAGCATTTCGCGTCCCGTTTCTGCAGAGCGAATAAGAGATCGTAGCATGGATTTACGAGCATGCGCCGCTGACGCGCGCATGGAAGACTGCCGGTTGGGCGAACGGACGAGATGTACCTGCTGGAGCCACGTTGCTGGTAAGCTGAGCGAGGACAAGGTTGTTCCCCGGCCGTGAGTGTATCACGCCTACACTTTTGCTTTTCCCCAGCCTCTCTCTTTACACACCGCAAAACATTTTCTGCATCTCCGGCTCGATTGCAGGACCGCAAATTCTCGATGAAATTGAACAAGCGCGAGTCAGCACGTCGATGCGACCAATGCGCAGACAAGGGGTCCCCTTCCACCGTCCGAGATCCGTGACCAGGGAAGAGCACGGCACGATGCGCTGTGCTCGGTGCAGCTTTACCCGAAACGGAAACACGCATTTTGCATCATACGAGTTTTCGCCTGACTAAGATATTGGTAAACCGGGAGAGCGGACTGGGACTGGAGATCTCAGGAAGGAAGCACACCATGGGGATGCTCCGTGCACCACTGTATCGGCGTGCAAGAGCAAGGGTAGGGGTGCTTTGCTGAAAGAGGGAAGTGCTCAGGGGAATGGATTATAACTAGGTTTACGGAATAATTGGTGTCTGTTGTTTGCCAATGTGAACCGACAATCCAAGCTTCAACTTTGCTCAAATGCTGCAGAATATCATCACGCCACTTTATCACATTAGCACACAGATGCAACAACAATTTCGGTGAAACAATGCCAACAAGTCTGTTCGCAGTCCCTCCTGATACCTAGTCCAGTTGCGCGGTCTGTACCAGTCCATGATCCTCTCATATCGCTTCTCCGTCATCGTAGCCCTTCATCTCCAAGCGTTGTGCGATCCCCACGGGCGGCTACCCGCAACCGAACCCGTCCCACTGTAGCGCTCCAGTTAATTCCAAGACCTTGTGCCTGTAGCAGTTGAAACCTCTGAGCTTGGTTCCGACATCCGTGTGAGAGCCCAAGCTCCCTGCACAATCAGATCGTAAACATCACTGCTGATCGCACAGCAAGGAGGTGTTTAGAAGGAGCGATTCAAACAGACAGCGGCGTGAAGATCGGTACATGTCTCAGCAGGAAAAAAGCCAGAGAGCGGAAATTTCATGAAAGCTCATACCATGACCCGATTTGAGCTTCGAATCCTTGTCCCAAATCAGCAGTGTGTATCTTAATATCAAACGGTGCGAGTGGGGTTCTAGCCTAATGGCAGCGACATCTAGCAGATCGGCATCCAGGGACACGACGGACGGACAGACGTAACCACAGCATATGATATGAATTGTCTACGGAACAACGACGTTGGTAATGAAAGTTCTATGTAGGCGAGGGGGCCTGTGAAAGTGAGTTGAAGGGACTATGACCATTCTGCCGATATAACCTGTACTGGAACAGTGAGAGCAGTTGACATCATGTTTGTTGATTCTACACCTATCTGGAGATCTTATACGGTGCCGACAATCAAAAGTGATGTTGTCAAGGTCTCGTGCGGAGTGCCAGAGCCCAGCTGAGTTGATGTCTTAGCCACGGCGCAGAGACGAGAGTGTGACTGCGAATTCAATAGCAAAAACACTACCTCAGACGAATTTGCACCTGTATGTCTCGAAAGGGCACAATGGGCCCTTTCTCTGAATGTGGGTAAAATACCGCTTTCCGCCTGATGCGTAGAGTGGCTGTGCAAGGCGACTGCTTGACCTAATATCATGGCTACATCTGTCTTTGCCCAAAGGTCCTCTAATCGTCCAGTTCTCTTCCAAAATCGATCAAGCGAAGTTTCTTTGCATCTTTAGGATGGAACTGCGCGATTTTCGCTCTGACCAAAAACCGGGTCGCAGCCGAATCTCGGTCCAGTTGATAATATGCCTTCCCTCCGCCAGGTCCGACTAAGGTTGCGAACAAATTTTCAATCAATTGCCGCATTGCCGCATCGGCTGCCTCAGCTTCTGTTGGCGGCTCCTCGTCTTCTTCGATGGCCGGCTTGTTTCCCCAAATCTGGTCGATCCTTCGTTGACGTGTTTTGTCGGATGGAGCCTTTTTAGTTGACTTCGCTTTTCCTTGCTTGGTGAAGCCTGCTGCAAGAGTGCCATCCTGAACATTCAGTATGTCACCAACGACTGGTCCTCCTAGCTCTTCGGCTGCTATCATTGCTGCCAGGTAATCGTTGATGAAGTCGTTTAAATCAACCTCAAGTGACCGTGTCGCTGCATCATAAGTTTCCTTTTGTGCACGTTTGGTTGCTATCAACTCTCGAGCCAGTTGTGCAGGTGTTTTCTGTGAGCGAGCTTCTTCTTGCGCGCGCAATCTCTCAATTCGATTCTCCATTGAATGCGTGAGGAGCCCTGCATCTTTCAAGTTTGCTTCCTCGCGGCGTAATAACGCATCTGTCGTTGTTATCTTCTGTTGTGTGCTGGAGATCGCCCGCTTGGTCCCCTGGACGTTGTGCTGTAGGGTACGAGCGATCAGAAGCGTGGGAAGTACAGAGCCCTTCTCTGGAAGGAAGGGTGCAACAGCCGTGAGGCGCTTATACGCGTCTTTCACAGCACGAAGTTGTTGAAGCCTCTCATGCGGATCCGAGGAAGCAAAGGCGGCAGCCTCAATGTTGACGTGTGATTTTGCTCGCAGCTATGTATAGTGTAAGAAAACAAGCCTTAAAAATACTGTGTTCTGCATACCGTCTCCAATGCAGCCTGTTGTTCCTCGACGCGTGCCCGCAAATCTCTTATTGTTTGAGCGAGACGCGCCTCAGTGTCAGACGCGTCAAGCTCCATCAGGTCATCACGCAACTCAGGTACATCCTTGGAATGGAAGCGAATCTTTTCGATGCTACTGGCTTGTTCTTGCGCCATGTTCTCCTATCCTTTGGCCGTGATGTGTTGGTGTTGATGCGTTCCTTCCGTTTGGTAAGCGATGATGACGAACTAGGCAACGCCGCTTCTTTCACTAAGCGGCACTGTGCTTCACTACAACCTCTCACCTGGCTCACTGTATTGGCTAGCACTGTATGTAAAGCATTGCGTGGCGAATGAGAGCAGGTAATGTCGCACACGTGACCCGAAACTGCCAAGACTGGCGATCTCCACTTCCTTTTTGGCGACGATTGCATAACGTGCTTCCCCCATCGCCCACTCCACCTACCCTCCACCCCCAGAGCTGTCATCTCGCGCGCTACCCCACCCCTACCTTTCTAATCACACATCTGTGTTCGTGGAAGTCGCGAACCTTGCTTTGCGAGAAGGTTTGACGAGCGAGCTTTTCTTACTTGGGCCGTTTCTTCTTCTGCTCGACTCCACCTCGCCCCAAGCCAACACCCACCCTCTCCGACATCCTCGCGTCATTTGCACACGCTCTTGCAGTCTGTCATAGACACCAAGAAGACACCATTCCGACATCCACACCATCTGCACGCTTCCAGCCCAGTCCAAGCTCCGACCGACCTCACCTCCACGCTCCCTCCAACCGCACCTCCGCAATTCCTTCCCAGCCGCCAGCACCAATACGCTTTCCTTGACAGCCCCCGCTGTACATAACAACGAATACAATTGAACAATTCCAGCGTCAGCTTGAGCACTTGCGTGGATTGTGAACGAGCTTATCACCCAAACCTTCAATCCCCACACAATAGCTAGGAACAATGTCCGCATCGCCGACCATTGCCGCCTCCACCAAGCGTCCGCTTGAGGAGCCCTCTTCCCCCGCCGGAACCAATGACCAGCCTGACGCTAAGCGCCCTGCGCTCGACAAACTGGTGAAAGATGAGACCATTACCGACGACATTGAGACAGCACTTCCTGTCAGGGCAGAGAGCATCGCTACAGAAGATATAAAGGCCGAAGAAGTCAAGCCAGAAGACGAGACTGCTCAGGTAGCCGCTCAGAATGGCGATGAGCACGCTCAGGTGGACACAGTCGTTCCCGATGCTCCTGCCATTCTTGAGACCCAGCCCATCCAATCCACTGCTGGTGCTAACGGCCGCCCCGCCAACAGCAACCAGCAAGTTGACGAGTCGAACTGGCTGCATCTGCGAGCATGCATTGGTACCAGTGAAGCTGCGACCATCATCGGCAAAGGCGGCGAGAACGTGACCCAGATTCGACGTCTTTCTGGTGCGAAGTGCACTGTGAGCGACTACTCACGTGGTGCTGTTGAGCGCATCCTCACTGTGAGTGGTCAAGTCGACGCGGTTTCCAAAGCATTTGGCTTGATCGTGCGCACTTTGAACCAAGAGGATCTCGAGAACCCTTCAACATCCACCTCCAAGGCCTACCCCATGCGTCTTCTCATTCCTCATATCCTCATTGGATCTATTATTGGTAAAGCCGGAGTCCGTATTCGCGAGATACAGGAGGCTTCCAACGCAAAGCTGAACGCTTCTGACACCCTGCTGCCCAACTCTGGCGAGCGGTCATTGGTTGTCCTTGGTGTCGCCGACGCTGTGCACATTGCTGTGTACTATGTTGCTCAAACATTGGTGGAGCAGTTAACAGAGCGTTTCGGTGGTCCCGCCGCGTCCCAGTACGCAACACGAAGTGGCATGGCTGCAAATGTCGTCCCTGGAGGCATGTCCGTTCAGCCATACGTCCCTCAGCCCGCTGGAGGTCAGTACTCGCAACCTCACCCGCACAACTTCCGTCGACCGGAACCTCAGCGTACTCCTCAGCATGCAGGTTATGGCGCTCCTCACATGCATGGTCAGCCGCCACAGCAGGCACCGTATGGACACCCTAGCATGGCGTACGGAGCTGGTTCGCCTGCTCGAGCTCATTATGGGGGCCAGCCACAGCCGGCGCCGTATGCTGGCCACCACGGTGCAGCGCCAGTTGCACATGGTGGTGCCCCCAACCAGCCGCCAGTCCAGATGCCAGGTCAACCCCTCACGCAGCAGATCTTCATTCCCAATGACATGGTGGGTGCTATCATCGGTAAGGGCGGTGCGAAGATCAACGAAATCCGTCAGCTTAGTGGTAGCGTCATCAAGATCAACGAGCCTACAGACAACAGCAACGAACGTCTCGTCACGATCACGGGTACACAGGAGTGCAACCAGATGGCACTGTACATGCTGTACTCCCGACTTGGTTAGTAACCCCTTCCCCTTCCATGACCTTCAAAAACTTACACCAACTACAGAATCGGAAAAGCACCGTATCTAAGTACTTACGTTACTTCCGAAGCTACTTTGCATGCACGCGTCTCTTGACGATGTGTTGCCTTGTGCTTCTATGACTTAAAACAACTGCATACCCGGCATGGCGTTCTGAATTACGGGCATTTTTTCGGTACGTACATCGCGTACGCCTGGTCTGTACTTCGACATGCGCAAGCACCGTCGAGTAGCATTTAAGATTCGGTGGTGCGTAGTGGTGGGCAGTGGCGGTCGCCTTTTCTCGATTTATCTCAATCGCATATACACAGCGGCCTCTCATTGGCAACATCTATCTCAAGCAAAAGTTTCCTACAATGTCATTACTTCAAACATGATACTTCTCCTGACCGTCGTGCATCATGCATTGTTTCGTTGTTCGCGTGAGCTGTTGGAAGTGTTGTTGTCTTGTCTGTTTTCGCAAAGGTAACACAGGCCCCCGTTTCCGGCGTTTATTTGCTCCGCGAGGGGGTCAGCAAACGAACAAAGCAGCGAGAGTCAGCCGCACGCATCGACAAGGTAATTGTAAGGAAGATGTCACAGCAAAGAGAAGCGGTTGTCTGTTGCTTATACGGATATAGATAGTCGCATTCTCAAACACGCACATTCCTTGAAGATCAATGACGGATGCGCAGCCCACCCGCATGCGGTTGCGATACTGAGCCTCATCAAAACGACAACGGTTGCTCGTTGCCCCTGTCTGTTCGAAGCAGTGATACGAGGGGCTGAAAGTGCTTGTGTTGTCCTTGAATTTCGACAGCAGCAAGACGACAATATGCACACCATGCAGGAAACGACCGTGACTACACGCAGCATTGGTGTAGCATTCAGCACCGAGCTATCTCCTACACGCGTTCTCACCAATCTGCCACCGCCATACACGTGGACAGGTGCGCGAGCCGGAGAACTTCGGTACGTCTTTACTTGAGGAAATACACTGACATTGCGACTGATGGAGATAATTCTAGAGCCAATCCTGCAGACTTCACGTCTACAGTTACCCTATATGTTGGCGCAAAACATAGTCCCTTTAGCATTCACACCTCTCTGCTCACCACGCAATCACCCTACTTCCGCGCCGCGCTCACCGGCCCGTTTGTCGAATCTACGACGAAGACTATTACACTCGACGACATATCGCCAGATCACTTCCAGCTCCTCGTATCCTGGTTATATACATCGGCTATACCTGCGCCTTTCAAAGATGGAAAGCCAGCATACTATACACTTCTGCACTTGTACTCCCTGGCCGACCGCCTGTGCATTGAAGGCCTACGGAACGCGGTAGTGGACCTCATTGCAGACCTCGCGGATCGTACAAATTCAGTACTGACACCGAGCGACACTCGTATCCTCTACGACGGCATCCGCGAATCTGCACCCCTGCACGATCTCGTTCTCGACCTTTTCGCGTTCAAAAAGACAGACCGACTGGTGGAAGGGCATGCGGACAGCTGGCACGCTGCGTTCCTCCGCGAGCTCTGTGTACTTCTCAAGCGGCCTTGCCCGCAGGCAATGGTCAGACACAGACTGCGCATGTGGTGCCCTGAGTCCTGGCACGGTGCTAGGAGCTGTGATAATTGTCGGGGCGTACTGCAGCCGAGATTCGGAGCGGTGGCGTGTGATGACTGTTGTCTGAGCTTTTGCACAAGCTGTGTAGAGGGAGGGGTCGCAATGGCTGGGTGGGATGATGGGAGGGGGAAAGATGAAGTTGATGGGCGAGATACTACTGAAGGCGCAGGGGCGGACGTCAAGGTAAGAAAGGGAAGGAAGTGGGAGGCGTGTAAGCCATGGAGGGGCGCAAGGTGTGCGTTATATCACGAGCATGATGAAACGGAGAGGTGCGGGGATATCTTCATGGGAAGGTAACCTGGCCTGGACCAAGTTTTGATAGATTTACTTTTGCATCCGCATAGCGTCTCGGAGTATGGATCCGTACACTTCTATTACCTCAATATACATCAAGGTCATAATGACAAGGGAACAAGATTGAGAGGTGAACAGCAGTTGAAGAGAAGAAGAGTGACGCTTCGAACGCCGTGATGGTATTGAGTTCTCCAGTCGTATCAGTCACACATGCAGGTAGAGAGCCTACTTATTTTACATAGCCAGAGATGCCTCTTTCCATCCAAAAGCTGAGATTACAAATAATACAGAGTCGCATCAGGATAATTATGCGACGAAGTTCTTGACGTTATTCAACCACCTGATGTACTCCTTCTGCTCCTTGTGGTCAATGTAGTCGGGAATGAAAAGAGCTAGGCGGGTGTTGATGCCACGCTCCTCAAGGTACTTCTCCAAGAGGATCTGGAGGTCCTCATCGAGGTTGTTGAAGGGGGGACCGGTGTAGAGTGACCTCCTTGCCCAGTCTTTTTCGGCGGTCTGAGGGTCGGCGAGTTCGGCATCAGGGAAGTAGTAGAGATCTTCAATCAGGAAGTCGCCATCCTGAGCGGTAGCCTCAATGGCAAGGGCGCCCTTGCCGGGGCGCTCGATGCGGATGTTGGCATGAGCAGGGAAGCCCTGCTCACCTTCGCCCTCCTCGTAATCCTCCTCGAGCTCCTCGCGGTCTGCGGGTGTGACGCCGTCCTCGGGGGCGACGCGAATGTTGCCATCCTTGGTGTTGCCCTGGCTGACAGCACCCTTGGTGTTGGCACCGCCAGACTGGACGTCCATGTCGGCATCGTCGTACATAGCCTGGTCCTCGAGAGCATCCTCGGGATTGACATTGTTGTTGAGGTCGGCAGTAGTGAAGGTAATGCGAATGTTCTCGTCACCGAAGGTGCGGGTCAGGATGACATCCTGGCTGCCGACCTTGTCCTCGATCTATAAACGATCAGTTAGGTGTCTTGGAGTACACTATAGGCCTGTAGCTTACCTCGAAGGGGCTGTTCTCAAGGTACTCCTTGATGTTGGCAGAGAGGTCGTCGTCTTCCCTCATGTCCTCCTCCATGGAAATCTCGCTCTGGAGCTTTGCGACAAGCTCTTCATTTGCTGCAAGCGTGTCAGCGAAACATCCGTGTAACACATAAAGTGGCTATTCATACCGCTGCTTTCTTGCCTCCTGATAGCAGAGATGTGGAATGAAGCCGTGAGCCTGGGGGCGGCCTGGGACCATGCAGGCTGGAAAGCTGCCGTTTGACGAAACAGCGATGGCTGCGGACGGACAGTCTTTGCGAACCGGGCGGCACGAGGCGCGGAGCGGGCAATGTTGCGGAGAGACAGCATTTTGAGTGATGTGTGAGGGTTATCTTGATGCAGTGTGCAAATGCAGTGCTGGATGGTAACTTTTTGGATGCTGGCCCAAGCTTCTCTTGACATCAGTGCTTGGCAGACGATGACCGCGGCCAAAATGTTGCTCGCCGCTATCGGCTTGTGAGAAACATCACTCTTCGTTGCACGAGAGATTTTCCCTATAGTATTCGGGGGAGTTGCGATCTCCATTACGTCGGTGCCTTATACCAGGGCTGCTGCCATTGGATTGCATAGTTTGGAGACGAGTCACCAAGGTAGCTCTGAGATCGAACACACAACCACAAGGAAGCAACACCTCCACGTCTTTGTTTGCAGAGACTCCAATATGGCAACCGCAGTACCAGAAAAGAAGAAGGTATTTCACCGATTTGCAATGCAGTGACGAACAACGACTGATCCATGGTAGCCGAGTGCTATGCGCTCTATTATTGCAGGCGCAACCGCTGGAGCTGTAGAGATATGTAAGCTGAAATAAGAGATGTCTTTGAAGTTGTGTCACTAAACTGGTAATGCTAGCTATCACATACCCTGCCGAATGTACGCATACTCCACACGATACGATTAAAGAAACGATCTGACCTCACCCCAGTCGCAAAAACAAGATCCCAACTCAACCGGAGATTAGCGGATGGCAAGAAGCTGCCGTGGCCACCATTTGGCAAGCAATGGTATGCAGGGTGTACGACTCTGATCATTGGCAACTCGTTGAAGGCAGGCATAAGATTTGTCGCATTTGACGCATACAAGAACATGCTGGCAGATGCTGAAGGAAAGGTCTCCGGGCCGGCGACAGTCATTGCAGGGTTTGGTGCAGGAGCGACAGAGTCACTGCTCGCTGTCACTCCATTTGAGAGCATTAAGACGCAACTGTAAGAGCTGCGTTTTTGAGTTCATTGATCCTTCCTAATATTTGTGTAGTATTGACGACCGTAAATCTGCAAACCCTCGCATGCGCGGTTTTCTACACGGCTCAAGACTCATCGCCCAAGAAAAGGGTATTCGTGGCTTCTTCCAGGGGTTCGTTCCTACGACTGCTCGACAGGCCGCCAACTCGGCCGTACGGTTTTCCAGTTATACATCGCTTAAGCAGCTGGCACAATCCTACGTTGCTCCGGGTGAGAAATTAGGGGCAGTTAGTACGTTCGGCCTTGGAGGTCTCGCTGGTATTATCACGGTCTACACAACCATGCCCATCGACACAGTCAAGACACGGATGCAATCGATCGAGGCACGCAGCGCATACAAGAACAGCTTAGACTGTGTGATCAAGATCTTCAAGGATGAGGGAGTTCTGACTTTCTGGTCTGGTGCTGTTCCTAGGCTGGGACGTCTCATCTTAAGCGGTGGCATCGTTTTCACTATGTAAGTCTGCGTTGACCCTCTCAGAACACATCACTAACAGTATATCAGGTACGAAAAGTCGATGGAGCTGATGGACAGGCTCGATCCTAATGGACAGTACATATAGAAAGCGTTGACCAACAAACAACCAGCTCGTTGTTGTTTGCGGGTCTAAGGAAACTAGCCAAACATCCGCATGAGGCCTTCCATGGCAGAAAGATATGGAAATGCGACACTTGGACACGTGATCATCTAGTGCTGAAGAGCATGGAATCTTAAATGATAGACGTAGTACATTTAGTGGCCTACTCACGTTTTTGACGACTGCTTGAATGGTAGTATGGTCGAGTGCCGCTTTGCCTAGTTCCCAGAAACGCCCGCCACACTGTACCTAAGTCTATAAATCCGGCTTGATACTCAAAATTATGTGTGGGCCCCTTACAGCTCAATCCTCGAGGTCTCCGTTGCATGTTCAACCAAATAAAGACATGCTCTGCAGAGTTGCAATTCCGGCACTCTTTGACTCCCTTGATTCACTGAGAACTCTATGATATCAGACGACCAAGCTAGGAGGTATCCACTTGCTGTGGACCATGCTGCCAGTATATCAGGAGACATGAACATAGAAAAGGACACGGTATTTGGAAGATTAGTGTAGAGCGCAGAGCTTACCAGAGAAAGTATCAACATAAGAGATAGTCGTTAGCAAAAAGAGTGTAGGGAGACAGCAAGTGACTACATCGCGGCCCCAAGCTCCGCAGCGCCGATGTTCAAGTCCAAGGACGAAAAAAGTTTTCGGTGTCTTCAGTTCGGTATTCCCTTTTTCGGGATATTGAAACGGCGCGTCTCGGACGCGTCTAGGGCGTGAGTGGGTCCTGGATCCGTAATGTGGACTGTTCATGCCATCCGTCTCTTGCTTAACCCAACGTCGCTGGATTTGACCCACAGCAAATCCTCAAAACCACGGGCCTGATCAATCCAATATAGCACCGCCATCTACGTTGCAATGTGGTAAGTGAGCAAAGAACGAAACTGTGTCGATAAGAAAAAGCGAGCAACCGAGGTTGGCCTACGTCAGCACCACTCAGAGATGGTGGGGTCACTGATCGCGGGATCAATGATATGCGAGCACGCAATTCCGACTAGAGATCACAACAGGAAGCTCGATGAGTTGACACCATCTTGAGGAGACGAATGTCTTGGGTCTTTATGGATGAGGGGTAGATATAAAGTTTTGCGATTGCGCACTCGGCAGATAAATAGCACTTTGTACCATTGACTTGGGTTACATCTACCGTCTTAAGATTTGCGGCAGCACCACCTTTACGACCTGTTGGTCTTTCCATTTGCAATCAATCGAGTTTGGTTTAGATCTTTCCAATATGGCGCCTGCCTTGACATCATCGGCGCCCACAGCTCCCCACGAGCTTTCAAAGGGTCTCGCCAACAACAAGGTGGACAAGAACATCTTCCCTGACGGCATCCGCACATCAGGACAATATGAACCTCTCTTTGACCAGCTCCGCCCATACGAAGACTTCCCTCAAGAGATTACAGGGCCCACTGCCTGGTCAAAAGCTGACTACGAAAACAACCCTGAGCGATGGACACATGTGTTCTCTGAATCCGAGATTGCGGAAATCTCAAGCGCCGCCGACAAATTCATTGCCTCCAGCGAGCCTCTGACTGGTATCACTAAGGAGAAGTTCCAGCTTCCAGAATTCAGCGGTTTCCTCGAGCCTCTCCGCAAGGAGATCATCAATGGCAAGGGCTTCATCTTGTTCAAGGGCCTGCCAGTAACTGAGTGGGGAAACCAGAAGTCTGCTGTTGCGTACATGGGTCTTGGAACATACTTGGGATACTTCGTGAGCCAGAACTCGCGCGGGCATGTTCTCGGACACGTCAAGGATCTTGGTGAGGATGCAACTCAGATCGATAAGGTGCGCATCTACCGCACCAACGCGCGACAATTCTTCCACGCCGATGACTCGGATCTCGTCGGTCTGCTGTGTATTGCCAAGTCTCTCGAGGGTGGTGAGAGTGATTTGGTGAGCAGCCACGAGGTGTGGAATGTGCTGCAGAAGGAGCACCCTGATGTTGCGAAGCTTCTGACTGAGCCCATCTGGTACTTTGATCGTAAGGGAGAGACGAGCAAGGGCCAGCAAGAGTGGATCCGAACCAGTGTCTTCTATCTTGAGACTGGCGATAATCCGCGGGTGTACTCTAAGTAAGTTTCATACGCTGCTAGAATCAGTCATTATTCTAACAAAAGTAGGTGGGACCCATACTATGTTAAGTCCTTGACACGCTTCAGCGACAAAGGCCTCATTCCTGCGCTTTCGCCTGAACAGGTCCGCGCTGCTGCTATTCTCGACGAGACTTGCCTCCGCCTTGCTCTCCACATGATCCTTGACATTGGCGATATTCAGTTCTTGTCCAATAACCACGTCCTTCACGCAAGGACAGCATACAAAGACTACCCTCCACCAGCCCCCCGCAGGCACTTGATGAGGCTGTGGCTCAGCACACCAGAGGACGAGGGTGGCTGGAAGCTGCCGTTCCACGACAGCAAAGACAAGAAGAGGGGTGGGATTCAGGTGGATGATACACCACCTGTTGCCCCTTACGATGCCGAGTAAATGACCAAACAAACCGCAACAAGTGTAGGAGTGTACGACCCATAGATTTTTCGACCTCAGTGAATAGATACCAAATCAAAATGTGATATCAGTGTCTCGTTGTTCCAGGTGGTATCAAGCTTCATTTGTGCATACATGCACTTCACCTATACATATGCCCAAGAATGCCGAACGCCGCGCTTGCTGCGCAAATTCCCGCACCATGTCCGTTCGAAGCGATTCTCGAGCGCTTCTTTTGCAGGTGTCGCAGGCGATGTGCGAGTCTGCTGCCGTGTCTCGTCCCCTTGTAACGCGCAACTCCTGCCTCTTTCCGATCGCCTGGCCGATCGCCTGGTGCCCCTGTCGCGTGCTCTCTTAATCATACGCCTCATGCCGCCCCGCATCTACATTCCTCGGCCACGACCACGACCACGGCCTCCGCCACGGCCACCTCCGCCACGGCCGCGTCCACCGCGCCCTCTGTCACCACCGCGACCTCCGCGTTCCGCCTCTTTCCTGGCCTTGTTCTTCGGCTTTGGCGCATCGTCAATGAGAAGCGTGTCTAGCGGAAGAGAGTCCGGTAGAATGATATAACGGACTGTTGAACCCCGCACGGTCATGGTATCGAGGGTCACCGTGTCTCGGTTCTTGGCTGTGTATTTGACAGCTCGTAACGCAACGTTCATGAGAGGCGAGACGGAGGTAATAGTGCCATTGACAATGGTGCCGTTCTTGAGTTCGACTGTGACCGTCTCGTTCTGGCACTTCATGAGGAACCTGCGCAATGATCAGCCACAGCTTTGCGCGTTGTCTTCGTGACTGTGCACCTGACGAGTTTCATGGTTGCGGAGTTTTCTGATATGTTCTCAAGAGATTGCTGTTCGTTTGTTGATTGCTTAGGCGTGGTGTGTTTGCGATCGTGTTGCGGTTACGCGTGGGGACATGGAAGCTTCCCAGTCCAGAAATCTACGCCAGGCAGCTAAATGCTTGGCATTGTCACGTGCCTCTCACTCTACGTTCCTAAGATTCCTTCAGAGCTGCTTCCTCTTCCCAAATATGCCTATCTTGAAGGCGGTTTTCCGCCGATGCTATTTGTTGGTTGCACGAACAGAGCGGTACTCTCACACCAAATATTCCTCCACGTGTTCGTCCTCGGTCTGCAATCTTTCACTCCATTGCACTGGAATCGTTGCGCGACTGTGCTTGGACAAGCTTGCGTGATAAGCCCAAATGATTCATGACATCAAAAGTGCATAATTTCTGTACACGTTCGTACCCATGCAGCACATATTCGACGTATCGCAGTATGTCTGTAGACAAATCTGAGCGGAGGCGCCTTACCATGCACACGCAGGGCATTGAGGTACAGGGGTGTTAATCCTCGGGCCTTTATCTCGCAGATTATGGTTCGAGTCTGTCGGTGTCCTGAAGCTCTGACTTGCAGTAATACATGTACGCCGCGCCGGCATCATGTATCAACCCGACGCTGACCCCTCCTGTAGGCTGTACGTCCAAACCCTTGAGAAGGCTTTACCCTTTGCAATTCTCATAAAGGGATCTGCATAGGTTGATAGGCCACTGCCAAATTCTTGGCGCATGCCTGGTGGAGGGCATCTGGGGCACAGCAAATCATTCTGCCGACTATCTTTGGTCCTATGACGACCAGTCAGGACAATCACTAACGCCCGCGCAGCGCAGTGTTTCCTTCTTTCATGTTGTGCACCTGTGCCTACGCCTAGTAACACCTGCGTCTGCTAAGATGGTCTTCATCTGCTGTGGGAACGCTCTACGTCGGTGGAAACGAGCACTTGTTAGATCCCATCCGTTGCGTCAGGTTAGTGGCGGCAGAAGAGCGCGGGATGATTCCATACCTACCCCAGATTCTTTCCCATATTGGTATGGCGCGCACGGGAGTAACGCCCGGCTGCGGTGCTTATGCACCAGAAGAAGGTGGCACATCGTTTTGGTACATGGTGCCGGCGCGGGGCATGCATACATCAGGTCAGAGCCTATGATGCTGTTGCACAGTATCCACCACGTCGGGCTGATGCATGGTGAAAGCGACCCAGAACCTCGAGGAGGACGTAACGCTGTTAGAGATTGGTCGCATACCAGTACCATGCATCAGCCCGAGATGGGTGGATCCTGGAGCTTGGCCAAATATCGATATTGCATGCCGCGCCGGCACCATACAGTATATCAAGCCGAAGTGCCAGGATGGTGTACTGGCAGATAATCAGGATCGTTATCTCTGATCGACGTATAAGACGACTTACGGATTACTTCTTCGATGCCTTACCATCCCATTCATTAGGTTGAAGCCAACATGGCTGAGCCTCAGAAACACAGCGTCTCAAACGAGAAGAGTGAACTTTTCAATGACACTGCCGGTACACATATTGATGCTGTTGCGGAAAAGAAGTTGTTGCGAAAGTGCGATCTTTACATTCTACCGCCTTTATTTGTGCTATTTCTACTTGCCTTCATTGACAGTGAGTGCTGTGCTTCTATTCCAAACCCCACACTGACGTATTTCAGGAACCAATATTGGCAATGCTAGAATACAGGGACTCGAAGCAGACCTTGACATGCACGGTAGTGACTACAACATAGCGCTGTTCATGTTTTTCCCTACGTATATCTTGTTTGAAGTGCCTAGCAACCTAATCCTCAAGAAACTTGCCCCCTCGACATGGCTCTCCCTTATCATGATCTTATGGGGTATTTCAACCATCGGTATGGGGCTCGTGAAGAACTTCGAGGGCCTACTTGCCATGCGTGTTCTACTGGGGTTATTTGAAGCTGGCTTGTTCCCCGGTAAGCGATATCTCGAATCCCTTTGCTGTGTGAATCTCGTAACTGATCTTCGCCTAGGCTGCGTCTATCTCATATCCATGTATTACAAGCGCTATGAGCTACAATGGCGTTTGACACTCTTCTTTACAGCTTCCATCATTGCTGGAGCATTCGGCGGCGTAAGACCACCTTCCCTGCACAAGTGTTGATCCCTAACACTATCTCCCAGCTGTTGGCTTTTGCAATTGCCAAAATGGACGGAGTTGCAGGTTACGGAGGCTGGAGGTAACGTACATTCTTGGAGTGATATTATCTCGTACTGACAGCCTCCCAGGTGGATCTTCATCATCGAAGGAATCGTTACTGTTGTCATGGGCTTTGTCACGAAATTCTGGTGCACAGATTGGCCGGAGACTGCACGGTTTCTCACTGAAGACGAACGGGCCCTACTCGTCGCACGTCTCAGCTCAGATACTGGTGACGCCGTCATGAACCGTTTTGACAAGAGGGCTGCTCGTCGCATCTTCTCAGACCCGAAAATCTACCTAGGAGTGGTGGCATACTTCGGTGGGACTCGTTTTTAGCATGTAGTATTCAATACTAATCAATCCCGCAGGTATCGTCAACACGGGATACGCTGGAGTTTTCTTCGTCCCGACTATCGTCAAGGAACTTGGCTACACATCCTCTACCGCGCAGATCCGTTTTATACCAATCTTCGTGGTCGCTACCGTCGTCGCCATCATCGCAGCATACGTGTCTGATCGTATCCGTAATAGATATTGGCTGAGCATGCTTGGTTTGGTCGTTGCATCGACAGGATACATCATGTTATTGGCGCAAGACAATCTCTCCGCTGGCGTCAAGTATTTTGCCTTGTTCCTTATCGTTCCAGGTGGCTTTATAACCCAGCCCATCGTATTAGTGTGGATGTCCAATCTAGTATCTGGACACTACAAGCGCTCTGTAAGTTCTGCGATGCAAATAGGTCTCGGTAATCTTGGCGGTGTCGTTGCATCGAACATTTTCTTGATTTCGGAGGCCCCAAAGTATCCGACTGGGTATGGGGTAAGTCTGGGCATGTTGTGGATATGCGGCGCTGCTTGCACTGCGCTTTTCTTCCTGGTCAAGATCGAGAATAAGAAGAGGGATAGAGGTGAAAGAGATTGGAGACTCGAAGGACTGGATGCGGATAACCTCGGAGACGACCATCCACACTTCAGATTGACCATATAGACTAGGCAATACTTGCCCCGACCACGATTCAGCAAGAGGTACAGGTCCAATCGTTGTGTTCGCAACCTCTAGCTCACAACGGGGATTTGACTTGGACCATACATCGGCCAGGTTACGGGCACCAATTGTTCAATTGGAAAGAATAAGCAATGAAGTAACAGAGGCCCAAAAACAGGCTCATTGGGCGAGAAGAGGTTCTGTCGAAACCGCCATGTTTTGAACGTGCGTTTTTCCCACCGATGCATTACCCTACACCAATTGCTCAAGACCTTCTTAGAGCATGTCTGACGTCTGCTAAAGCTGCGTGCTTTTTGTCATGTGACTGCAGTTGGAACATGCAAATATTGGTCCGCCACAGCTTCATCTATATGCAGAGCGAGTCATACTCAGTTCTTGTGTGGTCTGATGTCTGAGATCCACGGTTCTATCCAGAGAGCAATTGCAGCGCCGACCCAGACTCTTGAGGAGAGCGTGTAGTTCTACCTAGTTGCACAAGAGCATGGTGGCGGGAGAAAACGTTATTTGACAAGGCGGCTTAGCCAGAGTCTCGACTCGATCTGGCAGTTGGCATTGCAACGGTTGCGAAGGACGACCAGCCACCAATCTCTTCCGTCGTGACGAAGTCACCAGCCAGTCAGCAGTGGGTCTCCACGTCAGCTCTGGATAGACCCGCCATCAATACCACATCCCAGGTCAGATGATCTGCTGAAATCTTGTCCTTGAGGCATCGGAGGCACGCATTGAGCCGCACATGTCGTACGCAGCACTATGCCTGCAGTAAAAAGAGCCGTGGGGCTTTCTTTCAAGACCTGCATAGCCGTCCTCGTGGCTGGGTGGCTCCAAACTTGGCGAGACAGCTTCCGGAATGATCTTTGACGGGTGCACCTAGCTCGCTGAAACAACGAGGAATGACACCTGCAGGTACCAAGGGAGCAGAATGAGGAGTAATGCGCGTCCAAGGGAGGATGGAGCTGCGGGGTATGAAAGGCTCGAAAGTCCTTTCAAGCTGGACTATGATTTGCGATTGAGGTAATCTGGACATTCGTTAATTTTCAAGATGTTGGTAAGTGGAAAAAGTAGTGGTGGATTGTAGGCGTCATGCTGACTTGACGCGTCGCTAGCGCGCACGTTCATTACAGTGGATTTGCTTGACCATCATCTTTCTTTCGACAACTGCGTTCGCTCAGACTTCGGCGTCACAAAATGATTGTGACTGGTACTGTTGGGTGGAGCACAGGCTTGATGTGCTCGAGCAACAAGTTGCCAAGTTGACCAAGCTTCTGGTAAGTTCACTACATCCTGAGGAGTACCTAGCATTCAGTGTTGGCCATGAGTGTCTCGCAACGACTGTACTGACTCCTGTCAGTACTCTGGTGGTTCGAACAGCGGCAATGGCCCTTCACACACCCAGCATTCACAATATACTACGAGCACTACGAAACGCTACTCAACGACTACCTTCGGAACGCCATATGTAAGATGCGCATTGGTAAATGAACGCCAAATCGTGTGCTCACTCCCACTAGGTTACGACTACTGCAAAGACTAGCTATGTTGCCAAACCTACATCAACATCGACAAAGAAGATCGTGACTGTGTCTACCACAGGTTACACTCCCCGCCCAACAGATGTAGAACCACATGACGGTTACCGGGCGATAGGCTACTTCGGCAACTGGGATATCTATGCACGGAAGTTCTTCCCGCAAAACATCCCAGCCGACAAACTTACGCACGTGCTTTATTCCTTTGCGGATAACAAAGATAACGGTACTGTCTTCTTCACCGACACATATGCGGATACTGATATCCACTACGCTGGGGACTCCTGGTCAGAGAGTGGCAACAATGTGTACGGTGCTGTGAAACAACTTCAGCTCCTGAAAGCAAAGAACCGCAATCTGAAAGTCATGCTCAGCATCGGAGGTTGGACATACACTAATACGAACAAGCACATGGACGCACCTATGTCCACTGCCACTGGCCGACAGAAGTTTGCAGACAGCTGCGTCGCCATGGTGCGTGACTATGGTTTTGATGGGATTGATGTGGACTGGGAGTATCCTCAAAATGTTGAACAAGGCGGGCAATTGCTTGATCTTCTAAAGGCTATCCGCAAAGCCCTAGACGGCTACGCTAATACCCTCATCTACGAGGATGGCCATGGAAGCTCCGAGAAACCGCACTTCGAGCTGTCAATCGCCGCACCCGCTGGCGAGTCCAACTACAAGAACATGCCTCTCCGTCAGATCAGCGAAGTCGTTGATTTCATCAACCTCATGGCCTACGACTACGCCGGCAGTTGGGACAAGACGTCTGGCCACGCACAAAATCTGTACAAATCACGCTCAAACCCGGCCTCTACACCATTCAACACCTACGACGTCGTACAAGCGTACCTCAACGCCGGCGTTACCCCCCTCCAAGCTGAACCTCGGCATGCCCATTTATGGCCGCGCGTTCACAAACACGGCGGGCATGGGTCAGTCGTACAATGGAAACGGTAAGGGTAGCTGGGAGGGCGGGGTGTACGACTGGAAAGATCTGCCCTTGAACGGAGCGCAGGTATACTACGACCAAGAAGCCGGCGGCACGTACAGCTACGACAACAGCACGGGGCTGCTAGTGAGTTTCGATACGGTCGACATGGCGCTCAAGAAGACCGATTGGCTCAAGAAGACGAAGCTGGGCGGTGCCATGTGGTGGGAGGTCAGTGGTGATCGGTATGATGGATCGGGATTAATTGACAATGTTGTTGCTGCCCTGAAAGGCAAAGATGGGAGCGGGATACAGCAGAAGAGTAACTGGCTGAGGTACCCTGACAGCAAATTCGACAACATCAAGGCCTTGGGTGGCTAGATGCGCAAGCGTGGGGGGACTTTTTTCTTTGCATACTTGGCGTTCATGCATGTTGGATGGTCTGATTATATGTCATGTAGGAGGTAGATAGTTCGCATTAAGTTCGCTAAGACTATTGTCGATGTGTCAAATCGGGGTTGAGGAGCGAACGGGTGTTCAGTGGGAACAACGTTTCATGATGGTGGAGACGCGGCATTGACTGTCGGAATGGACGCGTTTCGGCCGAGGCCCAACGCAGACATGACCGGGGGATGTAGGGTGCAATGAGCTAATCGCGGACGGATAGGCTCTGGCAGGAACAAGTCTCGGGCTTTTCGTTTACAAGATCGATTTGTTTCGATTCGACAAGGATGCTGTATGTGGGTGTTGCTAGTAGCATGCTGGAGGCCCTGAAAGACCAACCCATCACATGAGGTATGTACGCCGTGCCTGGTCGTAGCCAAAGTATGTACAGAATACCATCCAACGCCTAATTTGCCTGTCATATTTTCAAGCATGAAGTACCCCTCATTGCCGCCCTGGCTCGTTCGGCGTGCAGTGCTCGCTCGGCGGCAGCAGCCGATGATAGCTCTCCTCGCCGGCCAGATTTGCCTCTCTATGGGACAGAAACGTGCGTATCCTCTCGTCTCGGTCGCCACTCATGGTAGCATGCCTGCTCCGCTGATAAACGCTGCTCGCTTCTCTGTGGACCTGGTCTCGTCTCTCAACTACTGAGTTGTGGAAGCCGCTGAAGCGCGTGCCCTGCATGACGCCACCGATGGCCACGAACGCAAAGATCAGGGACATGAAGGTGAAGTTGCTCATTTGGACGGCGCGCTCGCCTTTGGGGTGCGACGAGTCGTTCTCGCCGTACCATCGCTCCCAGTCCTCCCACGTTGCGTTGGCCCGCGGGTCGGTGTTCCATCGCGTGCGATCAAGGTCCCAGTCATACGGGTGCCGCGTGCCCCCGCTGGAGGAAGGAGCGCGGTTGTGTCCGGTCCAGCCAGCGCCCCACGCATCGTACGCCTTCCGCTTCTCGACGTCAGATAGGATGTCGTGTGCAGCGACGAGCATGCGGTAGCGTTCTAGGCGGACGGCCAGCGGGAGGGTGTATGTGGTGCAGCCCGGGTGGCAGCGATCCGGATGGTACAGCTTGACGAGGGCATAGTAGCGGCTCTTGTTGTATGCATCGCCCTTTCTGGATTTCAAGATCTGGTACGGCGTCGGGGTGGTATGCGGGTGCACGGGCTCAGGCCAGCTAAGCACGTCTGCCTCGCTGCCATCGACGTGCTGGGCATAGGTGCGACGCTGTGTCGTGTGCTGCGGTCTCGGCGATGTATGACGACATGAGTGCGGCGCGGCAGATGTGGCGTGGAGGGGCGTCAGGGCAGTGGCGCACGACGAGAGGAGGACGGGCGACTTCCTAGGCAGCATCCTCGGGCGAGGTCGTCTGCAGACGGGGGTGCATCGCCAGGCACGTTGGCACAGTCAAGTACTCGCGGCGTGGTCGGAGTCGTGAATGCTAGAGCGCTGCTAGGCGGGGAAATGCCGCCGCCATCGATCGCGCACTGCGGGTCCGGGCCTAGCTCCAGCTCTAATCTGCTCTAATCTGCGTGCCGGCAACGCGTACTACAACACCCTTCGCGCTCGACAGCCTCCACAGCGACACTGCACGCCGGCGTGTCAGCAGCAAACTGTTGATGCAAGTGCGGCCACTTCCGCTCTCCTCCCTTTCGCCGCGTGCTGCAGGCGAGCGGGCGCCAGCGGAGCTTTGGAGCGTGCAACGCCTACATGGTTCACTCTGAGTTTGAACTCAATCCTTAGCGGCCGGCTGCACCTGCGTCTTCTGCACGTGAGTCTCACTTTTCGGGCAAACGCATGAAATGCATGCCCAAAGAAGCTGCTACATACTGCAAACACTCCATTAGCTCTGGGCAAAGTGGGCTCGCTGTCGGCCTGCTGTCCGCTTGCTATCCGCTTGCAGGTATAAGACGTTTGTTATATCGTCTGCGCCAGATGACCTGCGCCAGCTTTTCGTGTCCCATGGTCTCCAGCAGGACACGCTTCCCTTGACCTGATGTTGGCTGTACGACACGGCAACGACTCGGAGATGAGAGACCTCGAGCAAGAGCTGGCGGCCACTATGGCGCGTAGTCATGACAGCAATGGCCAGCCACGTGAAGGCTTCTTCAACCTTACTCGGCGAATGGAATCCAAAGAAGAAGACCAGTTCGGAGTTGATCTTACAGTCTTCGACTTCCTGCTGTACAAGGCCACCGCTACTGTGTTCGAGTGGCAGACCAGGCCTGACAAGTACGAGTCTGATCTGCCTAACGCGCTCATCGCAATGACTGCAGGTGAGTGAGCTTTCCACAAACCTGGTCCTTGGCCACTGACTTTCCAGAATGGAGATCATTTCTTTCACAGAAGAATAAAGGCCGGAATTTAAGTGGCGTGACAGCTTTTCGCTCAAGACTACTGCAACTGGTCCTTCTGTTCACCCATCGATATCACCCGTCCCAGACCTGGACGAGCGAAGAATCTTTGCGGAAGCTGAAGGCCCAAAACATCGCCCGTGGCACACTATGGTCGACCCTGTACGACTCTGGAAACGAGCATCGCGATTCTGGGAGGACTCTGAACCACGGGTCGCTCGAGTCTGTTCGCCAACGTCGTGCAGCTGATCTAGATTTACCTTCGGCCTTCGACATGGATAGTTTCAATGGTCCAGATCGACCTGCACTAGACCAGCTGCTTCCAATATTCATCGAGCTCACAGCTGCACGAACCTGTCTCGGGGATGAGTGGCAACCCACCTCTGACTGGTTTGATTTAGCCGGCCAGTTCATGCTGCAGGCTGTTATAGACCAGTATTTTACCAACGGTAGTTGTCAAACAGAGACCCTTGTGGCAATATTTGCCTTCGGTAATCCAGGCGATGAGGGCGACAGTGAGGGGCCCGACATCGCGGCAATGCGGCGGCTATTCTGCAGAGATGGTAATCAATCGGAAGAGTTGCCCGAATGGACAGCTGTTAGACGCCGATACATCAAGAAGGTAAGCCCTCATCCGCACATCACGCAAACACCCAGCTCACGAGCATAGTCAAGAACAGCACATGACTTCCCCAAGGTTGAGAGTGAGCACCCCTATGTCAAGTTCGAAGACAGCTTGCTCTCATTCCTGCGGCACCTGCATGACAGCGCAATGAAGCCCGACCTAGTCCAAGTTGAGGAGAGACGCATTAGCATTAACGGCAATGAGCTATCGGAAGAGCAGTCAAGAGAGATGATCGAGCGGATGAGGCTTTGATAAGCTGATCGGACTCTACTTGATACACAGCTCTTGTAGCAGTCAAACCCCCAACTCCTGATTCTTCGCGTCGTTCTTGTAGTATTGGATACCCAGAGAGCGATCTGTAGACGCATGGCTGCATGCTCCCATAGTATGTGGTCAAAATTCAGAACCGTGTGGGAACTCCATGCCAAAGTTGCCCCAAAGAAAGGAGTCTTGCATCCCAATGTCCGCCAATTGGGTAGTGAAGTCGAAGGTCTCAAAGTGACAGTCGTTGCTGCTATAAGACTCGAGAAAAGAATGAGCATCATTGAGCAACACTGCGTTCTGTGGATCGTAGCCGGTCAGGTCCGGAAGGTCGAAGAGGCCGCTGTTGGCCTGATCGGTTTCTGGCGCTAGCATTGCAGCAGACAAAGTACAATGGACGCTGTTACCGTCTAGTCGGACGCCCAGCTTCTGCGCTTTGAGAAGCACAAGGTTGCGGTGTATACGCTCCGCAATCTTGTATGAGCCCGACATTTCGTCCAAGCACTGCAGACAGAGATCGAGATTTGCAGTGGCAGCTTTAGTCATACTTGCCTCCTGCTCATTGCTTGCGACTTGTATGAGCACCAACGCCGCGGAAAGGAGGCAATGAGTGGCAGATATAGGAGTCTTGTGAAAACTGCCGAACGCATTGCGATATTTCTTGGCCGCAATACATATATTGACGGCTGCTTCATAGCACACGCAGCTGGCTTTCTTCGCCAGTGCATCTGTGCTACTGCTGGCCAGTGATGCCGTGAGTGCAAGGACTCCATTCCCCAGCAGTATCAGCGCGGTATGAAGGGTCATGTGAAGCGTGTATGTTTGCGGGAAGGTATTAGGCTGCCCTCGAACATCGAGCCTAAGGTCGTCAGGTAGGTCGTACAGCCAATTTTTCAGTTCAACGAGGGTAGCATTGAAGAATGGTTCTCGACGTGATCCAGCGTGGGATGGTTGCGGGGCATAGCTACGGCTCGTCAACATACAAACATAAACCGTGTTACCTGAAACTTACAAGCCAAGGAGTAATTTCTCTAGTATTTGACATTGTGTAGCATGTGCGCGAAGCAACAGAGTTGTACGCTGTGCGCGGAAATTTAAGCCACTGCTACTACTGTCCGCGCTGGTACTGCAGGAGAGTTTGACAGCACCTTGGACGTCCTAACAGCCTCGATTAGATCTCGATCTGCATAAAATATATGATGAACATTGGGGCAGAAAGCGTTTCTCACATACCAGCATCGTACACACCCGCCCTGAGTATGTCGCATGCAGTTTGTCTGTACAATACAGAGACCAGTATATCTGTCGTCTCACATCTACTTCTTCTGGCGACACATAGCCTGAGCTACGGACAGATGTAGCATCGAAGTTTAATCCCAAATCGAGGGCAAGTCTGTGAGCAGTTCCTTGGTAAAGCCAAGCCATAGTATCGGCTGCTCGACTCTATAATGTAGTCAGCACAATGTTTCATCGAGGGTAAAACGACGTGTGGCCAACTAATACACTCACAGCATGCAGATAGATCATGATTGCTGCCGCCTGGATTGTTGTGAGGCTAGGAACCTTCAGTTCGTATTGAAAGAGAGCCTCTGCTTCTTCGAGGAACTGATCTCCTGCCGTGTTCGGATCGTTCGGGTTGGTGCGAACTTCGGGTCTGTCCGAGAATCGACATCCTGCTGAAAGAACACACTTCAACAATAGCGGGCTGAAATAGCGTCCCTTGCCTTGTTGCAGATCTCTTTTGAACAATAGTTCGTTCAGAACAGGCGAACAAGGGTTGTGCCAGACGAAGTACGAATCGATGAGTTCTTCTTGAAGGTCTGCGCCGATCTGCAGTGTTGAAGGACTGAGTTGAGCAGATAAATAGCGCAAATTGTTCACGCTACTGCATGTATTGCGCAAGCCGTTTTGTCTGTTCATCTGTTTGTCGCGGGTTGATTGTTGTACTGTGAAAGTTAGGACGATATACGCATTTTGCTCAGACAGTGACGTACAGTCCTCGAATCCCAAGCGGCCGCTTGTGGGCCCAAAGTAGTGACACTCTCCATCTTCATCGAAATTGATCGATTCGTCGAGCGACAAGGTACCTTCGAATGCCGCACAAACTTCCTCAATTTGCGCACAAGTTGTGTTGGTGTCGTCTGCATCAGCTACGGGCGAGTTCTGATGCTCACTTTGGTACTGTGCTATAGCAGTATCGATATCTATAGAGTATTTTTGTAGAATACACTCCAGCAACGCTATGCGGTCACGTAAGAGTTGTACGTATGATCTTGATGCAGGCTTGCGTCCGTCGTCGGCCACGCTATACTGGCAGTCAATAGACTTCCTAACGCAAGAGGAACAAGCTGGTTTGTGGCCATCGCACTATATAGAAGCTCCAGTCAACCGCTGATTGTCACGCTTAGCTGCCAGTGTGATCACTTGGGCCGGGTAAGCATACCTTGGCTCGACGTTGACGGCAAGGCTCGCATGCCTTCGAAACGTATTTGCTTCGCTTGGAACTGTTGATTGTTTTCAATTCCCGTGAAACATTACTTTGAGGCATGTTAAAGGTCGTACAGATAGCATCACATTTGGCGGAAGGAGGGGGTAAATCGTGGGTTCGACTTGTCTACCTAGTGGAGCTAGAAAAGTTGGGACCCCTGGCGCCGCTTTGAAATCATTCATGAAAGCAGCCAGAGCATCAACATCGCACCCGACAGTTTTCATCATGTGACTTATTGATGGTCGATATGCATAGGTCGGCTATAGAACGTCATGGTGTAGAAGCTATCATCTGCAGAATTTTCCATCAACGCGATGATAGGTATAATGCGGAAAGCAAATTCCGGCAAGACGTATAAGAAATCTGGCATTCTTATATCTTATCATCATCCTATGTTACGCATCAGTTGATACATTCACCTTTCAGGACCAATCGTATTCGCTCGCCAAATCCGCCAGTATGTCCTCCCTTCAGTACTACTCGTACCAAGGTGTCGGTGAACGCAATTTGGAGCAGCACGGTTACAGCCAGGCAGTTCGAATCGGAGATCGCATTGAATGTGCAGGCCAAGGTAGTCACATTGCATGTTTTACATTAAGCATATGCTGAGCTGGACCCAGGTGGATGGAATCGTGAGACGGGCGAGTTCTTACTCGAGATCAACGCCCAGATCGATCAGGCCTTTGAAAACGTTGACCATAATCTCAAAGATGCAGGCGGGAAGGGCTGGTCACAGGTTTTCCGCGTCAACTCTTACCATGTTCCAATCAATAACGAAGCGATGGCGGCAATGACGCGAAACTTCAAGAAGTGGATGCCCTTTCACAGCCCAATTTGGACATGCGTAGGAGTCTCGAGGCTTGGGGAAGATGACATGCGTGTTGAGATCGAGGTCACGGCGTATGACCCACAAACTGAGAATCGCACTGGAGCTTAGTGGCAAGCAAAGGACAAATGGGTGAGATTGATGTCGTATGACATCCATTATCTTCTTTTGAGCCAGGCAGGCAATGTACTTTGCCCTCTGGCCGTGAACGTTCTCCTAACCTTGAGAGTTTATTCGTAGGATATGATGATGAAATACCTCAGAAGCAACTTTCATTTTAGCTTGGTACAGTTGCCACGTCGACAGCGCTTCTCGGAATAATTCTAGCTCATTCAAGCAATCAAATGGTTTATGTTGACATCTCGCGAGTGTTCAGACGGTTGATACGGGGTATGGCCCATCGGCGGATGGCTCAATTGCGCATGTAGTGCTAGCTGCGAGGACGGAGTTCGTGGTAGCTTGATCAACAAGCTTCTCAGCAGGGACATGGAGCTTGCTCAATGAAAGGTACTCGCTGGTGACCAGGTCTCTGTTTGCCCGCTGCGCCGATGCCCTTGACAAATAACTTTCCAGTCTGTGATAAGTGAGCAGGCAGAGCGCCGGCATATACGAGGATGTAAGAAGGCGAGAGCCAGTTGGTTGTAGAACGCTGGGGGTTAGTGAGACCAGGCGGATCCAAGGCATAGTACCCCTGCTAGCGCCGTACGCATGGTAACGTCACTTGCGCTAAAGCTACCAGCTGTCCCTCATGAACATATATGGTGATATTGGAGGTATGTTCAGCAATCTCATCGGGCCAGCCTTTCATTACACGATAGTTATGCTTTTATCTTACATTGCAATCAAACGAATGCTCATGCCCAAAAGCTGGCTGCCAAAAGGGGAACCTGAACCTTGGGAACTGGGATACAAAGATGTCCTCGAAGCGAGAGCGTTATTGAAGGCGCAAGGCCTTCCCATGGAACTAGCACTGGATATACTTGACTACGCAGAGTACTGGCCGACACGACAATTTTCGACCGAGGAAGGGAAAACGGTTAAAGTCGCTGCAACAATGTTCCGTTCGGGCTCAGCAGGCCTCTGCCTCGATGCCGATGTTTTCAACGACCCAGCTGTCAACAGCCTACGCGAGGGCAAAGAGAGACTTAGAATTAAGGCTATCAGATTTCGTATCCAGAGTCGTGATCAAGGTTGGACCTCCGAGCCGACACAAGGGACATTCAACACATCCTCTTGGTTGGAAACATCCATCTTACGTGGCGTAGAAGACTCCAACACTGAGCTGCCTCCTTCGTGCTGGGTGGATAGCGATTTCGAATCGCCACAATCATTTCAAGAACATATCACTCCGCGTGGGTGGCAGCTCGTCAAACGCCCAGAATATGCCGAACAAGGGCCTCAAGGAGGCGAGGGGGACCTTGCCTGGTATCTGCAGGGCAATCGCGTTGCTGTGCAGGGCCGCACTGAAGAGTACGAAGTTCTGTGGTCTCCTATCGACTTCGAAGGGAATGAGGGCTCTGGACGAGGCGAAGAATATGTGAGCGAGCTAAAGGAGGGTGATCGCGTGCTGGTATGGGCTAGAGCAAAGGTGAATAGTCCCTTCCGTACGCCTTCAGACGTCTTGCTGACATCCATATAGTGGCCTGGCTGGCAATGCATCGTCGAAAAGGTTGACATCACTGTATATTACGGCTTCTCCTGAAGCAGCTGTATGCTCCAAGATTGAGAGCGGCCATTAACAATACCCACAATGCCGAATCCGTCCTCGCAGCCACCCAACCGCGAAGCTAAGCGTGATACCAGGTGCAAAAAGGTTCCATGAGACATTCTCCAATACCGCTCATATCTCGAATCCGCTGCAAAAAGTGCATCAGAGCGCCAGACCCTCCGATGGTGCCACCGCAATGCTCCGAGAGCCACATCCTGGAGACTGCAATCAACATAGTTTACGTCTTACGGTTGACTGGAGAAGCAACTGCGTCTGCGTTGGTTGCGTGTAGACAATCTCGGCCTATCTAGATTTAATGCTTGGTGGCGGTGTGGATGGCAGACTGCTCGAGACGATTTACATGACCGTTGTCTGTTCAAGGCTCGTTAAGCGATTGGCTGGTGTCACTTGGACTGGTTCGAACAAGCCAACGGTGATGACACGAACGGCGCCATGAACGCATCTGAAAGGGCCTAACGCGTCACGATCGCCACTTCCCCAAACTCTCCGCAAGGCTGTGCTTTGGAGACCCTGCGATAAGCAGCAATTGGGGCCCCGTGCCGCAGATCGTCGATATTCCGTCACAAGATGCAGCGAATCAGATAAGGGCAAGGCTGCAGCTTGCGCCCAAGGTGGAGGTAACGCTGGGCAGCGGCATGAGCAAAGCTTCCCCACATCAAAGCACTGCATCTTCATCGACGCGCAGCTGGAGGGTTCTGCTATCGTGACTGCTCCTTGCCCTGACGCAAACGCCGCATCCACAGAGTCTAGCATAGGCAACGTCGAGCGAGCCCCACACGTTGCAGGCGACGCGCATTCCAGCTCGTTGCACCCCGCACTCAGCATCGCACCTTCCGTTGCAATGGCGGAGTCCATCGATACGCCCAACAAGAAGAGGGACGGTCACGTCCCCTCTCCACTGCAGTCACTCAGCAGCTCTACAGCTTCGATTGGTCGCTCTCCGCCACCAGGTTATGCAATGGGATCCAGCCCGAGCCCGAGCCCACACGCGCATCGCGGCAGCTTCGCAGAGCAGATGCGTGGAGGCCCTGGCTCGCCCCGCGCCTCGCGACAACCCTCGTTGTCGCAGCAAGCTTTTCAGGAACTGATCAACAACCCGCCGAGCAAGGCAGGGGATCCCAAGTTCCACGGCCGCGACTGGAAGACGGTTCGACTGGGAGAGATCGTGGACCCTGACCTAGTGCGATTTGTGGAGTATGACACCAGCGTAGAGGACGCTACAAGCGTATGATGCACACAACACCAATGAGAGCACTACTGACAGCCACAGCTACTGGTCAAGTCTGGCACGCCCAACGTCGTCCTTCTCCGCGAGAATGCCAGCACCCGCCACGCAATCGGAACCTTCGATTACAGCGATCTGAACGCATACCTGCTCCTCGTTGTCGGTCTCGCGCACCCGGAAGAGCAGGATGTTGCGTCGTTCGACGAGCTGGCGAAGAAAGGACGTGAAGGGAAACCCATTCCACTAAAGGATGTGAAGGACCTCGGCAAGAAGGAGCCGCTGATCACTTTGCCTCACACAACAGATTTGACCAAGGCCATGGAGGTTTTCGGCAGCGGTGTGCATAGAGTGCTCGTTGCGAAGGAGGGCACATCGGATGTCGTGGGCGTGCTTACCCAGTTAAGGATGGTCCAATTCTTCTGGGAGAATAGGGCAAGCTTCCCTGCCGTTGACCAGCTATACCCACAGCTGCTCAAAGATCTGAACATAGGGCAGAAGCAAGTTCTGGCCATCAAGTGAGTGCCGAAACCAGTCTTCCAAGACTAAAACTGACGAGAATAGCGGTGACAAGCCCCTCGCGACAGCTCTCGAGCTCATGCATAACGAAGGGGTATCCTCTATTCCGGTACTAGACGTGCAGAACAACGTTATCGGTAACATCTCGCACGTCGACGTTAGAGTAAGTCTACTTCTTCGCTCAGTCAGCTTCAGCCGCTAACTTTAGACAGCTGCTTACAAAGTCTACCTCCCTTCCTCTACTCCGCTCCTCCTGCATCCATTTCATATCTGTCATCCTTTCTGAACGCGGAGTGAACGATGGCAAAGACTCGTTCCCCGTCTTTCACGTCAATCCTTTCAGCACACTTGCGCACACAGTTGCCAAACTCGTAGCTACCCGCTCCCACCGCATGTGGGTTGTTGACACACCATCGCCTGCCTCTTCAGGGCCCTCAACTCCCGCCCTCCAGCCTGCCAGCCTTGTTCCACCATCGCCAATCACACCACTCCCTATCTCTCTGTCAGGCCCTATGCCTGTGAACACAACAACTCCAACACATCTTGCAGGCACAGGCGCGGTAGCACCCGCCATCTCTGCAAGTGCAATCACAGGAGCGAGTCTTTCTGGTAGACTCAGTGGTGTCATCAGTCTGACTGATATTCTCAACGTGTTTGCGCGCGCGAGTGGGCTGCACCCGCATGACCCAGACGAGGCGCGCCGCGCCAGGAGGCGTAGCAGTTCCAGTAGCATGCGGGCCAGCATGGATAGCTCGCGTAGCGAAAGCATATCTGGCATTGCTGGTACATCAGGACGGAGAAGCAGTGTAAGCGAACGGGACAGAACTGCAAACATCCAAGGGCTGGGTGTTTCGAGGGGACGACCTGCTTAGCTGATCTTGGCTACATCGAGACGACGGTTTGACACAGATCAAGCCATCAGACTGGGCCTGCAACGAATCTGGTACTGCAGAGTTTGACTATGGCGGCGTTCTAGCGACTGGGCCGGCAAAAGACCTACATAGGCAACATTAAATTATAGAATTGAATTTGGCTTGGACATTGCCTAAAGATGCTGTTGCATCCAAGCGCACCAACCCGCGTGCCTTTTGCTTGAGTCTTATATTAGTATAATACATGTATCTAATTCATAGTATCTACACATCATACAACGCCGTGGTATATGCATACCTTCCCACAACTGTACCTATAAACATGGTATCTTACAACGTTCTCTTGTGCGTCGACTCCTCATAAGTCTGGATCTTATCACCAGCCTCAAACTCCGTCCAGTCCTTGAACGAGATGATGCACTCACCATCCTTGCGCATAGACTCGACGTCTTTCTTGTGGCTCTTGATATTCTCAAGAATACCTGCATTACGTTAGCACGAGCCGCCATTGCGCAAACCGCAAAGGAGACGGAGATTAGAACTTACCATCGTGGATCACCGTGTCGCCGCGGAGCACCCGCGCCTTGGACCCGCGCTCCACCAGGCCGTTGCGCACCTTTGAGCCCGCGAATTTCTTCGTCTTGCGGCCGCCGAGCCCGATGTTGAAGATGGTGGTGATGTCAACCTCGCCAGTGACCTTCTGGGTGATGCCGAGTGGCAGCTTCTCGCTGAGCAGGTCACGCACCATCTCGACGGTGCGGTAGATGATGTTGCTGTTGAAGATGATAACGCCCCTTTCCTCTGCAAGCTTGGCGACTTGCGCGGAGACGGGCGTGTTGAAGTTGAGGATGTGGCCTGAGGCGTCGGCGGCGTGCTGAACATCGAATTCGCTGGGGGAGCCGACGCCGTGGCGCAGGATGCGCGTGCTGACTTCTGCGTTGCCGAGCGCGCTGACCGAGTCGATGACCGCTTCAACTGAGCCGGACACATCGCCCTTGATGATGAAGGATACAATCTCGGGACCCTTATCTTTTTTCTTGGTTTCAGTGACATCCTCACCGCTCTCGATGGCTTTCTTCATGGCTTCTTCGGCCTCGCGGCGCTCGGATTCTTCGCGGCGCGCAATGTTGATGGCTTCCATATCCTTGGCCAACTGCTCACGCTCCAGCTTCTCGGTGCGCAGTTGGGAAACGGCAGCTGCTTGCTGTTCGTCCGCAGCTTGCAGTGCTTCGTCGCCAGCAATAGGCTGGTCGCGCCAGCCGTCTACTTCAACAGCGATGCCCGGACCAGCCTCTGTGAGCGCAACCCCGTTTTCGTTGCGGAGAGTGCGGACACGTGCCCACGTATTTCCTGCGACAAGTACCGTGCCCTGGCGCAACGTACCACTACGAACAAGCACAGTGGCAACACGTCCGGACTTTTTGGTCGTGCCTTCGAGGACAGTGCCTTCCACATTGGCTTCGAAGTTGGCACGGTGGTCGAGCAGTTCGGATAGTGTCGAGATAGCTTCTTCGAGATCGGGTATACCCTCTCCAGTCTTGCCACTCACGGGTATAGCCTGCACGTCTCCGCCGTAATCTTCAACCTCGATGCCATGACGACCAAGGTCAAGCTTGACGGCATCAGGATCGGCCTGCGGTTTATCGATCTTGTTGATTGCGACAATTATAGGGACTCTCGCCGCTTCAGCATGCTTGATGGCTTCGACTGTCTGCGGCATGACGGAGTCGTCGGCTGCGACTACCAACACTACAATGTCAGTGACATTGGCACCGCGCGCGCGCATTGTTTCAAAAGCGGAGTGGCCAGGTGTATCAAGGAATGTGATCTTTTTGCCATTGGCTAGGGGAACGCTGAAAGCACCAATGTGCTGTGTGATGCCGCCAAACTCGCCTGCCGCCACGCTTGTCGAGCGCATATAGTCCAGAATTGTGGTCTTTCCGTGGTCGACATGGCCCATAATTGTGACAACCGGCGGTCTTATAGGTAGCTCGGCTAACTCTTCAGGGGTCAGCTCAGGAGCAGGATAGAGATCGCCATCTTCATGTTCGCTTTGGAAAGTAGGTTCGAAATTGTACTCTTGCGCGATTAGGCCTGCATGCTCGGCGTTGAGAATTTGCGTGGCCTGGACATCCTCGAAACCAAGGTCCTCCAGCTTGGTGACAAAATCTTCCACTCTTAACCTTAGCATTCCTGCTAAGTTGGCAACGCTGATGTATTCGGGCAAGGTGATAGGTATTGGTCCAGCTTCCAACCGCGCAGCCTGCTTTGCCTCTTTACGGAGGCGCTTCAGCTCCTTCTTGTTAACGTGACGTTCTTGCCCTTCGTCTTCTTCTTCTCGCATCACACGTCTGTTGTTTCGCAAGCCACCTTTGCGGCGCTCGGGCTGTTCGTAGCGATTACGTACTTCTGTTGGCTCGCCATCTAGGTCAAATTTCCTTCGTCTCCGCTCCTTCTCAGCATCGCGGCGTTTGCTGTCTTGGTTTTCTTCCACCGTGTAGCTCTTAACCTCTGCATCTAGCTCAGACCCTCTTTTGCTCGCCCATTCATTTGCAGCATCTGCCAATGTCTCGTTCACGGCCTGTGTGGGCTGGTATGTGGTTGGTCGGCTGCTTTGCGCTGGTTGATACGTTGTCATCCTACTTGGTGTCGATTTCTGAGGCTGTGGTCTTTCACGGAACGTGGGTTTGTTTGGACAAGCAGAGCTCATATGGTCTGTAGAACCGCAGTTGAAGCACTTTCGTTGCGCGTTGGGGTTCCTTGCGAGCGGCTGGAATGGTCTCGAAGGTCGACTGGTGTTGCCCAGCAGCTTGTCTAATTCGGACTGATCCAGCCTCCCTCTGCTCGGTGCCGCACGCACAACTGGTTTTCCCTGTAGTCCCTGCTGTTCTTGCACAGGATTGGCCTGGGGCTCGTCCCTCCTTCTTAGGTGCTCTGAGCCGAAGGCCGGCATGTCGAACTGAGGCCTTGCATTCATATTCACCCTAAAGCGATCTCGCTGCGTAGGCCTTGACTCGGAACGGAAATCGAGGCCTGGTCTTTGAGTTATGGGGGCAGACCTCTGATCCCGCCCCGTACTATCAAACCCGACATTTCGAATCGGTGCGCGTCGGTCCTGCACCTGTTGCCGATACGCTGGACTTTGTGACCTTGACTCCTGCAATCCTGTGATACCTCTTAATCTTGGCGCGGGCGATGCGTAGCCACTGTGAGAGGATGGTGGCGAGGCTGCAGGTGGTGCTACTGATGCGGCCAGCGCCCTTCGCATCCTCTCCGCCTGCGTGAGCGGTCGTGCAGCAGGTGCATGTGCATGGTGGGGTTTCTGAAGCTGCGCTTCGGCGTCCAGCGCTCGACTCGATGAATTCAGGTATCTCCGCTGTGTCGATGGCGCGTTCGCAGCGGCCAACTGTCGAGTGGCGCAGAAGGTGCAGATGTCGCGAGTCGAAGAGACCTGCCTGGTCAGTCATGTACTGAAGTGTCAACTGGAGAGATGCGACATACTCGGAGCCCCTGTGCGCGACGCATGATGGCGGGCTTGCAGTTCAATGGACGCCGTAGTCTTGTGCTCTTGTCCAGAAGTTTTAGAATCACGACTATGTCGGGACAGCATCCCTGTCGATTCTATCCCGCCCGCGACTAGTGCGTGCAGCATCACCACTCACGTGCACGATGATGCACAGAACCACCACGAGCGATTCTCTTCTGACGCGACTGAGCCAACAGTTACCGTTCTCTCGCGGGCTTGCTTCCAGACGGTAAAGGATAAGGGGTCCGCAAGCTCGACAACGAGGTTGCGAAAAACATTGACCTCGCGATAGACGTTTTTACGTACAGGGCGTGCCTCTTAAATGAGAGAGAAAAGATGAGATGATTCTGTTCTATCTACGAGCGAGAGCTGCCTACTATCTATAGGCAGTAGATACAAAGAGTCTTGCTTGTGTATTGGACAATAAGCAAGACACAAACAGACAATCTAACTATGCATGCGATGGAAGCTCCCCGAAACCAACAATGCCCCCTCGATGTGTAGCGACCAAGTGTTTGGTAAGCCAGGTTCCGTGTTCCCATCGAAAGACGAAAAGTAGTGTTCACAGTGTGCAAATACACCATAGCGAGTGCGATGTAATTATACAAGGCGTCTGTCTGACTCGTGTCCAATTCGAGAGAGGGAGAAGCCTTGGCTTATACTGGTTACGTGCGGCTGATTACGTGCGGATGTTGGTGGTGGATGAAACCGCTCAATATGGCGTCTATGTGTTCTTGAACGAGAGCTTGAGCAGCGCTGACCCACTGTCGAACTCAGACTCAGCGTCTGTCGTAACCCCACGAACGACGACTGCTCTTTGTGGCTGGGCGCGATTGCGGTGAGTATCTCGTAGCACAGCCTCTCAGATCCTTGCGAGAAGCTTAACACCGACGAGCACATCATAGCATTTGGCCCCAACGTTAGGCATTTCTTTGCAACGCCCAATGGCTACTCCGCGTAAGTTCACTCTCTCACCTTCGTAGCATTTACTGATCTGACCTAGATCGCAACTACCAGCGAGGGTGGTGGACTATCTCACAATTATACCTACCAGAGAAGTCCGCATGCTGTGTTCAAAGATACCTTGATCTCTGCGACGTGCTCGGACCCCGAATCATGGTTCTTCGTGTTCGAGATGCTTGACGGCAAATTCACTTTTCACGTCGGCGCACGCATACCAACAGCACTTCGACAGTTGCAAGTTTACACTGGTTGGGGGTATGGGTGTGGGAGTGGACTGGAACTCACCTCATGAGTTGTTCACCGCGGTGTCTGATGTCTATGGTTCGGGGTCCTGGGAGGATGATATTGGATTGGACATAATGATTTTTATACATGTGATGTACATAGCGCAGAGTCGGAGAGGGACCCGGGTGTAGCTTCCACAACATCATCAACTCGATACGCTTTCCTATAACTCCCACCGAATGCAGTGCGCGGCTGTCGAGTTTGATCTGCTGCGGTGTTGTGTTGCGACGTTGGGAGGTCCTCGCCCTGTTGACATACGATATTGCGGAGCAAGCGGAGCACGTTGAGGACGGACCAGAGATTGTGACGTCAGAATACCAGCCAGCTGCGCATGCGCTGGTTCGTCAATACATCGACTCAAGTCTTTTGTCAACACCTGCTTCACCGTTGCGTGAACTCGCGCCTTCATCTTGACTGGCCAGATGACGACTGCGAGTCGCCTAAGAAGCCTAATAAGCATGTCGTGCAACTCCGCTTGACTCGACAAGTTGACTTCGGCGGCCTTGGAGCTTTCTTGAGTGGTCAAGCCTCCTGGTCACATGAATGCATTGACACTATCTTCAACAACCACATGCGTGAGGGACCATCTCGTCAATACACGCAGATCAAGAAGTCTTTCTTCCAGCGCGATGAGCAGCGCTTCGATCTTGGAGGCGGTGTTGAGGCTTTCAGGGGCGTCTTCGATTCTCTTCAACTTACTTTCTTTCTCAACAACTTCATGCGCGAGGGACGATCTCGTCAGTACACGCAGATCAAGAAGTCTCTCTTCCAGCGCGGTGAGCAGCGCTTCGGGAATTTGAAATTGACAGCGGAAGAGTCGGAGTCGTCGAAGGACCAACTTTCAACAGAGGGCAAACTTAACGGGGCACGGATGTCTGGGGATCACGGTAGATGAATGGATGACATGGCCGTGGTCAACATGCCCGATGGGAATGGGCGTGCAGTGTCAGTCGTTGAGTGTACGTAGCGGTTGGCTTCCATGTCCGACTCGAGTTTGTCGAGGGCGGCGATAGTCAGACCGGGTCCAATGGGTAAGAGATGAGAGACAACATGACCGAAGGCGCGCAGCGGATCGACGTCATTCATCAACTCAACTATAAACATGTTAATAAACTACACAACAATGTAGTGTTTGTTGTTGTGCATACATGTACAAATCCGTTCACAACATTGGGGACAACCACAGTGCCCGCACTCGCGAACAACTGGTTTGTGATTGCAGCCGGCTCGACATCGATACGTGGTCTGCGTTCGGCAGTAGACTTCTTCAGTGTAAGAGGAGGGTCGAGGTCGGCGATGCTGGAGAAGGGCAGAGTGCCTGTATTAGACATATCCGTGTCATTTGGCTAGATTGTAGCCATCTTGGCGTTGATTGAGAGTTGGGCGCGCGCAATGGCTGGCGATGTCGTCGTTGTTGCATTTAGGGACGCGTTTGCGGGCCAAGAGCGCGTGATGCCTGCGGAGAGCTGGTGGTCGCAAGTGGAGAGCCCAAAAAGTTTTGACATTGGTACATTTGCAAAGGACTCTACCAAACGCGACACTTCATTCGATACGTACGCTCACCACTCAACAGCTGCCACAGAACCCGAACTGTCCGTTCGACGTCAGCGTCTTGCTATGCTCGCGCCGACTCGGCCAATCATGATCAGAGGTTCGGTGAGGCCGTTGGCAAACATGCAAGCCTCAGAAGCTCGGCACTCTGGCAGTCCGCGGTGAGAGTCTGCTGGCGCTACAGCTCTACGCAAGCCACCGACTCGCGTACGTGGTGGTTGCACCCAAGAGTCCGGTCTGGATTGCTCTAGCGTCAGCGCGCGACCTCAGCTCGTCTACTTTGGTCCCCCCTGTTCAGGGTCTGCTGCACGACGATGCCAGCAAGAGGTGCTGTCTCGATAAATGTGGCAGCAGCAGTGCTGAGGATTGATCAATTGGGCTGTTGGAGCTGCATGGCGACAGATTGGATGTGGTGCAGGCGGGTGGTGCTATTTGGCCTCATGATCGGCAGGAGCCGCACAAATTGCTCAATACAGACGACCGTGCTGGGCGATTACCCAATGTGGACGGACATTGCTTCGGGCCGTGAACGGACGAAGAGAGAAATGGCCCAATGTATGGGTCTCACTGTGTCCAGAGCACGGTCAGAGATTTCGAGATTGGAGTCAGACCCGCTGCAATCAAGTGCGTACGAGTAACGAGGGTTTACAGCAAGTCAGCCTGACATGGTGTATGAGAAGACATGTTTGGGCCACGCGGTGCCAGATCCGGATGCGGTGATCTGAGCAAGACCCTTGGGCTCGGGCTGCCCGTTCGCGTAGCCCCGTGCCATGTACTGTACGTGCATGCAATGGTGGCCTGCTCCCGCACTCCCCCAGCGACGCGGGCTGGACGACAAGTTTGGGCCTGCAATCTTGTGTGCAGTTTTACACTGTCAGGCGCGGCGAATCGGCACGGCCTTTGGACGAGCGGGCGGGCACGGTGATGTAGTGTTGCATAAGCAGTGTTGACGACACGTGGGTTTGGTGGAGATGATGGCCACGCAGATCTCCAGAAGACGTGAGGGTCTGGAGGCAGCAGACAGGATGCTGCGAGACCAGAGCGCGCGGAGAACAGCAGCGACAGCGCCCTGTGCTTGCGGCGGACGTGGCTCGAGTGGACAAGGGCAGAGGACTGGGTGCATCTGGCTGGATAAAGAATTACTCGGCTATCTCCACGAGACGTCGGTACGGGACGCAGCTTTGGCGCTAGTAGTCGCAGACTGCACGGCAGTGGGTTCATGGCGGTTTATATGTATACCCGCACCCGCACCTCACGCCTCGCGCCCCTGACCGTCCGCGCAGCATTATTCCCTACCCGTGTTCCCACCGTCGCCAGGCACGTCGTCCGTGATCGGCACGCGTGCTTCCTCTTGTGTGCAGCGCAGTCCACCAGCCAGCGTGGGGAACTAGCGAGCCGGGCAGCCGTTGGCGTGGTCATCCTCAGCCCTACGAAGCACTCCGTCTCACCCATAACCCCGCCGGCGCGGCACGAATCTTTCGTCACCTCGTCCGTCAGCCGCACGCCAGCCAGCACACGACCTGCCAGCACTTCACCTCCGCCCTCGCCGCACCTGCTCCCCGCAATTCCTGCCTGAGCACCTGAAGCCCGCCACCGCCGGAGCTACCTTGGACCCGCCGTCTACGCGCACGTCGGCCGCCATGTCTGGATATCCGGGACAGCAGTACCACAACAACTACGGCCCGCCGCCGCCGCAGCAGCAGCAGCAGTACTATGGCGGGCCCCCACAGCAGGGCTACGGCGCTCCGTGAGTGCCACACCGCGCCCGACGGGACGGACGCTGACGGGTTGCAGGCCGCCCCAGCAGGGCTACGGACAGCCGCAGTACAACGGCTACCAGTCGACGCCGCCGCCGCAGCAGTACGGCTACCAGCAGGTGAGTGTCAGTGGCGATTGCGATGGCCGGCCAGCTGACCCGCGACAGCCGCCACCCCAGCAGGGCTACGGCCAGTACGGCCAGCAGGTCCCGCAGCAGGGGCCTCCCGCGCACCAGCAGCGCCCCGGCATGATGCCTACGGCGACGAGCAACCAGTGGACGCACGGCAACCACCAGGGGCCGCCGCCTCCGCCCTCGGGCGCGCAGAACTTCGGCCATGGCGCGCCCAACGGCTACTCGTTCCAGTACTCTGCCTGCAACGGGCGGCGGAAGGCGCTGCTGATTGGCATCAACTACTTTGGCCAGCGCGGCCAGCTCCGCGGCTGCATCAACGACGTCAAGAACATGAGCACGTACCTGAACGAGTTCTTTGGCTACAAGAGGGAGGACATGGTCACGCTCACAGACGACCAGCAGAACCCCATGAGCCAGCCGACAAAAGCAAACATCCTGCGCGCCATGCACTGGCTGGTCAAGGACGCACGGCCAAACGACTCGCTGTTCTTCCACTACTCAGGTGAGTTCCTTGTCGGCCCGACACTGTGTGTGATGCTGACCCCCGCCAGGCCACGGCGGCCAGACCAAGGATCTCGATGGCGACGAAGACGATGGCTACGACGAAGTCATCTACCCCGTCGACTTCCGCACCGCCGGCCACATTGTTGACGACGAGATGCACCGCATCATGGTCGGCTCCCTCCAGCCTGGCGTCCGCCTTACCGCCATCTTTGACTCGTGCCACTCCGGCTCGGCACTCGACCTGCCATACATCTACTCCACGCAAGGTGTTCTCAAGGAGCCCAATCTGGCCAAGGAAGCTGGCCAGGGCCTGCTCGGCATCGTCTCATCTTACGCACGCAACGATATCGGCGGCATGCTGTCCACGGCGTCGTCGCTCTTCAAGAAGGTCACATCAGGCGACGACGTGTACAAGAAGAATCTGCGCACCAAGACCTCGCCTGCCGACGTCATCATGTGGTCCGGATCCAAGGACACGCAGACGTCGGCCGACGCGTCCATTGGCGGCGAAGCTACCGGCGCCATGTCGTGGGCCTTCATCACGTCGCTGCGCAAGAACCCCAACCAGAGCTACGTGCAGCTGCTCAACAGCATCCGCGAGGAGCTCGAGGGCAAGTATCAGCAGAAACCGCAGTTGAGCTGCAGTCACCCGTTGAGTAAGTTCCCCGGCGCACCTGCAACCTCAGTCGCACACCCCCCTCCTCCTCCCTATGTGTTGCCGAGCCAGACTTGTACGCCCAGTTTGCTGATCTGAGGCAGACACGGATCTTTTGTATGTGATGTAGAGCGAAAAGTCGGTGCTGGTGTTGATATTGGGATTTGGCGCACATGCTTGGCTTCTTGTAGATACAGATACCATTGAAGTTGGGGAGGGGTAATGTGGCAACGCAATCGGCGTTTCTGGCAGTCTCATGAGTCTTGTCTGGGTCGCATTGGAGACACCCGAGCGGGTGCATGCATTGGAATAACTAAGCGGGTAAAATGATATCTTTCAACTCACAACTTTGTGCGCACTTCTCGTGTCGTGTGTCTACACTAACGCGTAGACAGATGTACATGTCTGCTAGACTGCAGGCATATACATTCATAACGCTGTGATTACGCGATTTCCTTCTCTCACCTTCTCTCTCGTTGCTATTCCGTCATAATCAAACTGTGACAAAATCTGACCAGCACGTGTATCAAGTCCAATTCATTCTTCTCATAGCCACTAGCTGCTTCAGCAGTGATCTAACACGAGTCGAGTATCGAGGTATACATAGACCATGATCGTCGAGTGGGCTTGAGTAAATGTCGTGAATTACGTTTTCGTTTGCATCGACAAACGTGCTCACGCAGAAAAGAACATGTATCTTCTTATCCAAGGACGGTAGGCATACGATGAATCGGCTCATCATTGGTATCCATCGTGCAGAAACGCAAACGTGGAAGTACACCAGGACTCTCTGAAAGCTGCCAGTATCTACCGTATCGTGTGTTATAGACAGGACTTATAGTCATACTCGCGACACAATTACAGACTGCATCTCAAACAACGGAGCACCATAGGCTGTTTGCTTGCGTTGAACAATTGCATTTTTGAGAATGGTAACATGTGCTTGCATACTTACACAGGAGCGTCCGAGTCTCATCCTCTGAACCACTGACGTACATAGTCATATGTGCGTCATGCTCCCCCTAGCGGAGCTGGAAAGCACAATGTGATGTGACTATGTGACTCGTTTTGAGGAGGGACAGCGCACTGGATGCAAAGGGTTTCTACAAGTCCGGATAGATTGAATGATGTATTTGCGAGTAAGCCGCTTCGCATCGTCATAGCTTTTGCTTCTCCTTGTACAGGGTATATAATGCAACCCACCAACGCCGAAATGAGCCTCGATACAAACAGCAGAATGCAAATCAAGAGCCAATATACCACAGTTCCACCCCCATGACCTCGAATTTCTTGCCGTCGTCGCTCAATGGCTCGTTACCAAAAGTAGGGCATGTCGCTGAGACCCCGTTTTCGAGGTTGTCGTCAAGCCAGAGGCCATAGTGACCATCGCTATCATCATGTCAGTCAAGGAGCCAGCAAAATGCAAACCAGTGACACTCACCCTCCACCAATACTCAGAAAGCTGTGCTCGCAGAAAATCATGTAGTCGTTCACGCCGCTGTACGGAAACGCTTTGAACCGTATCCTCTCCGGTGTACTTGTTCCGCTCCGACTTGCGCTTCCAGAGGCTGGAGGCGAAAGCACGTTTGATCTCGATTTTGTTGTAGCAATCGTCGTCATTCTTGTGGCATTTGTTGTGTCTGCTGATGGCGGCGGAGGCAGGTTCGCAAGGTCCGGCAGAGATTTGAGGACATGTGCTCTCCATAGGAAGCATTCGCCGTTGCCGTAGAAGTGTGCTGATGGGTGCGGCGCGTCAGAGAGGTATGCACCAAACACGCCACCGCCGGCGTCCTTCACTACCAGCACGAATCCCCCTCTTTTCCCTCTATAGTCGTCCGCGTTCTTGTATAATGTCGCTAGACTGACGCCGTTCTGCTCCAAGCTGTACATGAGACTCCACTCGTCCACGAGCTGCAGCCTCGGCGGTACCAGCAGCCTAATCTCCTCTGCTAACGCTGTGTTCAAGAGCTTCCCGCTCTCCCGCATTCCACTTGTCCATCCTTGTAGGGTCAGCGGTGTGAGAGGTGGCGGTTGGAAAGGGCTCGCAGTGCGGTGTGGATTGTGGAGTGCGCCATGCATGTCTGCGGCCGAGTCTGCTGTGGATGAGAGGGACGATGCTGTGTTCGACACAAGACTGGCAAGCGAGTGTGAGATAGAGCTTGCTGTCGACACGAGTTGTGACTGTCGCCTATTCGGAGTATCGTTTGCGGTCGTGTTTGCTGTCGCGGCCGGACTTGTGTCGGTGTTCAGTCGTCGAAGTATGCCCCCAACGGCGTATTGGACCGGGAACGTGAAGTACGAGGATGCTCGCTGAGGCGGTTTGCGAGGGGGGGAGGACTTCGGACCTTGTGTGATGGAAGACATTGCATGGATAGGGTCGTGGTGATTGCAGTGGAGGTGTTCATGTAAGCAAAAAGCGGGTCGCGTAAGGACGCGGTTGTGTTGTTGCAGGTTGACGCGTTGTTGAAGCCCTGGAGGGCAGTGACGTACGTTTCGTAATAGTTAGTGGGTTGACAGCTCACGCAAGGAAAAGCGCCCTCTCATTTTAGGTAAAAAGGGCGGATAAGCAATAATAACACCTAGCTCACTACTGCAACAATACTGAAGGCTATGATTAATTTACTTTGCGAGTCCATGCTAATCAAATTGTTGTAGTGTTCCAAAGTAAGATGTTGTTACTAGACTAGAGGCTTATCCACCATGTGAGAGCATAAGTAGTTCTTGGGATTGCTCTTTCGAAAGTGGCCTTTGCAGCATGTTGGTAGATCGCAAGCACTTGCGGCCCTCAGCGAATCTCATCCATGGCCTCTACCAGTAATGCGGATTACATGTGTGCAGGGCTCGTCGTCACGTGAGGACGACACTATACTGCACGAGACATTGCACGTACTTGAAAACGGGAAGGGTAGGTATTCAGGCATTATCTTCCGCCTGGAGCTGTTGAGGTGAATTTATGATGGCTTTCGACGATTCTCTAATCTAACAGTTAGGAAGACAAAAGGCACTTTGCAATAGTTTTACACCTACTTACTCAACTGTACATAATAGAAGGATTCTAGCCACGGACTGTGCAGCGTCAAACACCTGTACAAAACATACCGTAGCTGCCAGTCCCCGAAGGAGATGACTTGCAATGATCTGCCCAGATTTCGACCTGCAAAGATGGCAGCGACCTCATCACAATCATTGACCGTTATATGACATGCTCAAAACGGAGACTTGGCACTGCAGGTCATCCAGATAGGAAGAGCACATGTACTCAAAGGACACTGCGGGTCCAGTGCGTGCCTGTCCGACACGCTCGAGTCGCGCAACGGTGTCGGCTCCATGCCGGTCCACCGCACAAATGGAACGCACGCACACATGTCCAGAGTGCTCGGCCATGTGGACCTGAAGGATGCCAAACCAGAGGCCGTCCAGCGCACGGAAAGCAGTGAGACGGAGGAGGGTGCAGGTCGCGCGAACAGGCGTTTGTCATGGCTCTGCACGTGTGGTACGTCGAATGGTGGTTGATGTACTTCCAATACGAAGTCGGAACTCTATCGCGGACTAACGAGGTGCAATCTCAGATGACATTCCACCCAGCAGGAATGCTGGAGGTGACTAGCGCGCACAGGGCATGCCGTCGTGCCGTGGTGCAGCAGCGTGGAGTCTGGTACGGCGCGGACGCTGGTCGCCCTGCTGGTCGACATGTCGCTCTGCACGCGAGACGATCAAGAGAGCAGCGCGCAGCAGAGCAAGGCCAGCGCCACCGACGATCGGCAAACGAAGATTGGTCCGAGCCAGAGCCGGTGCGGTTCTCCGCGTCGACGTATCACAGACTGCTGCGTCGAGGGTTCATTTCCTGGCGCTGGTGGTTCCTCGCCAGGAACGCTGCAGTGGAGCCAATATAGCGATGCATCGAAAACGTGGGTACGCCGGCCCTGTGCCGCATCGGGCGAGGGACGAGGGCAGGGGGGCGCTGCTGGCCGCGGGCAAGCGAGCGGAGCTGATTGGCCGCGCGCCGTGTTTCAAGCAGACGGAGCAGACGTTGCGGCTCACAGACGGCGCAGGCGCAGAACGGCAGGCGCTGGCAGGCGCTGGCAGGGCCTGCGCTGCGTCGCGAATGCACTGGCGCGGGCGTGCCAGGATGATGCCGGGGCTGCTGCACGTCGCCCTGAGGGCGCTGACTGAAGGTCGCAAGGCGCTGGAGGCTCTGGAGGCCGCGCTGGAGGTCGCTCTGGCGCGGCGACTCGAGGCTCGCAGGCTTGCAGGCGCACTGGCACGGCGACGCTGATTCCAATCAGAGCGCGGCGCCGAGGTGAAATTCTGCCGACGCGCAGCCCGGTTGCAGCAGTAGCAGTGCAGCGTTCGCCCGCGCGCCGCTCGTCCTGGCTGCCGTGCGTAGCGTGGAGGTACAACGCCGACCGTCACAACCCCTGAGCCACGCTGCGTCCCAGTCCCTGGCCGCGTCCCTGACGGCGTCCCCGCATCGGCCAGCGCGTGGGCCACCCCGTCCGCTGTTTGTGTCTCGCATCATGCGAGCAGGCTGCGCTGCCTCCTGGAACCGAAGGCCGCTGCCGCTGCTGGCGACGAGAGACGGCGCACGCTTCTGGCGCCCTCGCCCGCATCTGCAATTGACCCTCACGCCCGCCGCCCCCGTGCGCGCCCGGCCTCGCCCTCGACGACAGCTGCCTGCGTTCGGCCGTCTCGGTGCCGCTGACCTGCCGCGGAGAATGCCCCAGCGCCCCGTTGTGGACGACCATTCGACGCAGACATCTCATCCTTGACCGTCGCGCCATGGCGACCTTCCACGACGACCGGCGCCCGACCACGCCCACGGGTCCGTCTAGGACTCCCAGGGCCAGCGGTGCCATGCGCGCCCTCAACACGAATCCGCCGAGGCACGAAACCTTTTTCGACGACGCAACCCCCGTCGACCATGCCAGAGACTCGAGGGCCGAGTCTGAGCCCGACCGCCTGCGCGACTCCCACGACCTCTCCTTTGCCGAGGGTGCCACCGCCCGCGACTCGGTCGTCGACAACATGCTGCTGTCGCTGGACCAGTTCTCCACGGCCACCATGTTCGCCGCCGCTCCCGCCGGCAGGCGCGACGACGAGCCCTTCTTCATCCGCGACAGCTCCTACCGCCCGCCGGGGAACCGCAACAGGGGCCACACCTACACGGCCTCGGGCTCCACCGACTACGACCCGTATGCCGAGGAGACGACGCCGCGGTACCCGTCCCACATGCGCGCGCGCCGCAGCAACAGCAGCAACAACATTGCCTCGCCGTCCAACCGCAGCGCCAGCACCCGGGACCCCTACCCACGGCGCCAGGCCAACCCCGCGTACGGCCAGTACCAGCAGACCGCACACATGCGCGGCGGCGGCACCCAGGGCAGCAAGAGCAGTGGCTCGTCGAGCATGGACTTTGGCCAGACAGGCATGTTGGGCACGCATCGACTGGGCTTTGGAAAGCGCTCTGCCAGTTTTGACCACAGCAACCGATCTGGATTGCCGGCTGCGATCAACGACTCCCTCTTGGATCGAGGCAGAGCCGCCTACATGAACTATGACCACGACTACGACGCTGCTCCTGAACCTACCGTCCCGGCAGGGCCTAGGAAACGACAGCCGCCGCAGCAGCAGCCTGTCGCGCAAGCACCCCAGCAGCCTGCTTACGCACCTCCCATGGCTCCAGTCCCACGTCGCAGAGGTAGTATGAATTCCAACATGAGTTACAGGACCCTAAAGAAGGGCAAGAGCCAGCTGGAGCCGAGTATGAGAGCCCAGGCCCAGGAGTTCGTCAACGCTAGCACGCTGCGTGAGCTGCCATCCGTACCGGCTTTCCAGGAAGCAATGGCGTCGGCTCCACAGCTGGGGACGCGCAGATCACTATTTGGAACACAGGATCAGGCACCCAAGGAAAAGCCCGGGTTCTTCAGGCGAGTGTTTGGCGGAGGCTCGTCGAAAGCCCAGGCACAGCCAGCACCCAGTCTTCATGCTTCAAATGCAGCACCCCCAGAGCTCGCAACGTCCGCTCTACCGCGACCTACTGAGCTTGACTCGATATATTCCAACAACCGGCCGCGAACAACACCTAGTACTAATGCGCACATAGCTAACCAGTTGAAATCCTTACCCAAGGTGCCACAAAGTGCTGGAGGCCGTCCGAACGACACGCAGCCACCTGCACCGCCTGTTCTGACTAAGAAGCCCTCGTCCTTTTTCAGGAGACGCAAAAAGTCCATTTCAGAGCCCATGAAGCCTCCAATCATGTCCCTCGAGTTTGCACACCCTCCCAAACCGTTCCTTGCTGCACAACCAAGCCCCAGTGTTAGCAGTCTACGCCAGGTTATGAACCCGTATCTGGTGGAACCTCCACTTGCACCGGAGACATTCTACGACACGCGAGAGCATCAACAGATTGACGAGGAGCAGAATGGTGAGCGCCCCCAAGGATTCTCGCCTGGCTATAAACCTCATAAAGATGCAACAGTGCGCTCCGTAAGACCGTCCTCTCCCTCGTGCTCGCCTTCTCCCTCGACTCGCAGCGAACGGACAAAGTCGCAGGACGCGAGCAATATCAAGTCGAAGCCCAATGCAAAGCACGAAAAAGCAATGCCGACCATGGTAACACCACAGGAAGATACATTCCTTGCGGATAGCAGCAGCTGCAACGAAGACCGAAGTGGTCGCGCGACCCCGGTACATGAACCCAGTAGTGCGGTTGGCCCCACATCTCCGTCACTCAGCAAGCCTATAACAGAAGGACCGAGTGAAGCCAAAGCACGCAGGGAACCCCAGCCTGGACTACTGACACCTACACCTAACGCAAGAGTAACGTCTGGTAGCACATCTGCTTCGCAACCAACGCTAGCTACTGATGACGAAGGCTGGGTCGTCACAGCGCCAGTGCAAGACGAAAAGAATGCGAGAGGCCGCAGCCCCAGTGCAAGACGCGTCTGGCTCGATACCACAGTCACCGAAGAGCCGCCTATTGACGGTGCTGATAGCCTGCAGCTGCCTTCGGAGGGTGCTCGTGCATCCCCGCAATTGCAGGAGCAGTCGGTGCCAGTCACTCCCGACGTGACCTCACCATCGTCACCAAACGAGGTTTTTCACTCTGCGACCAGCTTGCCTATAGTCCAAATCGAAACCCGCGACTCGGACGCGACCATGCCATCCATCGCGGAGGATCGCTCAACGCATCCTGAGCCCACCGACGCGGACAGGGAGCGTGCGCTGAGGATTTTCAGCGGCAATGAAACAGTCGTGCAGAAGTCGCAGGCTGCTGCAGCCCTTGGTGATGTTACTCTCAGCAGCGCACGCATTCGGCGGGCGTTCATGGATTTGTTTGAGTGGACTGGATTCACTATTCTCGCTGCAATGCGTGATATGTGTGGCAAAATCGTACTCAAGGCTGAGACTCAGCAAGTCGATCGCATCTTGATGAGTCTGTCGGAGCGATGGTGCGAATGCAATGTCAACCATGGCTTCAAAGAAGTCGGTTAGTAAGCCCCATTTGTTAAGACAGAAACATGCTAACGCTGTCAGACGTTGTGCATACCATCTGCTATTCGATTTTGCTGCTCAACACCGATCTGCATGTAGCAGATATCGAGACCAGGATGACTCGAAGTCAGTTCGTGCGGAACACTCTGCCAACCGTGACACGGGTCTGTCAAGATGCTATTAAGGCGGACCAGACATTGCGGCCAAAATCAACCCACTTTCGCAGGGGCTCGCTACCGTGGAATGACAATTCGGAACCTGTGACTCCTACTGCTGAACAACCAGCGTTTCCCACTGAGGTGACAGAGGAGAACACCGAAGGCCGGCGAGCTCGAAGCCGGTTATCAGTCAGACCAGCAATCAGAAGTGGTGCAGAAGGATTGTTGTCCTTTGACTCTGCCACGTCCGAGGCGAACACTCTGGTCAACACACCCTACAATGGTCCGATGAAAGGATGGGAGTTCCAGATCGAGATGGTCCTGAAAGAGTTTTACGAGTCAATTCGCAAGCATCGCCTTCCCCTCCACGGAGCTTCAGACCTTCACCACCAGCCCTCATCCAACAACCTTTCCGTCGCCGGTGTTTTACGCCGTACGCCAAGTGTCTTAAGTAAAGCCCCTTCGGACAATACCAGCTACCGAGGGCGGACGCAAGCCGACTTCCGCAGCGTGGGGGCGCGTTGGGCTTCAAAGAACCGTTCCAAGCAGAGGATGTACCCCGCATCGACAGTAGCATCTAGCCGTACCAGTTTGGACGATAATTCAGTCTGGAGCCCAGCGGGATCAAGTTCGTGGAGTCGTTACTCATACGGCAAAACGGGCACATCCATGTCGGTGGACTCGATGGGCTCCCACTTTGCTGCTGGTGACTATCAGCAAGCGATTGGTTTCGCCAATGCTCTCAGTCAAGCGATCATCCGCGAAGAAGGTATGACGATTGCCAGTGACGAAGACTTTGCTCGCGCAGCTCCACTTCTTGAAGACGAATCGCTGGAGCTTGTCGGTGCACCTTGGGCCAAAGAGGGCATCTTGAAACACAAGCATCACCTGGAAACAGTTGACAGGAAAGCCAAAGACCGGAATTGGAGCGAGAACTTTGCTGTCATTGAGAAGGGTTATATGCGCCTATTCTCTTTCAGTATGAACTCGAAATCTGCGCGGATGAAGAGTAAGGCCAAGCCAGCTGCCGGAGGCATCGTAGGTGGCGGCAATTGGATGGACAACGCCGAGGCGCTTGAGGTCTTCCCGCTGCGGCAAACCATTGCGAGTGCACTGCCACCGCCAGGCTATTCTAAGACAAGGCCTCATGTGTGGGCATTATCGCTTCCAACCGGCGCTGTCCATCTCTTCCAAGTCGGCACCCCGGACATTGTTCGAGAGTTTGTGACTACTGCCAATTACTGGTCCGCCAGACTATCCAAGGAGCCTCTTACCGGAGGGGTCACCAGCATGGAGTATGGGTGGGGTGAGAATGTCATCAACCCCGCCTTGATTCGACAGGACAGCATTCCTACGATTCAAGGACATATGCCTCGCCCCAGCGTTGCGAGCTCTCTTCGTAGCTCAATGGACCACGCAACAGGGGTACCAAGGGCTAGGCTCCCTGGCGATAAAGCCATACTGTCTGATTGGAGTCCACCAACAGCGAGTATGATGGCCAGCAACCTGATGGAGGTCGACCAGCTAAGAGCACTCTCTGACTACGTGAAAAACATCGAAGCAGAATTGGCGCTCCACAACGAATTGAGGGCACCTCTGCTCATCACTGTAAGTTTCTTTCTTACGTTCGAGCACCAAACCACTGACCCGACCACCAGTTCTCTCCCCGTCACCCCAATGCCGCCAAAGCAATGGCTAATTGGGAGCGGAAATCGCAATACCTCCTCAAGGAGATTGTCAAGTTCCGCACTTATATTGACACATTGGCGCTTGCCCAAAGTCAGAAGGAGAAGATATACGCCGAGCGTGAAGCAAGCGGAGACTCACGTCCCGCAACCAAGGATGGCGCGGCCGAGTACTTACCGTCAGACGAAGTTGATGGTGCGAAAGAAGTCCCAAGAGCTTCCGAGCCCATCGACTCCTAATATCTTTTTCTTGTTCCTGTCATTTTGTTCGTTTTGCATATACTGACGAATTTCCCAATGTTCTTTCAGGTCTTACACCTCTTCGACGAACGATGCGGCGTTTACGATTGCTTCATTCATCTAAAGTCATGTTCAGAGAGCGTCCTCACTCGATAGCTTGATGCTCTGTACTTTTAATATTCTCTTCTTCTATACGTTTTGCATTCGACACGGGTATGGCATCATTACCATTTTGGTGTCGAAAGAAGGTTACGAAGCATCATGTATACATATTGCTCAGCTCGTGCAATTGGGACTGCGCTCCAAAAGATTCGTCTTCGCTTGGTATGCGGTGAGCCGCTATATTTGGAGGAAGCATTTGGTAGACTTTGGGATGGCGCGGGTTAGACTATCATATACCCCAGCTTTAGTCAATTCACCGCTTTGTCCCATATTGCGCATGTTGTTCAGCTCAATGTGCTATAGCGTCAATGCGACATAGGCAGTTACTTTTTGAATATTCTTCGTACAAGAAGTATAGGTAGGAACAAGATCCACCCTAGTTTCAAATCTTCCCAGTGCTCCCATATACCTTGTAGTGGAATCGGAACCGAATTGGCGGCCTTTTTTACCTACGTCGTTACAAGAAGTGTAGTTAGCAAGAATAGAAGGTAGAGATATAGAGGGGGGTAGAGATATAAAGGGGGGTAGAGAGAGAGAGGCGAGAGAGAGAGGCGAGAGAGAGAGGAGTTAGGTATAGGGTAAGTCGGCTTATTTACCTGGGAGTGCGGTGTAACAAGACACAGGGCGGTGTTAATTACACTGTGTGGGTACCCTAGTGTAACAGTGGCAGTTGGTTGCGGTGGTTCGCACTTGAAGATCACCAAATCATCATCGTAGTAGAATTTAAACGAACCAGCTTGAGATCTCTCTGACGGGAGACGACCGTTTACACCTGATATTATAAAGTTATAGAGTGCAAGCTCAGAAAGTTCAATGAGGAACTCAGGTGGCTCTCACGTTTCAGGGGAGACGGCGGATAAGCGACCTTTAAGCTAACTATCCCGTCCTCTTACGTTGCAGGACAAATAGTGGACTGGTGCAAGGATGTGAGCCAAGTGTATAATGTACTAAAGTGGGAGTGGTAGGCACATTTCAGCAAGCATTATAATAACGCTCGAAGCTAAAACTTAGTTAGCATCAATGCTGTAGGCAAAGAAGTATTCTATGTTTATTACGCCGTTTATCCTGCATCGTGAGAGTCTAGGGTCGTTCTACCCAGCCCAATGAACGCGGATTGTCGATGGTAAGTTTACTGGTAGTAATGACAAAAGCGGACGCATGGAATGGATGACTGAACATCGGATTGGAAACTTCGGATGGCAAGCGAGTGATGCACAGATCGGCACTGCACTCTTGTCATTTACCAAGCACGTACATGTCCAGCCAGCAGAACGAAGTTCTTCTGCTCTGTAAACCTCAGCGACGACGCGACGGGTCACATAAAAATGCTCATCTGTGGGTCTTGATGAAGGGTGGACAGGTAACTTTTGTTGTCATTTAATCATTTCAAAGCATTGCTCGACCCGTTTGCGCCTACTGAGCCACTGGCTCGTCAACCGCTGCCACCGTGGCAGAGTCTGCCTCCTGCGCCGAATCGCCCATATCTTCACCGTCCTGCTCTTCAGCCTCGTTACTGTCTGTAGGCGTTCCCTCACTACTCTTCTCCCTCAACTTGGCGCCTTTCCTCTCTGGCAGCACGTCCATGAAAGCCTTACCCCAGTCTCCCAACTCGAGCCACTTGAGCATGATCTCTAGAACATGATTTGTGACAAGCACTTGCCTACTCTTCATTTCCAAGAACTCGCCAATGGGCAGTTTCGCAGTCTTAATTCCCCGTTCCACAGCGCGCTTGTGGCAGACACCCTTGTGCCGGTTCTTGTCGACAAGCCCACCAATGATATATGTGCTGTTTGGTTTGAGTGTCGTGAGAGTGTTGTCGGATTCCGAAGACAGGTATATAATCTCGCCTTCTTCGTCGGTCGGTTTGTCTCCAGTATCCTCCGCCAGCACCCCTTCACCGGCCTCATCCGCGATCTCTGCAATCTTCATGGCCCCAGCAACGACCCCACCTCTCGGACCATTCATCCACTCCCGACTCTTCGTGCTGACCTCGACAAAGTCTTCTTCGAAGAACTTGAAACCCTTCCAGCTTGTGTGCTGGTTCCCCAAAATACCCTCGAAACGCTCTTTCATCTTGCCTCCCCAACTGCTAACCGCCAAGTGCGTCCTGTACTTGGCTTTGCGGTTGTCAGAATAACATCGGGTGATTTGCAGTCCGAGGCTTTTCAGTTCCGCGTCAAACATCAGATTCTCCCAATCGCAATCAAACACCACAGTGATCGGGACTTGCGTGCCGCTTCCTGCAGTGTTGCGACTCGGACGGTCCGACGGAAGCTGAGGAAGAACACCATTTTCATCGGGGGTGTGAGTTGCGGCCCACTCCTCGCGGCGGCGCTCTTTCTTTTCCTTTGCTTTCTCTTTGCGCTTGAGCTTACGATCTTCTCGGCCAGACTCCCAGCGCTCGTGTCGTCGCTGCTTCTTTAATTGATTCTTTGAGATTTTGGGTTCTTCGGCGGCATCTCCGGCTGCTTCATCGGCAGCGATGGCAGATCCGCTGTTGGTTGTGGTCACGGGATCTGGAGAATCGACAGGTGATGTGTAGGCCGGTGTAACGCCAACACTTGCTGCAGTATCTTCCTGCATATGAGCCAACTTGAGGAGTTTTGCCGGCCTTGCGTCATAGGCCTCGCTGTCATCTGTTGGAGCTGGAGAGTCTACGGGAGATGTGTACGAAGGCGTCACGCCCACACTAGCTGCATCTTCCAGATCTAGGTGACGGTTTCTCGGTTTTAATGGTCCAGCGTCGGACGCCTCATTGTCGACATCCTCTGTAGTTGTTGGAGCAGGGGAGTCGACTGGCGTTGTGTATGCTGGAGTGACACCCACACTGGCCGCCGGATCCTCCTCTTCCATCAGATGGCCCAACTTCCTCATCTTGTTTGGTCTCTCATCATCAGTCATGTTTGCTTGAAGTTGTCTTCTCTGTCTCAATTGACCTGAATTGATGTTCTGGTGATGCCCGACCACTCATCGTCGTCAAAATTATGCTCACATCACTAGCGCAGCTGCCGTCCTTGGCACGCCGACCCTTGTCATTGCAGCTGCACAGCTCGCTCGCGACCTCACGCCTCCGCACCGCCAACGGCACCCTTCACCCACCGATTGAACCCCCACAACGCACCGCCCATAATGCCGCAGGATATGCCCCCCGTGGGCGGGTACAATCCCGTCCAGTACAAGCGCAACCTCCCCATTCGCGGCTTCCGACCGGCCGTGTACCTCATCGGAACCGGTGTACTCATGACATACGGATTCTGGAGGGTTGGACAAGGAATTAGGGAACACAAGTATGTGGACGCTTAATTGGCGGAACAGGAAGGCTGTAGGCCAGCAGCACGGCTTGAGAGATGCATAGGCATAGCAGAGCTAACATGACGATAGCGAACTCGCGCGCGAGAAGATGTGGGCGCGGATACACCTCATACCTGCGCTGCAGGCCGAGGAAGACCGCGACCAAGTGCGAAGGTATCTTGCCGATAAGGCCAGAGAGAAGGAGTTGCTTGGTACAGAGACCAGAGTCTACAACAGCGACAGGTGCGTGCATATTCTGTTATCTAGAAAGGAGATCCTGGCTAATGCAGTTGCAGGTTCGTTCGGCCAACATTTGCCATCACACCCGAGCACGAGACAAAGTAGAAAATGGTTTGCCGAGTTGGAGAGATGTGTGGCGTATGATTGTACATGTCGTGAATGGCAGGACGACGGATGCTGGAATGGTGTCCTAGTGGCTGTACCGCATAAGGTAATGCACAACAACCGATTCTATGTTTTCTTTGGCTTCAATTTCATGTGCTGCTGTTCTTCGTGCTCATTACTGCACTTATGCACGTCCGATCAGCCACTGAGTGAAATGCAGCATCACGCAAGAAGGCGCCTTTTCGTTTGGACGTATAAGCTGAACGAAGTAATTCAGTCGCAGGGCCTGCGAAACAGCATCGAATCACTCACTGTGCCTTGGCAAGCTCTCATGTTTTAGGAGAAACAGCGGATAAGCGATCTTGGAGCTGACCAACTTTAGCACAGAACTTGTAGCTGTTATAATACCTACAGCTAAGATTTCGTTACGCCTTACCTACATTGTAGGTAAAAGGGTATCATATAGAGTTTTCTTGCATGTTCCCTACTCTGCTGTTACGTGGTGGCATACTTGGCTTGCATCCTTACACAGTAATCCGCCGTTAATCCTGCAACTTGAGAGGCGAGCTCTTTAAGAACATCGAAGACTAAGCGTCGACCACACAACACATACTTCAGGCGATTGGTCCTTCGTTGCATATACTCCTTCACATATACGATATATAGACTATCGATGTGTAGACAATGTGAGCTTGCCTTACGCATGGTGGCTGGCCATCGAAGGCCGTCGCGTCATAGACTTTGCCTGATGGATTCATACACTTAGACAGTCTTGCTTTCGTTCTTTACTACTTGATGGACGCCAACTTCGCCTCATTATGATGTACAGTTCTCTGGTTTCCCACCAGACAATCAACCGGCAAAGATTGTGGGTTTAAAAGCCTATCATCAGGAGGTTAGATGTACTCTCATGGTCATGCGCAAAGGCAAATCGTGGTCCACTACGTCTTTCAGTTCCCTAGGCTGGCCCACCAGGAGGTTGTCTGGGATTGCGTTGCGGATTTTGACCATTTTGAAGTTGCTGAGGTGGTAGATTCTGTCCTTGCGAGGGGCCGCGGCGCTGTCCTTGGAATTGTCCTCCACCACGACCACCGCGGTAACCTTGCCTGCCTTGAGCACGCGCCATGATGCCATCACCTTCCTGAGGCGGACCCTGGTGTTGAGGACGCGGTTGAGAGTTAGAAATGGGACGCGGAATCGTGTCTGGCGACTCGTAAACGTATAGGTTCTTCTCGATGACCTGCGGGATGGGCTGAATCTCGGTGCCGAGCTCCTGTTCGATCCTGTACAGGTTGAACCGGTCTTCCCAATTGATGAGGTTGATGGCCAAACCGAGATGTCCAAATCGACCAGAGCGACCGATGCGGTGCAGATACGTCTCAGCATTCTTTGGGAAATCGAAGTTGATGACGACGTTGACAGCCTGGATATCGATACCGCGGGTCAAGAGATCAGAGCAGACGAGGTTTCGGCACACGCCGTTCCTGAAGTCGTGGAACACGCGGTTACGGTTGTGCTGGAGCATTCGCGCATGCGAGTAGAAACAAGAGTATCCAAGCTCGGTGATCTTCTTCGCGAGTAGCTCGACACGGTTCGTGGAGTTGCAGAAGATGATCGATTGGTTAATTTGTAGTTTGTTGAAGAGGGTGTTCAAACAATGCACCTTCTGCTTCTCCTCGACAAACGCGTAGTACTGCGTGATACCACGCAGAGTCAACTCATCCATCAAGTTGATCTCATAGGGTGAGTTCATGTGCTTGTCCTTGAAGTCCTTGACGACAATGGGAAACGTAGCACTAAAGAGCATCACTTGCCTATCCTTGGGGTGGAATCCCAGTAGCTGCTCAATGACGGGTGTGAACTCGGGCGACAGGAGTTTGTCGGCTTCGTCCATGACAAATGTCTGGCAAGTAGTGAGATCAGCGACGCCTTTTCCCGCGAGGTCCAAGATTCTGCCCGGTGTTCCAACGATGATGTGGACGGGTTCGCTCAGTCGAATGATATCATCCTTGAGCCCTGTTCCACCCGTTGAAACCATGACATTGACGCCCAAGTGCTTTCCCAGGGTCTTGCAGACCTGCGAAGTCTGAAGAGCCAACTCTCGGGTAGGCACAAGAATAAGGGCCTGTGTCTTTGGGTTTTTCGGGTTGATGCGCTCGAGAGTGGGGATAACGAAAGCCGCAGTCTTTCCGGTACCGTTCTTCGCTCGTGCAAGTATGTCTCGTCCAGTCAGAGCAACTGGGATCGTCTCTTCTTGAATTGGGGATGGCTTCTCAAAGCCTGCCTCGAAGATGCCCATCATAAGCTCGCGCTTGATGAAGAAATCTTCAAACTCAAGACCCTTTGTCGCGGTAACATCCTAGATCAAAGCTGTCAGCCCATGGATGCACGCAGAAAGGCGATGACGCCACTCGTTCGCGCGCCGTCTTTTTTTGGAAAAAGCAATTGAATCTTACCTCGGTTTGTGGTCGCGAATCTTTCGCAGGGGCTGTCAACCCTTCCTTCCAATTGCCCTCTGATGATACGTCATTCAGCTTGGTTGCTGCTAGCTGATTGGTGATTTGTGCGGTCATTGTGTAGTAAACCACCTGGAGTGGTGGAGTCGGTCAAATGATGGGTAAGATGGATGGTGAGAGGCGCGATCGATAAGGCGCGACAAGCGACAGTGTTCGATAGCGATAGTGGTGGTCGTCCCCAAGGGCTTGTGGGGTGGATGGTCGAGAGAGGCGGGGCTTAACAGGTAGTAGTATGAGTGCCTAGTCACTTGCGGCAGCTATGGTAGTCGGGATTTCGTTTGTTGTTCACTGTCTCAGTCGAGGAGCTGTGCGGGCGGGGTGAGGTCGTTGTTCGTGATCGAGAAGACTTGGACGCGATAGCAGTATGTGTGTTGTTTGCGCAAGACGAGGGTGCCGCGGCGGAATTTGGTAGACGCTCCGAGAGGTCGAAGTGCGTGGAATAGTGCAGAGCTTGTGCGCGGGTTGTGTGTGTTGTGAGACCTGTGAGGTAGGGTCGTTCTTTATGCAGGCCGGACTGAGGTGTGTGAGCGAACTCCACGCTTGGCACGGGCCCATCTCTTTCGCTACCTAGAGCCGCAACTGCTGCAGGGTCGCCAGATTTCTCCCGTACATACTGCTCAAAGTCATCGAATCGGCCATCAGATTACACTTCTCGCTGCTGTCTGCGGTTCTGCGGTTCCTATCACGTCGACGTTGCAAAGCCATTTCACCACCCGCTTTGCGCCTCCCGCCTACCACGCGTATCAGCTTTATACAAGTCTAGACCTGTGACGGGAATCTAAACGGGCTCCATAGCCAAACCACCTTATCTTCATAACCGCGCATCATATTCAGGTGCTTCACAAGACATCTCTTTGCGGCTCTCGAGTTTCGAGGCACGTGTGTGATATCAACGACGCGCAGTTCATCATCCGGCCTCAATATGACATCGTTTCTTCGGCTCGCTGGGATGGTTCGGCCATTCCCAGGGCTACAGAGGCCACTTTCTACCAGCTTCTTCAGTACAGTAACACCGAAGCGGCCACTGCCCTCCAACTTCTTCAGACAACCGCCCTCAACACTGGTCTCTAGGTTACGGCAGTCCCGCTCTTACTCTAGCGGTTTCGGGTCCCAGCGTCGGTATGCAGCCAACAAGTTCCTTCTAGTGAGCTTCGTGGGCATCAACACCGCTGTATTTGCGTACAGCCTCTACACTCACGAACTGGCCAAACAAGGTCACATGGACGGCTTCAGAAAATACCATCAGATCATGACGATGAACTTGCAGGATGTCAAGAATGGTCACTATTGGCAGACTGTCACATCTATGTTCGCACATGCAAACTTGATGCACTTGGCGTTCAACATGTTCACGTTCTGGTCATTGGGTGGGATGTTGTGTGCGTTACCGGTTACGCCTGGCCAATTCACGCTCATTGTACTTGGATCTGGATTGTCAGGCTCGCTGTTTTGGCTTGGTCAAAAGCAGTTGAAAGAACAGATGGAAGGTCGACCGTCCCAACAACGAGCGTTGGGTTTCTCTGGTGCTTTGATGGGCGCTGTCACCGTGGTTGCTTGCTTCGTGCCAAAGAACACTGTTGGAATCTTTGGTGTAATACCGGTGCCTCTTTGGCTTTGTGTCCTTGGATATGGAGCCTACGATGGGTACTACTTGAACGCTGAAAACACCAGGACGGCACACGCTGGGCATCTGGGTGGGATGGTGTTCGGCCTGGCCTACTATTTCCTTAAGTTGAGGACTTTGAAATACCCGGGGAGTATCTGATGTGTCCACCTGCATCCCCTCGAAACATACTGTTCTATCAATGTATTATCCAATTTAAATGTAGTAAGATACTGTATGCGGGCAGGAAGCTGTTGATCACCGTTTCTTTGTGACTAAAACACCTTACTTGCGTGCGGGTTATACAAGCCTTGATGCGTGATCGCCAATACTCATGTGTCCCGTAGTGGAGACCACAAGTCCAAGAATCACGTTGAGGCTGCTGCTCTTCTCCACCAATCAACGAGCGTTGTGAAGCTGCGCCTCAAGATCGAACCAATAAAATCTAGTGGCAAAAAACGTGACTCTCGGACTTGTGGTTACCATGAGTAGACATCTTGATCTCAAGCAATCGTTCGTGAATGCTCGGATACCTACAATTACGCGATGAAGTCCTCTCGTTGTGGGGCAATGTGCGGCGCCGCTTTGGTACTAGCGGCGCTACTTGGCCTGTGCAATGCGTAGCTCTAGCGCCCACACAGCCGGCTCGAATTCAAGCGAGCTCTCCAGCCCACGACATCAACTGACTTTAGGTATCCCACATCTACAGTACGTGCCCCGAGCAGTTCGCATTGCGGAAGAAGCCTAGTCACTCACACGTCCTCAGAATCAGCCCAACATGGTCAAGAAGCGAGCATCCAAGTACGCACCCACCACGGACCGCGAAATTTCGAATCTGTCGCAACTCGCAGAAATGGCAAAGCTAACAGCCTCACAGCGGTCGTAACAAGAAGGGCCGCGGCCACGTCAAGCCCATCCGCTGCTCCAACTGCTCGCGATGCACTCCCAAGGACAAGGCGATCAAGAGATTCACCATCCGCAACATGGTCGAGTCCGCCGCCATCCGTACGTCTCACCACGATATCCACGACGCTCTATAAACACAATACAATGCGCGTATCCGTAAGGGTCGCACATCCGCTGTTCAACGATCGTTGAGTTCGCTTCTGGCGAATTGATCTTAAGAAGAACCTTGGAACTGACAACGGGCAGGTGACATCTCTGATGCTTCCGTCTTCCCCGAGTACACTGTCCCCAAGATGTACCTTAAGTTGCAGTATTGCGTGTCCTGCGCTATCCACGGCAAGATCGTGCGCGTCCGTTCCCGCGAAGGTTCGTCTCATACCCCCCCCCCCCCCCCCCCCCCCCCTCCGGGCATATCTGATCATCACAGGCCGCCGCAACCGCGCTCCCCCGCCTCGCGTTAGGTTCAACCGTGACGGAAAGAAGGTCACACCTCAGGTTGCTGCCAAGACATCCTAGATTGTCACCATGTCGGGCTTAGGAGGACGTTGAGCAAGGACATGGAGAGGCGTCAAAGCCACAGACTGGCTGTGGGATCATGTCAAAAATGTATACCACATGCTTCAGCACACCGGCAATTCAGTCTCTGCGCGGTTCTGCCATTGAGTCTTGTTTGTCCGTCATAGAGGCGCAACTCGTAGCCTTCAAGATTGATGAGGCAATTCGATACGAAGAAGAATGAAATCACTCAATACAGTTCCAAAACCATCACTAATGAGTACACCTGCGATATGTATGTGACGACCACAGGCCGCCGCAACCGTGCTCGCCTGCCCCGTATTAGATCTAACTGTGACGCCAGGGAAGAAGGCCACAAGATCCAGTGCAATCCAAAGATGTCTCCTAGTATGCAGATAGCTCGTGCGAAGTACAGTATAGCAGGAGTAAGTAATCAATGTAGATCCTTAAATATTCTTCTTCTAGCAGCACCTCTCTGCAAGTAATAGTGAAGCACACTAGACTAAATAATAAAGTGCTAACATTAAAGCTAAAACATTTTGTATACCTCTATAGGTTATGTTTTGTTAACAGCTAGCTGCTACGAAGTCTTGTGACACATTGACTACTTACCTACGTGCTGCAGAAGGTAGTGAGTGCATGGTAGCTACAAGTAATTTCTCTTGTAAACCATCGGAGATGCGATTGTAATACATACAACATCTATCATCTCTTCTACTACCTCAGAGACGAGTCACAAACTTGTCTAGGGGCTTGCTCGTGAGACAACGCTTGGGCTGGAGCTTCAAAATCACCAAGATTGGCTGATGGCTGTGAAAAGCTACACACATCAAATCGCATCGAGTCCTCGCACATGCACAAGGATGTTGATTGCAGTTTCTCGTATATCCTCTCAAGTTCGCTTTGGTATGCATTTCGTGATCATACAATCGTTCAGACAACCGATGGAAGCGTCTCAATCGCTACGCTTCTTTCCATCTTCCATGTCTTCGGCCACCGCAACCACCGTCGCCGCATTTACGCCGTTTCCAATTACCGGATCTGGATCGGTAGTTTCCCAGTCCTCCGCATTCTCGTCCCAGCGGTCTAGCTCGTCCTCCACCGCTGACCTGACTACTCCCGTCTCCTGCCCTCCGACGGTCTCGCCAAGCTCGACGTCCATTTCGTCGTCACCAGCCACAGCATTGTATCCGCGCGCCATCCGCTTACGCTCAATCATGCGCTTGTGGTACCAATTACACAGCGCAATGGCAAGCGCGGAACCGGCGACATTAGCGACGATATCGTAGGGGTCGAACTCGCGTTCAATCTGTATGACCGTTAGCATGATCCAATTGGTTCCGACAGCAGGATTGTTCATACCGGCAGCAACCCTTGCACAACCTCACTCGCAACGCCCAGTCCAAGCGTGCACACCAGGAGCGTGAACTGCAGCACCTTGCGCCGCGATGTCTCAAGAATCCAGTAGAATGTAAGTGTGAGCAAGAAGAAGGCGACGAAGTGCAGGGCTTTGTCGGACTGCTTGTACGACGGGATTGAGTAGTCGGAGGGGGAGAAGCCGGCGGCGGCCGAGATGAGGATCAGGGCGACAAAGGCACCTGAAGCGTGTCAGCAATGTGTAGTTCGCAGACTGCAAGAGCTGCAGAGCTGCAGAGCTGCGCTGCCCGAGGGTCCGCGCTGGCAGCGGCCTCGCATGTGCTGGAGCGCAGCTGTGGCGGAGGTATGACGTGGGTGCGTACCAGCGAAGGGCTTTCGTATGCGCATGTTGGTAGTCGGTAGAATGCTATAATTGACTGCAAAGCATAGCAAGGGTTCGTCTGTGTGTTCGGCGAGGCCGGGTGGCTGGGGATCTGCGACCGCCTGAGAGCTTGTAAGGCGGTGATGCAACTGCTGCCACGAGCGACTAACCGGATCCAGCAGGCCAGGTGGTGCGTCTCACCCGCTGCCGCCGAGGCTGCAGCCCTGATATGCAGGCGTCTCTGACTTGTAGTGTGCTAGTCGACTGCTCCAGCCTTCATTTGATTTCTGCCACCTAGGTGCCAATATCCCCCTTGGGCAGCGTGCCGTCACGGCTTGTGACACAAAGGGTCTGGCGCAGTGGGCGTCGCATGCAGCATTGATCGCCGAATGCGAGCAGCGCACAGCATTCGTCTTGAGCCTGTAGCCAAAGACACGCAGCATCAGTCAATAGCAGTCAACATTCCAGCGCTGTGCGCCTGTCAGGACACGGCCGACACGGCGTCTGATCTGACACACCAGCTGCACTAGAGGAGGAGCCCGTGCAAGTGCCTTGTCTGCCGCGTCGCGTCGTGTGTGAAGACGCGCTGCATACACGAGCAAATTGCCAGAATCGCCAGCGTCCACAGTTTGCCGATCACACGACCTCAGCAGGGTCGAAGTGGGGACGTCTTGATATTGGGGAACTGCTGGAGGTGGCCGATCCCAGCGTGTGCCGACGCGCTAGCCTGGAAAGCCGCACTGGTGGCAGCAACGACCAACCTACTTTCGACCACAGTCCTTCGCAGGCCGTGTGCACTCGCTCATCAAGACGCGCGCCGACACGACTTGGTTCATCGCAGAGCCATCGCTATCTGCCTCTCTGCCCGCCTGGCTGCTTCCATGCTAGATTCTATCGCAGTGCGACACCCGCTCGAGGCAGGACGTCGCCATCCTAGCCGGCCTTCCCTGTGAGGCCGCTCCAGTGCGGTAGCGCCAAGGCTCCCCACACCGCGAGAGCAACGACATGTCCCTCGCGGCATCAGCACAGCGGCCATCCAGCAAAGAACGCCCCAACCATGCCCGCGCGCCCTACGCAGCGCCCAATGCGACCCGCCTGCGCACGCCCAATGCGACGCTGACCGACGAGACCATGTCCAGCGGCGGAAATGCACACGGTCTGGGGGAGGGGGCTGCCGACTCGATCGCCGAGGAGGACCCCCGTACAGCGCGCTGGCGCGAGCAGTACCTGCGCACCGAAGCGCGCCTCAACGCGGTGCTGGGCGGGACTAACGCGGCTGACCTGCTTGATGCCCTCGATGCTGCACCCAGGCCCTCGTCCGATGACGCTCCGCCGGCGCATGACGCGCGCCCGACCGCGACACCAAAGAAGGCCGCGCGCGCCATCGATGAGGACGACTACGGCGACGATGACGATGACGACGACGACGATGACACCCACACCTCGCCGCTGCTGGCCAAGAGTGTCCTCAACCGTGTCGCTGCCGGCCCAACCACGCCAAGCGCCCGCGCACCACCTCTCCTGCACAAGAATAGCCACGACCGGACGGGCACGCCGTCATCAGACCAGGCCAAGTCTTCGGACGATGTCCGCAAGCAATTGCAGCAGGACAAACAGGCCGCTGAAGACGCCGCGAAGAAGAGCTTCCAGACCCTATTCTACACCCTGGAGAGCGACCGCGATGCCATGCTGGAGCAGCAGAAGCTTGACGAACTCGATCGACAAGTGGAGCAGGAGACATCTGGCACCTCTGCAACCGCCCCAGCCAATGGCACTGCCGTCGCCGCCCCCCAGCAAGGCACCCTCAGCACCACAAACCTCGGCGCCTCAAGTCTCACACTCAAACATCTCATCTCCCGCATCGACGCCCAGCGAGATCGTGTACATGCCACTGATGCTCAACTGCGCAGCCTGATTAGCGAGGTTCGCAAGAACAGAAGCAAGTGGGCAAACGAGGACCGTGTTGGCCAGGAGGAGTTGTACGAAAGCGTCGAGAAAGTGCTCATGGAGCTCAAAGCTGGTGAACACGCGCACCCCTTCCTTCAACGTGTCAACAAAAGGGAAGCGCCGGACTACTACAATGTCATCAAACACCCCATGGACATCGGCACGATGATGAAGAAGCTCAAGCAGCTGCAGTATAAGTCAAAGAAGGACTTTGTTGACGATTTGATGTTGATATGGTCTAATTGCTTAAAGTACAACGCCGACCCCAACCATTTCCTCCGCAAGAAAGCTCTGCACATGAAGAAAGAGACCGAGAAGCTTGTACCACTCATTCCAGACATCACCATTCGTGACCGTGCTGAGGTCGAGGCCGAAGAGAGAAGGATGCGAAACGGCGACATCGATGCTGACGGCGCTGATGATAGCGAAGACGAGGAACCCATTATGGCGTCACGAGGTCGAAAAGCGCCTAGCAAGGGTGGAAAAGGCTCGAACAACGCAAGAAAGGCACCTCCTGCAGGCTCAGAAGGCACGCCAGCGCCCGAGACCAAGCCGCCAGTACCGTCTTTGAACAGTACTGTGTCAAATCTGAAGAATGAGTTTCTACGTGCTGACTCCGAGATGGAAGGAAGTGTCAACGGCTTCTCAACTCCTCCACCACCTGGTGCATTGACACCCTTTGGGCCCAATGGGGTCTTACGGAGTGGCGCACCGGGAAGTCAAGCAGATTTTTCTGAAGTAGACGGTACTGGTGCCTCTGTCAGCGGATTTGCGTTGGAGGAAGACGCGGATCTTGACGATTTAGAGTACAAAACCTGGAAACAAGTCACTAAGAAGGATCGAGCTATGATCGCCGCTGAACGACACCGTCTTTTTCGCGACGAGATACTTCAGCCCGATGAACCTGCAATCTTGCGCTCAAAGGCTGGTATGCGAAGATGGCTCCGCCATCGAAAGGAAGCTGATGCCGACACTGCAAAAGGTGCTGTTTCGGCACCGGACGGCAAGGACGGTGTCCAAGCAGTCGCCGGCGAATCACTTGCTGAGGGCATCCAAGACGAGGAGGAGCGCCATATCCCGGACTACTATGATCCTGTTTGCGTAGTCCCAGACCTCAACGACACATTGCAGTGGGTCGAGGATGCCGAAGGGCATGTTGTCCAGCAACGCGAAGAGTACATGCGCATCTTCCCCAAAGGCCAATTCACAGCCCCGGACAGTGCTTTGACAGAACGGATGGACAAGAACATGAACTCGTTACAAGAGACCCGGAAAATCTGCGCCAAAATCGGAATCGTGAAACAGATGCAGCTCCAGTCCCAGCTGTATCAAAACCAATTCCAAAAGTACGAGCCTCAGCCATTCCACGAAGCGGACATTGCACCCATGGTGGTATCAGAAGAGGGACCACCTATGGCACCTTATGTTTGCCGCGCAGCTCTACAGCGTAGTGTCGGTAAGATCTTTTACCACGCTGGCTTCGAGGAGTTCCAACCTTCTGCGCTGGATGCTGTGACCGACATTGCAGCGAGATTCTTCCAAAATTTAGTGCAGTCTTTCGGTATCTACCACGAGACGCCCAAGATGAAAGCCGAAACTCCAGTTGTTACGGAAGGGGGTCATTCTACAGACTGGGTACCGCGTTTTACTCAGGAGGAGGCTATCCTGCACTCGCTGCATGTCAATGGCGTTGACCTAGAGTCTCTCGAGACGTATGTCAAAGACGATGTTGAACGACTCGGCACAAAGTTGGATAGTATGCATGATCGAATGCGCGCATACTACGCCGAGCTACTTCGACCGGCTTTGGACAACGTGGGTGCAGATGGTGCAGGTGCCTTTAATGATGGTAGTGAGCAATTCGTTGGGGGTGATTTTGCTGAGGATATTGGTGAAGACTTTTTCGGCTTCAAGGAACTGGGACTCGACCGAGAGTTTGGCTTAACGTTCAGTGTGCCACTGCACTTGCTGCAGAATAGGGTACACAACGCATATGCCAGACAAGACAACAGGTATGCACTCATTCTAGACTACGTGAACCTTTTGCTGACCACAGTAGCAATGTCGCTGCCACCGGCAACATCATGGAGGAGCCAGCGAAGTTCGAGCCGGTCACCACACAGGTCGCCGAGAGCCAGATTGGTCTTGTGCGAGACTGGCTTCTCAATAAGCTTCACAGTAACAGCGACGGAGCTCTTGTTGAAGATGATGATCTTCCACCCAAACAGCGCTTCCCCAAGCCTCGTCTGCCACCCACTGGTAAAATCTCGAGTCCTCGCAAACGCCCACTGCGGGAACAGCAACAGCTCGCCCGTAAGAAGCGCAAGCTTGATGAAGAAAAAGAGGAGAACGGCGAGGCGGGCACTGCGCCTGCTGGTATACTCAAGAGTCTAGGAAAACCAATTGGCAAGCTTAAGCTTGAGCCGCGCCAGGACGCACATAGCGTCCAGGAACCAGAGAAGGACGATGGTAGCGGCATGCCCAGCCCACCCGAGTCTTTTTAGGAAATTGACGAAAGACTTACTGCAGGCGCACTAGCGCTCTTCATCGCAGAGAACCTTTCCTAACAGAAAGACGTGAAACAGTCACTACAGCGTCACTATCACCTTCAGTACACGGCCTTGGACAGTTTGAAACGCATTCTGGCCGAACATAAAAATTTTAATGCACCCACGATAGGTTATTGCTATTACCTCTTCTACGCCTAGAGACGAGCCATTATCGGCGATCACATCTGCGCCCGGCTACTGTACCAACGATTTTATTCCGGCGTTTCGCATGGCGCGGTCGTTCACTGCTTTAAGCTTACTTTATTATTTTGGTGGTGGGGAGCTTCTTTGTATACCCATCGGTTTGTGGATGCTTGCTTTTGAGCACAATGGCGTGTAGTGCTCTGGAATAAGATTGGGAGGTGGATGGGCTTTGTATATATCTGTCCCCCGGATGCGGCATACGTTGCGACAGCGGGGCAATGATAGTGTTGAATCCAAAGCTTTAAGAAGTTCAGTGCTGTCTATATGTGTCTGTGTCGTAACTTAGAGCTGGAGAGCCAGTTGGGCGAAACGAAATCGTACCTGAGCTACCGAAGACTGATGCAATGAGTTGCAACAAAGCAATTTTTCTTGCACATGTCCGCAGTGCGCATGACAATCAAGCGAACCCTAAGCACATAACCGTATGAAGGTGCAAGCCGGAATCCCTCGGCCTCACCTGACCAAGCACTGAGAAACACTGAGGACGAGGTTGATGTCTGGCATTTTCGTGCAGGTTACAACAAGCAGATCTATCTGACATTCATTGGATGATAAGCCAGTCTCTAGATGCTAGATAGGCATTTTAGGTGACGGCTAAAGTTTCTCTACATCTGACATGGCAACTGCATCAAGCTTGTGCTAAACATATCTTCGATGACGAAGGTAGCATGACCTGCTAGGTGGGCATTTCTTACCTATGTCGTGTACGGATGGTCACGTAGATGACATAGAATCATTCAGTCAGCACAAGAGTTCGGACCTTTTAGTGACTGGGAGCGGTTTTGCGATAAGTGAAACTGTGGTCGAACGAGTACACTGGAATCGATAGGTTGCCGAGCTGAAATTGGATGATTTAGCGTCATTGTCTTTTCCCTACCCTGTCGCAAACCTCCCATTCCACATCCACCAAATGACGTGCACGAGCAGTGTCGCGTCAGAGATTATCTAAATACTTAATGTATTAGTAAGTTGTATCGTAATTGACGTCGCAAATTCATTGTGCTTGTTCTCGAAGCTAACGTGCCACGAGGCATGGATCTGCTCTGAAAGGGACTTGGAACCTTCGGATTCGACACTTCACTCCACCGCCATCACAACGAACACATCAGCATCACGCGCATCACGCCGCGTCGCTGCACACAGGAGATCCATTCAGCAACTCTTCCCTTCGTATCACTCCCTGTCATTTCAGTCAATCTCAGTCATTTCCCTTTGACTGTAGTTCTTGGAAAGCACCGCCTGCGCCCCATTGAGGCATATCTCTGGGCCATGGCTGTCAACGGTGACACACGGCGGTCGCCTGATTACTGGAATGGAAAGCCACCAATGCACGTCTCTTTTGAATCTTGGATCAATCAATGGGGTAAAGATGCATACAAAGACTTCAAAAAGGACCACCCCAAAACCGATCTCTCGTACGAGGCCTGGCGTCAAACGGACCGGGTGTACGGCGGATATCTGTTCTATGTAGCTTCACTGGTATGGAATGAAGATGGCGGCTCAGTACGTTAGCTGAACTAATCATTGAAAAGCAACTGATTCATTGATGAAATTAGGATGAGGAAAGTGCGAAACGCCGTCGTATTTCACGTGTTCCGGGTGACAACCCAAGGAAGACTGTGACAACCAACGGCAACGGAGCGGCACGTACTGCAGGTTCAGCAACACCGACAGCTGCAACAAATTCAGACGAAGTCAATGCGTTGGGTAAGAGGAAACGGAAGCCACGCAAGAAGTACATGGTAATTTGACGATTCTAGCGTCGCGAGATCAATGCTAATGGATACCTACAGTCGCAAGAACTTGTGGCATCCGATGAAGAGGCAATAGACGAGGTCGAAACAACATTTTCCAGCGCAGAGGCAGAGACGTCCGCGGTGCCAGAGCTTACTGTAAATGGACGACGCAAGTCAACGTCGCGGAAGCCGAGGAAAAAGCCCATCGTGAGTGATTTGATTGAAGCCTATACGAAGTGGTACTCATTCAACTAGTCCGACGAAACCATATCACCCGAAGACGAAAATGATGATGCTATGGAGGTCGACATCTCACTTATAGCATCACCTCTCCCTGTTCGTTCAGGTAAGTTGTGTTTGTATTGCGCCAATTATGTCGTGCCCATCCCACATTGCGGCTTCCGCTTATCAGAAGATCCGCCGCACTGAGCCACGGACCAGTCTCCCATCGATGCCAAGATAGTTCCTTCATTCTATAAGTCATCTCAGACGATGCTGACGCTGACTGTCACTAGCTCCGCGTGCGGCTGCCGTGCCTAGGCAGTCAGAGTCACCAAAGAAAGCAACACCGAAGCAAGCATCTGCCAAGAAGTCAAAAAGGTCGCTCCTCGTAAGACTACCCTTCCATCTCTGGGATGCCGTAAACTTAGAAGAGAAGTCTGAAGAGATGGTGCCCGATGAGGACACCGATAACGGAGATGTTTCCATCGCCGAAGTCTCACGACCTGCGACCACCCCTGCTACCAAATCTAAAACCGAAACCAGCGAAAATCTAAAAACAGATATCAATACCGACGAAGCTGTCGGGTCATTCACGGCTGAAGGGACGCCTGATCCCTCAGCTGCTAGTACCAGACGAGGTCTGCGTAATAGGAAGCCTGCGCAGCAACGACCCTACTACCACGATGCGCAAGTATTCGAAGATGTCGAGACTGAACCCGACGACGAGAGTGGACTCGAATTCTTATCGCGTGAACAGTCTCTCGAAACCTCGCTACCAAACAAACCCAAGCACTTCAAGGGTAAAGGACGTGCCTGGAAGAAAGGTAGCTCTGACGAGGACGAAGAGTTTGTCACGCCGAAGGAGAAGAAAGCCGCCAAGGTTGCGAGAGCTAAGGTCGAGAAAGACAAGACCAAAGCAGAAAAGGAGACGGCCGGTGACGTGAAGGAAAATGACATCACGTGGGCCCTCTTAGACGCTCTTGATGCAAACTTAGCTGAGATGTCCAATCGCGTGCCTGATGATGCAAACCGCGTGGGGACGGAAGATGCGAAGGCCAACGGCTCACCCAAGAATCCGCTGAAGCAGAGGGCCAAGATCGGACGTCCAAGGAAGAACAACTTATCCGGGGACAAAGTGCGCGATGATTCAGATAACGATAGCCCTCAAGCTACGCCTTCGCAGCCACCAAAGCGCGGCCGTGGCCGCCCTCGCAAGAGCGCACTCTCGTCTGAAATTGTCCACGATGACTCGGAAGATGACGCGCCAGCTGCGTCAAAGGCGGCAGACGACTCTGTAGCCATCAACCTTACAACGCCACCCAAATCCAAAACGACATCGCGGCCCTCAACAGCGACAAGCCCAGCTCGAACAACCACACCCAGGAAGCGTGGTCGTCCACGCAAGTCCGAAGCCAACACGCCCGCCAAGTCGCCTGCTACAGCCAAGGAAGATGTGGAGGTTCTCAAGGCGCAACAACGCCACTCTGCAGCCGCTGAGCCCGCTGTAGAGCCGAAAGCGGCACGGACTCAAGTCAGCACATTATCTACCCCCGAAGAGTCAGATTACCCCGTGCCGATTGTCAACCGGGGTGCTGCACTCATCGAATCTCTGTACCCTCGCGAGCAAAGCGAGCCACTGGATGTCATTCCGATGGATATGACAGCTGCTGCGCGCGCATCGCCGCCAGCACTGACATCTGCTGTAGCGCCCCCGATCATCAGTGCTCCCACGCAAACAGAGAGGCGGCCTCGCGCAGGAAGTGTAGAGGCTGACAACCCAGCTGACTCGGATGGGCATGCTGAGGCCAAGGAGAAGAAGGGGGAAATCAAGCTTGAAGCTCCGGCCGAGGCTGGGAGTAAGACGCAAGCCAAGGGGGCCGAGAAGGAGGAGGAGGGGGGAAAGGAGGAGAAGGAGAAGGAGAAGGAGAAGGAGGAGGAGGAGGATAGAGACGATGGAGATGACGGGCAGATGAGTGCGGCGATGAGCCTGTCTTCCGAGAGCGAGTTGTAGAGGTACGTTTCCCCGCGTTTTTGACCGCAGCCTTGCAAAAGCTGATACAGATGCAGTGCCTCGCGCGCGAGGAGATCAGATGCTGGCAATGTGGATGGCTGCATTGTTATGTAGGTTGGGGAAACTCGCAGGACACGAACGGAGGAGTTCGGGAGCGGTCTGCAGTGCATTTAATCACGTGGCATATTTACAGTACACGAGACAGCTACGCAGGAATTAGTGTAGTCTAATGTGGTAGTCCTGGAGGCGATCACGTTCAAATGCTCAAGACGACTTGTAAACATTTTGACCAACGTGATCCAGCAATCTAGGGATATCAACAAGGAAAAACACCAGCTAATGGTACAGTCTGATCTGGGGAATCTACACTCGCAACGCTGCTAATCAACATGTATGTTTACCGATTTGAGCCGGACGCTCTGCCAATGGTAAATACGACAACTATCACGACAGCCAACACGCCAATCGCACCAGGCAGCAGCAGGTCGTTGGACACGCCGGGAATGACCTCGGGAGCCGGGGCTTGCGCGGCCTGTCCCCTCCTGGGCTTGGGTGCATCTTCCTCCTCGTCATCGAAGAACTGCTTGCGCTCCCTGAGTACGCTCTCAGGTGGCGAGACGGGCTTAGCCAGCGCGGGTTGAGGATTGACCTCGGCGGGCATGGGCGACGACTCTGGGTCGTGGACGAACAGGTCGACTTTCTCACGGTGAGCGAGGCGGCTGAGGCTGATGGCTTCGACAAGGTCGTCGTGCGTGGTGATGGATACGGTATCGCCCTCGTTGTCGAGATAAGACAGGGCGAAGCCGGATTTAGAGAGAATGCCGTTATCGTAAGTGGGGATGCCGCCGATGGACTCGACCTCCTGGCCCAGCTTACTGGCGACATGAGAGACGAGGTCTTCGATGCCGGCGGAGGCCGTGACCTGCAGGCGGTGGACGCGCCCGCTGGGAGCCTTGAACTTGAAGGGGAAGGGAATGTCTTCGATGGCGGTGGGGTGGGCGCTGGCCACTGCTGACGGCGGTGGGGATTCGCCGTGGTGAGAGGCCGAGTCGTTGGGGAGGACGCTGTCGCCACGGTCCATCATCATGGGGCGGTCATTGTGGGACATCATGGAGCGGGCATCGGGGGTACCGGGCAGGCGGCTGCCTTCGCCAGACATCATGGATTCGGTGTCATTGTCGAGCGAGAGCCAGAACTTGTTCCAGGCCGGGCCCTCGCTGTCGCCGGTGCTGATGTTGTTGATCTGGTGGGTGGGTGTTAGCATGCTATCAACAATTCAAGGGGATGCTGCGCACCTGGTCCAGGGTAGCGTAGGTCAGCTTCAGCACGTCGACCATGCCGACAATCTCGCCGGCGTCGCTCATGACGGGCAGGTTCAGGTAGTGGCCGTCGTGCATCTTGCGGAGGGCGGCCTGGATGCTCATGTCCATGGGGGCAAAGTCGGGGTGGGGCGTCATGACGCGGACGACGCTGCAGGTGACGGGGTCGAGGCCGGCGGCAATGACGCGCAGGACGACATCTTTGCTGGTGAAGATGCCGGTGATGGAGCCCTGGTCCTGGACCAGGACGGCGGTGGTGTGGTTCTCCTTCATCAGCTCGGCAGCCTCCTTGACCGAGGTGCGCACAGACACGGTGGTAGGGGGCAGGCCGGTCAGAACGGACTCGAGGGTGGGCCCGGACATTTTCTGGCGGATGGCCTCGACGTACTGGATGATCTGCTGGGGCTGGCTGGAGCCCATCTCGGCCTGCACGCCCTCGAGGGCGTCGTACAGCTTGCGCGAGGAGCTGTAGGCGCGCTCGAGCTTCTCCATGGCGTCGTAGAAGCACTTTGTGATGTCGAGGATACCGGCAATGTCGTGGTTCTCGTCCATGACGGGCAGATGGCGGAAGCCCTTGCGCACCATCAGGTCGAGGGCGTCGGTGGCGCTGGTGTCGGTCTTTGCGCACAGCGGGTTCTTGGTCATGATCTCGGCAATGGTGACGTTCTGGGCGCGCCTGCCGGCGCCGACGACGCGGAAGGCCAGGTCCTTTGCGGTGAAGATGCCGGCGACGTGGTCGTCCTCGTCGGTGACCAGCACGCAGTCCTCGCGCTTGGCGGCCATGAGCTGGGCGGCCTCGGCGACGGTGGTCGAGGCCTGGATCTGCAGGGCCGGGCTGGGCTTGAGGGCCAGGACGGTGCCGGGCGGGGCCTTGCGGGTTGGGCGCACGCGGCCGCCGGGGTTCTTCTTCTTGTTCAGGTCCGTCTCGATCTTGCGGCGGATGGCCTGCGGGCGGTGAGCAGCGGCGGCAGCGGGCGGCGGGGCGGCGTTACCTCGTCCCTCTTGGACTGCTTTGCGCGGCTGGCGCTGAGCGTCGACGTGCCGACGTCGCTGCCCTGGACGTGCGAGGCGTGCGTCTCGAGGGCGGGGCGCGGGATGCCCGACGGCATGCCGGACGGGCTGTCGACGAACTGCGCGCGCGCGGGCGCCGGGCGGTTCTTGGGCGCCCCGCGCATGGTGCCGGTGTGCGACATGGAGGCGGCGGAGAGGGCGGCGGTGCAGCGACGGCGGGGTGCAGCGGTGCGGTGCGCGGGAGGTGGGCGAGGGCGAGGGCGCGGGCGTGGTGCAGCGAGGGCGTGGTGCGGAGGGAGGACAAACAACAGCACGGCAAGCTGGCCGCACTAGCACCAGCCGAGCAGACGTCGGCGCACAGCGCACAGGCGCGCGCAGCTAGGGGCAGGGCAGGTCTGCGCTCTGCAGCACGGCAGGCTCGGGCGGCGCTGGCCACGGGCGGGCGTCGCGCGAGTGCAGTGCAGGCAGAACGTCTGGTGCAGGCAGGCTGCTGGCTGCTGGCTGCTGGCTACCCAGGCCGCCGTCTCCCCTGCAGCGACGCAGCGACACACTGGCTGGCTGGCAGGCCGCGTCCCATCCGCGCTGCGCGTGGGCCGGGGACGCGCTCGCCGTCGTCATGGCGGAAGCGAGGCGCGACAGCCAATGAGTCGGCGAGGGGCTGCCCGTCAACACACCCTTGCTCTTGACTTTTTGTTTGGGGGCGGGGGCAGTCTTTTCCACACTGCCACAGCAACCAGTGCAACCACCTCGCCGCCGGAGCGCCCACGACGCACGACGCACCCACGACGCTCCCCCGGCCGCCCTCCCTCGCGCTCCCACCGCGCTCCCTCCGCGCTCCCCTCTAGCCCGCACGCGCTCCAGAGGCCGCCCAGCCCACGCCGGCGCCGCCCACCCTCCCGCCCGCTCCTCGCGCGACGTCGTCCGCCCAGCCCGCCGCCCACCGCTGCCCGCCGCCGCCTGCCGCCGCCATGTCGGTCCTCCTGGCCGAAGTGCACACGGCGCTCGCGAACCTGCTGCAGGGCCTGCAGTCGCCCGACAACGTCACGCGCACCGCCGCCGAGCAGCAGCTCAACGACGAATGGGTGGCCCAGCGGCCCGAGGTGCTCCTGATGGGCCTGTCCGAGCAGATTGAGCTGGCCCAGGCCACGCCCGTACGCCGCCCGCCGTGCCTGCCCGCCCGCCGCCGCTGACCTGCCTGCAGACCCGCACCTTTGCCGCTGTCATCTTCCGCCGCCAGTCGTCCAAGCCGCGCAAGACGGCCTCGGGCCAGACCGCCGACCTGTTCCTGACCCTGCAGGCCCCCGAGCGCGACGCCATCCGCGCAAAGCTGCTGCAGTGTCTGGCCACCGAGGCCGACAACTCGGTCCGCTCCAAGGTCGGCGACGCCGTGGCCGAGCTGGCGCGCCAGCACACCGACGAAGGTAGCCTCCCCCCCCCCCCGCTCCGCCCAGAGCCCCCGCCTAACCCGCCGCAGGAGTCGCATGGCCAGAACTGCTAGGCGCCCTGTTCCAGGCCAGCCAGTCGCAGGTGCCTGCCCAGCGCGAGAATGCCTTCCGCATCTTCTCCACCACCCCGCAGATCATCGAGAAGCAGCACGAGGACGTCGTCATGAGCGCCTTCAAGGGCGGCTTTGCCGACAGCGAGACGGCCGTGCGCATTGCCGCCGTCGAGGCCTTTGCCTCGTTCTTCCGCTCCATCACGAAAAAGGCCCAGTCCAAGTACTTTGGCCTCGTCCCCGAGATCCTCAACATCCTGCCGCCCATCAAGGACTCGCGCGATGCCGAGCTGCTCACCAAGGCCCTCATCTCGCTCATCGACCTCGCCGAGGTCGCCCCCAAGATGTTCAAGCCCCTCTTCAACAGCCTCGTCCACTTCAGCATCTCCGTCATCCAGGACAAGGACCTCGGCGAGACCGCCCGCCAGAACGCCCTCGAGCTCATGGCCACCTTTGCCGACAACGCCCCGCAAATGTGCAAAAAGGACCCCAACTTCACCAACGACATGGTCACCCAGTGCCTGTCTCTCATGACCGACGTCGGCGCCGACGATGACGATGCCGAGGAGTGGAACGTCTCCGAGGATCTCGACGAGGAGAGCGACTCCAACCACGTCGCCGGCGAGCAGTGCATGGACCGACTGGCCAACAAGCTCGGCGGACAGGCCATCCTGCCTCCGACATTCAACTGGCTGCCCCGCATGATGACTTCGTCAGCGTGGCGGGACAGGCACGCAGCACTCATGGCCATCTCTGCCATCTCCGAGGGCTGCCGGGAGCTGATGATTGGCGAGCTCGACAAGGTCCTAGACCTCGTCATCCCTGCTCTGCACGATCCGCACCCCCGCGTGCGTTGGGCTGGGTGCAATGCTGTTGGTCAGATGAGCACTGACTTTGCAGGAACAATGCAGGGCCAATACCACCAAGTCGTGCTGCCAAACATCATTCCCGTGCTGGAGTCTGCCGAGCCTCGCGTCCAGGCGCACGCTGCTGCTGCCCTCGTCAATTTCTGCGAGGAGGCCGAGAAGGAGATCCTCGCCCCTTATCTGGACCAGCTCTTGGACCGCCTCCTCAACCTCCTGCAAAGCCCCAAGCGTTTTGTGCAGGAGCAGGCGCTTTCTACCATTGCGACTGTCGCCGACTCCGCCGAGACTGCTTTTGGCACTTATTACAACACTTTAATGCCGCTGCTCTTCCGCGTTCTGCAAGAGGAGCAGTCCAAGGAGTACCGGCTCTTGCGCGCAAAGGCCATGGAGTGCGCGACTCTGATTGCTCTTGCCGTCGGAAAGGAGAGGATGGGACAGGATGCACTGAACCTGGTGCAGCTGCTTGGCCATATCCAGAACAGCGTTACCGATTCCGATGACCCGCAAGCATCGTACCTGCTTCACTGCTGGGGCCGCATGTGCCGTGTCATGGGTCGTGAATTCGTGCCCTACTTGGCAGGTGTCATTCCCCCTCTGACCGAACTGGCTGGTGCCAAGGCCGATATCCAGCTGCTCGATGATGAGGATCAGGTGGCTCAGATCCAGGATGAGGAGGGCTGGGAACTTGTTCCCCTCAAGGGCAAGGTTATTGGTATCAAGACCAGCATCCTCGACGACAAGCACATGGCTATTGAGCTCATCGTCATCTACGCGCAGGTCCTGGAGGATGCTTTCGAGCCGTATGTCAACGACATTATGGACAAGATTGCTCTTCCTGGCTTGGCATTCTTCTTCCACGACCCAGTTCGTGTTGCGTCCGCAAAGTGTGTCCCTGCCCTTCTGAATGCTTACAAGAAGGCACACGGTCCAGGGTCGACACAGCTCGGTCAGCTGTGGGAGCGCACTGTTGAGCGTGTGCTCGAGGTTCTGAGCACCGAGCCCGCCATTGATACTCTTGCAGAAATGTATCAGTGTTTCTACGAATGCTTGGAGTGCGTTGGCAAGAACTGCCTGACGCAGACCCACATGGCTGCTTTCATCGAGAGCGCGCGCAGTGTCTTGGTCGACTACCAAGAGCGTGTAAAGGATCGCTTCGAGGAGCAGGCCGAGAACGAAGATGGCGAAGAGGTATCTGAGGAGATCTTGTTCGCTATCGAGGACGACCAGAACCTGTTGTCCGACATGAACAAGGTACGTTCTAAGCATGTGCCATGTTGAGAGAAACAGTCTAACCATCTTGCAGGCTTTCCACACCGTCTTCAAGAACCTAGGTACACAGTTCCTGCCCCACTGGGAGAAGTTGATGGAGTTCTACTCTAGCGCCGTTATCAACCCGGACCCTACCCAGCGCCAATGGGCTATCTGCATTTTCGACGATGTTCTCGAGTTCGCCGGACCCGACTCGTGGAAATACAGCCAACAGATCATTCAGCCGCTCATTGCCGGTATGCAGGATGATGTCCCTGCCAACCGACAGGCTGCTGTCTACGGTGTTGGTGTCGCTGCTCACAAGGGCGGCGAGGCCTGGTCGGACTTTGCAGCTGCCTCGCTGCCTACCCTCTTCCAGGTTTGCCAGCGACCCAACGCTCGCAATGACGACGACGTCTTCGCGACAGAGAACGCATCGGCGGCCATTGCCAAGATCCTCCTCCACAACACAGCCAAGGTCCAGAACTGGCAAGACGTAGCCACCGCATGGGTCGACACTCTCCCGATTGTAAATGACGAGGAGGCGGCGCCTTTCGCCTACAGTTTCTTGGCCAAACTCATCGAGCAGCAGAACCAGGCCGTGTTCTCGCAACCCGCCAAGGTTTTCACATTCACCGTTCAGGCACTCGAGGCCGAGACACTGCAGGGCACGACCGCCACACATGTCGTCAACGCTGTCAAGAGCTTGATCCAGGCCACCAGCACAAATCTCGGCCAGGTCGCCAGCAGCTTGACAACAGAGCAGCAGCGCACAGCTCAGGCCTACTTCAGCTAGGAGGTGAATGGGTATAAGCTGCCGCGAGCACTACAGCTGGTGAACTAAGAACTAGGAATCGAAGGTGCAACACCTCGACGCATCAGAGAACGGGACGATCAATCTGCTGCGACTTTTGCGGCTGCTGTTCGAAGAGCCAGAGGAGGAATTAGGCATAGGGTGGCGTTCGCGTTCATTTCATAAATGAAAGATGTGCAACAGATGATGAGGTGTCGTTGGTTAGACTATTTTATCACAGATTCCCCCGTTCCCCAAGTACTTCGTCTGAATTATGTAGAAACGTGCAAAAGACTCAACAAGCTTTCGGCCTGTTGGCAAATTTTCCTCGTGCGAACGACCAAGTATGAGTTCAGAACCTTGGTGTGTGATGCGTCATCAATCCTGCAGCACAGACTGCTGGGTCAACGACACTTGTAGCTCAAAGACTCAGTAATCAAGCTCAAAGAATCAGCAATCAAGGACAGGTATTCGCCGAACGCAGGACACATGGCAAACACCATTAGAGCACCCGAACTTACAACTTTGCTTTCACAGACCCAACACCTGCCTTGACCTGCACCTTTCCCGCGCCATCTGAATCCACCATGACCACGACACCCTCTTGGGCACCCTTGGCAGGCTTGAGACTAATCTCCTGACAGTCCTCGATGCCCACTTCGTTCGCGAACTGCACAACAACAAAGTCGATGGGCCGGTCGCCAATCACTATCATAGGCGCATGCCACGTCCCCGCACCGTAGGTCACTGCTTGGTCGCCCCTTGCTACGAAGGCGCGAAGGTTCTTCAGATCCGGCAGTCCCGGCCCCTTCGATCGCGCTGAAGCGTGCAGTTTGTCGAATTGAGATGTCGGCGGGGCGGACTCGGTGGAGTACGGAGCGGGCCGGGCCCTTGCAAAGATGTCTCTGAAACTCCGCTTCCTCTCGACAAGAGGCGTGGGATACGGCGGCGGACGGCCAATGTGGCGTTTTGAGGCGCTGGCTGGGAGGGTCGGCGCGACGATGACCAGGTACTGCGTGTGCTTGTCTTGCGCGGCGAGGCCCATTGGGATGAAGGTCTGGGTGGTGAAGGGGTGTCTTTCGAGGATGGTCACGTCCAGCAGTTGCCTGTCGAGGTCGCCGTTGCCGTCTTCGTCCTCGTCCAGATCGAGGTCGCCCCACGAGCTGGGGATGCTCGCGCTGGGCTCGTTGGTGCGGAGGTTGCGTGGCGAGCACACGAACATGTTCATGACGGCCTTGGCGGGCTTCTTCGAGGGCGCCAGACTGTAGAGATTCGCCATGTGCGTGACGTCCAGGTACTTGGTCGCCGAGCCCTGGTTGGCGACGACATGCTCGGGCGGGGGCACGCGCTGCGGGATGGGCAGCCGCGAGCTGGGCGAGGTGGCGGGGTTTTCAACGACGGCGCCGAACTGGGCAAAGGCAGTGGGCGTCAGCAGCTCCATGGGGATGCGGATGGACGGACATGGCATCGAGGGCGGCATGGCGCGGTGGTGAGGGCGCACGGCGGTGGTGGAGCGCAGCAGACGCAGCCGCGCTGGGGCTGGACGCTGGGGCTGGGACGCTGCGCGCGGGAGCTTGTGGCAGCATCAGCGCGGGCGCAACCGACGCGCTAAGATAGCGATAGCGGGCTGGAGGTGCAGGTGCCGGCGCGGGCATGCGGTGCAGCGCGCTGCTGGAGCCCGGGGCGGTCGCAGCAGCGGCGGCCGGTGCCTGTGCCTGCGCCCGTCGCTCTGCATGGCGAGGGCGTGGCGCCTCCACGCGTGGTGGGCGCGCTGCTCCAGCGCGAACGGGCAATAGCGGGCCGACGTTAGCGCAGCCGGGGCTCGAGGCGATTTGCGTGCGATTTGCGTGCGGCGGATTTGTGACTGTCGAACATCTCCCCAGACCTCCGCTGCGACGTCGACAAGCCCCGCGCCCCTTTGCCGCTGCGTGGTCGTTCCCCCGTCTGTCCCCGTCTGCCCCCGTCTGCCCCGGCCCCGCGAGCACCCCAGCAAGCCGCCGAAATACGTCCCTCGCCCGCGCGAACGTGTCTCCGTCTCCGCCTTCGCCTTCTCACCGCCCACGCACCACGCCGGCTGCTCCGCCAGACTCCAGACGCGCGACCACCAGCCCCTTGCCAGGCCCCCTCTGTACCGTCTACTGTGACTTTGACTAGTCATGGCGGCTCCCACACAGTTGGCCTGTACGTGCTGCCCGCCGCCTGCTGCGCCCGCGCGCTGCGCTAATAAACTTTGCCAGATCGCACCTCCAAGGGCATCGGGATCCTCAACGCGGCGCCCGCCTACGAGCCGCTTCCCGGCTTCACCCCGTGAGTCGATGCAGCACGTGTCTGCGAGCCAATGCGCTGACCGTCGCCAGGCCCGAGGGCAACCTTCGTTGCAAGTGCTACTCGCCCGACAGCAGGTACTTTGCCTGGGCGTCGCCCGAACAGTAAGCCTGCCCCCTGCTGCACGCCGCCTGTCGCTGACACGTCCGCCAGCGTTTCCGTCATCGACGCCTCCAACGGCAGCCTCGTCTCGACCGTGCCCGCCGTCAACGTCTTCCAGCTCGGCTTCTCCCCGCTGGGCACCTACATCATCACATGGCAGCTCCCATCGAAGGATGAGGACGGCAATGCCAAGAAAAACCTCAAGGTCTGGAAGACCGTGTCCGATGACGCCGACGGCGCTGAGCGAGCAGTCGTCGGCGAATTCGTGCAAAAGTCCCAGACCGGCTGGAACCTGCAGTACTCCCCCGACGAGAAGTTCTGCGCACGCTCCGTCACCAACGAGGTGCAGTTCTTCCAGTCCGAGGACCTCCGCAACCCATGGAACAAGCTGCACGTCGAGGGCGTGACCGACTTTGCTCTGTCGCCCGGCAAGAACCATTCAGTTGCCGTTTTTGTTCCGGAGCGCAAGGTACTTCTGGCTCCCCACGCTATCACAACACGGGCTAACAAGTCGCCAGGGTATGCCTGCCTCGGTCAAGGTCTTCCAAGTGCCTCAGTTCAACTCCCCGGTCTCGCAGAAGACGTTCTTCAAGAGCGACAAGGTCCAGCTAAAGTGGAACGACCTCGGCACGAGCGTCATCGTTTTGGCCCAGACCGACGTCGACAAGACCAACAAGAGTTACTACGGCGAGACGAACATGTACATTCTTAGCGCCAACGGCTCTTTCGACTCGCGCATCCAGCTTGACAAGGAAGGCCCCATTCACGACGTGTCCTGGTCGCCCAACTCGAAGGAGTTCGGTGTCGTATACGGCTACATGCCAGCAAAGACCACCATCTTCAATGCCCGTGCTGTTCCTCAGCACAATTTCGATCTAGGCCCGAGGAACACCATCAACTTTTCGCCGCACGGTCGTTTTGTGCTCGTCGCAGGTTTTGGTAACCTGGCTGGAGATGTCGACATCTACGACTTGGAGAGGAACTACCACAAAGTCTGCACCATCAAGGCTGCCAATTGCACTTACTGCGAGTGGAGTCCCGATGGTAGGCATATTCTTACCGCGACTACGAGCCCGCGTCTTCGCGTTGACAACGGTATCCGCATTTATCACATTACTGGACCTCTCATGTATGATCAGGACATCACTGAGCTGTACCATGTTACTTGGCGCCCGCAGTCGCCTCAGGAGCACTCCTTGGATAACGTGCTGACTGCCCCTGTCCCTCACCCATCAGCTGCTGCGTTTGCGGCGACGCAGAAAACCCCATCCAAGCCGGCTGGTGCCTATCGTCCTCCCGGTGCGCGAGGAACCGCTACCCCTCTCATGTTCAAGCGTGAAGATGAGGGTGGAGCAGCATACACCAATACCGGTGTATCATCAACCAATGTTGGATTCCAAAACGGCTTTGGCCGAGGCGGCCGTCGTCAGGTACCTGGTGCCGAGCCTGCACAGAATCTGCCGCCAGGTGCTGCTCCTGGAGGCGGCGTCAGCCTCTCGGGCACTGGGGAGGGCGAGGAGCTGTCCAAGGCAGCGCAAAAGAACAAGAAGAAGCGTGAAGCGAAGAAGGCTCGCGAAGCCGCGGAGAAGGCAGCTGGCCTCACCGCTGATGTGCCCACAGGCCCTGCTGGTCGCAGTCCTGAACGTCGCGATGTTCGCGATGGCCGTCAGCGCAGCCACAGTAAGAATGGTAGCTTCGGGAATGGCAGGAGCCCCAGCCAGCAGCGTCAATACGGCAACAGCCCCGACCGCCGCGCCCAAGGCCCACCGCGACAGAATCCAGGTCAGCAGCAACAGCGTAGTCAGGATGCTCGCGTCCCACCTCCCGTTCAGACCTCGAACGCACCGGCTCCCGATCTTACTGTTACTAGCCCTGGCGAAGGCGGTGGACCTCAAGACAAGAAGATTCGTGGCCTGCTCAAAAAGGTTCGCGCTATTGACGAGCTCAAGATGAGGCAGGCAGGCGGCGAGAAGCTTGAGGACACCCAGATTAAGAAAATTGGTACTGAAGAATCCATTCGCAAGGAGCTCACCGGGCTTGGTTTCCAAGGCTAGTACCTCTTGGAGCCTAGGCTGGACTGGAAGTCCATCAACAGCATCTACATGAGATCTCCACTTCCGGAGAGTCGAACTCCCTCACCCAACCCAGATGGGAAAATGAAAAGTCAACCACGATTGCCATTGAGCCCACGCCTCTTGCCGAGCGATCCGACCAAAAGGTAAATTGGATGCGGAAGTACAGTAGACAGTATCTAGCACTGGCTACGATGAAAAGCACAAAATCATTCTTTGCTATAGCATCAAGTCACGTATCATCGTGTAAATTTGTCTAAACCCGCCACCTTGCCGCCGCTCTCCGCAGCAATCAATGTTTCACGATATCGTAGCCCCTTCGGAAAATATTGGTTCCAGCCTCATTTATGTCTGGTCTTTTGTGTGTCCTCAATGCGGTCTTCGTCCGGCCGAGACATGGTCTTGAGCAGTGATAAGACTCAGAGTAGTGCTGCTCAAGTGGCCAAAACATCATAGGTTTCTCTGGTATTGTCATCGCTTATGCTGCTAAGCGATGAGTGTCTGCTTACAGAAGCCGAACATTGCTGCTCAGGCCTAGAACTCTAGACACGTATCTTGTTCGAAGAAGATTACTAACGAGGGTAAATAGGTGCACTGGAAACATCTGTCTTGAGTAGAACTGTCGCTGCTGCATAGATCTCAAGGTGATTTTGTTTCTTTGTCTACATTCTGCGTTCTTACACTTTACGATCGGTGATATGACATGCTAGGAATCGTTATGGTATTCTTCAATAGACTTCTCTCTATTGGACGAGACCCCTGACGCCTACTACATGTCCCTTGAGTACTGACTGTAGGTATGCTGCTGTGGCAGGGAGTTAGTGCCAACTTGACAAATTTCGTCAAAGTCTCTCCAGTATCCCAACAAATGCGTCATAGGTAGTCTTAGCCTAACATTGAAGGAAGAATGTATATCTGTTGCGTGGACTTCTGGTCGTCTCGTGGAGCTTGACGTCCAACATCCTGCAAGCTATGACGTCGCCGTGGTGTGGGTCCACTCCTGACATGCAACGGCCCGCTCTTGCCTACCATAGCGTGTAAGCTTCGCATACCTCAGAACACGTCGTGATCAACGTGCACAACCTGTCAAACAGGTACGGTAGTAGAAGTTTCACGGTGCCAGAGGCCAGATCCTGACTTCACCATAGAGATAACGCAGGACTCGCGTAGCAATGCTCACGGGCGAATAGGCCTCGAACGTGTCTGTACTTGCTGGATGGGACGACCCCTGTCATTCTGAATCGCAATCACAAACAAGCGAATCGCCATCGCCAACGAAACCCACCAGTTGCATTCGCTTTTGGTATCGCCATGGCCGTCAGGCGACGCATGACGTACTGCTATGCCCCTGCTCACAAACCAGAGCCTGGAGTTGCAATGGATGATCAACATAACGTACACATGCTTGCTAACAGCCATCACCACAAGCAGGCATGAGTGTTAATACGGCTATGACGTAGTCGTATTCCTCCTGCGTGACTGATAAACATATATAGAGCACCTCCATGCGCATCTACAGCACTCATCCACGAACTTAACATTTCCAATTCCGCCACCTACACCCAGCACCCACTTCACTCTAAATACCAACTGAACAAAAGTCAAGATGTCCGAGGCCGCACGCAAGGACTTCCACACCAAGGCTGAGGAGAAGCTTGTGGGTTTCTTGACGACATCTTCCACACTTCATCACTGACCGTCTCTAGACCCCCGACTCCTCCAAGTCTACTCTCGATAAGACCAAGGAAAGCCTTACTAGTGCCGCCGACAAGACTGCTCGTGAGACCCAGCCTGGTATGCTCAGAGCCGCCCCTTCACATAATGCCTTTCTACCAGTCATGCTTACTGATGTGTCAACAGACTCCAACAAGACCACTGCGCAGTCACTCGGCGACAAGGTTGGCCGTACCAAGGACAACAACGTCCACGGCTCCACCCACGAATCTGTTGGCGACAAGGTCAAGGGGGCTCTTGGTCTCGGCAAACACTAAGTGCTCTGACCATCCGACCTGACGATGACGAATGATACCCGGATTGTTTTGGACAGGATGGCCATTGTTGCCATCCTGTGACCCATGCGTTGAAGATGCTTTACAATATCAAGCCTGAGGGCTAGTAATGACATTAATTCTCACATTCTACACAATCTGGTCTTGTAGTGTTTGATGCTATGTTTGTTGATCTCATCTAACGTTTATCCGCCAGGCCGATCCTCAAGGTAAAGCCATTGGGTGTTAGACCGTATTGCAGATGGTGAATGGACTTGAGTTGATCATGCTTGCACCTGTCCAAAGACCTCCTGTCAACGCCGGTTGCCCCATCGATTCGCTCATTCGGTATAAAACAGTAAAACTATGTACCCTCCCTTTGTACAGACTACGATATTATCTAGGCACCCTCACTTCCGAACTCCTTGGTCCAATCGGCATTCTTAGTCAAGTCTTCGCCGCTGACCGTCGGTCTGCTGCTCTTGATCGCCTTGACGAAATCGCGTACACGTAGTGGTGGCTCGAGGAGTTCGTCACCATCTAATTCCGTCCATGACTTCTCTATGGCCTGTGGATCGCCGGGCGAACAGGGTGTCCATTTGGTCTCACCCTCAACTTGGACCTGTGCAGTAGTGGGTCAGCATTAACAAAGTAGACGAAGGATAAAGTCATGCAGACTTACAGGCTTGTAGTGTGTGGCTGTCTGGATCAAACGGACAGGTTGCATCAGCGCATCTTGCACTGCTATGCTAATATCCGAACCCGAGTAACCTTCTGACAAGTCGGCGAGTTGCCGGTAATCTGCTTGACTAAGCTCGCACGGTGTGCTCCCGACTGCCAGCTCGAACATCCTCATGCGCGCTGGTGTGTCGGGTAAGCTGATGTGGACACGCCGTTGGAAGCGGCGGCGGATCGCAGAGTCGAGTTGCCAAGGAATATTCGTTGCGCCCAGGATGAGCACGCCTTTCGAGTCTTTGCCAACACCATCCATCTGCACAAGAAGCTCTGTTTTGATGCGGCGCGAGGCTTCAGATTCGCCTTCGCCACGAGGACCACAGAGCGCGTCGATTTCGTCGATAAAGATAATAGAGGGCTTGTTTTCGCGGGCCATACCGAAGAGCTGTTTGACCAATCTGCGTGATAGTCAGTATTTGAAAAGGGCTACGTATGAAACAACTTACCGTTCGGATTCTCCCATCCATTTGCTGACCAAGTCGGAACTGGACACGCTGAAGAATGTGCTATTTGCTTCTGTTGCGACCGCTTTTGCGAGGTAACTCTTGCCCGTACCAGGCGGCCCATACAACAAGATACCTTTCCATGGTTGTCGCTTGCCGGTGAACAGGTGTGGGAACTTGATGGGCAGAATCACGGCTTCTTTTAGTGCCTCTTTGGCACCCTCCAAACCTGCGACATCTTCCCATCGGATGTTGGGCTTCTCTGTGAGGATGGCGCCGGAGAGCGCACCGCGGAGTTTCTTCGAATCGGCATCTTGTTCGCCATCTTCATCATCCCTGTGACATTCCGTCAGTTTCGACGCCTACATCTGCGATCTCTGCATTTTCACGTACTTGCCGCCCTTCCCGCTGCCTCCAGCCGACTTTCCATTTGCGCCCATGGCGGACGGCTTCTTGCGATTCGAGGCGTCGTTCTGGTTCAAATGTTGCTTGAGCTTCTCGGCGCGCTCCATGTATTCGGCAACCTTGCCTCGGATCATATCCTTCGACTTTTGGTTCTTTTCCCCTGCCGACGGTCAGTGTGTGGCCCATGTTGTTTTTCAGGCTAGAACCGCAAATGAAAAAAACGTACACTTGAGGGCGAGCATGAACAGCTCGACTGTAGCATGTTAGCATGTTGTGTTCCACCAACCGTGTCAGAGTCCCTGCTACTCACGCGCGCTGTAGTACTGCTGGTACGCCGCCTCATAGTCGCCAGCCGTGTCGGTCTCAATAGCCTTCTTGACCTGCTCAATGGCGCGGCCCAAAAAGTCTGCCTGGCTCATCTTTGCACTTTTGCTAGCCTATATGCCACGGCTTCTTCCCAAACGTGTCCTATGTCTATGCGCGTCGCGTTGGCGGCTGCGTGCGAGCTGTGCTATAGCGGTGGTTCGGTGCTTTCGGCGGGGCAATCGTCTGCTCGCTCTGCGATATCGTGGTATCTGCTAGGCAACACTTCAGACAGCGTATTAGCTCTCTCTTTAGCAGTGAATGGTCAGACGGGCAGCGAGGTGAGCTTTATCGCAGAGCAGTGATGTGAGTGAGTCGTCTCCATGACCTCCATGTGCATGGCCAAGCCAAGCCGCGAATCTAGCCCCGCGATTCGCTAGACCTAGTGTAGTTGGTTCGACATCCCACCTTCGCGTGCTCCGCGCGACTGAAACATCTGGAAACTTTTGGCAAGTTGTTACTCAGCAGCAACAAATCATGTCGGACGTTCAGAAGAAGCTCCAGGAGCTGTCGGAGAGCTACCAGAGCCTGCAGGCAGGTGAGAACGTGTGGACATATGTGGCAACCATCCGCTGACCGCAACGCAGAACTTGGGACAGCAGTAGAGGCACGCCAGAAGCTCGAATCGCAGCAGCAGGAGAACACGACAGTCAAGAAGGTGTGACAGACAAATACCGAGCGTGTACTTGGGGCTAAGGCGAAGGCGCAGGAATTCGACCTTCTCACTGATGATGCAAACATCTACAAGCAGATTGGCCCTGTGTTGCTGAAGCAGGATAAGACTGAGGCACTCATGTCGGTCAACGGTCGGCTGGAGTTCATCGAGAAGGAGATTAGGCGGTTCGAGACGCAAATCAAGGGAATCCAAGAGAAGAGCGAGAAGGCCAAGGTCGAGGTAGGTCACGAGTGCGAGAACTGGGTTGGCCACTGTTTTGACGGCTCATACAGATTATTCAGATTCAGAATGCTGTGCAGCAACAACAAGCATCGGCCTAGGATACGATCGTCGCAAGCACATACTAGAGGCAAAACAAGATACCCTTTTCGATTGGATACTACAATCCCACCGCGCAATCGGACAATGTCAGCTGCAGTTCAGACATACACGTTTTGAAAGCCTGTAGAGGACGAACAGCTGAAGGAACACGTTACGGAGAAGCTGAAGCCCGCTTTGCAGGTCGTCAGTTCCGCAGGAACTAAATTAGCTTGGACGTGTGAAAGAAGTTTTCGTCAAGTTCAAGTCGAACTCAACAACACGGCAAAGCACGTCCTCGCTGAACAATATCATGGCTTAGATATCATCGCTAAGACCGCATCAAGAATCAATGTGAGCAAGGTCGATAGAATCGAGAACGAAGCTGTGATGTAAAGCATCCTAGAATAACACGATTGTACACAGAACGCCATCCATCATCATGAAAGATGATCAATTGTCAAATCCTTTTGGTAGAAACTTGTGTCTAGCAATCATTTCAAGCTTTTCTCCTTGAGGTTCGCACTTCAAGACCTCCGTAAAAAGCCTTTTGTCTACAGCTCTCAGCTATGACTAAACTGCAGCACTCTTCTTGCGTTGTTGAAGGCCTGCACTTCGCGCCAATTAGCTGAGCCACGCGGAGGAAACGACTATGCACGCTTGCAGACTTGCTTACCCCCGGCCCACAGAGAGCGCAAAGGCATGTCAAATAAACTACCCATGAGATATCGGCATCTTTCTCATGTGGGCTTTTTCTTTGAGTAGTGTGAAGAACAAAGCAGATTGTTGATCACATGACATAGTTAAATATTAAATCCTCAGACATGCGTCATCTGATACTCCTTTCTTGTAGTTATGTAGACTCGGCGATCATCTGGGAAAAATTAACTGGATTTGTTTTGGTGGCGTTGATGTAACGGCTGGTGCAATCTCCATTCAGCGACCTTTCCACGAGCATTCAGGATACCAAGGTTGGCAAAAAGCAGGGGGTTAATGCCGAAGCATATACCACGACAATGACAGGGTTCGAACCTGCGCGGCCGAAGCCATTAGATGCCATGAATGTGAAGATTCAAGTCTAACCCATTAACCACTCTGGCACATTGTCCAACGGACGATAAGCAGTTTGCCTGGTAAGAAAATATATATCACTGTACAATCTTGCACCGGAGCCTACCCTGAACAGTTGTGGCTTTTCTCGACAACTTGAGCAAGTCGTCACATTGGGGCGGGGCTCTATTACGACAGCGCCGTGTTTTCAGCCGATCCTACATCATTGGTCGCCTAAAGACTCGCCTTGCCACTCAACGACCATGTTCCTTTGCTTTCCTTGACGACCTTGCCTTCTCCCTTCAACTTTTCCAAAATTTGGATGACCCCTCTCTCCGCTGGTTCCCATAAATTTTCTGGATAGTCCTTGTAGATGACTTTGACAATTTCCATACTCGTCCACCCACCTTCCCTCTCCGTGGCAAGCACAGCAAGCACCTGCTGCTCGCGCTGCCTCCGGTGCTTGATATACTCATTAATTTTCCCTGGTCCGTCTTTGATCACTGGGCCATGGCCAGGGTAGGCACAGCCTTTGAACTGCTTCTCCATAGTCTCCAAACTCGTCATGTAGGTTGCGAGGTCCTCAAAGACGGCCGTACCCTGGCCCAGCACATTGTCAGCGGTGAACATGGCGTCTTCTTCTTCGAGAATGAATGCCATATGGTCGACTGTATGTCCGGGGCAGTGGAAGGCGCGCAGCGTTGCACCCTCGATTGAGAAGATCTGCCCGTCGGATATGGAGAGCCAGTCACTGTTGCCATCTGAATTGTTTTTATGTACCTTTGTGTCTGGAGAATGGACTAGAAGGTCAGGCACGCCCTGGGTGTGATCATGGTGCCAGTGGGATATGAGGACTGTGTCGATTGTGATGTTGTGTTCTGACAGGGCCTTCTTCAGCGATTCGATCCACGCTTCCTTGCCTTCGCCAGTATCTATCAGCAGCCGCTTTGCTCCTGTGCCGACAATGTATGTATTTGTGCCTTGTAAAGTGAACTGATTGTTGTTAGTCTTTCCGCGTACCCGTCGTCCAATGCTCGCCGCTTGCTCACCTTGGAAGGATTCCCTCCGAGGACCCGAATGACCCGGTCACTGAGCTGTTCGACATCAGGCAGAGGGACCTGAGGCTCAGACATCTTCGAGTATAGTCTTGTAAACCCTATAAGATTCCGTAGGCGCGGGAACATGTTCAAACCGTTGTCTACTCATCTTCGCATTCGCTACCTCGGCACGCGCTTGTCTTAGCGTGGTTCCGGAATAGATGACGAATCGTAGACTATCACCCATTCAGGACCACATAAATCAGTCGGCAAACGAAAATGCCAATCGACGACTCTGACGATGATGTCCCGTACGTCCCTCGATCTTGAAACTCGATCTGTGCTAAGCAGTGAAGACAGCTCTCAGGCGACGCTCTGTCCGCGCTGAAAGAGTTTTACGGCGAGCGTGATGCACGCCAGGAGCAGTTTGAGGCATTGAAGTCGCAAGCCGAAGATGACTTCGACGGGAAACTGTCCATGGACGCCTTCACCGAAGACTGGAATGCAAGCCAATTTTGGTATAGCGACGAGACCGCCACAGTGCTTGCAAGACAGCTGCTCGACGGCGCCACAGACGAAACGAGTATTGCGGTTGTGAGCGCACCGAGTGCGTTTATCCAGATAAAGAACCTGCTCGTGAGTTGTAAATCATAATAGCGTATGGATTTAGATGGAGCTAATAAGTCATAGGCTTCTGGGGAGTACAAGTGTCGACCGCGCATAAAGTTGCTGGAGATTGACGAGCGGTTTGCTGTGTTCAAAGAATTTGTACGCTATGATTTCGAGAAAGCGTTACAACTACCTACTGAGCTGAAAGGCTCCTTTGACCGCATCATCGTCGACCCTCCCTTCTTAAGCGACGATTGTCAGACCAAAGGTCAGTGCAAACTTATGCATTATGAGATTGGCTTTTGCTGATTACTCCTAGCCACCTTGACCGTGCGATGGCTAGCTAAAGGATGGTCATCTGAGACCGTGCGAATAATTGCTTGCACCGGAGAGCGAATGGAAAGCATCATCACAGGCAAGTTGTATGGCAAAGCTGGTGTCAAGACCACAGACCATGACATTAGACACGCGAAAGGCCTGAGCAATGAGTTTAGAACATACGCAAACTTTGAGTGCGATGCGTGGAAATGGTTGCAGCTCTTGTGAGCATGTCGGACTCGAGAATCATACGCAATAAAATGTCGGACCATGTGTTTGGTCTCCCAACATCTGAAGCCAGGTTTAGATCATTAGTCCAAGCGGTTCGTCTGATGTTGGCAGCGCAAGCCGCGGAGCTACCCCGCCCCTGCCCCTCCCCACCTTACCTAGGTACAGCTCAGGAAATGCGTAGCTCAACATAGCACCGATCCTCTACCATCACGCCACACCCAATTCGACAGTGAGAACCACAGTGAGCACCACAATGGCCGCCTGCATATTCTGCAAAATCATCAAAGGTATGGACCTATCAAAGTCGCCATATATCGCCATCTGACAGGGTTCAGGAGAGATCCCATCCTTGAAGATCTTTGAGTCGGAGAAGACATTGGCTTTTCTCGACATCGGGCCCCTGAGCAAGGGACACTCTGTAAAGCCTCCTTCCCCTGCGCAATAGCGCCTACAAAGTCTCCTCAGCTCTTACTGACGGAAACACTCTGCAGCTCATCATCCCCAAGCATCACGGCGCCAAGCTACACGACATCCCCGACGATCAGCTCTCCGAGGTGCTGTCTGTGACGAAGAAGATCGCCATTGCACAGGGCGTCGAGGACTATAACATACTGCAGAACAACGGGCGCATTGCGCACCAAGAGGTTGACCATGTCCATTTCCACTTAATCCCTAAGCCCAATAATCAGGAGGGATTGGGTATTGAGTGGCCAACGCAGAAGGCTGACCAGGGGGAATTGAAGAAGCTGTTGGAGGAGATCAAAAGCAAGATGTGAAGAGGTGCGCATGACGATGAAACACTGTGTGAACTTGAGCTTGATCTGGTGGGATGTTGTCTACATGTTTAGGGGTTGGACACGCTGAATACATCCGTTGTACTTCACACACGATGAATGCATTACTCCCCTTTGAATACAGCTTTTCTCTTCTCCCGAAATGCAGCCAGTGCCTCATCTCTATCTTTTGTCTTGACGACCAGCTCATACGCCGCATTCTCTGCCTTCTCACCCAGCGCACACCCCTCAACTGCCGCCAATGCTGCCTTGATCGCGATCGGACCCCCTTCGCAAATTGTGATGGCAAGCTGTACTGCCTCGTTCAAGACCTTCTTTCTTGCTTCGCCCTCTTTTGCTTGCTCCTCAGGCGTGATCTCCACCAGCCGATCGCATAGCCCCAGGAAATAGGCTTCTGGCGCGCCGACTCGGCGACCTGTTAGTATCATGTCGCGTGCGCGCGCAAGTCCGATGAGCGCAGGGAGCCGATAAGTACCCCCTGCGCCAGGAATAATAGCGAGGCGTGTCTCGGGTAGTGCGACGGTAGTCGTGCTACCGAAGACGCGCATATGTGTTGTGAGAGCGAGCTCGAGGCCGCCGCCGAATGCGGGTGCGGCAAGGGCGGAGATTGTAGGGATAGCGAGATTTTGAATCGAGGTCAGGGTGCTGCGAAGGGAAGTGAGGAAGTTGGCAGTACTTTCGCACTGATTAGACATACGTATAACCTCAACTATCAAGACACTCACTCTGCTTGCGTAAACGTTGCTCTCTCCTTGAGGTCTGCGCCGGCGCAAAAGCTTGTGTCAACTTCACTGGCCAAGATGAGTGCTCGTGTCGGCCCTGCCTGGCCCTCGTTGTGTATGCTAGCGATCTGCTGGTTGAGCTCGGAGAGCAATTGTTTTGAAATGGCATTGCGAGCGGCAGGTCGATTCAATGAGAGGATTCGGATGTTCCCAGAATGCGGTGCGGGATAGTTGATGACATTGATGACAGGCGAGGGTGCGTTCGAGTACGCGCAGCGCTGAACTGATCGCACGACGAACCGTGACGTCGGTCGCAACAAATAAGGCATTTTGTAGTTGTTGTTGGGCAGACAAGCAGAGAACAGAAGCTCCGTTCCTCTGGCTGGGTCTGAGAAGTAGCTCAAGGCTAGCAGCGGGCCATGAGCCGAGGTGCTATCTCAGCCTTACCGTCATTTCTACTTGCGGAATGGCAGCTTCACGCGTAGTAGTTATTAGGTACGACCTGCCAGCTGAACCGCCTCGACATCACCAAAGCTTTGACGAAGGGGCCCATGCTATATGCGCCCGGCCCGCTTGGGTCGCGAGGGTGAACACCTATCTGCACGATGGAGACTATCTGTTCCGAGCAATTGATGATGCGTGACAACAAGGTGGCAGAGTTTAGCACATGCATGAATTGGCAAGGAATAGCCCAAATGCAACTTGCGCGGCAATACCAAGAATCTCGTCCAAGGACTGGACCCTTTCCCCATGAGAAGGTTCGGCAGCAAGTTAGCGTGTCTTGGACGGGCATTTGGGCGTGTAGCTGTCGCGATTGCCTTTTCCTGATGCAGGGCAGTGGAGAAGGGTTGAAACCGCGATGTCCCTGCGTGCAGAACAAGCAACGCAAACGAGAACGACAGCTCGCCAATGTGCTGCGCGCAGAGACTGGAGGACTGGAGGCTGCTCGCAAACGCGCCCCAGGGGACATGGTGGCCGCCCGGGAGCAGTTCCGACTGGCGCTGCGCGACGCTGGACGTTGGAGATGACGGGCGGGTCTGCGGCGTGCGCACTGGCCGCGTAAACACACGAACAGTGTTGGCGCATCGGTCGCGCAAGGAGAGAGTTCGCGCGTCTAGGGACCTCTTCACTCCGCTGGCTGCCCCAGGGCCAGAACATGCCGGTGACCGCGTCGCAGGGCCTCTTCCACCCACGCGCCGCCGCCCCACGCCGTGCGCGCCTCTGTGCAAATGGCGTCTGGTCCTGCCTCCGCCGCGAAGCTCCAAACAAACACCGACGAGCCCACACCAACCGCCGCCACGCCGGCCGCCACCACGCACGACCCGATGGAGCGCAGCATAGCAGACTTCGCGGAAGTGCAGGCCTTCGATGTCGCCGATGCAGACCTGCCGCCGCTGCCGGATCCCGACGACGACAGCTTCCTGCGCCCGGACTTGCACGACGACACCGCGCCGGGCGACGCCAGCGACTTTCTGGATCGCCGCATGAAGCGCCACCTGATGGATGTTGAGTCAAGCTTCATACCGGACCTCTCTGCACCCCCCGGTGCGTCGCAGACGCGCATTGGCGCCGACGACACCTATCTATTCGGAGGCTCGCCGGGAGCCGTGCGCCCTGCGCTTCACGCCACAGGCGACGCCCAAGATGCGCTGCGAGCAGAAGACAGCGGAGATGACTCGCAGAACACAGAGTCCTCGATGCTGTCGGAGGAGGCGGCCACGCCAGCAGGTGCCTACAAGACTCCTGCAGCGCGCCGACGGCACGAGCATGCTGCAGACGATTCGCTGGGCCACGGCAATTCCATGTCTGAAGCTGCGCCATCGTCACCGTCCGCAGACGCCGCGCAGCGACGATCCAAGGGCCACGGGGACCGCAGTGACGCTCAGGCCGCGGCCGACGCCGAGCGCAAGGAACTGGACCCTTCCCAGCGTCCTGTCTCGAGCGCGTCCACTGTGAAGGCCCCGGATTTCAGCAAATTTGAGGAGACGAGCTCGCTCAGCGTTACGTCCGAACCCAGCGTGGACGGCATGGCCGTCCCGCTGCCCCTGATCACGACAACCTCGCCCCACGCTGGCAAGCGACCCAGCTTCTTACAGAACCGCCAATCGAGCCAGCGGTCGTCTATTTCCTCGTTTACGAACCGCTCCGACGCATCTGGCGATGGCGCAAGCACAGCCAGCCTCGGCGCAGACTACGCATTACAAACCGGTGGCGCAGTTCCTCGTGTGAGCTTGCCGCACAGGAGTAGTATGGGCTTGTCAAGACTGCCTAGCTTAGGCAGCATCGCATCTTCTGTGTCGGGCTATAGCGATTCGAATCCATATGACAAGCACCGGAGCATCAGTGCGAACTCGCTGAATGCTCTACTGCAATCTGAAGGTGGCCTTGGAAGGCTGGATGAGGAAGTGGCTAGTACTACGACTCCACCGGAGACACCACGAACATCTGGCGTAGGAGCGTCCACAAATCTGACTGATACCGTGGTCGCTAGGCACGTCCAGGATATACAAGTCCCTGACACAGTCGCACGAGAGTTCAGAGCCAAGCACTTACGGTCGCCCGACAAACGTAACTCAGCAACTCCGTTCACGAGAAGCAAACACAACCTTACTTTGAAAGAGCAGAACAGCAAGATCGACAAGCTCAGCAAGGAGAACTTTGACCTTAAGCTAAAGATCCACTTTCTTGATCAGGCATTGCAAAACCGGTCCGATGAAGGAGTCAAGGAGATGATATCTAAGAACGTTCAGCTCCAAACAGACCTCGCGACTGAGAAGAAGGAATCGCAAACATGGCGCAAGAAAGTACGAGAGCTGGAACGCAGACTCAAGTCCCAAGAGGAGGGACAATCTGCAACCAAAGACAGCGGCAGTGGCTCTGAAGATGAAAAGAGCGAGCACTCGTCACGACAGACCGAGTTGGAAGAGGAGATTCACTTCCTTCGCGAGCGTTTAGAATCCGCAGAGACAATCACAGAGCAGTGGCAGCACGAAGCGCTTCAGAAGGAGGCAGATAATCGGCGCATGGCAGATTACATCAAGACCATGCGCGAAAAGAGCCCATCCGGCGAGTCTGGCTTTGACGAGGCGGTCAATATCTGGAAAGAAGATCTCCACGAGGAACGGGCTCGTCGTGAAGAGCTCGAAACTCGCTGCGCGCACGCAGAGTCCGAACGTGACCGGTTACGTGAGGAATTACAGAGGACAAGAGAGCAAAATCGTCAGATCCTCCTACATTCAAACAATCATAACAGTAAGCTTCACAACAGCTCGCGGCTTATCCACCAATCCTATGCGGATCGATCGGACGCAGGTTCGGATCAGCCTCGTCCTACGTCTGGTGGTAGCAGCACGTTGGTCGATCAGTTCCACGCGAACTATGAACGGCTACAGCGAGATCTTCATGCTCAGACCTCTATGCTCACGTCTCGGAACCGAGAGAACTCGCGTTTGCGCGAAGAAAACGAGGGCCTTAGGCTCACACTTAGAAGAGGAGACGTTGGCTCTATCGCCGGGGATAGTATCCTGGAACGGTCCATCTCACGCAATCACATGAGATCTGTTTCGCGCGCTAGTGGCGGCACACGGGTAACTCAAATGAGCGATTCTGAGCGCGAAGATATTGAGAGTAAATTGGCGTCAGCACGAGATGAACTTTCTCAGCTCAAACTTCTGAACAAAGAACTTGACGACCAACTCGTTGGACATCTCGACATGCTTGAGAACGCGGAGAATAAGGTCAAAGAGTGCGAGACGGAGCTCGAGGCGCAATCTGACGACATCCAGGCGCTTGCTGCAGAGCGGAACGAAGCTTTGGAACTATTACAGGACAAAGAACAGGAGTGCGAAGAGCTTAGAGCAGAAGCCCTTGACACTGTTCAGAGACTTGAAACAGAACTTGAGCAGATGCAGCAAGAGCGTGACCGCTTTGCGACGGATCTCGAGCATTCGATCGAAGACTTCAATGCCTTGCAACAGGAGATGAAGAACGTCAGCGAAAGCCTCGTTCAACTTGAAGACGACCAGAATGCAAGCATGCGCAAAATTGAGATGCTTGAATCTGAGCTACGCGACGCGACCGAGGAGCTAGGCAGACAAGACAAGATGCTCAATGATGAGAGGGCGAAGAACGAAAAACTGGACATCCAACTGGAAAGCTGTCAAGGAGAGGTTGACTTCCTGCGAGAGGAACAAGAGGGCGATAAGATCAAGATAGGGGAGCTGGAGTCCGATCTCGAAAACGCACATATCAATATCCAGCACGAAAAAGAACGGATACGGGATCTTGACGAACGTTTCGCCGAAGAACGACAACAACGAGACGCTTTGGAGAGCCATGGTAAACAAGAAGTGGAGAAGGTCATGACTGATCTCAACGCACAATTGGCAAAACTCAAAGAAGAGAGCAGGAGGTTGCGAAAAGACCTGTCCAGTAAGGAGGTGGAAGCTAATAATTGGAGACGACAGCACGACGAGTTTGAAGGAAGTATCCGCGATGCCCTTGGTAACAGCAACGGCACCAAGCCTGGTCTGCTTAAAGTATGCGGTTTGTTATCGCTCCAACCAGATCTTTACTTACAAGTCATAGGACATCACAAGGCTGCAGCGAGATCTCGATGCTACCATTGAAGAGCTAAACTTCACGAGAAACGACCTTACTGAGAAGGAGCAATTATTGCGCAACCGTGATACTCTCCTCGAAAGCACAGGACTGCAAGTTCGTCAAAGTACAGAAGCTCTCGAGCGTGAACGCCAATTGAGGCGACAAGAGGCGGTCACATTTGAGAATGCCAAACGTGGCCATCAATCGGTGACTAGAACAATACAGCAACACGAGATGAGGGTCATCGAACTTGAGTCTCTTCGTAATCAGGATCGTCAGAAACTACACAACCTCGAGAAACAGTACAAGGAGCAGTTGCTTGAGCGAAACAATCTGCTCTACGCTCTTTGGAATCGACTGTCGACCTTATGTGGCGCCGAGTGGTGTCGAAGCCATGCCCTTATCAATGGCGAATTAACCTCTATGGAACTCATTTCCAGGAACATCAGAGGCTTCAACAACAACATGATCCTTGCAGTCAAGACGGTGGAAGGCATCATCGGGGGTTTCAGGCAAAGGATACGTAACACCGAGAAGGATCTAGTTCGTGACTACCAGACCCTCGAGCACACACTTGATGGGCGGGTCAAGCGTCTTGAGCAGCTTGAGAAAGCAGTACTGGCACAAAGACAATCTATTGGAAGACCAAGTACCGTGCGTGGTGGGATGGTCGAATTAAATTCTGCGGAACTTGCCAAGCTGCGAAACGAAAACAAAACCCTTCGAACAGAGGTGCAGACTCTACGAGCGATTGGCTCAAATACGCAAACCGGCAATGACATAGTAGTCAGCAAAAACCCGTCACGCACTGGCTCCCCTACCTCGTCCAAGCGTGCAAGTATGGCTCATACCTTGCTCCGAGCGCATTCCACATCAGTGGTGGAGCACCTCCAGCAACAACAACAGCAAACTCAAAGCGGAAGTCGGTCCCCAGGCCACCCGTACCCTGAGGCGGGGCCACTGCAGCCAAGTGAGCAGAAGTGGATACACCGACTGAAGGAGCTGGAGCGAAGGCTCAAAGCCGAACGCGAGGCCAGACTCCTGGATCGCAGTGGAGCTCGCAAAAGACTGGAACAGAAGGTGGAGGAGAACGCGGATCTCAGAGCAATGCTCGAGAGGGAGCGTGACAGACTTGCTGCAGACGGGCTCAGTGTGCAGAGAAGCATGAGTGTCGATGGTTCTGTGCGTAGCAGAGACAGGAGTGAGAGAAACAGCGTGTTGAGTAGGCAGACTACTCTGGATAGACAGCAAGAGAGGGATGAGGACATGTATTAGTTTTGTACAATTGGTTTGGTGTATGGTAGCGTCTGCTTCTTTATTACGGCAACATGTTTTAGCGATTGAGCCATAGCCGGCTCCGCCCCGCCACAGCCACAGGCTACCGATATTTCTTGAAGAGTAGTTCTGGTCGTAGTAGTGAACGCCTGAAAATCCGACGCCCTGGACCAAATTGCGGCATACGCTTCTATGGTACGTTATCGCAACGTAGTCACTCTCGAGCAATCAAGACATTCATAAGCAATGTTCACTTCTGACCTCTTCTTAACTGTGCGATAGCTCCCGGCACCACCATTAAGGTCATGCTTGCCTTGTATGTTCGTTTCCACTCGACCGCCAGCTGCTCCAAATGTATGATCGCATCCCGATGATCAAAGCCGCCGATCCTATCGAATCAATAGTATGAACTGATGTCGACAACGATTGCGTGCGACTGATGAAAGACTGGTCGTCTGTGTCGACCAAACGCACATCGAACAATGTCCCCTGCCGCAAACCGCATGCTCTCACTCGCTCTCATGCCTTTACCTGACTGCTGCGCTCCACGATCGTCAGCCGACGGCGCCTCCTTCTTCGCACTTCGACAACACGATCGCTTTGCTCATACTACGTCTGAGAAAACTCTACTCAACGAACGCTTAAATACTCTCTGGGTCATCACAGAAGCTGTTTGTGACCAAACGTCGTTTGCACCCACGATTCAGGGCGACCCTGCTATCAAGTCTCAAGATTATATTGGCGTCCAAATTACTTATTGGAAGTTAGCCCTTGGCTTCTCAGGCCCGGTAGACTACAAATTCATCATTCTCGGACGGCTGTTTACTTGCATCTTAAGAAGAATCAAGTAAGTAACAGAGTCACAAAGGTTCATTGGTCCTGGCTCATTTGATGCCAAGAGTCCGTGACCCCCCAGAGCTCGCCAGCCACTCCACTCGATCGAGAAGGCCTCTGCTTCTTCAGCGTCTTAGCACCTTGGACCTATTCAACAACTTACTTTTCAATCGGGAAAGCGTGTACCGGAGTCCGGGTGAATACTCGCCTATCAGGACAGATTTTTCTGAGGATATCCCAACAATCAAATCAAGGGAGGAAGACAGTATGCCTGCTAAGATTCCGATGGATGGACACACGGAGAATTCTCAGAAGCAGGTTTCAGCTAAGGCGAAATTTAAAGGGAAACCGATGGCCACCAATATCAAGAAGCGCAGTCTACTTGCCTCTAGCAAGTCTGAGCGTGCCTCAAAGATCCAGAAGATGGTACCTAAAGCTAACAGTGGAAAACGGGTAAATGGAAGAGGCGCAAGTATAGCTGATGCTTTCATCATCTCGGACGACGAAGATGGCTTCAGTGAATCTCCTCGAAAGGACAAGACTGTCAGTCTAACGCCGCCTCCTCAGATGCCCAAGATCGATACTTCGGACGACCCAGAAGATCCGAGTACAGCATCAGTGTTAGCGTCAACCCAAGAACACTGTCTTAAAGATGGCCTTGTTTGCACAAACCAGAATTGTTTAGAAGAGCTGAGACAGCTTCGCGAAGAACTTCGTGCATCTAATGCAAAAGTCGGCCAAGTTCTAGCACGAGCAGAGCAAGAAGCACTCGAACTACAGCGTCAGCAGAGTATTGCGAGCAACAAGTACCTGGCAAACCTAAGAGAACAGCTTGAGACTGAAAGATCTCGCACAAGCGATCTCAGTTGGGAATGTGACTATCTACGCAGAGAGCTTACGGCAGCTCAAGACTGCCTGAAGGGAGAGGCGGATCTCTTACGGCAGCGGGATAATCACGAAAGCTTGTGCAGAGACGAGCAAATAAAGAATGCGGATCTCACGCAAAGGCTTATTGAGAAAGACGAGGAGTCTGCACGCAAAGCAGTCACAGTAACCGAGGACCTGCAGCAATTGGCAAAACAAATCAGCGACTTGCAATGTGAAGTTTCATGTCTTCAGAACAACAATACTGCGCTAAAGGCGTCAAATGAATCTCAGTATCGCTCGAGCACTTCTCCAGTATATTCAAATGCCTCTGCAGTATCTGATCAAGAGCAGAAGCTCAGGAACATTCGCAAAACGTACATCACGGTTAAAAAGAAGTACGACCACCTGTGCTCAATTGCTAGAAACATTTCTACTGCTACCAGGTCGTGGAACTACTCCAATTTTGGCGAGTTTGGACAGTATCTTAAACAATTGAAGGTCGAGCTTGGAGAAACGAGCCTTGAGGAGCAGGGGGTCACGAACGGCACTCAAAGCGCCAAGGTCGGCTGAACAATGACGATTTACACATAATATGCGGCGTTGGGTAGGCATGTACAACAATTGCAAGTCTCTGGGCGTCATCAAACATACGGAGTGATTTCTGTAAGACATCATTAAATTGCGTCCCGGCCTTCCGGTATATAGCAAGTTGATGTGTAGAGCAAAAGGCGTCCCGGTGGACTGTCTGACAACCCACGTCGCGTACTCTCGAGTCTATTCTGTTGGTTTGATGAGCCAGCCAGGACCTGACATTGGAAGGCAGGAGAATCCAGTCAGCCAAGAGTCCAGGGCAGTCAGCAGCCATGCGCCTCAAGCTACAGCAATCCCTCCCAGAACGCACCGTACTTAAGACGCATAGTTGTTCTTGTTCTGTCACTAATACAAGTTAGAATCGAAGTCATCCTGGTTTTCACGTTCCGGCTCCCCGCCGCCCATACCTAGCTACCCGGTCCAATCTTCGCCTCATCTCTGCTCTCGCACTCGGCACCCGACGTTGCGGCCCGCCGGTATGCTCATAAGAATTGGTAGAGGCTTCTAGTAGAATATGGCCGCCCAGTTGTTGATCCTCGTTTTGGGTTTGAGCAGCGAGAAACGGACTAGGCGGAAGATCTGCTAGATGCTGCACCCCTTGCATCAACACAGGGTCGAGAGGTAAATCGTACGTATCATTGGCGTACTGAGAATACGGAGGTTGCTGTGAACGTTGCTGCTGAGTTTCCGACTGAAGCTGATAGCTAGGCGAATTGGCACGATCTGCCGCCTGGTCTGGCGCGTATTGTGTCATAGCTGCTGGAGATACATTTTGATCGTTCGCGGGTGGTGAGTATTGTTGATGCTGCTGTCCGTTGGTGGTAGATGATCGTGATTGGTTTGTGCGCATAGCTGACAGGCCCTTGTTCATCTCACTACACTCAGGACAATTGCGGATGACTTGGCTGACAGTTTCCTTGATGCGCACCCAGTGATAAGACTCTGCAATAGCGGCGGTGGTTTTGTTGATCCCACCATGCGACTTGTGGTGTACGTCTCGCGCAATCTCGTACTGACGCTGTGCATCTGACAATACTTCCTTGCCTTTCAACCAGAGCTTCTCTGGTTCGTGGTCCGTAGCCGGTGTCAGCTTGTAGTGGGTTGCGGCGCTTCGCAAACGACTCTTCTCGGCTCTGTCGGCACCGCTTGGATACTTTCCATTCTTCAAGTAAAAGCGTATCTTGTCGAATCGTTCTTCAGATACAAAGTCGTCCTCCTGGCCTAGGTCGCGACCGTAGATGATTGCGTCGATTAGCTCACCTGGATGTGACTTTAGGTCACCGCAGCCCTTGACACGACCGATACGTTTGAAGCCGAGGGCATCCCATATCCGACATGATGCAACATTAGTCTCATAGACAAGGTTAAAGACCGAGTATGTGTACCCGAGTTTTGGCGCCCAGTCCAAGTACGTCTCACCCATCAAGCGACCAACACCACGATTCCGTGAAGCATCAGTCACCAAAAACCCACCGTTGCAGACATGGCTTGACCGACCAGGATAGTTTGGCTTGATGTAAAAGCTCCCCAGACACTCACGCTCCCAGTCACAGCCCTGCCGCGCCATCTCATGCAGTTCTCGTCCGTCCTGAATTTCGCCAAGCAGCATGATGGCCCCAAAAACGCCGAACCAGTACGGACCAAAGTTCTCCAGCGGCAGCGGCTCGATCATGGGGTAAGTATCGCCCTTTTCTATCTCGCGGCCAAGCTGGTCGCACAAGTAGGCCAATAGTGTGAGAGGCACCTGGTTTGGCGCAGAGAAGGGGATGATAGTTGCTGTCGTGACGCGGTCGCGAAGGGTCACTTGAGATGGTGCAATGCCCACGGGCAATGGGCCTCCAGGTGCAGGCCAGGGGACATCACCAGACGTACGCATGATGACTGGGGCCGTAGGGTCGTCGAGCATCGCAGACATGGCTGCGAGTAGAGATGAGCCTGCAGTCGCTGTGAATGGTCATTAGTCTTCATATTGGGATCAGACTCCAGCAAGCTCGGAAGGATATTGCGATGTGCCGTGGAGTAGCAATGGGCACCAATGTTGCGCAACTGTCCGCGACGGTGTGTGGATATGGCACGCAATAATGCAGGAGAGGTGGAGAACTCACAGATGCGCGCCTGAATCGCTCTAGGGTACTTCGTGGGGTTCAGGCAGGATGAGAGGTACGCCTGGGTAGCGCAGTACTCAGCTGCAAGTACAGCGGGGAACTCGACTTATGATTGGGTTGTAAGCGAGCACACTAACAGCACCCTCACATCATGCTCAAGGGTTGCGCGGAGGAGGTAGAACAGCAGGTGAAATTTGCATACGTGTGAGATGTATTTGGTACAGCTCGGGAATATCGACTTATCAAATGCAGTCTCGAATTACTTCAAATCCACCGCCCAAGTTTCGAATCATGTAGCCGCCCAGGAGAAAGGAAGAATTGTAAGATTCATGAGAGTAGCTGCCGTTACAGCTTCTATGCACTCGATACATGAAGCGCAGTCTGGTTTTGATTCAGGTCACACTCGTGGGGGTGCTGCAGACAGTACTTGGGCATCAAGGGAGCCGCCTGAACACCGTTGGCAACGAGGTACTCGCGGAAGTTCAAGATTCGCTGTGTCAGCTCTGTGGTCCTCTTGTTACCATCTTGATCGCGGTTACCTGACCACACAAGCTCAGCAAGGGCTGCAGCGCGAGGCCACATCTTCTGGCTGATGACCACGTCATCGACTTGTTCAGACCAGAGCGGGGCAATGGCACCCTGAACAAGTGACTTTTGCGCGTCCGTAAGGTTGAAAGTGAAGTCGTAGTCGTATATGCGTTGCCAGGTTTTGTATGGCGCACACCATGAGCCTCCTCCAGCTCCCCAGTTGAAGTTGGGGCTTCCGTCAGTGGCGTTGGGGTTGACCATGACATTGTAGCGAGGGTCGTTGCCTACCCAGCCACCGTAGCCACAGTCGAGGTAAATGAAGTCAGATGAAGAGACGATAACCTTGTACCCAGCTGCGGTCAGATTGGATATGTGATCAAGACCGTTGTTCCAGGCCTGCAAGATGATGTCCTTAGGCACGTCACCAGTAGCAGCGACCGCAGCGGAAAGCACAACATCTTCCCACATGACGAAAGTCTTATTAGCCTGCTTGCGGAAGTTGGGAATGGCGTGATCGACCCAATACTGGTACAAATCTCCCATGGTTTTTCCAGAGTCGAAAAACTCAACTGCACGGGAGCTAAAGTTGTTGCAATTCAGGAACAGCTCGTCACCACCAATATGGAACCAGTCATCGGGAAAAATGTCAGCAACCTCCTTGTACACCTTGCCGGTGACCTCATAGGTTTTGTTATTCAAGATGTCAAGCTGACCCGGGTTCGGCTCAACAGCAGTGTGCAGTGCCCATTCGTCGTTGGACCACCAACTGTCCTGACACGTCAGAAGTTCCTGATCAATTTGGCCCCACCCAGAGCTGGCATGGCCTGGCATATCGATTTCCGGGATGACACGCACCGCGCGAGCTGCGGCATAGCCGACGATTTCCTTGAGGGTGTCTTGGGAAAACACTTCATTGCGCGAGTAGGCGTCTCCAGTCATCTCGGGGTAGGCTTTGATCTCCAAAGGCCACGATTGAGAGTCGACAATGTGCCAATGGAGGACATTGAGCTTCGACAGTGCCATGCCATCGATCTGCTCAAGAATCTTGGCTTTGGAGATGAAGTTGCGCCCACTGTCGACCATGATGCCGCGCACCGGGTAGAGAGGCGAATCCTGGATGGAGACTGGCTGTTCGATGATCAAATTACCGTCGCCATCGTTAATGATTAGTTGCTGAAGGGTGGTGAAAGCATGTAGTGCGCCATAGACAGTCTCAGCAGAGATAGCAACAGCGCTAGAACCTTCGGAAATGTCCAATGTGTACGACTCGTCAACCCCATGTTGCAGAGCGGCGTGTGTGTTGATGACAGCGACATCGACTGTGGTGAGACGGCCGGTGCAGTTGCCAGTTGGTGGAACACCATACTGCCTCTTTCTTCTTGATTTCTTGGGAGCAGTCCGTGTCGGAAATGGCTCGAATTCACGGATAGGTGCTTCGACTGCTGCAGGAATCCACTTGAGCTGGGTGATGGTTCCTGTAGCACGGTTGAAGGCTTGCCTCAGGACCTCGTGGTCCGGAGCCGATAGAGCTAATGGTCCAACTGAGAAGCACCCCGAGTCGCCCCAAGTGATGTTGGAAGGTTTGGGAAGTGGGTTGGCGGCGACAGCTTCAGCATTTGTGGTGAACAGCATCGAAGCCGTAGCCACGGAGGCCAAGAGAAATTTGCGCATAGTGTGGGTGTGATTCCGCTCTAATGTTGTGGAGATGGCGAAATGAAGCAGGTAGATAGATGGTTCAGTCTCAGGGAGGGAACAAGGAGATAAAGAGACAGACGGCTGAAAGGAGGGATCATCGGTGGATTAAGGAGCTATTTCAATCTGGGGGCGTGCAAGCGTGGTGCCGGCGGGAAGTGAATGACAGGGGGCTTCACAAGCCGCGTCGCGTCGGGTTCACTTCACAGCAGTGCTGTGTGGTGAGATAGGCCAGCGGGCTCAGCCCTGCCGCATGTATCAGCAAGAGGCTCTCGCCGCTGCAACCACACCAGTGCATGCTTACCAGTCGACGCGCGCGGCGGCGTCGAGATGTTACTTGCCCCGCGCCGACACGAAGACAACGACCACACCTGATGCTGGTTGTCCTCCTCCTGAGCCCGCCCCCGCAACCCTAATATCGTGGACCAACAGCTTTTACAGTGTACCGCATTGACATCCTGGTCGGTGCGTGCAGCTCGTCTCCACCACCCGACCGCCGATCACTCGACGCGCTAAGACAAACGGCTGTCACCCCAGGATGTGCATGTTTCGTGCAAGGTTACACGCGCGTTGTCACTGATTGTTTTGGTGCAGATTCGCTTGTGGCTGGTAATCTCATCACCTGGCATGCTACCGCTCAGCTCGTAATGTCAGCGGTGTCTAGCGTCCCCTGCGCAAAGAATGCAAACGTTGAAGAATGACAAGAATGACGCTGCATAGGGGTGAGGTCGCGTTTAGCCGTCATTACGGCCGGGGATTTTGAGCGCGTCGCTGTTAAGCGAAAGCAGGAGCTGCACCAAGGAGGAAGGCGCCGCGCGCTTGCGGAGATCAAACAATGCAACGGGCGAGATCCGAAGCCTGCAGGTTGCGCTGGATGCCTCATCGGAGTTCATGTGCCTTTGTTTACGACTCAGCAGAGACAAACGCAGCTCTCCACTGCAGAGGCTGAGTGCATTCTCGTCCAAGAAATGCACAGCCCAGGTCGCTCATGCACCCCGTCCGGCGTTGCGCCACCTCACCGTCCACTCGAAGGCTTCCCCTCGTCCTTTGGAATCTTCTGAGCCCTTCTCAGGTCCACGATGATAATCCATGATGCGCCTTTACTTGCCTCGATGAGTCTGCTTGAACTACAATGTTTCAACTAAACTTTGGCGCGAAATGGCAAAGCATGTGTTCGGACCGTGAGCGCAGCCTGGTAAGGATGCTGTCCAGGATCTAGGAATAGACACAGTGTAGCAAACCTTAAAGGTCGATAACGCAGGAACACAATCTCACAGGAACAGCTTGCATGTACCTAAGTAATTTACGTCGCTCGTATCAAGACTTCCCACTTGTACCGCTGATCATCGGCCCATCAGCTGGAGGCGCAGCATGTGTAGTGCCATCAGTTGCATTTCCCGCGCGTTTCCCGTGCTTGATCTCCGACCAGTCTGGCGCAGGCACACTCAGCAGCTTACAGATGTCTCGCCGCCTCATTCTGAAGTCATCGTAGAGATGCTTCCAGATTCTTCTCTCTGCACAACTTCCCGTGTGGCTTCCACCGCAGTCAGGCTGCATCTCCTCGACACCCTCAGTAGGCCACATGATCCACGGCTTTGGTAAAGGCCAATCGCTGAAATGGACCAACTTTGCCTCGTTATAGACCTTCTCAGCGTCCCACGGCTCAAAGCTACTTCCAAGGTATGCACTGTGGTCGTGGCTCCTGAACTCGCCTGTCAACAGGGCGTATGGCCGGTGGGGAAGCACCATAGCACTGTCCTCAAAACGCTCGTTGACGAGCTCCATATCGAATCTGTGCACGCTGACAAGCTCCTTATCGCCGCCACTTCCCATTGCCTTCTTGAATCTCTCGAACTCGTCTAGGTCAGGCTTAATGACCATGAGCATCGACGTAAGCGGCCACGGCCGACTGTCGGCCCAGTATGCGCGGGGCATGGCTATGGGCGTCGGGGGAAGGAGGAAGAGCTCGTCGAGGGGCTTCAGAAGCGTGATGTCCGAGTCGACTGCAATGACGCGGTCGTAGTACGCGAGCGAGAATGCCATGAACTTGGTGACCGACTTATCCCAGGTCCCTGTCCATTCATCTGCAAGGCCGTCAGCACCCTGTCCATTCTCCACCAGGCCTTACATACCTTTGGTGCGACCCGCGACAGTGAGAAGCTTGACGGGGTGCAACTTGACTTTGTATCTGTCGCGCGCTAGGACAAGCAGCTGGCTGTCGCGGTCTTTGGAGCTCGTCACCTCCGTGTCCCAGGACTCGGGGTAGAACAGCACGCGGTCGGCCTTGCTCCCGAGCCGGGCGAGCGCTTCGAAGAGAAGCAGAGCATGGCAGAGCGTTGCGCTGTCGGTCGCATAGAGACTGTACGCGTAGTTGGACCAATTGGTCACGCCCTTCGCGGATGCTCGACTGCGCGAAGGGAACAGGCACCAGCAGACGAAGAGCAAGCCACAAAGGTAAAAGGCGTACCGGCGGCGGAAGCGGAAGGAATGCGAATCGCTGTCCCTCGTGTACCGCGGAAGTTCGTCAGATCGCCGTCGACGCATTGTGTGAGCGCGCAGCACGCATTTTGTCGACTTGGGTCCGCGTTTGAGAGTTCGGGCTTTGCACGGCCGTGTCGGCGAATGATAAAAAGCCGCCTGCTCCTGGCTGTCTCAGCGCCCCAACCATGGCATACCTCTGTCGCACAAAGTGCTGCAACCGCAGCATGCAGACGTGAAAGGTCGTATTTGTGCTTCTCTACATACATAGGTAGGCGCTAAGAGCTCCTGATGAACGACAGCCCGTAATATCCTACATCGTCCCACGCGCCAACTTGAGTCCTGACCACTCATCCCGGCACAGGCACGATCCACTCGCACTTCGGAGGAGTGAGCGGTATATCCTCGTCGTCATTGAACCGACCCATCTGTCCCACGCGTTTATAAATCTCTTCTAGGAGCTTGCCTGCCTCTCCATCGTATTCCGTTGCATTCCCTTCTTTGTACCTGTCCTTGGGATCGATTGGGCCAGCTGCTTGGGCGGCCGATGGCTGTACTTGTGGCGCTGCAGCTGGCTGGCCTGAACCACCAAAGGGTGACGAGCTGTTCGCAGGCACGGGTGCTGACTGTGCTGTTTGACCGAATGGGTTCAGAGCTTGTGTTGTTGCAGTCTGATGCGGCCCGCCGAGGCTAGGAGCCCCAAAAGCAGGTGCGCTTGGCTTCCCAAACGCAGAAGCCGATGGAGCGGCAGTACCCCCGAATGGATTTGGTGGGGCTACATTTGCTTGGGGTTGTGTCTGGCCACCAAAAGGATTAGGCTGCTGCCCTGCCTGTGCCGTCTGGCCAAACGGAGACTGGGAATTTTGCGCAGCCTGTTGACCAAATGGTGAGCTGTTAGCTTGAGGTTGTTGCCCGAACGGCGAAGGGCCTGATCCTGCCTGTGCTGCCTGTCCAAACGAGCTCTGCCCAAAGGCAGTATTGCCAAAGGCGGGTGACTGCTGTGATTGCCCCAAAGCGTTTGCCTGGCCAAAGGCTGACCCTTGAGCTGGCGTAGAGGCTTGTCCAAATGTAGCTGCTCCGCCAGGGGCAGATGACTGCCCGAACGCGGGCTTGTTGGCATTGGAGGCAGCCTGCCCAAATGGCGACTGTTGTGCTGGGCCACTGGGTTGTCCAAAAGCACTCGCAGTACCTGGCATGGACGTCTGACCAAAGCCTGAGGCACCGAAAGCAGGTTTGCCAAACCCGCTCACTGCTCCTGATGCCGATGATTGACCGAACGGCGATGGCTTTTGACCCATCGTCGAAGATGCACCGAAAGCGGAAGTGGTCTGCCCGGGGTTCGATGCCTGGCCAAAGGCCGATGTCTGGGCAGGATTAGAAGGTTGACCGAAGGCAGGTTGGCCAAATCCGGGCCTCGAAGGCTGGCCAAATGCTGTTCCCTGTGAGGTTGCTGCCGAGGAAAACGGATTGCTGGGGGTCTGAGCAAAGGGAATCGAGCTTGATGCTGCTTGTTCAGTGCTGCCCCGGACCATGTCCAGTCTGTTCGGATGTTCGTTGGCGCCTGCTTCTATGTACCGGACAGCACCCTCGATGTCATCAACTATTGCCTTGACTTGCTGCTGCATCTTGGCGTGTAAATCACTCTCTTCTTGTTGCTATGCTCGATCAGCGGGGACTTTTCGCAGATCAGGAGGGACTTACGGCGACATTTTCATTGCCTGTGGCTCGTTGAATGTAATAGCGCAGGCGAAGCTCTTCAGGACTGATCTCTACGAGACCTTCAATGAGCTGTCGCGGAGCATCACGACCGGGACCGTAGCAGGATAGTGGGTAGATGGGACGCTGTCCAGACAGATCTGCTCTGATGTCTGCGATGTCTAAATTGTAGGGGAGCGACTTGCTGTCACGGCCGGCGGTGTATGTCAGCAGTGTACATACTATCGCGAGCCGTCCAGGCGACTCAAACACGAGCCAGATCGGCGACGGAAGCACTCACCTCCAAAGGCTCCTCCAGCATTCTGGCCGGGACGGTAACTGTCGCCGCTGCCGAAAGCACCGAAGCGATTGTTGTTGGGGCGGCCGCCGAAGCCGCCGCCGGCACTCCGACCGCCATCTCGCTGGCTGCCTGGATGTTCGAATTTGCAGTTGTCTGGAGTGTGTTAGACACGTGACGGGCGATGGTCTGGCCGCCTACCTCCAAAACGGCAATTGCCCTGCGAGTAGAACTTGCAGACTGTCATGCCGGCACGCAGTCAGAGCAGGCACAGTGGATGGCAGACAGGCGGGGGTCGTGGCGGTGCAGCGTGGCTGGCAGCCAGTCAGTCAGTCAGTCCGTCTGTCGTCTTGTCGTCTGTCGTCTGTCAGATGCACTTAGGGTGAGGGAGAGGTGCAGACGCGCCGCGCTAGCATGGCGCCGGATGGTGCTGCAGATAGCCAATCAGACGGCGACGGGCCCGCCAGCCCTGCTACGTGCAGCTCAAATGTTTGTTGCGGCTGGGCCAGCACAACACACGCAGGCTCCCAGTGCACTCCCAGTGCAATCCAAGTGCAACGACTCCCACGCCGCCCCGACGTCCGCTGCTGCCCATGCCCGCGCGCCGCCGCACGCCTCCACCTCTGGGCCGATAGCACCATGAACGGCGCCTTTCCTGCCACGCCGCAGCGCCCGCAGCGCTCGCCCGGCCCTCGCAGCCCCAATGCCTCGACGCCCGCGCGCCCCAACGTGCGGTCGCCCATCCAGGACGTCCCCAGGCCGGCGCCGCCCAGCGCGGGGCCCGTCATCCCCACCGACATCCTCGACCCTGCCCAGCAGCGCTTCTACCTCTTCGCCGTCTACGTCGCCCTGTGGGCCTACCGCTCCTACGACTTCTACACGCTCGCCGTCGAGGAGGACGAGTCGCTATGGCTGTGCCTCAAGTGGTGCTTCTTCGACATGCTGTTCATGTTCGGCGTGCCGCTGCTCGAGATCCCGTGGCTGGAGTGGAGCAACGGCGCCGCCTTCCTGCTGTTCGTGCTGCACGCCGCCCTCGACGTCATGCTCATGTTCCGCATCGGCATCCCCGTCCAGGCCTGGGCCGTCGGCCTGGTCGGCTTCCTGTGGGACAGCGAGCTGGCCATCAGCGAGCGCAGCGTCAAGCCTGGCGCCATCCTGCACAACGCCTCGCTCATCCTCGGCAAGCAGATCGTCAACATCCTGCCCGAGGGCTCGGCCGTCCTGAACCCGAACAAGGAGCCCTTCTGCCTGAATGCGACCGTCACCCAGCTGGATATCCCCATCATGATCAACCAGACCGAGCCCATCGAGATGGAGCTCGTGCGCATCGACTTTGACACCAACGCCAACGAGACCATCACCATCAAGAAGAACGAGCTAGGCAGGATGCTGAAAAAGGCACGCAAAGCCGCACGATCCACGCACCCCGATGACCCCCTAACGCTGCGATACACCGTGAAGAAGCCGGGCGTGTACCTGCTCAAGAGGGTCACAGATCATTCAAAGCTTCAGGTCCGACCACGGGCTGCTAGTCTGATTGTTGCTGCCTGTCCCCAAGCTAGGGTCCAGCCCACAGGCGACGACCGCTGCCGCAGCGATCTGTCCAATGTTGCCCTGAAAGTTGAGGGCACGCCGCCACTCAACATCAAGTACCAGTTGTCAGTGAACGGCAAGCCCCGTGGTGTATCCGAGTTCCACAACCTGCAACCCGACGATGTCATATCTCCTTTATCGCGACACACCTCACAAGCATTAGTCAAGCATGGCCGCGAGGATGTGTCCTGGGCGCAATCGCAAATAGTGACTGTGCCCATGAACGAGACGTTGTCCACCAGCGGTCGCTGGGAATACGAGGTTGTGGAAGTGCAGGACGGCCTGGGTAACACAGTCAACTTCCAGGATGTGGACGATGATGAGCGACCAAAGGCTAAATTTCCTGGACTTCGTCGATCCTTCCAAGTCCGAGAACGACCAAAGGCCTACCTCAAAGGCTGCGACCCTTCGCGACCGCTCCGTGTCGCCAAGGGCGAGATTGCTCGCCTACCGGTTCACTACGGGTCCACTGGCAAACAAGCCATCGAAGGCTTGCACTCGATCGAATACTTGTTCACGCCGGAGACAGAAATCGTCACAGATGGCTACCAAAGCCCGAATGCTGCGTTGAAGAAGCAGACCATGCGCTCAATTCGGGAACAACCGCTTATCTCTGAAGCTGGCCTCTACACCATTAAATCTGTCTCCACCGAATTTTGCGAAGGAGAGGTGCTCGAGCCTACCTCGTGCTTACTCCAAAATCCACCTGAACCCGGATTATCGTTGACTAGCGAAGACATCGTTGACAGATGCGCCGGTAACCCTATCGGCTTGCGTGTTGGAATCGACCTTATCGGAAGCCCACCATTCGTGATTAAATATACTGAACATGTCAACGGTCGAAAGCTTCCAAGAGAATTGCAAGTTGCTACCCTTCGCAGTACAGTCGACTTCGCCCCTCAAGACGCAGGGCATTACAAGTACACGTTCGAGAGTATCCGCGACTCGGTCTACAAGGATACGCGTCTTAGGAATCTTGAATTGCAGCAGAACGTTAGGCCATCTGCAAAGGCATCTTTCGTGGACAACAGACGATCCAAGCAAGTCTGCATCGATGACTCGGTAAATTTCGATGTCAAGCTGTCAGGAGAGGCTCCTTGGAAACTAGAGTACGAGGTCGTGCACAACGGTAAACGCGCCAAACGTACTGTGGAGACAAGCGAAGAGTACTACACCATCAAGACCGACAAGCTCCGCAGCGGCGGAGAGTACATCGTGACCTTGGCCAGCATTAGCGATAAGATGGGATGCAAGGAGTTTCTAAAAGAGGAGGCTAGGGTCAACGTACGCCATGAAAGACCCAAGGCTTACTTTGGACACATTGAAGGCAAGCAAGCAATCATGGCACTTGAGGGCAGAACGATTGGTCTACCCCTTCGCTTCACCGGCAATGCTCCATGGAGGCTGGAATACGAAAACCTAGATTCGAAAGAGACCCGGAAAGAGATCTTTCAAAACGCCAATGCGCTCTTGGATGTCAAGACAGATGGTACATACAAACTGCTGTCGGTCAGAGACGCTGTTTGCCCTGGTTTGGTCGAAGAAAAAGCTGATCAGTTCCTGGTTCAGTGGGTTGCGCGACCGAGGTTGAGCGTTCCTGAATCTGCTGTTGTTGTGCTTGAAGGTGGGAACTATGTCAAGGAACCAGTTTGTGAAGGAGACGAAGATGCGCTAGAGGTGTTACTTCACGGCAAGTATGCCGAATGGTTTCTCCTGTACATTTGTGACTAACATGGGTACAGGAAACGCTCCGTTCGATGTCTCTTATCAAACACAACAGAACGACCCGAAGGGCAAGTTGGTGTCTATCAGGAACAAAGATTTGCACGTTGCAGGAGGTGCTGCATCCATCCGAGCGGAAACATCGCAAGCTGGTACATACGAGTACACATTCCAAAAGCTGGCTGACTCCAGATACGATCATTCCAAGAAGCATTTTACTCCCCTCATGATCAAGCAGACTATCCACTCGCGCCCAAGCGCTCGCTTTGACAAGCCAGGAAAGACATACAGCTATTGCTCGAGAGAGTCAGAGGGTGAAGAGGTCATTCCAATTACGCTTGAGGGTGTTGCACCCTTCTACCTGGAAATCGAGATTAAACATCATGGCACACCGAAGCCTGAGATCAGCATTCACAAAAACATCCCAACGAGCAAATACGACCTCAGAATTGAGCATCGCAAGTTGCATCTCGGACACTCCTCTATCTCGATTCGCAAGGTTCGAGACTCTCGTGGTTGCACGCTTAAGCCCGCTCCTGGCGGCCCTCGTGTCCAAATCAGTGTCCACGACGCACCCATTGCCACCCCCCTCGAAGATCGTAGGGACTACTGCGTGGGTGAGCGTCTTTCCTTCGCGCTTGGAGGACAAATCCCATTCACAGTCTACTATACCTTCGAAGGTCAAGAGCGCAAGGCCTCCAATCCGGGCACCACATTCCGTCGTCTCGCGGAGCTTCCTGGTACATTCACCATTACTGGTCTGCGTGACTCCGCATCTGAGTGCCTTGCATCACTCGACCTCACAAAACAGATCCACCCAATTCCCTCAGTCCGCTTATCAGGTGGTCGTGTTGATGAAGTCGATATTCACGAAGGTGGAGGTACAGATCTTGATTTCCAATTTTGGGGAACTCCTCCGTTCGAGTTCACTTACACAAGAAGCACGAATGCTGCTCGGGGTAAGAAGAGCAAAGTTCTCGAGATCCGCACAGAGGTTAGCCACGAGATGAGCATGCATATTCCCGTTCAAGAGGAGGGTACGTATGAGGTTGTCAGCATCAAAGATGCGTGGTGTAGCTTCGCCCGAAATGACATTGAGGGACTTGAGAAAAGTAAAGGGGGTGCCCAAAAATTGCTGCAGTTTTAGGTGTTGTTAAGGACGGATGAATGAGACATGGCGATTGCATTGTTGGGGCGTTTGGCGAAACGTAAAATGATTGAGCAGGTCTGGGTAGAAAGACATTTTTCGATATAGCGTTTTGCATTATGCAACACTTGATCCAATCAGAATTGGCTACCATCAACGTATTCGACAGTACCCTAGTCATCAGGGTACTCGTCCCTCAAATTGCTTATGAAGGTATGGCTGGCGCCATCCCAACGCTTGAAATGCCGTCCAGCTAGTTTCATGATGGCGGCCGAGGGCAGCGTTTCACGGCCGACAGGCTCGATGTTTTCGGCAGCAACGTAACGAACGGATTTATCGTGAACACTGCACACGCTGTTAGTCATCCGAACTTCGGTCAAGATGTGATAAAACTAGCACTTACAGAACATGGTAGAAGGCTTGGTTCCTCCCACCTGGGAGTCGATCCACCCCCATGTTTTGAATCCACTCCTCGCCCGCGTCACAGCTTGTGTCCCAGCCGGTGATGATTCCCTCATATTGATAGCGCTTGTGCCTGAACAGTTGACCAACCCTAAATTCTACATTGCGTACACGCGCAGTCCTTCTAATCAACGGTCGGCGAAGCATATCGATCTGGTGCATGCTCTGCACAAACTGCAAAAGCCGCTGTCCTTCGGGTTGTGTATAGAACATGGGTATGACATATTGCTCAAGCAGTGCAACGTCCCATGCGACATGGGTCTGGAAGTGTTCGAGCAGGTAAGGCAAATACTGGCGTCTGCGCGACGAGACCTGCTGGGCGGAGCCTTGTGCTCCGTCGTCTCCTGGTCCCAGGATCAACATGGCCCATAATGTCGAATAGAAAGCACTGTCCATGTCAGGATATGCGTCGAGCCATGCAGCGCTGATGCCATGAACGCCAACTTGAGTTTGTCGGATGGTCTGGACCGAGTTCATGATATTGCGCGCGGTGCGGAGAACCATTTCGCGAGTCGTTGTGTCAGACAAAAAGGTCTGATGATCGGCAGAGGGGACGCCCATATCGCGTAGGACACGCAGCAGATCGCCCTGCCGGACTTCATCAGATGAGCGAAAGGGATCGAGGTACATGAAATCAAGAGGCCCGGTACTGCTGGGATTGTAGTCGCCATCCAGAGTATACTGTCTCGGGGCGTAGACGAGACAATAGACGTGGAACAAGAAACCGCATGGACGAGCATCAAGACCAACTCTTTGGGCCAAAGCACAAAACAGGGCGGCAGATATCAGAGGCAACGACTGGTGTGTGGGCGATTGCAGGGCAAGGCCGATGAACGAGTTTCGCAATGCACGATACGAAGTGTCGGGCACGCCTTGGAAACCCTGATTGCGCAGATACAAAGCAAGCGCCGACGCCTTCGAGCGCGTACTGAGCTGTTGGAAGCCAGGTTGGTCGCTGAGCAGACCACGCGCCAGACGATTGAGGTCGTCTGCCATCAGATCGAAGTCGACGTCATCACCACCACGCGCAAATAGGTCGTACGCGCCTAAGGCTCTGTCGATGGGCACGTCCTTCGCGTCCTGCAGGTCTTTCCACACGTTGATTGCCATCTCACGGTGGATGCGCTCTAGCGCAGCATTCGCGTAGTATCGCCTTGCAAGCACATCTTCTACGTCATCGGGACAGGCGCACTCGCGCAGCAGCGACTCTTTTGCATCATTGCCAAAGTTTGCAATCTCGTTGATGCACCGCATGCGCTCATGCTGCGTTGCCACAATATGGTTGAGGAGCCGTCGCGTTTCGCGCTCGATGCGCTTCCTGCGAAAGTACAGCGCCCGCCAGTCGACGTCGGACAGCGGGCCGGCGAATTTGGCAGCGATATGATGATGTGGCGCCCATGTGGTGAAGCTCGTGTGGCATAGGTGGCGCCAGATAATGGGCGAGTCGGTGGTGAGCTGCTTGAACAGCCGGTGCGATTGCGCGAGCACGAAGAGCGAGGGTGCGTCGAGCAGCAAGAAGATTGACTCGAGGATCTCCGTCGGCAGCTCTGCAAAGGCGGGGCCCGCCATGATCGTTGCGGCGCACGTCGAATCGGGCAGTGCGGTTGAGGTGGAGCTGCTGGCGACAGCACTCAATTGCTGCCGACTCGGAGGTGACAATGCGCGCGGGGAGGAATGTCGTCAGTAAATACGCCACATGCGACCGGGCAATGAGCGCACTGCGCTTAGCTCTGCCCGTCATCACAACTACGACATCAACATAAAGATAACAGCGATGACAGTCCTGACAATAACATGCTGGAACTCATTCTAGCTGGCAGTAACACGAAAAGTAGACAAATAAAACGTTACACAGGAGAGTATATTGACCTATATACAGAAGCACACGCGACAAGTACAGTACTAGGTCAAAAGTTTGTTCGCGTAGCCTTAGCAACTTTAATAAGCTAACCTACCTATATAAATAAGGCTTTTAAGCTAGTAGTATCCTATATAACTACTTACAAGTATAGTATTATATTATATTTATGTTAATACTTTATTTACTACTCTTAACGTACCCCACGGGCGAGCGGATCAACGGGCGAGCGAATCACTTTTGCCAAGCCCCCACCAAAGTATCCTCTACATACCAATGCCTCAACAACAACCTAATCTTAACGCGTTAAAGGAAGCTCAAATACAGCTTGCGCTTCAAGCTCTTAAACAAGACGCGAAACTCTCACAGCGACGCGCTGCAGCTATCTACAACGTTCCTCAAGCTACACTAAGCCATCGACTTACTGGACGACCTTCACGAGGCGATACTATGCCCAACTCACGAGGGCTGGATGATCTAGAGGAGCAGGTGATTGTTAATCACATACTTGAGCTGGACGAGCGAGGATTTGGCCCTCGGCTGGCAGATGTGGCTGCAATGGCCAATTCTCTGCGCGCAGAGCGCAATCTGGGCCCTATTGGCACAAACTGGCCCAGTACGTTTGTAAAGCGTCAACCAGAGCTCAAAGTGAAGTTTAATCGCAGGTATGACTACAAGCGAGCCCTCTGCGAGGATTCTGGGGTTGTGCAGGGCTGGTTTTCCCTGGTGCGAAACACAAAAGCCAAGTATGGTATCCTAGATGACGACACGTACAACTTTGACGAGACAGGCTTCATGATGGGCCAGATCTCCCAGGGAGCAGTTGTTACAGCTTCAGAGAGACGAGGAAGGCCAAAGGCAGTCCAGCCAGGCAACCGGGAGTGGACAACGGTCATACAGGGTATCAATGCCAAAGGATGGGCCATTCCACCCTTTGTTATCTTCAAGGCGCGCCACCACCTCTCCGGCTGGTACAAGGAGGAAGACCTGCCCCAGGATTGGGTTATTGCAGTCTCCGGTAACGGCTGGACTACTAATGAGCTTGGTTTTGAGTGGTTGAAGCACTTTGACGCGCATACAAAGGAGCGTACTGCTGGTACCCACCGACTGCTGGTTATTGACGGCCACGAGAGCCACGAATCGCTCCAATTCCAGAAATACTGCAAGGATAACAAGATTGTTACTCTATGTATGCCTCCGCACTCATCGCACCTTCTGCAGCCACTTGATGTGGGCTGTTTTGCCCCTTTGAAGACAGCGTACGGGCGCCAAGCCGAATTGCTTATGCGCAACCGAATCAGCCACATCACAAAGACTGAGTTCCTGCCATGCTTTAAAGCAGCCTATAATGCGGTGTTTACCTCTAGCAATATCCAAGGAGGGTTTCGAGGTGCTGGATTGGTCCCCTTTGACCCAGAACGGGTCATATCAGCCCTTAATGTGAAGCTTCGGACTCCATCACCACCACTCCCCACCAACAACGTACCCTGGCAGTCGCAAACCCCCAGCAACACCCTGGAATTTGGGTCGCAATCAACTCTAATTCGAGAGAAGTATAAGAGGCAGCAGGGCAGCTCACCAAATTCTGTTCTAAGCGCGCTTGAGCACTACGCAAAGGGGGGAGCAATCTTATCCCACAAGCTGGTTTTAGCTCAACAGGAAATCAAGGAGCTTCGAGCGGCTAACGAGGCCGCCATGCGACGAAAATCACATAAAAGAAAGCGAGTTCAGAAGGAAGGGACCCTAATAGTTGAAGATGGGCAGCGGCTGGCAGCTCTAAAGGAGTTTGGGGCGCGTGGTGATGGGAAGAGGGCGAAGAAGCAGGTGCGCACTCAAGAGGGCGAGCCAACCCAACGGCGCTGTGGAAGGTGCAATCAGACAGGACACAACGCGCGAACGTGCAAGATTGATGTAGAAGAGGTCTCTGAATGATATTCCAGCCTGTACTGTACCGTGCAGGACCAAAGTGTGGTGTTTTGGGCCATGATGGGTCAAGTTTTGGTGGGGGCTTGGCAAAAGTGATTCGCTCGCCCGTTGATCCGCTCGCCCGTGGGGTACGTTATAATCTATAGATAATAAGATTACTTATTAGAAGGAATACTTAGAATTACTTAGGCGCTATAAGGCTAAGAATAAGCATAAGGCTTATAATTAGAAAGATTTTATTAATCTATATAAGTAGTTGCATTAGAAGAGTGTATAGAATACTAAGTCTACTACTTAGTTATTTCTTACTAAGTCCTAATTTGCTAAGGCTTCTACTCTACTCTCTCTAGGCTTTATTTATATTCTAGTTATAGCTAATAAGGCCTTTACTATTCTCTAAGAGGTATTCATATCTACCCTTAATCTAAATAATCTTAAGTAGTTTAGTTAGACTATAAAGTAGTATAATACATATATTAATACTTACTATTTAATTATTAGTTAGTTTGCTATATTTATAGCAACTATTAATTAGATCTTTAAAGTCTTTTATTTAAATAAGTAGTATCTTATTTAGCTAATTACTAAATTAATATTTGCTTTTCTTTTCTTTATTTAGTAATCTACTCTACCTATAGTTAACCTTAATAATTAATATTTCTTTATATAATCTAAGTATCTTAAATATTAATTAGTACTTTAAATAAGTTAAACTATTACTTAGTAAGCTTCTTAGTTAATCTATCTATAGGTATGCTCTTAGTATTAAAGTACTTAACTTTAAATAATCTCTTTAAGTGTTCCTACCTAAGCTATAGGTTATATATATCTATATAATATAGCTTAGTTATAATCTACTTATTCTTTCCTATTATAAGCCTAATTGTTTGCTAGTTATTGCACTAGATATTCTAGACTTGCCCTAGGTTAAGCGTGAGCTTGCTAAAGAATCTCTTAATTACTATTATCTTCTTAGCTATATGTTCTAGAGTAATTAGCTTAGCCTTTATAGTTAAAGTTATAATTATTAGTTGCCTAGTTGCTTTCTAAAAGATTAGTTCTCTAAACATAATTAATATATAGCTATAAGATAATCTTTAAGTAACTAGATTATTAGTAAATAATGCATTACTATAAATTATAAGATTAGAGCTATTATTATTACTATACTTAATTCTATTATACCTTATTTAGTATAGGTAGGTAATTACTTAACTAGCTATAGTATAATACTCTTTGCTTAGATTTATAAGGAAGTATAATAATTTTAATACTATAAAGGTAATATTAGGCCTAATTATAATTATAGTATATAGTACTAATCTGATCTTTTCTTAAAATAACTTAACCTCTTACTTAGTTGCTTCTCCTTAATTTAAGATTAGTTCTTCTAAGGGAAGTAGAGTAGGTAGATAGGTTCTATCCTCTAATCTAAACTTCTTTATAATCTTATTAATATATATATTATAAACTAGAGTAATTATTTTTTTTACTTAATCTCTTATTACTCTAATCTCTAAGAACTATTCTACTAGTCCCTATTCCTAAATCTTATACTTGCTAAATACTTTGTTCTCGATAGTCTTAGCTTTCTACTTATAGAACTTATAGAATAGAAGTAGAATATTATTAATATAGAATAGGGTTAGTATTAATTGCTCTTTATTAAAGAATAGGTAGAGCTCTTCTTTTAATACTATAAGTCTAAGCTTAAGTAGTATTCTAGAGAACTCCTTATACTAAAGGAGTAGAGATTCTCTTAATCTATATAACGCTTAATTTAGTTAAATATTATAACCTACTTTCTTAAACCCTATTAGTAGTATATAGATTACTAGATTATCTAGAGTAATTAGAGTATTTAGGAATACTCTAACTATATTATATTAGTATACTTCTAGATTGAACTAAGCTATAGTTGCTATTACTATTTAGAAGGATTAAGTAGCTAGAGTAGCTATATATATACTTCTTAATATATATTTTTTTTAAAAATTACCTCTAATAATAATCTAAGCTTTATACTTAATAAAGTAGCTATTTTAATTAAACTCATAGGTCTATACCTACTTAAGTAAAAGTAGTTAATTATCTTTTAATATAGTCATCTTAGTCTATATACCTTTTTATACAAGCTAATTAATCTCTTTACTATAGGCTTAGAGAAACTAATCCTTAAGTAGATATTATAGTAACTTTTTTTAGGTCTTTAGTAGTAGTAGGAGCTAATCTTAATAAGGTTATTTTACTTCTAACTTTAAAGTCTTAGTATTTTAATTACTTAGTGTTGCTACTATAATAATTAAGTTAATAGTCTTATAACTTAGCTAATTATCCTAGTCTCTATTTAAACTAGGAAAGAAAGTATTATATAAGTCTAACTATAGATTATTTTCTTTACTTAGATATATAATTAATATATTTATACTTCTTTATAATAATCTACCCCTTATCTAATTATTATAATCTAACTTATTCCTTCTTACTAGAAGATATTTACTTATAGGTTAATTAATCTTAGGTCTTAAGCCTTATTAGTAATAACTTATTTATATTAGTAGATTATTTAGACGTGCTTTAACTAGTATTATAGATATAGCTTAACTAGATTAAGAGGCAACGTTAGTTAAGCGCTTATGCATGAAACCCCTAGACCCTATCTAGTTACTAGAGATAGGTAGATTAGCTCTTATAGAAGAGTTAACTCCCTATTAATTACCTGCTCCTAAATCCTCCTAAACGCCTATACCTTAATTAATTAGTCTAGGCATTTGCTTAGGAGTAGCTAAACCTATGCTTTCTAATTAATCTGCTTAATTCTCTAGACGCTTACTAGCCTTATATGCGTCCTAAGCAGCCTCTGCAACCTTAGTTTCCTAATTAGTAGGTAGGCCCTCTATACTAGTTAATATTCTAATCTGCTTACCCCTAAGATCTTGCTTAGTAGTTAATTGTTCTAGTTAGGTTGCCTAGTACTCTTCCTCTAGGACTAGTATCTTAATATCTTATCCTAGATTATTAAATTCTCTAATATAGAGCATGTCTGCTACTTTAATTGCCTAATCCTTTAGCATTTTGTTATCTTTGCTACTTATATAGAATAGATTCTTATTAAACATAACATTTCTTATAATAATTACTTAATTAAGAGTAGGTACCTAGATTAAATAGATATTAGAGGCTTAATAGCTAACTAAGTACCTAATATAACTATAA